CTTATCCTCACAATCAGAGACTGGAGAGAAATGCATCAGCCACATCCACAGGTTCCTGAATCCAGTGTGCTGAGCATGGCTGTTTCTGTTGTCTGGTCATCAGAGTCCTAGGAGATAGGTGTGTTTTTCTTCTTCTTAATCATCCTACAGACTTGAGCTGCTAAACTGGACTTCAGGTACTGAACATGAGCTAAAAGAAGGTTTTAGCAGAGACTGAGATGTTATAGAAGAAGTCAGATATGACATTTTGGAGGATTCATTGTACTTATTTAAATGCATAATAGTGTCTGACTATTTAAGCTATTACTAATTGTTATCTATAGCAAAATTGTATGATAGCAAGTAAACCTAGAAGCATTCCAATGATGGAAGCTAATAGTTTAAAGAAGTTGTCAGTAAGATCAAGAGTTGATGTAGCTGATGGTGGCATTCAGTTTCTTTCATACTAGTGTGCATAAAGAAAGAAAAGCAGGAGCTTCAAGCTAATTATTAAGTCTAAGTGATATATGACCTAAATATATAATAAATGAGCACTGTATCAAGTTCATATAGTCATGCTCAAGTTCACTATTGTGCTTGTATGGTGTTGTGTCTCAAGATCAATTATAAGTCAGCTTGAGATAGAATGGTAAAGATAAACTTTTAGCTCAAAGCTGGAGATATACAGTAAGAGCTACACTACTTATATACTGCTTGTCCTTGAGATAAATATATCCCTACTAATTGTGTGTCTCTAAGCTATAGTGCTTGTTGTCTTTAAGCATTGTGACTATCTATAAAAGAGTATTGTTTATCATCAAGAGACATTATCACTGTTAGAGAACAATGGCAGACTTGGCCTATTATAGTGACTAAGCCTGTCTCACAGTCCTAAACACTGGTCTTTCCTTTTTATATATACTTTTTTTCTTGTTATACTTCTTCTAGTGCTTAAAGTGCTTTATCTTCTTCTATACTTCAGAGTATATTGATCAGATTTTGATCAGCTTCAGCCTGCTATTTTAGATGTATCCACTCTTTCAGCACAGCTAAGGCTACTGAATTTGAAGATTCTTTTACAGCTCATAGTATTCAGGCAGCTGTGTCTGGCTTTTTTCACTCTATGACTGTCTTTGGTCCAGAGTGCTCTTCCTTGGGTACTCCACCATCTGCTTAGGCTGAAACTTCCCTATAAGAGCTCTACACCAAACAGCCAGTTCCATTCTCAGTTCTAATAGCAATACATGTGGTTTAGATTCTACTTTCTTCTGTGCTTTTTCATCAATTTTAAGTGGAATAATAAAATATACTTTATGAAGAGTCATCCATCTTGTTTAGCTCTTAGGAGCATTTGAGTCTTTTTACATACTTTTTTCTTTTTTAAACAGTGAATATTTATTACTGGTTCTTACAGAAAGTGTCTTAGTATTGGTAGGTATAACACCTGGTTTGGAATGTACTAGTTTAGTATCATCTGCCTTAATCAAGAAAATGTTGAAAACCTGCCCATATATGCATCAAGGAGTTACTTGCCAAAATCCTCCTGAGATTTGATTTCTTTTTCCTTTCTCTTTTCTTCTTCAATAGCCTAGTCTAATTCCTCCCATGTCTTCCAATCAGCCATCTCTTTTTAGTACATCTGACTTAACTACTTTCAGTCATCATCTAAAAACTTCATTTTATGAATATTATGTGAGGCAGAAGACTGACTACTTGACATAGCATTCAGGATGAGTCTTTAAGGCTAAGGTTTATGGAGTTTTAGGCAGGCACAAGACAAATGCCCTTTTTCTCTGCAATTAAAGTATTTCCCTTCCTTTTAGAGTGCATCTATATTCATCAGCTGTCTCTAGCTGCTATATATAGTTTCAGTTCTCATTCTCTTATCACTTGTAGTCATCTCTTTTAGAGCTGACCTGCCAGTGACAGCCTTTTCTCCATTAGTGGTGGTCTTTGCTTCTTCATGTCCAAGAGTGTTAACTCAATAATTGTAGTCCATTCATAAAATTCTTCTTTTTTATTCTCTATATATTGTGAAAAAATTATTGTCTCATGAGCAATAGTGTTACAAAAGTTAGGTTGGACTGCATTTTCAATCTGCTCTAGCATGGCTTCCTGATCATGCATCTTTTCTGTTCAATATGCTAATTCTTTGAATTCTTGAAAGAACTTCTTAGCATTAGTGAAGTTGGCTTACTGTAAGGCCTGCCACTTAACTGCATAAACTTTTTGCTTGGCATCTAGTTTGAATCATTTTTGTATTGCCTTCTTAAATCAGAAATAGAAGAGGTATTTCCATCACTCAGTGGTTAGATCATAAAAGTATTGCTTCTGCAGGCTCCATCATTCTTTAGCTATATCTTCAAACTGAGTTGTACAAAATATCACTTGGTGAGGGCTGAACCTGACAGAATTCATGGAGAAATAGGTGCTGTATACTTTAAAGTATGCTTCACATTGTTGGAAGAAGTATTTCAAGTCTAGGCTTTCTCCTTTAAACAGTATAGATTCTCAGGCAATAGTCAGCTTCAAATTTCCTCAGAGCTTCATAGTTTTGGGCTCCCATAGAGGCAGAGTGTCAGATGGCAGTAGTGGTGGTATTAGTGATAGAGCTGGCTTTTTGGGCCTAGACAAGGATCATAGTCTCTAGTCACACCAAGGATGATTCAGTGGATCTTCAGGAGACAGGAGAAATGATACTGCTGGCTTTTCCCTTTTTTTTCTTTGCTAAAGAGTGCTGATGGAACCAGAAGTTTGGCATTCCTGGATCCTACTCCAGTGAATAGACAGATGAATATAGCTGGAACTTGCTGAAAAGTCTGTCAGAAAGGGTTTCAGCTTCCTTAATTGCTTAGGCTACTTTCTGCTGATGATGGTCATTCAAGCACATGATGAAGAGAAAGAAATGAGGGCTCTCAGCATCTCTTGGAATTCTATACTACTTCAGCTACTCTAGTCTCTGCCTATACTCTGTCCACTAGATTTCTGATGTGTTCTGACAGTGCAAGATATTAAAGTCCTTCACTGATGCCTAACTAGTGGGTGTCTGCCATCTGCTGCTCTCTAAGCTGCTGGTAGTGTCCAGACAGATTCTTCTACCACATGAGTTTGCCAGTTGAGGATATATTTGTATTCTCTATCTGGCTTATATGGGTCCACTGTTTCTGATTTGATGGACTAGAGCTCACTCTCTCTGAGACTGTATACATCAATTCTAAGGATGATCTGATCAATATCCTGCTCTTGGATTGAGGGGCTTTGAGGTGTGCTGACCATGAAGCTAGACTCATCTATCTGCCTAAAGTAAAGCTCAGATAGAGCTTCTGGCATATGCTCTCAGTGATAGTCAGCAGTAGGAGTGGCCACATCTCTGATTGAGAGTCAGCTTGTATGGCTATCATCTCCTCATACTGACTCTCTCTTGTCAGAGGTGGTCAGTCAGATGATAAGAGGGGGAGATTCAACTTCTCCTCTTCCACTTCATACACTTCTGAGTTCTAAGAATCAGACAATGTAATTTATACTGCTGGTATCTGTGGGTTCTGAGGCTGATGGCTGGACAATGATGCTCTTTCAACTCAGAAGTGTGCAGAGTGCTAGTTGAAGAGCTTGACAAAGAAAATCCACTCTTCATTAGTTTTGCCACTCCTCTAGTTCTCTCCTTCCTCTTCTTTGTTCTTTTGATAACCATATGATATGGTATCTAATAATTCCAGTTACTGTGATGAACAGGCAAACATCTGCAATAGAGATGGCAATGATGTTTCTGAATGTGAGTTTCATATGCTAGTCCTAGGCAAAGTGCTGTTAAACCAGAGCATGTGAAGTTTTAAGCTAATTGATAGACTTTCACTAACACTCACAAATCTCTAGCACCACTTCTGCTGGGGTCTAATTCTAGATGCTGAGTCTGAGTCTGATTTTGATATAAAAGTATGATGAGGATAATGAAGTAAGCTATAAAGATTTTGCAGAGAAGGATGAAGAGTTGTGGCTAGTAGATATAGTCTGCTATTGTGGCAAGAGTATTTGCACCAGATAGTCAGAGAGTGCAGTAGATGTATTAAATCTTAGCTCAAGACTGGAGTATATCAGTGTGTACTACTGCCTTATATACTGTCTAAAGAATCCTATCTTCTACAGGCAACTATTGTCTGCTCTTTATACTCTCTGCTCATTGTCTGAGATAACAATGACTGTGCTCTTACTTTTGTTTGTTATTGTCACTCTGATATACCATTGCTATAGTGAGTTTTTCATATGCCACAGTTCCTATTGTGTTCAAGATATGAGACAGCAATGGTTACCACATTGTTTCTCATCATCTTATTGTGCATCAATGAATAAGGCATAGTCATGGTGTCATTATGTCTTCATCATCTTTTGTAAGGTTGGCCTGGAGTTGGGATTGGTAAGCATCTGCAGATCATGATTTAGAGGCAAAAATCATAACATAGACCTCACACAGCACAGCAATAAGCAGAAACACAGTGAGGGTACTTGACAGACCATATTCAATATATATTGTCCATCCCAACATAAAGGAGTATCAAGCTCAGCCAGCAGGATATGACAGAGCTCCTGCTTGCTAATCCAACAGAAGACATCATTGAGTTGCTAGAGCTGAGTGAGAATTCAAATGTCTGGAGATTGAGCAGTGTAGTCAGAATCACATAATGACAGCTGGTTGACTGAAAAAAGAACCAATCCCAAGAGCTATTTTATTGTTGAAAAAAATCACATAATATATGGCTGATACACCTTACAACTATGTAGAATGTAGCCAGACTAGGTGAAGACAGATAGATATGGCAGATACTAGATTACTCTAGATTGAGCCAGCAGAGCAAGTGGATGAGCTTTGACATCTAGGATATTACATGGAGACATAATTGCATAGCACCTATGCCCTTGAAAATATTTTGAACACTGAGCTTACCATCCAACTTACTCACAATTGCTCAAATATCTTCTGCGAGTTTCATCTCATCAGAGAAGGAAAACGAAATATTATTGATGACCTCTCATCTTTAAGCAACACAGCAATTCTAAAGAGTGAGATGAGCGGATCCAAGTAAGAGGTCGTTCATCACAGATCCTGGAAGTGACATACCACCATGACACTGACTCTGAATGCAGCACACTCTCCTCCGTACGGTCTCTGATTCCTTTCAGAAATGGTACAAACCCAGTGCCACCCGTTCCTATGTATTCAATATCTGTGGAAACACTCCTCCCTACCCTATTGGCTGGAACAACGATATACAGTGTCGCGATGACCATGTGCACATCCCGAAATGCCTTCAGCGCCAACACTGCATTGTTGTAGGCATCCAGTAGCTCTCGGTCACTTGAATCTTTGATGAAACCTCTCAAAGAGCGAGGAGAAGATGATAGGCGAGTCAGGAAGCGGCGGTGCTCACGGGGCATATAACGCTGCATCCTCCCAAAAAGCGATCGAGTTCCATTCGCAAGATGGTTATTTATCCCAAAGAATATATCCAGTGCATGAATAAGTGTACTTTGGCCCGCACTTGGGCCTGACAGTTCCTTGAACATCTCGCTGGAATCGCCTGGCAATCCTTGGAACATCCACTTTCTAGGTGGCGAATCTTCACCTCGCAACCAGGGCCGAACCTGCTGATAGTAGACTTCGGAATTGCAATCCTTCCGCAGACCGAGAAGAACCTTCTTAAAGTCATCTATGAGAACAGACATGCGTACTAGTGCCTTGGTAATTTGGGCAACGGCACCGACGAGAATATTGTCTGAAATTTGGCGAATGAGGTCTAGCGCTTCGACGCCTCGTAGTTCAATGACAGCTGATGCCCGATAAAAGGCTTGCTCGTCACCCTGCCCAGAAAATACGGAAGGAAAGTAAATTTCGCCAGTGGAAGGGTCCGTCGTCCAGTTGTACAAGACTAAATCAGAGTATGTGATCACGGGTGGCAGATCAAGGACGTTAGAGATGTGTGACAATGGAACAGACAACGGCGGTGGTATGCAGATGGCACGATCGGGAGGTAGGGTGTGTACGTAAAAGTGTAGAATGAACGATAGGACATGGTGGGCACGTCTAAGAGCCGGAAGTGAACCGTCTAGCACGGTAGCCGACAACAGAGGCGCCTATTGAAAGTAAATTGGGATAAAATACAGATCTTGAAAAGGCAACGAGATACCTCATACCTCACAGACTCGCATACGCCACCGAGCAGACTCCGTTAACGTTGCCTCGGAGTAAGCAGCACTCTCGCCCAGGACGAGCTTTCGTTCCATGGCATGCTCCAGTAGATCCTCCCACATTGTCCATTCTCCCGAGAGATGGAGATGGGGCTGACTTCCAAGAAAGCCAGTGTCAGGAGAAATATCAAAATCCTCCAAGCGAATCATGGCAGCACCCTTGACCATAGTACGGTCATTTCGAAGCAGAAACGGGTTTATAACGTTTCAAATGAGACGGCCGGGTCTTACCCGACGACCTTGCAAGAGCGATCTCAGCTGACTCGTTTGGTAGACATCTTCCGCGAATCCCTATCTCTTAACGTGGTAATTCGGGTCTCCCCCACACCGCGAATGCGGCAAATACAACTAAGAACGGTCGAGAAATTGCTACTCTCCTCCTCCTCCTCCTCCTCCTCCTTCTTCCCCAGAAGCCGTTGACCTGCGTAAACGGCAACATGTCTTCTTCCTCTGACGAGTGTGTGGTGCTGTCTGAGTGTCGGCGACGCGATCTCACATGCTCTACAGACGCCGCTTGTACTAACACCAACAGGTGTTTCTGGACAGCAGCGTGTAGATCGGGATTGATAGACGTTAAATCTGGTGAAACCCATGGTAGGTAGAGAGTGTAATGAGCTCCAGTCACGACAAACTGCTCAGGCAGGTCAATCGCCTGAAGTTCAACGAGTTAATACATCGCCGTTGAACACATATGGATGACTCACTAGTAAATCTCTCAATGTATTCTTATAAGCTATGAAATACAAGCGGCAGCCAAAGCAAATAATTAACCATCAGGATCGCGTGAATTCCCTAATGCGTGACGATCTCGGATCTGCTAACAGCTAATGCTAAATAACTAGCGGTCGTCGGTTGACATTCCATGCTATTTCGCCCTCTGGACTGCCATTTTCGTCTTCACAGCTTTCAACATCGCAGCAGCCCTACCCGCCAACTCCGTGTTGCTCGACGCCACTCTCCACGTAGTCCTTCGCCTCAGACAAATTCCCAAAAGCAAGACGGATATTACGCTCCGATAAAGCCAACAGGGACCCTAAATACGGCTCCGAATTGTTCAGACGACCTAGTACGGCCAAGGATAAGAAGCCCGCCCATTATCAAACAAGGTCAATCGCTCCTTCAGCTTCCTCACCAATCTGAACTACTCCCGGAAATGCTGCTCCGCCGCGGGCCAGACGTCCATGGAACGGATATCAAAGCTCATCCGACGAAGTTTATGCCCGGGAGGGATTGGTTGATGCCGAGTTTCAGTGCGTGACTATAGCGGAGATGGTTTCCTGAATTCTGCGAATACAAAGGTGTAAGGGTCAGAATATACAAGAATACCGTGAGTTATACCTCTTCGTGTCTTTGTAGCAGGATCGTAGACCATCTCATATCGTCACACACAGAGAATAGTTATACATTCCCAGCACCCTATAGGCCCGTCCCATCCCCGACAAAGCGCGATAGTCCTTCTTGGTGATATCTACCGAAGCCTTCATAAGTGCCAAGAACCAAAACTAACTCTCCGCATACCCAACATCCGACGATATGCTTCGATGGCGGCATGAGTATTACCCATCACGAGATATACTCATGGCCCACTGAAGCCCATGCGTGGTAAGTCCGATCCAGGTAGGTAGCGCCCCGAAAATATTTTACTGCATCCTCATGCTCTGTACGGGTCGAACACGCATTGCCTTAACACACTCCGTCAACAAGCAGATAGATTTCAATAATGAAAGAGCATACCAATGAAGCATCACACCTCTGGCCGGTTCTTGTCTTTTTCCTGAAACTTGTGAGCGTAAAACGAGCGCTTCTCATTGTTATCCATCACATAGAGAATATCAGAGAAGAAATCTATGTCTTCAAGCCGGTCAGGTTCTAGGGAAAGGATGCGCTCGAACTGCACTTGCGCATCCCTGTACTCTGACGAGTTCAAAATCTTGGCAATAACCATGGGACCATAAAAGGTAACGCTGGATAGGCAGGCATATCTGCGGCTTTTCATGGACATAACCCATAAGCTGGCCGGAAAGAATTCGGAACCGAGGAGGTTGTCGCATATTTGGACTTGCGTTGAGGCCAAGTGGAGATCGTTGAGCATCTTCACTCGAAACATGTAGACCACGGGGTGATTCGCTAGTAGTGGTATCCGAGCCAAGACATCGTTATACTAAGAGACATCAGTCATAAAGCAAGAAATTTTGAGTGGCCACTGACCTCTTTTTCGGAATCAATAGTCTCCAAAAAGACACTAGGCGGCCCATATCCAAGGTTTGCTCGCGATAACATTCAACAGTATCGTTGTTGCCTCCACTTTACGCGACATTCGGAAGAGAAACAGAGCCTCACTGATTCCGAATCAATACAACAGTCAGGTTATAAAAACGGGGTTACATGAACATGAGCCAAGGCTCCGTCGAATGCGCGACATCTTCCAAGTAATACAAGTATTTCATTGTTTAGAGGCGACATAGGCTGCTCCTTCTTATCTTCTACAATGTCAGACTTGTAAGAATATGCCACAGGTCATGTACTACTGAGCCTGTACCACTCATCCAAAGCTAGCCTTTCATGACTGACAGAGATGGAATAAGTGGTCTACGCGCATTGTTATTGCCAGAAGCCTTTGCACAAATAGTGCAGCTCTTATATAAGCTTTTTTTTTCTTCTCGGCTACAGTTTGTGTTGAACCACAACGATGACTATTTGTCAAATACACTTGCCTTTCCTTTTTATACCTATCTCTCTGCCCTTCTGGTATTTCTTCTGGCCACTTTCTGCCCAAACAGTGCTTTTACGCCTCCACGCTAGTTTGGTTCTGGTGATGTGCCTATAGATATGTACTCTGTTCGCCTAATCAACGAATGGATGGCGAGTAATGACCGGGTATTCAGGGTGATATTCAATGACTCTGGAGAACTATGCCGGGTTACCCCCCCACATTTGTTTCTTAACACCGAGTAGACAGCAATAAAACCTTGATCTCGTTTTACAGTGAATTTGGCATGATAATTCATGAAGACTTCAGATGCTCCGTGTTGCCCAGTCGAACAGCAGTTTTGTACGACGTATAGATGAGGTAGGCGAAGCATAGAAGAATGGTAAATGTGGTACCCATCTCAACCTGAGAAATGTCTCCAAGCCGACCAACTGGCACTTGGACATAGAAGACTGTCTCTGAAGGCAAGAGATGCGATATATTTGACCGACGAAACAATGCTGCGAAGTCCTCGGGCATATATGATTCAGCATCGGAACCGGCACGGCCCTCTGAAACAGGTTTAGGACATGGCAATGGATTTGGCGCTATACACGCACCACAAATCACATATCCTTCTGGCATAGAAACATCCACTGCGTGAAACCCATCCATGGACGCGCTGACTTGACCGTACCGCAGGTGCAGCGGTATTTGAAGCGCACCTTCTGTTACGGCTTTGTGCGATACATTTACGAGAACATGCGAGTTGTCTGGCCCAATGGCAGAGACAGGAAGCTCCAGATTGGACGGGCCTGCATGGTGAAACGTGTACGAATCCTTGTAGTTGGCAAGCTCATAGGGATCCACAAAAACGAGAGGTGGAAGGGTGAGGAGAAGATAGAGATAGCATGAAGGCTCTAAACCGATGCCATGGAAGCTGGTGGTGATGGTAGGATGAAAGCCGTACAACGGGTGCATGGTTGATGAAAGAGAGGCCATGTGGCTGTGCGAACGCTACTTTGCCCTCTTACCACCATGGTTTCGTACTTCGCCCTCACCTTTCTATTTTCTCGCTCTTTCTTGGCTGGCAGTATAGTCGGCTCTGGTGCTACTTGCTCGAGCTCTTGCGACCATGTGGATCCAGTCTTTCTCAAGTTCATCTCGGAATGTCCCTGCATGACCTACTGCTCAGCAGCACAAAATGGAACATACCTTCCAAGACTTTGTCGATGCGACGAGTTCCCTTTTGGATACTCTAAGCAATATGTTCTTCCACCTATGTGCCCTGCTGGAACGTTCTGTCCCCACGAAGGAAGCGGGTGTCTGCCGCTAGTTGCTGTTGGGGCGCGTGTCAGCTGAACAGGGACGAGCAGTGCGCGCCGCCAGTTCCTTGGACAGATCCTATTTCAGATATGGATGGTGTTCTCTGTTTGACGTCAACATGCATGTTCGTCGTCTAATTTCCAATTAAGCATTACTGACACTTTGAAGGTACACTAATGGAGCCCAAGGACAATGCTGTATCACGGAGAACATTACTTACCTGGATAATTTCAACGGGTAACGGTATACCAACACAGTAATCAGAGACAATTGCAAAGCTCCCGATTACTACTGTGGTCAAGTTAGCATGGTTTGCGAAGCGACTAGGGCTCTTCGATTTCGTTGTCAAATGCACGAAGAATGTGTGTCGGTATGTCTCATAGATGCAAACTGAACACTCATTACATTTCATGGAGAAACTCTGCTCAAGGATTCTGTGCCGATCCACCTGAGGCCCGCTTAAAAATAGTCTTGGCAATATGCTCTAACGGCTGTCTGTATCATCGGAGGTGGGTATGTTTTCCGTTTACATAAATCATATTTCAAGCGTCATAATAGTGCTAGTTGTCACGACCATGCTGCTTCCTCTTGTTCACAAGCATAATCGTTGGGGTCAGTGAAGCTGTGTCAGGCATCGAAAACTAATTCTCGTTTCCTTAGCCTTCGCCACACTATAATCTCTCTACATTCCCCCTCCGCCGCTGAATCTGAAGTGTATTCGGACAAAACACTGTAGCCTTTTCTATATTTGCTTACTATCAACTCGTCGTCAGGTCAGGCATAAAATTCAAATACATGTGTATCTTGCTTCTTTCTTTGTTTCTGGCGAGCTCTCTACAAACAGTAGGTTGCAACACGCGTTTCCTTTCCCATGTAGACATATACGGTCTACGGCTCTGCTTTTGTTTCAACATTCAACAGTGCCCCAGCTGTACTATCCCTGACATCTTTCAGGAATTTCGCAAGTTCAGTGCCTCCAGTCCCCTTCAACGGTGTCTTTCTTTCCTGTAGGTTTCTAGTGCGACCAGCGGGTCCGATAATGTAGAGTGTCACGATAATGATGTGAGCGTCCCGGAATGTCTTCAATGACCCAACAGCCTCATTATATGCTGCCAGTAGCTTCTGGTCTCCTCTACCCATCACGATATCTCTCAGCGGCCGCGGGTTATTGGAAAGATGATTCAAGAAGTGTCGATGATGGCGTGGCATGTATGATTGCATCCGGCTGAGAAAGGCCTTTTTCGCTGATATGTCACCGGATCCCGCGCCGGTCATGTCTGATGAGTGGGAGTAGCGGTCCACACCGAGGAAGATATCCAAAGCATGAACAAGCGAACTCTGGCCTGCACTCGGACCGGAAAGCTCGGAAGGATAGGGTATATCTAGTTCGTCCAGACCCTCAAAGATCCACTCACGCTTCTGGGGATCCGAATCGGCGCCTCTGAACCAAGGGCGAATGTTGTGATAGAACACCTCTGGATTGCAGCCTTCACGAACGTTAAGGAGTAGGACTTCCAGCTCATCGATGACTGTGGATAAGCGATGCAAGAATCCGGTAATACGCCACATAGCGATGTCGTCGCCTACGAAAGCTTCGTCCATGGTGGCTCGCATTAGCTCGAGCGCTTCTGCACCGCGTAACTCCATGCGAGCAGAGGTGAGATAGAACTCTTGCTCGTCGTTTGTATTAGTGAAAAGACTCTGGCTGCGAAGATTGTCCAGAGCTGGGACGGGTGACTCGGAGGGAGTTTTGAGGTCCCAATTGTACAGGACATCATCGGAATATGTGAGAACGGGAGGAAGCTGGAGCTGTGCGGAAATTTGCAGGAGGGGTATCGTGACGGGTCTAGGTATCACTATGGATGCATTTGGGGGGAGCGAGTGAATATAGAAATGCATAATCCACGCTAGGACGTGTCGACCGCGTCGAAGCCTAACCTCTGATGTCTTCAGATCATCAATCGGAAGCAAGGGAAGCTTAATAATAAGTTATTATGGCGATGCGGTAAATAGATAAGTGACTTGCATTACGGACTCGGGAACGCCAGGTTTCCGATGCGCTTTTTTGAGTATCCGTGAGGCCTGGTTTGTCCCCTAATTGAAGCCCAGATTCTTGCGCTTCCTGAAACATTGCCTCCCAGGGCTCCCACTGCCTCGGAAGACGCGCCAAAGGGGGCTGAGGGGGCATAAAACCAGTCCGATTGTCTACATCGAAATCATGGGCCGCTAGCGTGGTGGTATCAACGACACCACCTGGTGATCCAATTAAAATGTCAGGACGAGGAAGAGAGAGGAAATGGTCCGGGGAAAGATGGTCCATGATGCGACTGTCGATAAGTTACAGATGGGGGAGCAAAAATGGGGTTTCACTGCAGGTCCTAGGAAAAATAATGAGTATTATTTTGAGTAAAATTCAACGTAGAAGCAAGCGTACAATAGTACTTATCCTTCTTGCTCTCCGAGTCTGACGAAGCAGGAAAAGAACCTTGAGGGAAATTTATAATAACGGGTTTAGATGACGCCTTGCCGACGGGTGCCGCATGATATCATTTCGGACCATCGGTCTAGACTAAGAGCTACTACGATTGGATTATTCGTCGCTGCATCTGCATTGCTCAGGCAATTATCGACTAGCGACTCTCGTCAGTGGCGTGAAGAGGTCACTAGATGGGACACCGAGATTCTCGATAAGAGACTCAATCTAATCAAAAAAAGGCCCGTTAATATCCGCAGGTGGCTGTGATGCAGCGGGGAGAAAGGGGCCAAAGATAACAAAAAATCTGCAAAGCGCTAGTACTTGAAGTTGAATTGAAGACGCCAGAAACTATGGGAGATGACACAGACTTATCATCGATAGCTTACCTTCATGGCACTCAATTATTTTATCAGCCCAATCCAAGTTCTTCATTGTTCTCTATGTTGAACTTTTGGACTCCCAACGTGACAGCGAATTTGAGGCTCGCTTACCTGTGGCGAGAACTGATGCAATGCGTCGGTAGTGGTGCTTTGTCTAACCGAAATTAAAGAAACAATGGTAGTCCATTGAGCTTTCGTGTCACAGAATGGCAATTTTTTGGGGGGCATGTGCCAGTCTAGAACAAGGGTGGGAGTAGGAGTAACGTCGTATGTGGAATCTCGAACTGCGTCCCTTTACTGGAAATAGAATGGAAGGATTTTACAGCACATGAAGCTTTTACGGCGTTCATTGCATAAATGGTACCTACAACGCGGCCCCGTTTCAAACTTCCAATCCAAGGACAAGGTGCCCTGAGAATCTTGACGTCCTAGGAGTAAGTTTGAGTGTCGTCACAGAGGATAATATGACATGATGTACATGTGGCGGAGGTTACTGATCCACCAATTTTGTCAGTCTTTCCGCTGAACCCCAAGTGCCATGATACTGCAAAAGCACAGCAATTAGCATGTCTAAGCCAAAAAAGGTTCAGATGGTGAGATATAGACGGGGAGAAGAGGTCCGGTATCATTGATCATTCAGACTTCCATAGTCCGGTTCCGCTCAGTTCCGACAATCGTAGGTCTCCACCAAGTTAAAGCAACTCGAAGGGCTCTTTCTCGTAACGGCGTGGAGAAACCAGTGCAAGAAGTCACTTGAGCGAACGGGTCATTCAAAAAACTTGGAGCCTGCTGTTACAGATGACGTACTGGGAAAATCCTTAGCGCTAAGGTACAGACGCAACACATACAACTCACAAAAGGATGTTCTCAAACTTCCAATGGCAGATGATCCACAGCTATTTGAATCCACACAGCATTTAAAACAGCAGAAACTCCGACCAAATCAATTGGAGTCCTCGGCGTCTCAATGTAAGCAATGGTATCGTTGGGCCTCGTTTTATCAGCAAGTAATCACTCCGCCAATCTCGCAGAGACCAGCAACGAGGCGTTTTGCACATCATCTGACGATAAGTCAGAAATAGGACAAAGGGACCGACTGAAGGGATTAATGATGAATGAAGGGGGCAGCGGCGCCTGGTGAGCTTCGCGCGAGATGGTTTCAGCCAAAGTTCCGAGAGAGATAAGTAGCACGCCGGGCGAGTACGCTATCGGGGAGATACGCGTATACGTAAAACGAGGCCGACTCAGACGCGAAGTCGCCTGGAAAAGTAGGTGGGTCCGGGACCAAGCTCTCCACTAACGACAGTGGGTGTCCGGGTACACGGAAGATAGTGTTTTCCAGTCAAGCGAGAGGAAGAAGAGAATCTGATGAGCTGAATCGTATCCAAAATCCAATGGGGTAGTTTAAAAAACGCAAATGTATACTGGATGATCGATTGGTCCGGAACTATCTGGAGGCTCCAAGTTCGTCCGACAACTGGAACACACGGCAAGTAACTGTGATGGCGAAATGGAACGAGGTAACAAACTGAAAGGGAGTCAAAGAAAGTAAAGGCAACCCGGTCAAATAGAGGTGAATACAGGGAGCGGAAGAAAGAGACGACGTTAACAAAGGAATGGTTTTATTTAAATGACCCACGTGTTCAGGGAGCAGCCATGAGACATCTGGGAGAAGCAGGAAGCGAATCCAACGATGGACTGAGCATATTTAATGACGCATCTGCAGGAGGAAAGGACAATGGGCTTTGGCAACGGAACGCTTCGCAGGGATATCCAAGTTGGTCGATTGCTTTGAGAGCTTAATTGAGGTAATGTGAAAGAAAGTCGAATACGTCTACGCTAATTGTGCTTGGAACTGTAGGCTAATTGAGGCTAATTGTTCAAGTGTCGAAGAGAGGATTTGGTAAATGGCGGTTATTGTGTCAAGAGGCCAAATGAGGCGAGTGAGAAAAAGATTGTTTTTTGTCTTTGTGTGTATGTCGTGATGCTTCGAACGGGCTGTATTGTCTTAGCATTCTGGAAGCATCTGCACTTACCGGTCTGTATCAGCGCGTATCTCCAATGTCTCAAAACAACAAAAAGAATTTCAGCCCCGGCCACCCTTTTGGTTACTTTTTTGTTCTACCCCTCCAACTATCCTCCCAACTTGGGACACTAGTATCCCCTCTGCCTATATAATCTCCAGCTCCAGCCATGGTTTTCAGTGAGTCACATACTCAGTCGTACCAGTCGCCTTCTTAGCCATGCCTCACTACTCTCAGCCCGCTGCTGCCAACTACAACACCCCCCCTACCCACCACCACAAGGCCCGTGGCTGTCGTATGTGTGACCAGTGTCGTGCTGTCGAGTCCCCTGTTGGTCCCAAGTTTCGGCTATGTGGAGGCTGCGTATGTCCTCTGTCTTTCTCCGCATGTTTCCTGCTGACCCTGTCATTCACACTTTAGCTCGTAACACAATACTGCGTATGTCTCTGCCTAATCTCGGAACATAAACATCATGCTGAACGTCTCCTCCTAGTCTCCGGAATGTCAGAAGGTCCACTGGCCGACCCACAAACCCATCTGTCAGCACACCGCTGGCCAGATATCATCCACGAAGCAGGCCGCTGCCGTATACGGCGAGGAAAACATCGCTCGCAACTTGCGCAAGTTTACTTCCGCACATAGTGCTTTGCTAGGATGGGCTGGGTTCCAAGCGCTTCAGCTGAAGCGGCTCCCATCCAACATCCGACAAAACTGCCTCCTACTCGAACTTTCCCCCCGGAGCCACAGCGACTCTCATCGTCGGTAAGTCATCCTTATCTTCTCCATCCCGTCGGACCAAGGTTAATTGTTCACCTTTGATGCTAGGTTCTCCGTTTCCAACGCTCACATTGTCCCACGGTCGTATATCCGCGACCCCCTCGTGATATCCGATATCCAGCGACGGGAAGATCGCTGTCGTCACGGCGGGGGTATTGGCTGCCTTGTGGTTATCATTCAATGCGGCAGTGTCAGTCAAGTGATGCCTGTTGAGGTCGACCCTCCTTCAAAAATATCCTGGGATACGCGAGGGGACTGGTTGGACACAGTCAACCACTTTGTCGAGTCGGGTAGGACAGATTTCCAGCCGATATCAACAACATCCCGAGGGTGAGCTTCATTTCTGCTGCCGTCCTTGATGCGAAATTTATCAATAATGCAGGGTGTACTATGGTTGAGCGACCTCTTTCGCAACTTTCGTTTCGTTTTCGGCGTCTAGATCTACCACAGCGCCTTTGCCATGTCACATGTGCCCATCGACGCATTTGCCTTGTATTATCATCATGACATTGGCGATTACCTTTTACCTGGGCCTTGTTTATTTCGTTTGCATGTATACCCCCCGTCATACCTCGCTTTCGTATTCACACTGTACTACTGTTGTCTTATTAGTCCTGCTTTAAATCATGATTCACAGAGTTCGCATAGATCTGATAGGTATCATGATAAGTCTATGATAAGAGGTGTTCGTGCCATGTTGCGGTGAAGTTTACTCGACAGTATTGGTAGCGAGACAAAAAAAAAAAAAAAAAAAAAATTGCTCTTTTGCCGATGGCACATAAAGTTCGCTTAGTCAGCTTTGTCACTACGCGTTACGGTTGGCCAAAACATCGACGACCACGAGTAGAGTTTGATCCATGTCGTCCAGAACACAAGTGCGGTCCTCCACTTCTGCACCAAATGACGGGTCACGGACTATCACCGTCACCAATGCGCCGCCCAGCGAAGCCTCGTCGAGCGCACCCAACGTTGGTTCCCTCCGTCTCAGGGGTGCACGTCGCAAACCCAGGGTTGCATGGAGCGAGGATGTAGTCGATAACGAAGGCTGTGGGAAGAAGAAGAGCAAGAGTGTGTCTGTCGCTGACTTTCTATTACTCTGGTGTCTGACCTGCATCCAGTCTGCTGCATATACCACAAACCGAGACGGTTCGACGAGTCGTCGGATGAAGATTCGTCGTCGGATGACAGCGATTCTGACGAAGGCTGTTCATGTGGAGACCTTAACCATTCACACAGAGGAAAGAGCAGGAAAACTGACATGGACCACCCAGAGTCGAATGCCTACGAATCTGTGCCAAGCAATCCATCGAAAGACAAAGGAAGGGTAGACAACTGAGCAGAGGCTTATGGAGTTTGTTAGAGATAACAGTTGCACTTTATATATACCATTGTACATTAATCCCATTTCAAGTTGGCGAAGGTGCTTGTCCCACGACGATGTAACGAGTATCTCATAGCATGGTGCATAATACATAACGAGACCTATCGAACTACCCCCGTGACTACTTAAGGGGCTTGTAAGGTGGTGAGGAAGGCCTCCCCAGCAGCAGTCCCTTTGGGCTTCTTGACTCCCTTTTTCTTCAGGCGCTCCTGCTTAACTGGAACCCAAATCAATAAGAAATGGTGCAAACATGAAAGGCACCACTTACGGAGCTCCTGTCTGCGAAGAGACTTGGCATAAGGGTTCAGACGGAAGAGTACAGCCTTATTGACGAGAGGGTTCTTCTTCTGCGTCCAGGGGCGCTTCTGGATCTTCTGGCCGGCGGGTCGAACAACAGATTGGATCTCATCGCTGTTGATAAGGCGGGTAACGTCGGGGTTGGTGATCTTGGCAGTAGGGAGGCTACAGTTGCATAATGAGAATAATGAACGACTGAGATATAAATTTTAAACTAACAAGTAATCTTTTTTGAAGACGGAAGCCTTGTCAAAGGTTCCGAAAACCTCGTCAAGGAGACCGAATGCACCTTCAGTCCAGATGACGAAACGGCCAAGATGACCGCCGGGAGCGAGTTGCAGTAGATTTAGGCGCCTGACATTGACAAGTTCGACACCAGGAAGGTTACGGAATGCCCTGACGATACCGTTGTCCTCATTGTACACAACCAAAGGACCACGACGCTGCCGGTGCCTGCGGTTCCTCATTTTGCCCTTACCAGCCCGAAGTTTGCGCGAGTTGGAGACCTTGACCACGTCACGGTAGGCATGGAGAGATTGGAGAAGGGCAACAGCCTCCTTGGTCTTCTTGAACGACTCGGCGGCAGACGACACGACGAGGGGCACTTCTTCAATCTCCTCGATACGATGACCACGAGCGAGGACGAGGGAAGGAAGAGCAGAAGCGGCCAAAGCGGAAACCACAGCAAAGCGGCGCTGGTTCTGGTTGACTTTGACGTGCCATTTGCGCCAGGTCTTGGTGGGCGCAAACATACGACCTCCACGGCACATGTTACCGAAGGCGGCCTAAAGCGACGGTAAATATACTGGGAAAAAAACAGGAAAAAAAGGTGGAAACTCACCTGTCCAGAACGGTGGGTTCCCCCACCACCAACACGGGGGATACGGGCTACAGCTCGTCCAGTACCCCAAGACTCCGCACTAGTTTGGTGTCCAGCCTTTTCGCTGACGGCGTACGCCTGCCTTTTGTTCTTGGCGATGCTCTCTGCAATCAACCACATCAGAAACCTGCTTCTGTATGATTAATACGGTTACTTACTGTGCACCTGAGCGACGACATCGAGCCTGATGGGCGCGGTCAAAACCGCAGGGAGAGGAAGAGAAGTGGAGGCCTCTGAAAAACGACATTCAGCATTACAACCGACAACAGCAGTAACAACGCGACAGACCTCCGGAAGGAGAGCGCACATTGACAGTGGGTCTCGAGGCCATGTCTTGAGTCTTGAGGTCTTGATATTGTTGCCAATAATTTTGGCCAACCTTCACTAGGTCCAGATTTAGGGTTTTGCCGAGAAACTATACAGCTGGCTGGTGACTAACAAGAGCAAATCGCATCATTCCTTTTTTGGACTGATCCATGATACGATTTTCCTTGGCCTTTTTGACATACTCCTCACTGTTCTCTACAATAATATAGTATTGTCACGGTCGTGGTCTGCATGCGTGCATGCTATAAATGTCATCATGGGTCCACAATAGTTGGGCCATCTGTAGGCGGACGCGTAAATACTATACGGCTTAGTTTGCGTTTCAATGAGGATAATAATGTGGTCGTAGTCACCTTGAGATACAAGAGTACTTTTTTTCTATTCGAACGTCAAACGTTCTGATGAATTAGTACCATAGGAAAGCGTTCTAGGTTGGATGAGGATGTGGTCATCACCAAGACTCGACCGTAAATCTGGACACAACCTCAAGAACGGGGAGAATTGCCATCTAGATTCCGCAAGTATTACCGCTCTATAGCAGAGGCAATGGTGCTTGCCTCTGCACGGACAGGTGTGTGTTGTTAACGACACTCATGCATTTTATAGTAGGCCCAGCGAGAATTATCTAGGATCACTATCAAGTTGGTGTACTACTGAAGCTCCAACCGAAAAACTACGTTTCCAAGTTCTCAAAATATGCACTGCGGGCGGGCTCCGCGATCTGTATCCGTTTGTACGATCGTTACAAATATCATATGATCTCTTCTTATCTGTATCGTATTTGTCAATGCAATGATAACGTAAACCATGCGACCTCGAAGAGAGGATGCAATGAAAGAGAATTGAAAAGGTATGAAAGCTTGACCGAATATTACGTCGTTGCAACTTACTAGCATGTTAGCATCAAATCCATATGTCGTAAAATATAGATCTCGCAAGATGGGTATCATCAGTCAGATACAGGTGACGCCAGTTACGTTGAGCGGATGTATTTATGGACGCACCTCGAGGTGATGCGTGGTGGAGCGTGGGAGAGGTGAGATGAATTGATTAAAAAGGGATGGTTTGCGCTATAAAGAGTAGGAGATTGATCTAAGACTTTGGAGGATAGCCGAAGTTATTTTGGCAGATTCATATTGAACGGAAGGCATGGCAGTCGTGTGGGGAATATAATGATCGATCGAGAAATACATATCAGGAGCTGATATAAGTAAGCCTGCTGACATACACAATTTGATGGTTTATGGAATTCATATCTGCTTCTTTTCTCACGTTTGGCTGTTGAATCTAATTTATCCTTCATCGACAACAGCGACGAGGAGCTGCTCAGCCTGTCGTCAACAACTCCTTCATCACCGTTTCTCACGACGACGACCACCTTTCCTCGATGACAGCAGCTCATGGTCTGGATTACTCTGATTCTTTCCTCATGAGTCTCCCGACCGTGCCTGCGCCGGTCCCCTGCTCTTCTCCCGTCCCTCTCTTGACCCCTGAGCAGCTCAGCGACCTTCACCACAGCCATCTCGTGTCTCATGCGCCAGACCATGTTCTTTTTCCCTTTCTACACGGCCTCGAAGGCTCCAATGCTGCTCAGAACATGTTCTTCTCGTCCATTGACGACGTGCCAAGGTATCGTGGTCTCATGACCGTCGTCTGCGACGACGACCTGGACGGGCTCTTCATGTCGGCGGATGAGGATACCGATGACGACAATGATGACCTTGATACATCATCAGACGAGCTCGATGATATGGATTTAGATACCGACATAGACGTTGAGATGTCCAACGGGATGGACGGCGTTGCTGTGCATGCCGAGGACGAAGTAATGGAGATTGTTGGCATTGGCAATCCTGATGAGAAGGAGGACAAAAGTCAGCACCAGCATATGCACCCTGTAGTCATGAAGCCTCCGCCGCCTCTCAAATCGTCTCCTGATTCTCCCATCTCTGATTTGTATGTTCTAGTTCGCTTTTTGTCTGTTGTGCTTTTATATTGATAGTGGTCACAAGGCCATCACCCCACCGAAGTCATGGACGCAAAGCGCCCCCTGTTCTGACATCGACTTTTCGACCTGCGGAGCTTATCGCGCCCGTTCTGTCAGAATCAAGCACCGAAGAATGGCAGTTCCAACAGCTTTGCGTTCCAGAAGGCATATCTTTGAGGAACTTCGGCATTCAAGTCGTACGTGACCCTGTCTTCTCCGGAGTTTGGGTGCTGATGGAATCCCTCACCTGCAGCCAATCTTGGCCACTCTGTCTGATGTCGTGATCTACTCCCCAATTTCCGGTGGTGCTAAGAACTCGGAGAACGCCAAAAGGCTAGCGGAACGGTTCAGGTCTGCCATTGCCCGTAAAAAGGTGGAGAGAGCGGGGAAGCTTCGATTCGATTCGAAACCGAGACGCGGTCAAGACTCCAGTGATTCTCCTGCTGCCCGCTTGTTAGACTACAATGTTTTTCTTCTTGACGCCACACTTGAAGATTTCACCAAGTCGAACTCGGCATTGACACACCTTGTCCGACGATGCGATAGTCGGCGTCGGTGGTTTGAAGAATGCCCCTCCGAAATACCCTCTACTTTGCAACCCAATACTATCAACTTCGCTGTTCGTGAGAAGGAAGAAATGCGAGACCTCACAACAGCAAGCGAGATACTATGGATTGGTGTTCATCCATGCGCCGACTCTATACCGGAGCACCAGGTTCAGCAAGATGAAACTAAGACTACCGGTGAGGCTCAACGAGGGAAGGTCAGAGGACAAGTATTTCTCGGGAACTCTAATGACGTGCCGACACCCGTTGGAGGAGGTGATGGAGACGAGTATGATGTCGACTACGGCTTTGGAGGTAGTGAGGAGAAAGCGCACTCTCGCACCAATCCACCTGGATATGACATTTGCATCGAATGCCATGATCTTGCACCATTCCCCAGCCCTGCTCATCTTCGAGCGGCGGAAGACAAACTCCACGGATTGGAAGCGCGCTGGCGACAGAAGGTCCTTGAACATAATCCCCCCTTAGATGATGATTCCGAAATTCCTCCTCGTCCACCCCCACATGCTAATTCCATAATTCACCTTCCATTTCCTTCCTCGCCTTCCAATACCGCCTCTATGAAAGCGCTGGTCCGGTTCCTTGACAAATGGCTTACACCTGTTTCGCCGAAAGACGGAGCATCCAAGGACAAGGGCAAAACACCTGGGACGAGAGAAGCTGATGGCAGGCGTTGGTCTTTGCTGTCATCCGCACCGTCATTTCCTCTATTCCACCCACCCGCGCCGGCTCCTGCCTCTGTTTCCAACAATGTCCGTATTAGGTCATTCACATCTCCGTCACCATCAACAGCGCACAATTGCTCTACTCCTACCCGTCATCCCTCTCGACCTTTGAAGATTCTCATCTATTCATCTGATGGATACACTGAATCGTCTGTTCTCGCTTTATGTTTGCTCATATCTCTGAAGAACCTGTCGCTCCCTGAAGCGTATCTAGAGCTTCAGGTCTCCAAGGAGCGGAGCTTCTTTGTCTATGGAGCAGACCTGGGAATCTTGAGAAGATGGGAAATGGAGGAGCGTGGCAAAGAAAGGGATCGAGGTGTGCGTGGAGTGAAATACTTCTCTAATCACCGCGAACATCTGTCCATTAGTGAGGGCCATGTGGGCGCTGGTGTGAATCCATATGTTGCTGGATGGGGAATTACCGATCAGCGCGAAACACCATCTCCGACGGCAGTTCCGTCGCAACGTGGTGCTATCTCTTCCAGTGCGCCCAAAGATCTTGATATCCACGATCCAAATATTAAGATTGGCCCGGGACGGCGCCCCCGGGCCAGTACATTGCCTGCCTCCTCACTGCTGGGTTGGGATCACCAGACTTGGTTCGATGACCCAAGATTTGACGGAAGTTTTCCTAGCAGAGTGCTGCCTTTCTTGTACTTGGGAAATCTGTAAGTATCTGTGCTTTCTCTGGTGAGCGTGTTTCTGATGCTAGGGTCCAGAAATCATGCCTCGAATGTTTACATGCTTCATGCACTGGGTATAACCCACGTTGTGTCTGTTGGCGAGTGTGCTCTAATTCCACCTCCTAATGTACATCATCTTGATGGCGAACATGTTCTTGATCCTGAGAACGATTATCCTTTAACAACACATTTTATAAATTCGCCCTCGCAGGTTCCAGGACAATTCATACCAGGGAAAGGCTTCGGGAAGCATGGTTCTCTCTGGATCGAAGAACGTGCGGGACGCATCAAGGTCTTGGACATCCAAGGTGTATGTGATGATGGGATAGACACCCTTGAACCGCAACTGGAGCCCATATGCCAGTGGATCGATACCGCTAGGAGAGAAGGCGGCAAAGTGCTAGTACATTGCCGTGTCGGTGTCTCTCGGAGTGCTACTGTAACCGTGAGTGCTGCGGAACATGCCTGGCTGTGTTGTAATACATTATCCGATAGATTGCCTTTGTGATGAAGCACCTTCAGATATCTCTGGTTGAAGCATACCTCATCGTGCGGTCCCGACGTTTGTCCGTACTTATCCAACCGAACATGAGGTTGCTGTATAACTTGTGCGGATGGGAGGTGAAGCTCGCTAAACAACGCGCAGGCGACGACAGGGACAAGTTGAAGAAAGAGCTTTCCAGAGCACTATCCTGGCCATATCTCGCTAGGGAGGTACACCGACTGAATGAAAAGTACCTTCACTGAGCCGCTCCCGTCCGCCATTCCTCTCATCACCGTCCTTTTCACTCCTTGTCTCTTCGCTGTTTCATGACTGGTTCTCTTGGTGCTGTTATGTTAACATCTGTATTTGTATCATTACCAAATCTGTCACTTGAACTTCTTTCCTGATTGTCTTCATACTTGTCGTCTGTATACATAGAGCCTTTGTAGTCCTTTTCCATCTTCATTAATTATGGTAAGCTGATGCTGCGTCTCACCATTTCCTCGGTGCGCTGAATAGCTTTGTACATAATCTTAATCTACGACATCGTCACACTCACACATCGTCTTCCCGGCTTTCCTCGATCTTCCCCAACTTGTTTTTCTCCGACAGCGTGGAGTCACGTTTGCGACGTCGCGTTATGACCCGGTCCTTGATGGAGGAGCCTAGCTCTTCCTGGATGAAAAAGTCAACTGGAACCAAGCCAGACATCCCCCAATCTATGCGTATCTTCGTGGATGCGCTACTCGAAATATATCGCATTGAATAGAGTGAATTGTATCGACTCATCCATTGGTCGCAACACCAGCAGCATTCCTCGCTACAACCAATGGCGCATCGGCCTGGGGCCATCAGACCTCGCTCATGAAAATACCTGAGGACAGCAATCTTTGCGTGGATACGAGTGCGGCAAGCGGCCTGCCAATTACGTTCAAACGAAGGAAACTGGGTAACGATACTTTGCTGCCTCCCTGCATCAAAATTAAATCCCAAACGCTTTAAGGCTATCCATGGTGTCATAGCCATCTCGACGGACCGTTCAGCGGCTGCGCTGGGACTCGCAACCCATCTGACTGGTATATTACCATCGGGGAAGACTTGCCTACTTCGACGAATCAGCGTGTTCACGCCACCGACATATTGTTTGATCCTCTCCAAACACCTCCTCAGCTCATCAGCAGCCTTGGTTTTCTCCGAAAACACGTCGTCGGTCTGGACCGATATGAAACGCGAGGAGGCAATGATAACGCTCAAGACATGAAGTCGGGTATAATTAGCATGAGAAAGTACTGGAAAATCACGATGAAAGGGAGAAGACGCGACTTTCTCGATGTCGGCGAAGAGCATGTGAAAAGTATCTGCGAATTCACGGTCATCGTGATTTGGGTGTAGAAGGTGGAAATGAGGGAACTCCTCCTTGAAGGACAGTGGTTGATACGAGTTAAGTAGCGCAGTATGGTGACAAAGATACCGACGGGCCGCTTCATAGAGGTTTTGCATGCGTATTTTCATGCTCATAAAGCAACGGGCAAAAAGGACAGGAAACACCTGGCGGAAATCGCGCGTATCGGGGCTGGTAAACGCGTCGAGAAACAACGAGACAAAATTCTTGTCTTCTTCTGTAATAGCACCAGTTTTGGACAGAATAATGGTGGGCGGAATTGTGGTTGGATCGAGTGATGCAGCGAATAATTCGCCTTCGAAGCCAGTGGCGATGCAACTCGCGATCACGTCAAGGGCACGCAATGTTTCTTTCGTATCTTCATCTGCTCCAAAATCGGAAGGATGTGAATGATCAGAGAATTGTAGAAGGTGCAACAGCTGCAGTCGCTCGTTAAAAGTTACCTGTTCGATGTTCATGTACAAAAGCGGACTGCACTGCCTCGGTAATTTTTTTTCCAAATTTATTCTCACGGGACTGCCAAGTTTGCTCTGGTTCAACATGTGACATATTTTGGACAATTCATTTTGGACAACTTACTAGCGTGCTAAACCCTGGCAAAACAAGTCTGAACTCATCGGTCCCTCATTTGTTTTGGATATATCCATAACTATTTATTCAGTAGTATATGTTCTACCTGAAACATGGCCGTCAAGGTTCATCGATGGATCACTACCAGTGCTAATGTGCTCTGGCTATGTGACATCAAATTTACCAACAGACGACACTAACTTTCCTGGCTTTTCATTCTGGTTTTGTCAGCTCTTGGCTCTCTCGCTAAAGACATGTCTTGCTTATATGATCTCGCTTGGATCACTGCCTTGTGCGTCTGAACACATTACCATTCAGCAAAAACCGGACCAGCAGTCACATATAAAAGGCGAGGCTGTATTCTTTATTTTTCTATCCTTACCCTTGGACACTTGTGTTTGAGATGTTGTCCTCCGCCTTCCTTACGATCGCTTTGGCTGTTGCAGCTTTTGCACATCCTGCGAGACAACTCTCTGCAAAGGTAATCACCTCTTGTTCAGTTCCGAATACGGCGGCCCTCACATTTGTATGTTGAACTTCTTCATACTAAGCATTACTGACTGACCATGCTGCTTAGGACGATGGACCTTGGAAATATTCGTGCGTCGTATTTGACCTCCAATGCCAACAGCATTTACTTGGGTTTTTAGGGAACAAATTGTCGATACCCTTGATGCAAGAGGAATCAAAGCCACCTTCTTTGTTAGTACGTAGACACTTAGCCCCTAGCCCCCTATGGTTCGAATCTAACCAGCACCGTCGTTCAGATGGAGATAACTGTGAGTCTCGCTTGCTTGGAGCGTGGTATTTCCAGGAAAGACTCATGCACTTACCTTGCAGACGGTTGTATATATGGCGACGCTCAAGCACAAGCGCTTAAGAATGCATACTCTAAGGGTCATCAGATTGCTTCGTGAGGCGTGATTTACTCTTCGAGTGCAGGCTTAATCAACACTTGGATACAGTCACACTTGGGCGCATAAAGACTTAGCTACCCTATCTCGCGACGAAGGTATGTAGCTCACGCCATTATCAATCACATTTATGACTTTTTTTCTGGTGTCAGTCGATAGTGAATTCACCGGCGTCGATAGTATGTTTGTCGTGAACCGATAACAGATTATCAACTCAATTGCTAATGCAGAGGCTCTGGAGTCAATACTCGGAGTCAAGGTCGCATTTGTGAGACCTCCATTCGGTAGCTACTCAGCCGACGTGTTGCAGGTCGCTGCTGAGCACGGTCAAAACGTGATTATTTGGGATTTCGAGTACGTTCCCCTTCATCTTTTCGACGAGTCTATTCTAACGTTTCTAGTTCTGGCGATGGTAGCGGGGTATCTCCTGCCCGTAGCAAATCAAGATACGACAAACTTGTGGCGTCACATCCTAACACTATTTTAGCCCTGAATCATGAAACTTACGGTCAGTGGATGAGGTTACTTTTCCAAATCCTATCTCACTCCATCGGACGTTTGATATAACTAGTGACTACTGCGTGAGTGATCATTCTTACCACTGTATCAGCAATATCGACGCATCTGCAGGACCACCGTTCTCCCACATGCCATTGAGGAGTTGCAAGATGCAGGCTATGAACTCGTCACCGTTGCTGACTGTCTTGGCCTGTCTCCATACTTGAGCGTCGGAAACGCTGGTACCAATGATGTATGTCTTTGATCTGGATCGTTCTCAGTTGACTGCTAATTCTTGGCGGAAAGGATTCATGGACCTGTTGAACGGCAATCATTGGACGTGCTTTCTACACGGACTTACGGACAGTTGTTATATCATCTGCTTATTTAGCACCCTCTGCGTTGCAGACACCATGTAACAAGACAACAATTAAAGGAAAAGTGAATTTGTAAGGTAGCAGGGGCCGCGGGCGATCGAAACTGACATGTGAGGCGTTCAGTACACACTTGTCAATAATCGTCCTTCTTTCCTAAATTCCATCATGTATTCGCAAGATGACGAATTCTTGTGTTCCCTGCGCACGCCTTCTTGTGCCATCATCGCGTTTTGTTGCATATTCCGCCTTAGACCCATCTTTCAGCCCGCGGAAAGATAACAGAAAATAGACCAGATGGCAACAAGACGGATGCTGTCCCTCTCTTCGATCTCTCGCGTTACATTTCTCGTCTCTAGAACAACAGGTACAAGGCGCGCAGGCCTAGTAATATGATTTATGTTTCAAACAGCGCAGATTTGCCAGAGAAACATACACTTTCACCTTAATGACCTTACTGCGTCCATATGGTTAGGAGCCAACTGATATAAAGGGTCAAAGGGACCTGACGTATAAAATCAACGTCTGAAGAACGTAGCTCTGAATCACGATCGTCATGGCTCCTGAATCGTTGAATGCCAAGAAGCGATCTCTTCGCAGCTACATCTGGTGTGTTATTGTGTTTCTTAATGTGGACACCTATTGACCTGCCGATCTATAGGGACACCTGGGACAAGTCGCCAGAAGAGCGAAAGTTTCTCGGCAAACTTGACGCTTGCTTGCTAACCTACGCAGCACTGTCGTATTTCAGCAAATAAGTCTCCCCTTCAAAGCCCGCCTTCGTATACTCACCTCCTGCGTCAGCACGTATTTAGATCAACAAAATGTCACAGTACGTATCTCACGAATTCATGGTAGTAAATTATGCTGATGCGTGAATAAGAATGCCGTGGGTTTGCTTCTATTACTTGCATACTTGGGCAGAAATTCATCTGACTTTTTTGTCAAAGTACGTATCTGGAATGAAAGAAGAGTATGTTCCTTGTTCCGTTGTTGGAGCGCTGATATCTCATACTTCTGTAGTTTGAATTTGTAGGTTCTCACACGCACGTTAAATGACTCGGCTTTAATTATATCTAGGCATGGAAATGAATATAACTACATCACGACGGCTTGGACTTGTGGATATGTTATTGGACAAATTCCTTCCAAGTGCGTGTCAAGTTGTTTTATTTACTGTCAGATGAACTTAATACAGATCACAGTCTCCTGATAACCAGAATCAGGCCTTCACTGTGGGTGCGTGTCCTTCGCCTTTGTGCTCGTACTTTCTATAGACTTTGTCAGATTCCCACCATGGAGATTATCTGGAGTATTCTCACAATGCTCTTGTCAACGTCCAAGAACTTTTCCCATATATGTGCTTTACGATTTTTCGTCGGTGAGGGTACACATTCACCGGTTGAGTGCGAAGATTAAACTCCAGGAAGGATTGGCCGAGTCGACCTTCTATCCTGCCATACAGTACGTCATTGGCAGTTGGTACAGACCCGAGGAGTTGGCGAAACGTGCTTGTATTTTTCATGTATGGTCTTCATCTCGAGATTGGGTGGGTTTGTTGATTCCACACCTTACTAGACCGCCAGTGCGATTGGGCCAATGTTTAGTGGTTTCTTACAGACGGCATAGTCATTTCTAGAGATGTCGTTTATACTTTCACTCAACTGTCACAGGCGGCCTACAATGGCTTGAACGGAGTTCACGGTCTTGCGGGCTGGAGATGTGAGTCAACAGGTTTCCGAGTTGTCGACGCGACTGAATCTAGTAGGGCTTTTTATCATCGACGGCATTATCACGATTCCCATCGCACTACTTGGATACTTGATAATGCCCGGTATGTCACCGAGACCTTTCAGTCGTATTTTTGTTCTCTAACACATCGTGCAGATCTTCCGCATAACACTAAGCCGTCCATCTTTTACACCGAACACCAATTGCTTTTGGCTCGGAAGCGCATGGACGAAATTGGAAGGAAGCCCCCCACCAAGTTCACCAAGACGAAGGTAAGTTCATTCTGTATCGCCTTGGCTCACTTCTAAGGTTCAATCCAGGTCTTGGGCTTTTTTAAGACCTGGCACCTTTACACACTGGTGCCTCGTAAGTACCATCACCTCAGGAATTTTACGAGCAGCTGAAGTGATCGATTTATAGTCTACGTTCTTGTCAGTGGCATCATCTCTCTTTCTATCTCACTGATTTCGATCTAGTTCAATAACGGCAACGGCCCTACAAATTCTATGATCTTCTGGTTCAAAAGCTTCAACACTACAAGTCATACAAAATATACTGTTGGCCAAATAAACTGTTATCCTCTCGGTATTAATGTCGTGCAAGTCATCACAAGTACGCCCTCAAACATCGTAGAGTCCTCCGACTCTCGTTTGACCGCAAACTTGAATTTTAGCTTTGGTATATGCATGGTGGTCGGACGCCATCGAGAAACGATGGCCTCCAATGCTTTTTGCTGGGGTAAAGAAACCCATTACTTAATAGTATGATCTCATGCTGGCTCATAGACTTGGAACATCATAGTCTGTATCGTTCTTGCAGCGACACCCCTTTACACTCACATCGCTAGGCGCTGGGCCTTCTATTACATGGTACGTTTGGTCCTGCTATCCAGAATGACTCCTGCTAGACACGTTGTAGACCTCCGTCGGCGGCGGATTGTCCGGTCTCATACTTGCTTGGGCCAATGAGCTTACCAGTAGCGATAACGAAAGTACGTTCTTAGGATCGATCTGACTGTAACCAATCATATTTAAGCTGCTTCGAAGAGAGATCGTTTGTTGTCGCTTGCTGCAACACCTTTGCATATACAGTCCAGGTACGTTGGTTTGTTTCTATCATTATGCTAATTAACAGTCTGCTCCAGGCTTGGCTCCCGATGTGATTCCCGTCTTTTCAATTCCTCTCATGTATCTGACATCTGCTTAGATTGATATTCCCACAAGTGGAGCAGCCTCGGTATGTCCAAACGTCTGGACCTTGTGTTGCCATCTGATGTTGTGGTAGCGTCTTCAAGGGTAATGTAACAACTGCTTGTATTAGCTTCGGCATGAGTAAGCTTCGAGACATACACATACACCATTCTCATAATTCTGATGCGGTTTCGCAGTCTGTGCGGCATTGGCGACTCTGTACTTCCAAAACCGCGATGCTAAACGAGCTCGTCAGGGGATGGAAGAAGGTAGCACCAGTGACATCGGACGTTCAAATTCATTGACTTCACAAGTGGAGAAGGATAATGACGATGAATGAAGGAATTGCCGTTCGTGGGTTATGCAAGCGTAGACCACTATGCTCACTTTGGACACAAATTCAAATCCTAATGTCTTGAGAGGATGCGAATATAGAAAAGTGATATTCCAGCGATGTTGGCCATGGGCAATTTCGGTTCTAAGATCCCGATAACACTTGTATCACCCAACATCGGACACATAGGCAGATAGGACCATGCCGGTTCATGATGAGGTGATTGTCCAGCTGAATCACCTCACTGATATGCACTCGGAGACTTGATCACTTTGCCGGAAACCCGCAGGACTTGTTCGATATAAATGCCTGTCCTTATTACTGCGCATCTTACTTATCTCGCGATGCCAGTTGCCACACCTCAGCTAGGATCCTTTCAGTATGTCGCCGAGACGGAGGTTCGACAAGTGCGCTTTTGCCGAACAGTTTTCTTTTAACAGTGCTATTACAGGAAGACTTGGATTGGGCAGAGCTCGTCACCATCGACTTGAGCCTGTATCACACACCTGAGGGTCGGAAGGGGCTTTCAAAGACCCTCATTGACGCTGTCCGTGAGAAGGGATTTTTCTATGTCAAGAACTTCGGTATCTCCCAGCAGCGCGTAGACAGGCAGTTTGCCCTTGGAAAACGCTTCTATGATCTCCCACTGGAGGAGAAATCACAATATACACCTGCAGGATTAGGTTAGACCACAATATACATAGCGATACCGTGGCTAATAATCTTCATCTCATAGACAAGGGTCAATTCAATGGTTACGTACCGGCAGGTCGCAGGATGTTTGTCTTAGTCTGTGCGACACTCAAAAACTTGGCCTGATGTCCTACCTACAGTATTGACCCTGAAACCGGGTTGAAAGACCACACGGAGATCTATAATATTCCTAGTACGATTTCACCTACTCGTACTATAGGTTGCCCTAACTTGAAGCTTTTCCTACGCTGCAGAGTTCAATGGCTACTTCTCTCAGATACACCCCCCGGCTGTGGCAGACCACATCAAGGAAGTTGAGGAATTCGCAAGGGTCAGACTTAACGAACTTCATCATTGTTCCTTTTAAACTCACACATCTTTTCAGTCCTTGCACACCGATGTCTTGGACCCTCTATACGTGCTTTTGGCGATTGCATTAGAACTTCCCGAGGATTACTTTACCAAAATACATCGATACGAAGCTAAGAGCGAGGTGCGGCTTCTGAAATAAACTGTCTGCGTGTCTACTACGGTGCTTAAATATCCACAGGACCATCTGAGATACATGAAGTATTCGAAATACACCGAAGAAGAAAACAAGAAAGTGAAAAACTGGTCAGTTGGCCATACTGGTAAATACTAATCGGCTTTCTTTATGCTGTATACTCAACCTTTGCTTAGACCTGGGTAGTTTCACACTCCTATTCCGTCAGCCAGTTGCGGCGCTTCAGATCCGTTACCACTCGACAAATGAGTGGAAATGGGTGAAGCCGCAGGACGCTACGTTGACTGTCAATGCCTGCGACGCGTTGACGTTCTTAACTGGAGGATATGTCAAGAGCACGATTCACCGGTACAGTTGTCCCTCTGATTTCTTGAGCCCTTAACTGACGCGTTTCTCAGCGTGGCTGTCCCACCTAAAGACCAGCAACATGTTGACCGTCTGGGTTTGTTGTACTTCTCTAGGTGCGGCTATCCGCCACTTCCATCTCTTCAGATGTTGATGTTAACTCTGGAGGCCTCACAATGACATTACACTATCCACCATCAAGGAATCCCCTGTTTTGCAGCGCGAAGGGTATACCCAGAACCAATTCGAGTCTGGTGCTCACAAGGTGCCGACGATGGAAGGTCGGTTATATCCTCCCAACACGGTGTCCTGTTATTAACTGGGCAACAATTATCTCAGAATGGACCTTTGCAAAGCAAACGTGGCAGAGGACAAAAGGTTACCAGGATAACATCGCGTACCGGACAGCCACCATTCTTCCGGGTTTCAAGGAGAAGGATTACGCGTAGTTCATCTATTACGATTTATTAGCAGTTATGTATAAAACTCGTATCTGAGTGGAATTGTATATTCTTAGAATCTTTACTTTATGCCTCAACTGTACGTCCGATTGCATAGACCCCAAGTGCCTCACTTAACCTTCCGTGATTATACTAAGACGTTCCCTCTTCCGAGCATTCAAACATCAAACACTATACGCTTCTGTACTTTTGGTACAGAGCCCGAACACCCTGAAGGTTCCGTTGTGAAGCATCGGATAACTTAGCCATGTTAAAATTTCAGCTCGAAAATTTCTCGGCAAGTCAGACTGGGATACCTTGGAATCAGCTGAGACATGGTCAAAGGTGCATTGTCTGTAATAAGGAAGAGATATAACCGCAGATCCACCCCTCACTCCCTGGGAGCGCCACGACCAACACCACCAACGAACGAAGGCCTGAAATCTCCTCCAGCGCTCTCCTTCTTGCGGTAGTCATCACGGTCACCGCGAGGTGCACGGTATTCTCCTCCTCCTGGACGAACAGTTGCAGCGCGAGGCGGCCTAGCGGCCTTTTTGTGGGTGGCGGGAACAATTTCAGCTGGAAGGTGCAACCTTGAACGTGATTGAGCAAAAGTACACGACAAACCAGTGAGAGTTCATACCATTCCCGGAGGTACTCAACGCCTTCAGGTGTGAGGGTATAGTAGTACCATTGCCACGAGAAACGGGTCTTGACGAAACCTTTCGATGTAAGGCTTTGAAGGGCCTTGATTACTTGCAAGTTGGGAACGCCCTTGAGCTCCTCGTGGGACGCAGCATTGTAGTCCTTCTTCGCGACAAGGACACCCTCTAGAAGGAAAAGAATTGTAAATCTAGACGTTAGTGCCTTGGAAGTCAAAGCACCTTTGAAGAGGTTCTCATAGATCTTTCGGCGGTTCTCCTTGGAAATAATCATAGCTGCCGAGTGAGGACTTTGTGATATCAGACCTTTGCCCAGACTTCTTCTGGTTGAGAATGTCCGCACCGATAAAACGAGAATGCCGGCTGAAAAAGTACAAGCATCAGCGTCATCCAAGATTTCGAGAGCGCATCCAACATCATTCCTCAACCGAGATCTCCCAAAACGCTTGGATGGCTAACACAGATATGCATAGTTTCAAGGGAACACTCACTTGATGTGGCTTGGACCGCTAGTCTTGAGGGAACGCGAGCGCTGTTGCGAGAATTCGACGACGGACAGTGTCTCAAGGACCTCAAAGGGAAATAGATGTCAATACACCACAATATCTTCGGGCCGACAATCCGAAGTTTTCGTTCAGTTACCACTCGCAAACGGAAAAGTAAAGAGGCCAAGATGTATATTTAGTAGTTGCCTCTTTGGCCCATCTCGATTGGACAACGGGCCTCGGCGTGCCTACCAAACATCTACCCACAACATGACCCCGCATTTCCCCCAGCTCTATAACGGTTCGCCTGCAACCCCAAGTGACGGCATTATACCCCAATGTTTCATCATGCACTGCACTCACTTATAGGCCGTCTCAACGAGCTCTGGGCGGTATTTAAAGTGATGGTTCACACCCCTTGCGCACCCAGGCAGGATTATTCGGCGGAATATATGCCCTATCACCCGGGGTATATAGTAACGTTACTAAACTGCACTGGCATCATCGGGAACAGACTGTTGAAATAGAAAACTGATAGTAAAGAATTGGAGCATGATTAAAGAAAGTTGTATTCATGTTGCAATCCTTTCAGTGCCATCTGCTCTAGATCGTGGCAGCCCTGCATCGTGAATGGCTCCCGGTCTTGTCAATTGGGTACATCATTACATTGTTCACATCACTACGGAGTGGAACTGTGCCCCCGGTTCTTACGATATACCATGCCGGAAATTGGTGCCCTACGGCCGAGACAATCCATTTATTCATACCTCTGGAGTCAGGTCTAATATCTTTCTTTTCCGCCCGTTCTTTTAGTAAGAACGATAACCATGTTTTTGAAGAGAACTCTCAGCTCATACTGGGTCTTCGGTGAAGCCAGTCACGTTTTAAACAAGTAGGTCACTGTATTCAACACTGAATGCTTGCTGCCCTTATCGTAGGAACACACCCTGCAGGTCACAACCGACGCCCGACGCGATTATCCAAACATTACTTGTCAAGCTCTTGATTCTTTTATTATTAGCACCAGCGAACAGTTCTAGATCACAAAGTGATTGGTCAACACTGACTTACAGGATCCCGAAGTCCTTGCATCATGGATATGAGTTGATAGAGATCATCAATTTTGACGACAATTCCAAGTTCATGGTTCTTGGATCCAAGCCAAGAAAAGTTCAGCCTTTCTTTGTCATGATGGTGTCTTTTAGGATAATCGTGAATCGCATGCAAGAAACATCTGCCCCCGACCCCCGAACCTAAGTCGCCGCGATTCCAAATTGGACCAGAGTTGCTAGGCTTGGGCTTTTGGGCTTCGGGCACGCTTTCGTTACTACGCACGCATTCATCCCTGCTCAAGCCTCGGGAGCGCTTACCCGTTTAAATATGGACTTTGACACGCTGCCATACAGTTGATGACAATTCGTTATCGATCACACTTTTACCATCAACTTGGATGCGCCGGTTCACCCGCTAGAACGGTTGGTGCGGGATTCGCCATTCAGTTATTCATGGATGCTATCTGAAAAGATTATTACGCGGGTTTCACGGAGCTCATCAGCGAAATTTTGGGGCAATCTGGGGATAAAAGGCCACAGACTCAAGGAGAGATAGCTTCAACAACTGAGAGGGCCTCATTTCTCAGCACGCGTCTTTTTCCAAATACTACACCGAGCGCCTCAACTGCTCAACAGCGAACTGCGTTCAGGATGAGGATCACTATATTTGACAACTTCCCGCCCATTAACGGCGTTCGATGGTTCAACGTTTGGGTCTTCATACTCACACCGCTGCTGGGACTAGCGGGATTCTTCTACGCTCCTTCGTCTCGCGCGACGGCGGCATTTTCGATTCTGTACTACGTGTTCTCTATGTTAGGTATGGTCCCCGCGCTCTGACTCAGTCCGCTGATTTCTTCTAATCGCTCTTACCTTTATCCGTTTAGGTGTTACGGCCGGTTCGTCGCGTCGCTCCATCTCATACCTGCAAGCGATCTCTGACTATTCCTAAGGCTATCATCGCTTGTGGTCCCATAGGTCCTATAACGCGTCTATTCCCTTGCAGCTGTTTTTGCTTGCTGCCGGTACGAGCGCGGCCCAGGGATCTGCCCTTTTTTGGGCTCGTTCCCACCGCTCTCACCATCGCTATACAGACACTGACAAAGACCCATACAATGCTAACCGTGGATTCTGGTGGAACCACCTCGGCTGGATGGTTTTTATCACCGACTTGCATTCCGGCGCTGTGGACTCCTCTGACCTGAAGAAGGACAAACTCCTCCAGCTTCAACATTCGTGGTACTTCTTCCTTCTCCCAATCTGGGCCATCCTCGTGCCCACTGCGATACCTGGATACTTTTGGGGAGATTGGATAGGTGGCTTCTGTTTCGCGACGATGCTCCGTATGTCCTTCGCTCATCATGTCAGTCTCCCCATACCGCCTACAATTTGTTGGCAATTCACTAAACCCCATTTTTCCTAGAGTACCTTTGCATTGAATTCTGTCGCTCACTACCTAGGATCAGCCCCCTTCGACGACAGGTTGACTCCTAGAGATCATTTCATTACAGCTATCGTGACGATGGGTGAGGGATATCACAATTTCCACCACCAGTTCCCCATGGACTATCGCAACGCCATTCGGTGGTACCAGTTTGACCCCACCAAATGGTTCATCACGATTTGCAAAATTCTCGGTCTTGCTAATCATCTTCGCACATTCTCTGGGAACGAGATCGCGAAGGGTCAATTGACCATGAAGCTGAAAGACCTCAAACGCGTCCAGGAAGAAATCACCTGGCCTACGCCGACCGAAAAGCTTCCAGTCATTACCTGGGACACGTGTATGTCTGTACGATTGATCCTCTATATATGCTATTGACCGAACAATCTTTAGTCCAAAAGGAATCAAAGAATTGTCCCCTCATTTTGATTGCTGGTTTCATCCATGACGTCTCCTCTTTCATAAAAGAGCATCCCGGAGGGTCGGACATTCTGAATCAAAGTTCAGGCAAAGACATGACCCCCGCCTTCTTTGGTGGCGTCTACAACCACTCAAATGCGGCCCATAATGTACGCCCAGTTTTCAGCTTGTCGTTGAGCTATGGCTAATCCTTCTACAGCTGCTTTCCATGTTACGTGTCGGAGTTCTGGAAAATGGTGTGGAGACACCAGCAGAGCCCGTCAAACCCGAGCATGTCATACCTCCATCGCAAAGTTTGTACGTGGCCTCGCGCCGTCCGGGCATCTAAAGGTGATGTAGGCTTGACTTCTGTTCACTGCAACGAACAACATATAGAATTGCTGAAGGAAAATGGGCTAACGTAGTGCACGGAAACAGCACATCTGCTGTATATATAACTTATAATGATTAGACTAGAACTAGTCATCAAACTTGTATACTGAAGAAGGAATTAATAACTGAAGCAGGGCACAGAATCAGAGTCAACGTACCGCATGCACCACTACTTGGTTTGGTAGCGAAGATAACTTCATTCAGCTTCTCGCCTTTCAAGGCTTGATAAGGCGGGTAGGTATCCTTGACTTTTTGGATGAACGCAGCAACCAGTCCTTCTGGAACGAGCGAAACGGTGCACCCGCCCCATCCAGCGCCTAATCAATGATGTGAGACTCACAAAAGAGATGTCCAGAAGATAAAGTATACCGGTCAAGCGACTAGCCACTGCACCTGCCTCTCGGGCCAGTCGGGTTAATTCGTCAAGTTCAGGACACGAACATTCATACAGATCCCGGCAACTCGTCTGAGATTCGTTCATCAAGTCTCCCAATGCCTGTATGACAGTTTCCGATGGTGACAACGCAGCATCGAGACATACTTGGCGGAATTTAAGTACGCGTAGCGCTTCAGAGAAGACGTGTTTAGCTCGTTTATACAGCTGGAAATGTGTTGCCTCCACTGGAGAAAGAAAGATGTCAATCAGGATACCAGATCCTCCGACACCACATACCTGTAACCCAAGACAGGTATATTTCGTGAAACTCCTCCTCCGACAGCCCAGACATACGAATCATCTCTTCCATTGTGACGCCAAGTTCCTCACCTTCGTCACGACCTACCGGCTTCAGCCCGTCTACTTCCATATCCATCCTTTCTAACACCTCACTCAATTTCTCGATACTCATTTCCTGATCTGCTGTTTCACCCACAAGCCGTCCAGCTACTTCGCGTAACGTGATTTTCTCTCCTTCACCTAAAGGCAGACCTAGCTGTCTAGCCAGAACGCGGGCTCCGACAAGTGTCTCAACCACTCGAAGGTTATAGCCCTTCCTTGCGCCGACAGCTTTGTCTGAGATGACCATAGAATTTGCACAGACGAAGACGGCACCGGAGGGTAAAGGTACTGGAGATGCGAACAGGGTAGGGAAGAAACTTATATAGAGAGCAGAGGAGGGGGTGCAGATCACCGAAGCTGCTTGGTCCATCCTGGTCCATCAGTTAGAACCTATCAAGAGCATCAAGTCTACACAAGCATACCCTCCACTGTTCACGCCTACATCATACAGAATCAGGGTAGGCTCTCGGTGCACCAAGGAGGCGAAAACTTACCAACGCGGTTCTCATTGGCTACTGCCAGTTTCACCAAATCGCCTTTACTGATTTTCTTTGAACCGTTCTTTGCGATATTAACGTCCAGCTGGAATGTATAAATCCTGATCAGAAAAGGTGTACCAATCGTGTACGCGGGCAGACCTTTCCATTGACAGCCAAAAAAGCCAAGGTGGAAGCGACAACCATAGCGGCACTGGATGAAAGTCCGGACCCTGCGGGTACAGTACCAGTGACTAGAAGATCGACGGGAATAGGTTGAGCAAGAGAATTGGATGAAGGAAAATAGTTAGTGAGGACGCCCTATATTCAAGTCATTACTAGTTCAAAGATGGATCCCATGTGAGAATCCGACATACATAATACCCTGCTTTGACATAACTTTCCCACCTCAGTTCCGCTGTATTGATCTCCAGATGCCATTCCTCTGCGTGAACTTGCTCGTCGTCTATACTCGAAATGCTCGACACACTGTCCTTGCGATTAGGTGACGGCTTGAAGGCCTGCTTGGTGTACTTGTCTTGCAAGTTATCCGCTACGACATAGCCCGGATCTCCATGAGTCTTGGGGGCACATGCAATGAGGATATCTCGCTCGATTGCAGCTGGAAGGACACCAAAGAGACAGTAGTCGATATGTTCGCCTGGCAACGGTCACTGAATGGTCTACCTTTTAGATCGATCAAGTACCTATCAAGCTAGAAACAGCATTACTATCAACAAAAGACAGTGATAAAAAGTACGCACTTGACCCTCCCTGGCGCTCTGGCAATGTACGCTGGTTTTTTTCCAAATCTTTTCTGGAACTCCTCCGCTAGAGTATTCCAATTCGCGGCATGGTCTATGGTCGTTCCCAGATTTCCGTATAGGTCGTTAAGCTGGGTGAAGACTGGGATTGGTTCTAGGGCAGCCATCGATGGGTGTACTGGAAGACGATATCCATTTATGCTGCTCCAAGTTCCGCTTTCACTGTCGCCATGTGATCACCATGCCATTCGAGAAACGTAGACTGGGGTGCAGAGATAAGTCTACGAAGCGGTTAATTTCACGCCGCTACGGACCGGTTTCAGATGGACGTAGAAAAAGATCAGGGTGATAATCACGAAGGACGTCATTTCAGGTATTTTTCAAAAAATTACAGCCCTGCACATCGATTCAATATTACATCTGTGCTACACATTACACATTCTTTTCACTTCGCCGGCGCCTTGAACCGCACATCGCAACGGACATAATTAGTATACAATTCATCCTGTGTTAACAAGCCATCCTCGCCATCCATGTTCGAAGGGTCTAGGAATGCGCTCAGTACATCGTGGAATTCGAGGAAGGCCGCGGCTGAATGCATCGTTTAATGGAGAACAAAGAAGCGGAGGCAATAACGCACTTCCTGGAGCAAGGCCATCGCCTTTGAGTCCAGACCCTCCATGTATCTTCTTCCTAGCATCTCTTTCCGGAACTGCACCGATGTTGGAGTAAAACATCACCCCGGATTCTGTAGCAAAACATATGAAGCCTAGCACTGATAAGATGGTAAGGAAAACACGTACGATTAGTGTCAAACGCCAAGCTCAATCCAGAGATGTCTGACAGAAGCCGGGCTACTGGGGAATGGGTCATGGAAGGCGTGATGATGTCCTTAATAAGGTCGAAATCGTCCGAGAACGTTGAAATGGGTACACGCTTGGGAACATCGATGGGTCGAGATTCAAAGACATAGAAGTCATCTGCTATCTGATCAGACTCGAGAAAACTGAAGCTGCAGCATATGCCCACCATAACCCGGCTCAGGATACTTGTCGCCAATCTTCTTTCCGGAGTGATTATGCTCAGGTGCCGATGTAACTGAGATATAGCTCCCACTGTGAAGACTGTCCGAATCTCGGGAAACGATACGGTCGGCCTGCAGTATCATACTCCTCTAAATGTCACCGCAACCAGAAGAATATGAGACGCGCGTACTTTCAGTGTCAAATAATGGTTCTTTACGTTAGATCCTGGTCGCTCCTTCATGCTAGCATCAAGATTGAACCCCCAGTGCTACATCTCTTGAGTATATAAGCCGCGTCACATTTACAGTCACTCACCTGCGTCAAATTAACTGGAGTCACTCCTTTATTCACCTTTGCTCTGTACACGTACACCAAGCTCCCCAAATCAAATTCTTTGCCCGTCTCTGTCACCTGAGGCTCTGGAGCCAGGAGGGCAACCAAAACCTCAACAGTGAGCTCACCTGGGTAGCCTTGATCGGAGTCCGGAGATACCAAACGGAATACAGCATGAGAATTATTTTCTTCCGTCGGAAAATGTCCGAGTTCTGCCTTGGAGAAAAGTGTGGGTGGTGTGTCTGCAGAAAGGAGCGTCCATGAGAGCGAATCAAATCCGATTGGACCACCGTGCAGAGACACCCTGGCGTTTTCTGTGGCGGATAGTTGCTAAGTTGGAAACCACAGTGGAAACGAGGGAGACAAACCATTCGCCTGAGCGACAAGAATAGCTTCGTATCCATTCCGCTGCAGTTTATGTGATCCTATAGGCACGCGGTTGGCGTAACGACCAATGATGGTGTTCGTATACTTCTGGGTGATATGGTCTTCAGGCGCCTCTGGGCCTACCACGATGTCATGGGTCTGGTACGAAAAGGTCGAACCATGGCTAGAAGGACTTTGAGGGAAAAACTCACTCGTCCGTCAGCTTGTATGATGAAACGATGAATTGTCAAGCCGTGAGGAAGAATCTGTTCCAGGGTTAGTTAGTAATCACGGTTATAAGGTTACTGGACAAAAATTACCTCAACCGCAAGCGAAGGGGTGAATGAGGGCAGAGTTAACAAAACCGGCGTAAATCCAGTCATGGTAGTCGGAGCAAACCAGCAACGAAGGAAGCCGGATGTATTCTCTCACTACGGAGTGATCAGTTGACACTTTTTTGCCGGCCCGTTTTTCCGAGCTGTTCAGTTGAAGCGAATCGGAGTGGACGCAAACTAGACGGAGAATCATTATCTCGCAAAGCCGGATCATCGGCGCTTGTATCGATGTCGCGTCAATGGGAGCAGCTTTTATTATGACCAACGGGTGTACCTGAAAACGAGCTTTCATCGGGAATAAAAACTGGATATTCCACCGCCAGCCATGGCGTGCAGCAACCGACTATTGTACGGCCAGTATCCCGTAGTCGGTAGTGCAACACGAAATTCAGTGTGAGAAACCACCATCACGCATCTCATCTGCATAAGACAGTGAGTATGATGGAAGTGCAAAAGTATTTTTATTCACCTACTGATAACCGTCAGACCTGCAATTCAATGTTGTAACAGACTTAGTTAGAGTGATTATGGCTGCTATATCATAGGTCCACGTCAGAACCACGACCAGGAAGATAGTGAGTTTGACATACTCTACCACTGACCGCTGAGATTGGCTTGATATTTGAAACTGTCACCGAGGAGCTGTTACAGTTATTGATCGAGCTGTTGGGCGCAGACACCGGTCCAGAATGGATGAAAGCAGCAGAAGAGTAGTCCTGAGGAGCGTTTTCGTAGTGCAGGGGGGAGGGAAGCATCGGATTGCTTATGGCTCCTGCCTATGCTGAAGTGAATCAGCAGCTTGGTACCAGCCCATTTTGCAGATAGCATAATTTCAAGACCTGCCGAGCCTCAGAAGAACCGTCTCGAGTGGATATAACCAAACACGATGCAAACGCCGACGTCGTTCTCAGGAAAGGGGAGGGAGTGGAGAGCGTCCAACATTGGTACATGGAAAGACATTCCGGTTGAGCTGAAGTCATCACGTCGAATGTGAATCGTGGACATGTGCAATTTTATGTCGTGCACGCTAAGCTATTTAACGAATCGGTGGTTCTTTCCAGCTGTGGCTTACCTCGGAGACAAGCAAAATGCGCCAATCGACGTCGTGAGTAAATCGTGAACTGCTCGATACCATATATAACACTTCTACGTTCCACAGGAAAGCCTAGGATAAGTGATGATGTCAGCTTTCAATCATTGAACAAGGGGACATTATAATATATTATTACTGTTGAAAAGGAGAGAAGAATCACTCACTGTCACTGAGAGCACCTCTGCTGTCACTCGAGAGTCGAGACACGAACGCAAAATGGCCTTTGCCGGTGAAGTTCCCATTCTTGTCGTACTCTGTTAATTTCCGGATGTCGTCCCGATCTCCTCCCTTCTGACGACTTCAGTTGTCGAAAGTTGAATTACACTTTCCAGAGTCTCTCTGTGCTGATTGCCCTTCAGTGATCATACAAGTTCGACATCTTGACCACCTAATTTTATCCAAACATTCTTTACCACAATCTTTAACGCATTTTCCCCTGCATGAGTGTGTACAAATTTCGACTTTCAGGAAATGTGTATAAATAAATCGGAAAGATTTTACTTGGCGTTTTTTCAGGATCCAGTTTAGTCGACACGTAAACCTCTTGAAGTGCAACCACAACGAGCATTACCGTCCATGTGAAATGTCTTTTCATGCGACCTCTCCCACGTTGCGCTTCTCTGACACCGCATTCGTGACCGCAAATCTCTGCTGAACGCTATATCCACCTATTCTGAGTCTAACTGAAATTGACACTTGCTGAGGTATAAAGAGGTGACAGAAATGCTAGATTTTCTCCAGACAGACTCGCTCTCCTCATCTACCTGCTTCACTTGCTAATTGGTTCATCAAGAGGTACTGCAACACTTCTTGCTGGAACTCTCAGTCCTAGACTGGGGATGAAGCGTTTCTTTCACCGAGCGTGGTGTATCATGAATATTGTGCTTTGTAATGTTTACATCCAGTGCAATTTACTTGCGTATTTATTCCTGCCTTTCGGACCTATAAGCTTATGTGAACACGTCAATCCCGCTGCAGCAGGGTACTCTTTATTTCTTCTATAAAAATCTGCTGCCAATCGACGACACTTTCTCGAACCCTCTTTTACTTGTCCTTTGCCTATTCCGATGAGCCTCGCATTCATAGACTTCAAAAGGAGCGGTTCATCATCGGGACTTAACATAAATTGTGCCTCTATACACTCTCTTGCAAGGTAAGCCCCATATATTACTAAATACTATTATTCCTTTTAGATTGGACTAAATTCAATCAGATCGGTTTCCCCCACCTCGTAAAGTTTCTCAAACTTAAAATTACATTTACCACATAGCACTAGGAACTCATCGAGAGTCCGCGCTGCACTCCCCAAGAGGTTCATCATGATCATATCGAGCTCGTACGTCCGTATCCGAGCAGCTCCATAATTCGGTAAGAGTGGCTCTGGAGCGACGTCTTTCAACGTAGCATCTTGGCTAGGAGAGGCAGACGTTGTGCGCACAGCTTGTCGGAGGACAGTGTCATCTATTAAAGGCAGGTGAAAAATATAGGCTTCGACGTGAACAAGGCAACGCACGGATGATAAGCCTGCTTGAAGGCTTCATAGCCTTCCGCACGTTGCTGAGGATTAAAAAACTCTGCTCATCGGGCCAGTCTCGCAAAATGGAGCGGATCTATCAAGGGTGTCCCAATCGAACATGAGAAGGGATCGATGAGGAAAAGCTCGACGTACATAATAGAAATCGCAGCCCTCCGCTGCAGTATCTTGGAAGAAATTGAAAGGTACGAATTGCACCCTCTCTCTTTCTACTGCTTCCGGGTATTCTTGATTCCAAAATTGTTTTCCCATTATAATAACTTGTTCCTGATCTTGTAGTACGACTTTGAGGTGCGGATGCGCTTTCATCAGGGCCATCGTGACGTGTCCGTTGCCTCCAGCGACATCACATATGGTCGTATCAACTGGCTGTTGCTCCCATGGATAGACCATAGCTAGTAACCCCTTGCCTGTAACGTTTCCCCAACCGACCATCGCACGAGGAAAACGATCACCTTTTGCCTTTCCTTCCGGCTGTGGAACCAGAAGTTATAGTGACGACAATGGAAAACATAGGCAGACGTACGGTCTTATGGTATTCAAAGAAAGGAAGTCCTGTCGCCCGCTCGAATGGAGTCTTCGAGCCGTCCTTAGCGATCATACTCTCGTTGAGATAAGACGATGCCATCAGGCTTTCGTCTGTTAACAGGCAGACGGTATCAGAGACCGGGTCCGATTTGAGGAGCTTCATGCTCAATCGGTTGTTTGAAAATACGTTTGGCTTTACTGATGCAGTGCACTCATCAGCAAGATCTTTTAACTTTGTAAAAATGTAACAGACCTTCACAGAAAACATGACTTGTCACCAATAAGCGAAGGATCCTCCCCAGTTTGCCTTCATCGAGTCCTGATAGTCGCGCTAACTCCGAGATATGAAGCCCATCAGGTTTACCAAGAAGATAATCTGCGATACGGGCTTGGGTAACGACGAGAAGAGAAGCCGGTTCCGCGTGCTATATAACCTTACCGCTGAACGAACATCCATTATGATTTGACGGCAACGTACCAGCAGCGTTTTCTACTCAAAGATTAGACTGGAACACATAATGAGAAATGAACGCGCACATTCAAGACGACATGCCCAGGGCTGGCGACGGCACAACTCAGTTGTGCACACGCCGCCTCAACTCGCTGGATGGCCCTAGTGAGCTCTGGGGGAACATTTTCAGGAAGATCATATATGCCGAGGGAGGTAGAATCAGGATGTGGGATATTTGGATATATCGAAATGATTTCTTGGACAGAAGCAGTAATCAGAGAGGTGAGAGAGAGAAGGTGGGTGGCTCCAGACGTCATTATCAGTATGGGATTCTGAGGGAATGGGGTCGTAGTTATCAGCTTTAAGTGTTGTAACGACTGCCGTACGATCCATTCAGTTGGTGTATCTGCACCAGATCATGATGCATGATCTAGAGAAGATATGTTCAACTGATAACTGATGCGAACGGTTGCGCAGGACAGGTTGAGAACGGATAGAATTTAACCGAAATCTATTGTATCTTGCCGGACTGATAAAAACAGTCGGCCTTGGAAACTTACCTTGCATGTACGAATTGGAACCTCTCCCTCGGATTGTAGATCTGAGATCGGCATCAGCCATGAATGCGGAAACGATCATATGATACTATAATTCAGACAGACTGAGAACGGGCGTTTATGTTTCGACGCCATCGTTGTTCATCAATGTCATCTTCCCCAGTCGACATCCTTATTCTCGGTGCGGGCTGGACGTCGACGTTCCTCATACCGCTTTGCGTGGAGAACGGTGTCAAGTGGGCTGCGACGACTCGTTCAGGATCCACTGTCCCATACACGACTATCCCATTTAACTTTGATCAAGATGATGAAAGCGAAGAGAAACTGGATGAGCAATGCAAGAAATTGCCGGATGCGAAGACGGTGCTGGTGACATTCCCAATAATCACCAAGGGTGCCGTGGGAAGATTGGTGCAGGGATATAGAAAGGCAAGGATGGATGGAAAGAGCGGGCAAGAATTGTGGGTGCAGCTCGGGACTACGAGCATTTGGGATAACGCAGTACGTTTCGTTCATTCATTCATTCATTCTTCATGTTTAGTTCTGAACATCTTTCAGCCAAATGACCCCAGACCGACTTCGACCAACTGGTATGACCGCCATTCGACGTTCACAAAGACTCCACGTGTCATTTCGGAAGAGGAACTACTAGTTTTGCCTGAGACAAAGAGCAGCGTGCTCTGTCTTTCGGGCCTGTGGGGTGGAATAAGGGATCCAAAGAACTATGTCGGGAGAGTCGCACCCACGAAAGAGGCCTTAAAGGCAAAGGTACGTCTGTTGGTTATTTCATTCGAATATCGCCATTATCGCAGCCACTCCAGGACGGTCTCCATCTCGTCCACGGCCAAGACGTTGCGCGGGCGATACTTGCGGTGCATCTGAGCCCTTCCAAAGCAGTTGGCCAGCGATGGTTGCTGACAGACGGGAGAGTCTACGATTGGTGGGACATTGCGTCAGCATGGTCAGAGGAGAAGGCGCAGTGGGTCCGTGAACTGATGCGCAATGAATCGGTCCGGGCTCTTCCGAGAGACATTGGCACGCTTGGTCGTGCATTAGATTCAAGGGACTTTTGGGACACATTTGAGCTCGTACCTGTTAAAGCAAGAGTATAATTCTGCTGTAAAAACTTGTATGTTAACCTTCAAACCTGAAGCTGAAGACTGTAGTACAACAACATTATATCGAGGCCGAGGCTGGTTGAAGCCATGTAGCTTGCAGAGCAAAATACGAGTATACCTTGCAATGAGTAGAACGCGTCCTGTCACATGTGACAGCAACAGTTGCCTCTTTGTGTTGATCATGCGATCGTGAGAAATTTTATTTCAAACTCCGCTCGACGTGCTTTCGTTCCAACACTCACGTCGTCGGAGGGGGCAGGCGATGCTCAGTACTCTAACGAAGACAATGTCATCATCGCAAACTAACGCTAAACGGAAAGGCGATTTTATTGATAATCCGCTTGCTGCGAAGAAGGCGAAGAAGGATGCGGTATGTTGGGTTCCATACAGCAGTTTGTACCGCTGACAACTGATATTTCGTGTTTAGGGGAATAAACGGAAATGTATGCCCCTTTCTTTTGGTTACCGAATTGTTTGACTTATAAAACATCCAGTATTGAATGGGGAAGAGCAGCCCGGCGGTCTCATTATCGTCCGTGCACCTTCTTCCCAACCGCAAATCGAACGCTCGAATTCGCAACCACCACCTTCTCAGTCCCAGCCACCAACAAAGAAATTACGCGCAGACTCTCAGCAACCTACTAACAAACCTAAATCGAAGGCTGTGAAACCGTCCAGCTCGAAACCCCACCCTCCTACACGTCCCGCGACACCACCACCCGCGACCAATCGTTCCCGTGACATCCTTTCATCTCCTGGGGATCCTGTTACGATGGCATCTGATGTTCGTGCAATGGAAAATGAGAGTGCCTATCTGCGTAAGAACTCGAAGCCAACGGAGAGCAAGAGGAAAGGGAAGGGGAAGAGCGTTGACAGGACAGAACCACTAGGTGCTTTGGAGACGGACAGCCCGATAATTGAACGAAATAAGGCAATGCGCGAGGGTGCAATGGCTGCCATCAAACAATATCAAGGGAGTGACGACGACAATAGCCGGACTCCCAATCGACGCAGCTCCATGGGGCGAGGGAAGCGGGTTAGTGCAAGTTTTGAGGCCAAAGGGATTAGCCAGCCACATGCGAGTGTCCATGAAGGGAGCTTCTTTAAGCATATTGATGTGGATTTGCCAGACGCAGAGAGGATGAGGGTGCTGCTCGTTTGGTGCTCCCTGAGAGCAGCAGGCAAAGAAGAAGGACTCAGTCGAGAAGCGGGACGGGTAATGAAGGTGGCGAAAGAAGAGATGGTTAGACTGCTTGCGGAACGGCAAGTTGATGTCAGGACGTCATCTTCTGGCACCGCAGGAGGAAGCGAGAGTGGGACAGTGGCAGCTACAGTGACGTTGCGGGAGAATGAGCAGAACATAAGCAACCGGAGGTTTGAGGTGACCTATACTGAGCAAATCCAAAGGTAAGGCGTCCAACCTCTACTGCCTCTTTTGTGTATTCATTGTTGTCTTTTTGGAAGGGCGCAAGAAGAGGATGAATCGTGGAAGAAGGCCAGGAGTTTCTACGATGCATTCATCAGTGCCAAGTCCAAGGGAAAGCAGAAGGAGTCGTCTGGCTCTAGCCATCCTAGTTTCGTGCTTGCACAACACATACTCAATGGTACCAACAGGCCGGAGATACAGACCCTCCTCCAAGACGTCGAGTTCAAGATTGACATGTTAAATACATATCAGAATGCCGCTCGTGTGACTGCGTCTGTGGCTGAGCGTGCACTTGACGAGCGTTTTGCACATCTTTCCACCGGCCTCGCCCAACGGTCCAATTCAAATCCTGCGGGTCTTTTTGGTGCTCCAATACGAGAACTGCCCCCACAGGAATTATTCAGAGCGTTGTGGGCCGTAGATCGGGGGCGTCCACCTGCGATGGTTGGTGATGCAGCGAGAAGAGCGGTTCGGGAGGTGCAGAGAGTTGAGGAGAGAGGCGGTGGCGTTAGTGAGCGAAGGCTGACCGGCGTCCCACCACCTACGCCGCGAACGCCGAAGAGAGGGAGCACACCAGGGAGGACATGAGTTATTCAATCCGTTATAATTGTTTTCTTTTCATACTTCACATTTTATACTTCGATATCGATTTGAGTGACGTCGTGATGAGTAAACAAGCGCCCACAACTCAGGCTTGCCCCCTACCATCATGATCTGCTCGCGTACCGTATTTCGATGCTTCAAGACTCTGGAGCGACTTGGAGATCGTGTTACTGGCGCGGCTGGTCCTTTCTTTGTGGTACTGGCTATAATATTAATGAGCATTGGTACCGTAGCTTTCTGTGCGTAGTTTTCTCGTTCGTTCAATCCGTCCTGATGCCGTGGCAGTCGACGTAATATCGCCTAGTCTCCCTCTTCCTCTCCTCACGATACCTCTGTGTGCCCTTGTGGCGATCAACATGTGGACCCACTACTGGTGGGTATGTACGGTACCTCCTGGCTTCGTCGATGGCGATGTATCCCCAATACGAGGACTCTGGGCGGCCAAAAAGAAACGCGTAGGGGTAAACGCAAGGACAACAAAGGCGACACTGACAAAATGCAGCAAGTGTTCCATGATGAGACCAGAACGTTCCCATCATTGCCGTATATGTAACAGATGCATACTGAAATATGATCACCATTGTCCTGTGCGTTCAATTGTATACTCTCTGACTATGTCACTTCTAATCAAGACAGTAGTGTTTGTCCATTGCATTCAAACATTCGTTTCATCGGTGCTGATGTTGCTCAGGGATCAATCAATGTGTAGGCCTCCATAACGAGCGGCATTTCGTCATGTTTATGGCTTACCTTGTTATTGCCACTCTCGCTTTTGTTTTGTCGGGATATCCACAGCTTCTAGTTGCACTTGGTTTGATGGGCGTGCGCGTTTCCTGGCCATACAGAGTGTCGTTGACATTGTATCTCCTCATCTATATCCTCGCCGCCGTCCTCTGCCTCGCTGTGGGCGTGATGTGCGCGTGGCATTTAGCCGCCATATGTGCTGCCGAGACGTCTGTGGAGTGGCAAGATCATGGGGTGTACAAACGCGTCGCACGGGATAGGGGAGAGGAGTTTGTCAATAGTTATGATTTAGGGTGAGTCTGATCATGCACAGTTCAATCCACTTCTTACTTGCTGGTTAGTCGACAGAAAAACCTACAACTCTTCTTTAATCTCGAAGAATATCCCTTGTATACGCTCGTTGTTCCTCTGAGGCTCCAACCGTATACCGACGGTCGTTCGTGGGCACGAAAGGATGGGTACGAAGAACATGGTGGGATCAGGAGAGGTGAGGAGCTGACGGACGATGATGATGAGTAAATGTTAGGTTAGTCTTTTTCACGCTCCACCTTGACAGTCTTGGAACTGAAACTGAAGTTGGAAGTCCTGAAGAGTCCCCAGCATGATATTGCTATCAATACTTTGTTGAACTTGGACAATGCATCTGTGTAATATATCTGTAAATGGAGAATCTCGAAATTGGGCGCTTCCGAGGTAAATCTTCAAGTAACAAGTGTTCATCAATCCTATCGTGCGCTGACAAGGCGGGGCGCGTCTAACGCCAAAGGATGACGAGTCTCTATCAATGTGGTATTGATACCAGTATATGGCGAGTTAGGAGGACGAGAGCACAATCAATATACTTACTCAAACCAGCCGTTTGCCTGAGTGCATCTTCTCGTTGGCCTCTTTGGATGGGAAACCCAATATATATATGTTGGGTCAGACGCCTTTTTGACTCTCAGTATTACTGCTCGTGAGATGCCCAGGCTATCGTGCGCGGTGTACTTTTGTGTCGCAGGATACTCGGATGATATTACACACTTTCTTCCTCCTTCCTCGTCGAAGGCGTTGATTGGAGACTATCACTCAGTATACCCTTGTTCAATGTCGACACTGAATTCAAAGGACACCATCTGGAATATTTCAAACTTTTCTCCTTCCATAAATAAGCTTTCTGTAGCCAACAAATAGCACAAGTTGGTCTGGCTTATCTGGTCTTCTGATGATCTAATCTTCAACCTTATTTTGGAGATTGTGCCGCTTTGTCAGACACTAGAATCGGCTTGCGTCAGTCGTAATCTTCCCTTCTTCTCTCTTTTTTTGTCTCTCAGATTTATCCATCTCTAGGGCTTACGACACTTTCCAGCTTTCACAGCCCAGCTGAGGGAGAAGCCAACGATTGTGGGTGTCCATGAGCTGGATTGGAAAAGGCATTCGGCCGGGTGCGCCCTTGTCTTTCCGACGTCAATGTCCTCGACGCGCTTTATCGTACTTCAATGTCGTGTACAGGCCATCGTCACCGGTCCGTGACCGCATACTGGAGCGACTAGACCACCGATTCTTCTCCTCCTCTGTTCCGCCGTTCATTCATCGGACGCCATCCCTCAACAACCCTCGCTGGATTAATTCCAAACACAACCCAACGGATATTCCGTCCAAAGCAGATGAGAAGGCGATAGATGATGCAGAGGAACTGTGGGATGACCAGGTGCGGCTGCGTTCTGAGGATGACGAGAATCCTTCCGAAGGGTCATCGTCTTCAGAGTCCTCACCACCCGCTTCTTCGTCTTCAGATGGTCATGACTCTGGAGATTCAAGTCAGCCTCCTTCTTCGTCACGTCCTTCGTCGCCAGCTGCAATCGCGAAACAATCCGTTCCCGAAATCTATCCCCAGGTCTTGGCTCTCCCCATCGTTCGTCGTCCACTTTTCCCTGGATTCTACAAGGCTGTTGTCGTCCGTAATCCTGAAGTAGTTGCAGCTATCAAGGAGATGATGAAGCGTGGTCAACCGTATCTTGGCGCATTTCTCCTGAAGGACGAAAACATCGACAGTGACGTTATTACGGATATCAATACCGTGCATCCTGTCGGTGTGTTCGCTCAGATAACCAGTGTGTTCAGTGCTGGAAGCCAAGATGATAAGGAAGAAGGCCTGACGGCCGTCCTTTATCCTCATCGGAGGATCAAGATCACCTCGTTGGTTAAGGCTGGTGGTGTTGCGACCGTAGAATCAGTTGGAGAGGAGGAAGTTCAAACTGTGACTCCTCCTGCTACTCCAACGTCGGAACAAGCTCCTCAGACCCTTCATGGTGAGTTTGAGCTCCTTTTTGTCCGCTAGTTCTGATCTCATGGTATGACAGGACCGGTGCAAACCTCTTTCTTGCACAACCACGCTATATCCATCGTCGAGGTTGACAATCTTGTTACTCAACCGTACAACAAGGACAATCAGTACATACGTGCTTTCATGTCTGAGATCGTTTCAGTCTTCAAGGACATCGCTCAGTTGAACCCCCTCTTCCGTGACCAGATTACCAACTTTTCGATTAACCAAATCGCGTCGAATGTTTTCGATGAACCCGACAAGCTGGCAGATTTTGCTGCTGCAGTGTCAACGGGGGAAGTCGGTGAATTACAAGATGTTCTGGAGAGCTTGGTCGTCGAGGATCGCTTACGAAAAGCTCTGCTGGTGCTGAAAAAGGAACTTATCAATGCCCAGCTTCAGAGCAAGCTCTCTCGGGATGTTGACAGCAAAATTGCTAAGCGTCAACGAGAGTACTACCTGATGGAACAGCTTAAGGGTATCAAGAAGGAGCTGGGTATGGAGTCAGACGGAAAGGACAAACTTATTGAGAAGTTCAAAGAACGAGCAGCGTCATTGAAAATGCCGGAGACTGTTAGAAAAGTCTTTGACGAGGAGATCAACAAGCTTGCCGGCTTGGAACCTGCTGCGTCTGAGGCAAATGTGACCAGGAACTACTTGGAGTGGCTAACTCAAGTGCGCAGTTTCCGCCCTTTGTTCTGTATTATCGTTCTGAGTCATTCCTATAGATTCCGTGGGGTCAGCACTCGCCAGAGAACTACTCCATTTCCCACGCGCAGGTCGTCCTAGATGAAGATCACTATGGCCTGAAGGACGTTAAAGATCGAATTCTGGAATTCCTTGCCGTTGGAAAGTTACGTGGCACAGTTGAGGGAAAGATCATTTGTCTCGTAGGACCTCCTGGTGTAGGAAAAACATCCATTGGCAAATCGATATCGCGCGCGCTCAACAGGCAGTTCTTTCGTTTCTCAGTTGGTGGCTTAACCGACGTTGCCGAGATCAAAGGTCATCGTCGAACATACGTTGGGTATGTTTGTGCGCTTTTACCATTCACTATTCTGATCGTTGGGTACATTTAAGGGCACTACCGGGAAAAATCATCCAGGCGCTCAAACGTGTTGGAACAGAGAATCCTCTTGTTCTGATTGACGAAGTTGATAAAATTGGCCGGGGTATCAACGGTGATCCTGCTAGTGCACTTCTGGAGATGTTGGATCCTGAGCAAAACAATAGCTTCTTAGACCATTAGTACGTGATTTTCCTCTTGTTCTTTTTGTTTTTCTACTTACTTCGCGAAGTATGGATGTCCCTGTTGACCTGTCGCGCGTCCTTTTTGTATGCACAGGTAGGAGAGTCACTGTCTTTTTAACTTGTCATCACTCATAATTTATTCGTTAGCCAATAACCTTGATACTATTCCGGCACCTCTTCTTGACCGTATGGAGGTCCTTGAAGTTAGCGGTTATGTTTCGGAGGAAAAAGCAGTTATCGCGGACAAATATCTTGGTCCTCAAGCCAGAGAGGCCTCGGGTCTCAAGAACGCAGACGTTCTCCTAGACCCTTCTGCTATTGACGTACTTATAAAGTACTACTGCCGTGAGAGCGGTGTTCGAAATTTGAAGAAGCACATTGAGAAGGTCAGTTATATGTCTGAGTCTCTACTCGATTTCCACTATCTCATGCTGGGCCTTAGATATATCGGAAAGCTGCTTTGACGCTTGTTCAGGATCTTGGAGAAGAGGCCCTTCCTGAGCCTCCCTTGGTCGTTCCAACGTCTTCATCGGTCGCAGAGTCTACTACAACCGTTGAGTCTCAAGAACCTCCTAGCAACGAGCCATTAATTGGTCGTGATCCCTCAGGTGAAAGGATGACAGTCACGACCCAGCAACGCAAGCCTATGTCCATACCTGATACAGTACATGTCAGGATAACCCCCGAAACCCTCAAAGACTACGTTGGTCCGCCGATATATCAGAAGGATAGAATGTACGTGCACCCCCCTCCGCCTGGTGTGAGTACCGGTCTTGGGTACCTCGGTAATGGATCTGGCGCAGTAATGCCTATTGAAGCTATGGTTAGTTAACTTACATGTGTCTGACAAACGACATCTAATTTGAGCACAGAGTATGCCTGGCAAAGGAAATCTTCAGCTCACCGGAAAACTTGGTGAGGTTATCCGGGAGAGCGCACAGATTGGTCTCAGCTGGGTCAAAGGTCATGCATTCGAGCTCGGGATAACGCCAGACGCGGAGACACAGTTCCTGACCGATCGGGATATCCACGTCCACATGCCTGAGGGCAGCATTGGGAAGGAAGGGCCTAGTGCAGGGACTGCAATTCTGTCGGCACTCGTATCGCTGTTTACCAAAACAAAAATAAACCCGGATATCGGCAGGCTTCGTTTGTTACTTTCATCCTGGCGGAGCTGATATGGAATGTATGTTTATAGCAATGACAGGGGAGATATCCCTCGTCGGGCAGGTCCTCCCTGTCGGAGGCCTCAAGGAGAAGATATTAGCCGCGCACCGAGCTGGTATCAAGACTATCATCGCTCCCGCTGCCAATAGAGCAGATATCGAGGCAAACGTCCCTGAGAGTGTCAAGACTGGCATCAAGTTTGTATATGTCGAGGACGTGAGAGAAGTTCTGCAAGAGGTGTTCGGGGGAGAAGAGATTGCAGAACGGTGGAAGGAAACATTGGCAATATAACCCCACCATTCTACCTGCGCATTTAATATAATCACTGCTTACATAGTTAGAGACTGGTATGTTTTTGGCTTCAGCTTTGTTTTGTACACGCATAGCAGAAACTGTATTTTACTATCCTGTTCATAAAAAAGTTAACAGCTCCCTTCTCAATGTCGCATGCCTGTCCGTACTTGGGGGTGTTAATGAATTTTTTTGAGGCCGATTGTAGAATGTATGTCTCCCCTTTACTGATCGCCGGTTGGGCTTTGCACAGAGTAGACCAGTCATGACGAGCTAATAATCATCACATCCTATTGTTGTCCTACTGATAGCTGCAATGTTACATAACTTGGGGCTCATCTCTTAGTCCTCTTACATGTGCATGGAGAGTCAGCAGACAGCACGTTCATCTTATCCTAGAAAGATGCCACACTGTTTACACCATCCTTCACGGCGGCCCAAGATGGCCTGGAGGTGATATCTTTCCACCATCTATCAGGAGAAAGTCAGTGAGCAACGAATACAGCGTGTGGGAGACGCGGTGTGAACCTGGCTACATTGGGCTTGCTCTCCATAATATCGCTCCCTGCAACGACGAGAAGAACACCCCAAGGGATGTGGAAAAAATCGGCAAGAGTAACGTCCTGTTGAAAACACGTCAACTCTGTGCGCTCACACGGTCCCGGATAAACAGACTCACATCCCCGGCGAGGTATTTCTGCTTGGCGAGGATAACGTCGTAAACGTCTAATTTGGCAGACAGAGAGGCGAGGGCAGCTTCGACGGTTGCCTCGTTAGTTTGGATTCCTTTTCGCCTTTTGATATGATGGATATGGTCTCCCATGTACAATAATTTAATAACACTTACGGGTTGATGATCTTTTCCATCCCGACGGCAGTAACATAAGGATCGAATGAACTCTGCTCGATACAGACTGCTTGTTCAAAAAGCGCGATCTTCTTCAAGTCATGGGTAGGGATGAGCTTCGTGCCTTGGGATTCATATTTGAGTGCGATGTATCGGCTTATCGCCCGGCTCTCGTAGAGAATGAACCCATCGTCATCCTAGAATCCGGTCAGCACAGACACTACAGAGCAAGAGTAATAGAAACCTTACGATATATGGGACGACACCAAAGGGCTGCTTTTCCAAGAAGGAAGGAGTCTTTTGTTCCCTGGTAGCGAGATTAATAGGGAAAAATTCGAAGGGAACCCTTTTCTCGTGGAGAACGATCGCAACTCGTTTAGTGCAAGTGGAAAAAGCTGATCCATATAGTTTGAAGACCATGGTCGTCCTTTAGCTTTGACTGCGGTAATTGGAGGGAAGACTATTAGGTACTGACCGTTCAATTTATCCGAAATGACGGTGGTTTCTGGAAGTTTCCGCGTTGCTCCATTCTCTTCTGCAATTCATGGATTCGGATTGCGGCGCGGGAAACGCGAACAGACTGACTGACACATGAGTGTAGAAAATCCCCCAATCACCTGACCCCGTTTCGGTTCGAATCCCGACCTATACACGGTTGTCAATCTTTGCTTTCGGTGCCCAACCAAGGTGACCAGTACGCTCATCTTGAAATCTGAAGTAGTAGTTTTTCGCTCTGAAAGGTCCACTTACTAAACTTCTCTGACTAAGGTGAGCTTGATGGCATCAGGCTGCAACCAAATTTATCGTCCATGCTGACTCGATGCTGACTCAAATGCTGACTTTGTTGGCGGTCTGATGACTCTGATTCGTTTATCAAACATGATGACTTGGGCTCTACGTGTTGGTTATTACGCTGGCCGCTAAAATGTGCATCAGAGAACAAGCTGCCAAAACATCCTTACTATCTATCATACCTCTGTCTAGGTCTCTCCGACTATCGCCTTGTCACTTTGAGCAGGGCATGAGGTCGTTGATTGTTGGATATAGGACTCTAGACTCGGACTAGACGCTTGACGGACAGCTCTATGTTCTGGCAGAGAAGTCGTAGCACTTGGATGCGTGTTGCAGGAGACCCTTGCCAACCGTTCACTGCATCCAGAATGGCACGGCTTTGAAATAATGGAGCTCATATCTCAGGATATCTCAGGAAGAAGACAAACATTCGACTCGCGCAGTAGATGCCGTGGTTTACAATACGTCGATGATGGTGAGGGAAAAGACGATGACGATAGCTTGCCGACCTGGACAAACACTTGGATTCCATTGTTCCCTTCATAGAGTGAGGTCCTATATTAAAAACACCGCTGGTGTTTGTACGGCAAGATTACACCAAAAATGGATTTCTCAAATGCCATACTCGTCTCCCTGACACTACCGCTAAGCGGCATTTTATTAATTCAAGTACGACTCGCTTCCTTCGAGAGGGCTATCAGTCTTATTGGCAACGGTTCTCAACAGCGGCCGTTAAAAAAAAAAAAAGTTCGCTTGTGCTATGTTGCCGAGTCATCTCCGCGGAGTTGGTACAAGTTTGGTGGAGAGAGAGCCCTATTCCGTGAAGAATGGGAAATACGGTCAGTCAGAAGATATAGAAACCGTGAGGTTCGAGAGGCCATACCGAAACGTGCACGACGGGCTAGTCCCCCCTCCGACACACGTCCGCGGCTTTTCTCAACATTCTTCTTGTTCGCCAATCAAGTTTTTTTTTTTTTTCGCTCGGGGTACGCCCACACAATCGTCCAACTTTTTTGGATGCTGATCCGTGCTTCCAGATTGCCACGTCTCTCGTCTCTTTTTAGGTTCTCACCTTCACCGATCGTGTTACTGCATCGCTTTGCGGTTCTCATCAAAACTTAAATCCGTATTTATTTTAGTCGAGATCTCTGTACGTTCTCTCTATTATGCAATAACACGTGCAATCAAGTTAGCAGCGGTAGAAAATGACCCTTCGGCTGGACATTGTCGTTGAGTGACATTTTGCTCTTTTTTTGGTTACGATCGAAACTCGGTCGAGGTGTTTCTGTGGCCCGCTATGTGCGAGTTCAAATAGCCCTGAAAACATCTCGACCGTATGTGTGCAACGTACCACATGTCGTGGTGGCGCCTCCATTCGCCGTTACCATCGTCTGATGATCCTACAGCACTGAAGGCGGTCGTGCCTCAATCAGCAGTGAAAGGAATTTCTCTTCCGGGAATTTAAAGTCCTGCTGTGTCTGATTGATTACCGCCTAACGCCTAGGGAGTTCTCCGAGTCCGGCGGGGTATCTGTTAAAACACTGGATACCATTACAAAATTATAATTTGGATTAACAATGGACGAAAAGAACCCGGCAACCCAAGGTCATCCTGATTTCAGCATTATGTTTCAATTAACTACGCCATCTTGAGCATGTCGACCGATGCCCGACCAGTCCTCGAGACAGTGAATGACAAAGCTTGACGGTATGAACACGAGATTCTATTATCGGTGGTCAGGAACACAGCTCTGAAATAAGATTTGGCCCCCCCGCAGCAATAAGCGGTCGCCCATACGGAAGCAAATTTGCCAGGAGGCGCACCCCCTGTCTGTACATGGGTCACACTTGGCTCCAAAGGCGCCACAGGAACATCAGGTACTATGTTGCCAAACGCTGCAGGGTTAACCTTTTTTGACTCTTCCAACTCTCCAACATTCAATTTGTGAGTAAGGCGCGCCATAGACGATTCAAATCTCGAGCTGTAAAATATAAGACAAAGGACATCATCAGCATAGGATGATCTTCATTCTGCTACTCTGCAATTAAACAGGAGGTGGCCTAAAGCAAGGCTGCAGAACCGCGATAGATGACTTCTGTCCGAAATGTTACAACCTTCTCACGCTTCCCATACTATACTTTCCAAGTGTATCACTCCATTGTATATACATATAAAACAGAGCCTTAATGCGCGCGCAAGATTTCTCAAGGCCTTTTTATTATCCGCCATGTTTACGTACCTCACTCTTCTATTCTATGCTGCAATTCTTTCCACACATACTATCTTCCAAGTATGCTATTGTGCAAGTTACAAACGACCTCGTTCATATGCTTGAATATGACTTCCTGTCGGTGAAAATTCCTCAAGCCTCAATGAACAGCTTAGGAGACGCAGGCATACCGCAGCTTTTGTAAGGAGACTGCATGGGATATCATAATAAAGGCACCAAAAGCATCAAAACACATACCGTCATGTCCAAGTCATGTCAAGAGTTGGTGTGCCCAGAATTCGAGGGGTAGAGAAAACGGCAAGTCCTGCATTAGGGACATCATCTTGACGACCTCATACCCAAGCTGTCCATTGGCAACACACTCGGTCGAACAGCTGCAGTGAGCACCGAGGTTCGTTCCTTGATCGGACAATTCATTCATTTAGAGAATGACATTAATGATTGCATCGACATCCAACCGTTCCTTTTATCGGGACGAAATTCTTTAATTGATGCCATAGGAACAATGTACGAACTTGACGACGAACATTGGCAAAAGAGGGGCCAAACCACCTCGACGACATGTCGAAATGTAAGAATCTGATGCCAATTGCTAACACGGAAACGCACTTCACTGTGACTACGAGTCCAGGGAAAGTGTTGGATCGTCATGAGATCGTCCCGTCAAGCGTTGACTTTACCCAGACGCCAAACTTGCTCGGGACCGGTACCGACCATGTCACGGATAATGAAGTGATCTGGTCCGCGTCCTCGTCGGTGAACTACGGCAAGTTTCGTACCAATAAGATTTCAAGCGCTGCAGTAGCGCTGGTTGGCTGAAGGATATTGGAAATAATGCCCATGAACCGTCAAATGAGTGGCGGATGTTTGGGAGGTGTTTGCAATTAGGCACGACTGGAAGCTGAAGACAAATTATCAGAAACGCATCTAATTCGCTACCGCTCCTTCAGAGCCCGGGCCGGCCATCTCGGATGTCGGTACCGCATGAACCTCTTGGCGAACATAATGCTCCCGGCGTGTGGGTCAACCACATTTCTATTTCTTGGGCACGGTTTCAACTTCAGCCTCCCCTTGATGCTCAGGCCCACTTGGCCACAAGGTTCCCATCTGACTTTATATATATCCGAAGGCGATAAACGCCATAGAGTTACACGCTACAAACAAACAGACATATCGATACATGCAGGCTAGTATGAAAATTAGCTGTAAAGCGGGTAATAGGAGGTACAAGAAACGACGAATTCAGGTTGAACCTATGCTTGCCAGGACTGTGAAGACATATTCCTGTCGTTCTCTAAAGGCCTTCAGCCTGGTCATACCTAGACTAAGAGCATTGATGCGGTTCGCGAAAGCAACGGCTTTTCCCTCAACACTTCGCCTGCCGTTGTCCTCATCCCGGTGGCGATCACTGTATCCAACACCTTCTTCTAAGATTTTCCGAACTCTCTCCATCCTTGGCGCTGGTATGTCCCTTCCCTGCTGCGCATATTGCATCGCAGTTCTATCGTCTTCCGCTTCGAGCTCCTTCGAATCCCTCCCAATCGCCGCAAGTTCCACCATGAACGGCTGAAGCTGGATTGGACAATCTGAAAGCATCAAGGGTTGTCCAAGAACACCAACCACCCCTCCTTCTGGTGTCATTGACGTAGTCGCAACATCAAGGATCGCGAACGCCACGGATGCAAAGTATGCACGGGGAGGGTCGCGTTTCAGTAGCGCGCGAAGGGTAGGCTGTCGATCAAGGGCATCGGCTAAAGATGCGTACAATGTCTCACGGATGAACTCAATTGCAGGTGAATTGGGCGCTAAGATGGTGGGAGAGGCGCTTCGTGAAGGCCATCCGCTTGAGCTATTTGCAACATGTGGTGAGAGATGTGCCGGAGTCTGTGCGGGTAGTTCGTGACTTGCACGCTGGGGCAATGCTGGAGGTCGCACGTCAATAGAAGGTCGAGGAGATGTTTGGTGAGAGGGTGGGGGCGCGTCGTAGGAAGGTGGGGGGACAAACGAAGCCTTTACTGATCTGGGACTGCTGAGAGGTCTCCCTGAATCCAAAGCCGCCTGTAGATCAGAGGCGTACTGATCCTGAAAAGACCGCCTCTGACTAATTTCAATAGCTACAGCACGCAAGTCTGCTGCAATACCTTGCAATGAAGGTAATGGGGGGGCAGATAACGGTTCGAGTCCACAAATGATACGTGCTAGATCATGTTGATACTGTGGTGCTAGTTCCTGGATGGATGGGACTGTTTTGGCCCATACAGAAAGAAATGAAGTGAATGCCGGTGGACAGTTTTCTGCAGAAAGCTCCGTTGGTTCTGGCGATTTACTCCGTCGGGGAAGGGGTACAGAAGGGGGGTTTGTAGTACATCGAAGAGCAGCGAAATAAAGGCACAAGGCAGGGCCTACAACATGAGGAATCAGAACTAGTTCCAGTGCGTCACATTAAAAAAGCGACACACCAGTGATCATTAGATCGCCTTCGGCGCTACTTAAAATATTTTCATCCAGGAGTCGTTCAACTTTGGCTTGTGTAAGAGACGATCTGAGGTAGCTGTGGAAGGCATCTTGAATTTGCTGCTCAGAAAGTAATGCTCTCCTTTGCGAGGACGATTCTTCTGACATGTTGTTCGTAAATAGTGGAGAGAGGATTTACCACAACCGCAGGTTGTAGCTGTGAAAGGCTGACGTCATAGTACAGCCCTTCCGTGAGTCATGGAGTTGACGTAGCAAAGAAGCTGACACATCGCCCTCACGACATCGGAAGGAACCATTATCATTCCGCGTTCCATCGGAGGAGATATCATCAAGATTTACAAACTCAAAAATACATCTCCGCCCTAGCTCTAACTCGTTTTAAAACTTGTATACTTTTTTTTGCCTATTACAATACAGGGCCAAAAAGGTGTGGCTTATGACCATCGCGGTTCTATAGTTATAGAAATACTTATCGGTGGTTCTACATCCCGAAACTGTGGGGAGGAGGAATGATTGAAACAATGCCAGTGATCTAGAATAAGTAGTGAATGCAAGAATGATGTACAGTACTTAGTATACAGTTACTTATGACAACGATGAGGAAAGGAGGAAAGGAATTCGGTCATAGGCATCGAAGATGATTTAATACAAGTAGGGCTGCGGAACTAATGAGCTGGAGAATCATCATGAACAGGATTGTACTTACCGATGAAGCACCGCCTGCGGGAGGGACTCGGTATCGTTCCCAGTGGTTGGGATCGTAAACTTGAGTAGTACTTGCCCAGTGTTCCCCAATCACAGTGTCAAATGATGCTGAGATGGCACCAAAGTGAGGCAGAGTAGGGCCAGCACGAAGGGACTCGGACGAAGCAAAATCATAGGTGCTTATTTGTCCATCTGGAAGTTGCGAGGCAAATGAGGGATCGTAAGTCGTAGGTTGGAATGCTAGTAGAGAGTCCTCGTGGAATGGAGGCACGTTCTGATTTACGGAATTCTCGAACGAGTTGAAGCCTGACCCTGCCACACGGGATCCCGACTGCGACCGAGACGATCCGTAACTAGAAAGAGTTCCGAACGATGGCTCTTCCCAGCTAGACTGGTCTAGTGAGAAGGGGACAGGTGAATCCGTTGGGGATTTGGAAAACAGCGAGCTCGGGACATCGGGAATGGGAATCGAAGGTGTGATGGGAGAAACACTGGCCGATGAGGACGCACTCTCGGAATGAGAACTACGGTGTGTTGTATAAGAACTGACGGATGACTTGCGACCACCACGGTCAGAATTAAAGCGAGTGATACTATTGTACCTGGCATCGGCGGTCTTCGTTAGGAGAAATACAACCCCGAGAACAAGCAACCTCATACCTATTCTTAGCGGAAAGGCCGGTTCGCCCAGGGAAGTATGTTTTGACGATTTTGGTCCACAGCTTTCCGTGCTCGTTAACAGCACTAATCAACAATGCGTCCTGCAGAAAGGCATGGGTGAATGAGCTCCTTTGGTAGAAAGCGGCAACTTACCCCCTCCGGCGTCCAGGTAGTCCTGTCGATTGAGGGGTTCAAAGTATCAGTCCAGCGTTTGGCACATTCTACAGACAAGGCGCGAATGTGAGACTTGTGTTGTGAACAGCTATAACAAGCGCTTACGATCACTATTCCTCGTTTGCACTAATGACGCGACAAGAGACCATCTTGAACGTTCAGGATAAGGAAAGACAGTGAGGGGAGGAATGGGGAGGGCGATATACCTTGTACCATATCGTTCAATAGCTTTTACAAGCCTCTCATCCTCGTCTGGCGCCCAGCCGCCCTTGACCACGTCGGAAGCCATCTTGGCAAACCAACGCTTGCGACAGTCTTTGTTGGTACGATCAGGAACATGCTTGGCTATAGCATGCCACTTGGAGGGATTTGGATTACCAGGATCCTCTATAAAATAGAGCCCAGAGTCAACATCGGTAATGGGGGGTAGGAGGAACAAAGTAACTGACCTCGTTGGACGGCCTCGCGGAGGAGCTGGTCTTCCTTCGCAGTCCAGGATCGACGTTCACGAGAGATCATGTTGACCGCAGCCATGGTAATGTTGCACTGAAGAAGTTTCGAGGCAGATCAAGCGCTGGAGGATAGATTGACAGCATGGTTTAAATAATCCTCGATGCCGCTGAAATTGGCCAAATCAGGGAGTCGGAGGAGTGGTGGCATTTTCAACTCCCACGTACAACATAGATCTAAACGAAGCGTAATTGTCATTGTTACCGGCTTTACGGAGAGGCTAAGAAAAGTATTTTTGGACGGCTTTACAGATAATTTCCGTGTTGTTCGAAAAAATATTGATTCCGAATATGATCAATATTTGGTCCGTGAGAGACAACAAATGGGGATTGATCAATCCTTCACGTGAAATCAGACATATAATCAATTAGTAGGTGAGCGTCAGACCATATTACAGGTTATGCAACTTACCAGTAACACACCAATTCAAAACAGAAAACCGAACCGTTAAGAGCGAGGAGAAAGAACGGAAATGTCGCCGAGGCGTGATCAAGGTGATGTTTATGTTTCACACGGGTGTCCCCGCCTGGATTTCCTTTTCTGTGCTACTCCCTCGGCGTAAGCGTGCACTCTCCTCCGGCCTTCAACCCTAACGTACACCTCAAATTCGGGGAGATTTGCTATCACAGTTACGAGCATCAGGAGCCTCGCCCTCCAACCCTGTTTCAAGCTAGATGGAGCCTGTACATGGTACTTGAAGGCTCGCTTGTGAAGACATGACAGCCGCTGTGATTAGAGGATGTGTAGTTGCGCAGTGACCAAAAAACGATATTTTCGGCTCTCGGCTCGGTTGAAACGACCCGCTAGCCGGATAACCAATCGACAGATACATCTATTCCCATCTGGCAGGCGGTACCTGAGGAACCATCGTCCACGGCGTAACTTGCAACCACTTTGCCTTGACGCGTATTCCGGAAAGTCTGCGTCATTGGCTCTCATCTGTGCTTGCAGGGTCAGTCGTCTCCAGACTGATCTCTCCGTATATACGCTTCTTCGATCTCACGGACTTGTCTTTTTCGTCGCGTTCGAGACACAGCGCGGAACGGCTCTAAGCGGCATCGCATTGATCTTGAAGCACCAAAGTTTCTATGTCCCCAAATGGTTGTCCCTTGAGCTTTATGCCCTCGGATGGCCCCACAACAAGCCAGCCCTGAAATGCAATAGTTAATAGTCAATTATCAAGAATGCGCAACCGATGGGCTAGGAAATTCAGAATGGTACTCAAGGGTGGTATAAGGAGGTTGACTGTTTCGAATGCCTTCCGTGGAGATCAAAGCGTTGACATGTAGGTCGATCGAGTAAGCCAGCGGCGGATGGTCGGAGCATCGGATATGACAAGGCTCACCGCCATTTCGGTTACTTGTTTATTTCAGGTTGTGTTCCGGGATTCAAGGCATGAGAACATGCAGGATCAGTCTGCCATGCCTGATTCTTCTTTCCCCCCAGAAACAACCGGAACTAGTACTCTAGTATTTTGGATAGGATGAACGCTAGAAAAGCCGAAGATATGACAGATACCTCATGACAGCGCATGATACCTGCCTGTACTTGGATACTTATACTCCTTGTAGGTTGCAAAGTTGACATGAAATTCAACCATTAACGTCGCTGAAAAGGAAACGCGTGTTTGATAAGGATTCGTCGTTTCAGAAAGACGCAGAATGGGTTGCGGACCATATATTCAACGAAATGGAAGGAGCCGTCGGTTAGCCATGCGTGCTTAACAATGGAAATGAAATTTATATGCAAAAGACATACATCACAGATCTCCTCGGGGAGATCCAAAATTGACGAGCCTTTGCTTTCCCGATGTGATCAGGATAAAAATGTTGATCATATCCACGTAGATAAGACCTCGGAGGGAGTCCATGGCGTCAGGCTCCGAATCAAATATTGGCAAACATGGTGCCAGCCAGCTAGTCGCCCATCGCGGTGCAAGTAGAACCATCAAGTCGCGGCCTGCCCATGAGCATGAAGCTGGAGCTTTACAGCTGTCCCCAAAGATTTGACGGCGCACCTATCACATGCCGATTCTCGCTTAAGCTCAACAACAGTTTCGCAATTGTCCGCTCCCCATTTCTGTATATATTTCAGCCATCCCGCAGAAAGAACCACTGAGCTAAGTATGTCCTGAGCACTTGACCCTGCAGCGCATCGGCAAGACAGAGGTCATCGATATCGTCATTGCGGGCTTTGGACGTCGTTCAGATCGCCCAGTATGGCCATGGAAATCCAGGAAGCCAATAAGCTTCGCGCATAATAATCAACCGCCGAACATCGCTCGATGATAGTGTATATTCGACCAATCGCGCTTCTCTCGCTGTGCCTAGGTACTGTTGTGTGGTAAACTCTAGAAAACATTTAGAATTCCAAGAACCCCAGGGCGCGCCACAGTGGGCCAAGCGGATTTAGTATATGTTGGACATGCAGCTTAGAGATGCGAGGCGTCATAGGGGTCCATAGGGCATATTTCCTGCCAGAAAGATACATCTCGGAAGGAGCCCTCTTTCCAGAACGCAGCACACCCTGAACATGGACTAAGATAGTTTCTAACTTTGTAATTTGGACAACATGTTCGCACTTCCATTGAGTAGGACAGGAAAAATAAGAATTCAGAGATACAGACTCACATGGAAATGCGCAAATAATCAGATGCCAAAACGTCGCTTAGAGGGTAGACGGGTAGGCCGTCAACGGTTGGCATATAATCCAAACAATGTACGACAGTGCCAATCCTGTTCTAAGCGCAACCTATCGCGCTCATACTGAGTGATCTGTATCACGAATAACATGATTCCTTACCAGTATATGAAACATGTCATTTGGCGAGTGTTGGCTCTAATTTCGTCAGCACAATGCATCGCGTAGGAGCATGCCCACGTGAAACTACGCGCTTCGACACTCAGTACCGCCTATCAGCTTCATCATTCTCTTAGATATATCGAGTGATAACGCGGCGGTGAACGTATGCAGACATAGAGAGATGGTCTCAATTGTGAATTTGTGACTGCGGGCGCTGGGGAAATGTATAGCAAGGGGCACAGGCACTAGGTCAAAGCAAGACATAATAGAAGGAAACTTGTGAGTGGCGACTGAGTTTTCAGGTACTCAGACGAACGAATCGTTAACGGCCTGCTGTAGACGACGACGAAGGTTCGGCCTTCGCGGTTGGAACTTTCCACCAGAAGAAAAACAGACACAGAGAGAGCCGAACGTATGGCAAGCCCGTGAGAGCTTGCAGTACAGCTATTCAATAATCGCTGGTGGCAGCTAGTAAACAGTATGCTGATGAAGCAAAGTACTGTATAAAAATCTCCTGGCGTTAAAGTGGAAGGTAAGTCAGGACCAGGAACCAGGGGAGGCACAATATCATCATGATGGTGGGTAGCAATAACAAGAGGTTTGCAAATTTCAAATTGCCTTGGGAACTTCGGACGCGAACATCACGTGCTGTGAAAGGGGCCGAAATCTGTTCGAAAATCAAATTGAAGTGGAACAGGTGAGCCGAACTTTTTTCTCTATCGTCGGTTCTACCATGGCTGAAATACACGATTCCTTCGATACTATCTTGATCCTTGATTTTGGCTCACAGGTAGCTTTCCAAGCAATTTTGCTATCTTTTGGCTGAAATATTGACCATAGTACAGCCATCTTATTACCCGACGATGTCGCGAACACAATGTCTATGCCGAATTAATGCCTTGCACGGTGAAAATTAGTGATCTCCATTTCAAGCCCAAAGGTTTCCATTTGAAAGTTTTCGGAAGCACAGGAGGTTAACTTACCTCCAAGGTGTGATATTGTCTGGATCACCATATTCTGTCTACGACAAGGACGCGCCTCATGTTAACCCGGCAGTATTCGACCTTGGGGTTCCTGTCCTAGGCATCTGTTACGGATTGCAGGTGCACCTGATTTAGCGCCACGGTCGTCTTCTCATCCTGACGACACATGACTCTAGGAAATGGCGTGGACTATGAAGGGAAAAGTAGCGAAATGCGATCACCGAGAGTACGGATTTGCCCAAATTCAGATCGTCAAGGCAGAAGATACGGGTTCGTCCGCCGGGGTTCTATTTGAGGGCCTAGGAGACGAAATGCAGGCAAGTCACGTAGCGGTGTACTTGAAAAAGCATGCGTATCTGATCGCTTCACAGGTGTGGATGTCGCACGGTGACCAACTTACGGAAATGCCACCCAATTTCCACGTTATTGGTCACACGAGTACTGCTCCATACGCCGCCATCGCTCATAGTTCGAAGCCATTCTATGGGATCCAGTTCCATCCAGAAGTGACTCACTCCCCCCGCGGTAAACAAGTCATTGGCCAATTCATCTTGAAAATATGCGGTTCCAGACCTGATTGGACGATGGTGTGCATCTGCATATGATTGTCTTTGTTTCTGTGTACTAACATTTCTCTAGCAAGAATTTATTGGCAAGGAAATCAACCGCATCAGAGAAATCTGCGGCTCTTCAGGTCGTGTAATCGGCGCTGTTAGCGGTGGTGTGGATAGCACCGTCGCCGCGAAGCTCATGCATGAAGCCATCGGCGATAGGTTGGTTCCTCGGTTCGTTGTTACGAGTATATTCTGACATATCTTAGATTTCATGCGATCATGGTGGATAATGGTGTTCTTCGCCTTAATGAAGCCGCCCAGGTTGACGAGATGCTGAACAAAAATCTTGGCGTTAACCTTACTATTGTTGATGCGTCCTCCCTTTTCCTTCAACGCCTGGAAGGAGTAGAGGATCCCGAGCAAAAGCGCAAGATCATCGGCAACACTTTCATCAATGTATTCGAGGAAGAAGCGACGAAAATTGAGGCTGAAAAGGACGGAAAAGGACGAGTGGAGTGGTTGCTGCAAGGCACTCTGTATCCTGACGTCATTGAGAGCATCAGCTTCAAGGGACCTAGTGCTACGATCAAGACGCACCACAACGTTGGGGGTCTTCTCAAGGACATGAAGCTCAAGTTGATTGAACCTCTCAGGGAGCTATTCAAAGGTACGACTTACCTAACTCCGCACTGATTTCATTGATGTTGAGACATACTTAGATGAAGTCCGGGCTTTGGGGCGTTTACTGTCTATTCCTGCGCCGCTCGTTCAGCGACATCCTTTCCCCGGACCTGGACTGGCAATACGGATCCTCGGACCCGTCACGCGCGATCAGGTCAAGATACTCCAACAAGCTGATCACATCTACATCGAGGAGATTCGTAAAGCTGGACTGTATAATGAGATTGCTCAGGCGTTCGCCGTCCTATTACCTGTCAGAGCTGTTGGAGTTATGGGTGATCAGAGAACCTACGAGCAAGTATGCCCGAATTCTGTGTCTCCGCCGATTGTATTTGAATTGATCCTCGCGTTCAAAGGTCATTGCCCTACGCGCTGTGCAGTCCGAGGATTTCATGACTGCTGATTGGTAAGTCCCTGGCATGCAATGCATTTGCTGTGCTCAATGTGTCGTTAGGTATGTCTTTCCAGCAGAGGTCCTTCGCCGGATCTCGTCCCGTATTACCAATGAAGTGCTAGGCATTAATCGTGTTACCTACGACATCTCTTCAAAGCCTCCGGGGGTGCGAATTTCTTTCCTATGTGGAAAAGACCGGAACTGATCTGAGAATCCGCAGACTGTTGAATGGTTATGAACCTCCTTTGGGTTTCGCGCGGGCAAATTCCGTAATTTTCGGCCACTCACGTAGTGTAACCCCCTGTAGATAGACATTCCTAGGTGTCCTAATATTGCGAGTGATAGAATACAACAACAATAAGATAACCTGTATAGCGATAACATCATTGTATGGTCAAAGAGGAATTTGTCTACAGTGGAACGAGAAACTAGTACATTATGATGGCAAAGGAGCAGCAAATGATTCACGACCTCGACCTCGATACGGAGAATTGCCGCGACCACGATCCATATTAGATATGAACGCTCCCCTACCCCGAAGTCCGGGGACAAACCCTCCCCGTCCTCGTCCAGGGTTGAAACCACGTATTGGTCTGGAATTCAGAGCCGGGCCATTCGTAGACGGGGCAGATAATTCTTTAGAGGGCTCAACTCCAGGCACTGGCGATCGAGGAGCTCCTGTCGGTACCGCGCCACGTCTGCTTACGTATCCACCACGACCTCTTCGAGGATTCGACATGATGGAAACAGGCGAAAATGGTCTGACGGAGTAAGGAACTTAGTATTGTCCATATGTTTCCAAAAACGGCTTACTTTTGACTCGGTTGAGCTGGTCTAAAAGCAGAGGCAGATGGCTGTCCCTGTGCAGGTGGAATAGTAGGACGTGGGCCAAAACGCGGTTTGAGGGGCGTTGTAATTGCCGATGGTGCCTTAGGATTGGTAGGCGTGACAAACTGGGGATTGGTCAAGTTAAGACAGGAATTGAAGTCGACGGTCAATCCCCGATACTGTGAGCATCTAAACAAAAGAAGAATGATTCGTGATCAGGACGGAAACAAAAGATATAAGGTTTACTTGTCGCCTAATGTAGTTCCGGACATGAATGGGACATCCCAGACCACGTTCATGGATTTGGAATTCAGCCCAATGACAACGCCTTTGGCGGCCAAGGGCACAGCTCCAGAATCTTGTATCATGGTGACTCTGTCTCCCAGTGCAAAATGTTGATTTTGGAGGCGATACACGGCATGAGCAGGCTTGAGAACGGCTTGCCGAGGAATACCGTTGACGAATGCCTTCTTCATGGCCGTAGGAGACTTGTTCGCATTGAAGGAGGCGGCCATTTTCTCGATCTCATTGACCATGTTCTGTCAGAACACTCAGTCGATGTAATAGAACTTGATTGAAATGAGGGTCGTCACCTTTGTCAGTTGATCGCAAAACAATGATACAGGCTCAAAATCGCGAACGCCTTGAGTCTTGAGCCAGATCTTGATTTCCCGGACACGCCCATCGGAATCCGGCACAGATAGTACTTCCGACGCTTTGGCCATGGCTAAGATAATGTTAGAATATACATGACTTATGTCTCTATTACGACCCACCATCTCCGGGTTCATCAAGTGAACGGAAGATATCAGGAAACTTTGTCTTGTCAACAACATTAGCCATATGCGAAAGTCGGAAATTATTGGGTCTTACTTTGTAATCTATTAAGAGCTTGATTGCCTTCTCACTAAATTCCCAGTTTCGACCTTCTTTGCGTGAATAGTCAATCACCTTCATTGATTTACCTTCGAATTTAAGGCTTAGACCCAGGTTGTTTTTCACGCCGTCAGAAGTTATGACCATAAAACTCGATGATATCTTTGATAACGCACGCCCAGAAATGCCGACCATCTCGGCCGCCCTGAACGAAGGATAATACCGCTCAGAAGTCCGGTCCTGGATAATCGCCTTGAACTTGTCGTTCTCGGACTTTTCGGACGGGAAGAACTTGACAAAGATCAGCCACGGACGTTAGTCGGCAAAGGTTACTGATCACGCACTCCAAGTTTAACGGAAAGGGATGTTTCTGTCGTGGCGGAAACATGCGCAACAACGCCATAAGCATGCTCACCCAAGAAGAAGATCTTGCTCCCATCGGGGAACTCTTCTGACAGTGGCGGCGCAGGACGTTCAATATACCGGGGATCTTCAGATGTTACATGTCCCAGGGTCATCTGGATGGCCTGCTCCGTTTCTTTCTCGCTGCCTTCGTAATCCTTCACGAAGGCACCATCTCCAAGGCGCTTCAATCCTACGACACCGGTCAGACTGCTGATATATTTTGCACCCCCAAAGAAGTATCGCACCTTTCAATGGCCGAACATGGAGAAGAACTTCTACATTTCCCGTGATCACCCCACATTTCTTCGAGTATATCTGCTCTATTCGCTCCGCCTTCATCTTCCAAAAGTTTAGGCCTTGAGGGGAGTGCGGGTTTGACACTACCTTGGGTGCAGTCCCGGGGACCACGGATATCTTCTCATATTTGAAGAGAGCATCCGAAACCGCCACAACTAAGCCTTCCTGTAAGAAGGGCCAGCCAATGAATGACCGTTGTCCGACCATTTCATTAACGATATCACCAATCTTCCGGCTTTCGTGTGGATTCTTAATGTGCACAACCATTGATTTATTTCTGCTCTCCGACCCGTGCACATTGACGCCATGGAAACCAAGGACAGATGTATGTGGCAGGGTTTTGAGGGAAGGAAACCCAGCGAGTGCATCAGCGCCCAGTGAAACGCCTTCGATTAAGCCATCAAGAAGGTGCAATCCATCTAGCGTAGGCAGATCGAAAGGTTCCATCACACACATACAATGTTGTAGCGACGGAAAGAACCCCGGGAGAGAGGAGGGGTATAGGGTAGGTTCGCCACCCACTCTGTACGTGAACTTTGTGCTGGTACCAAAGCCATTGCGACGCTTCTCTTCAGGAGTTAATCGATGTTCACGGGCTATGAATAAGACCTTAGCAGTCATTAACGCAAGGATTGTGAATTAAGCTTACAGGTCATCGCTTTCAGTAAACGCTTAGCCTCAATGAAAGGGATTTTAACGATAGCCTCCCAATCTTGTTTTTTCCCATTGAGATCCTGCTCAAATTCTAAGGGGTAGAAATCCAGGATGGGGGAGTTAGGATCATACATAAGATCCTAGAAACGTATCAGCCATCACCAGGGTGAATTGAGCAAGTAAAAAATACCTGGAATGCTAACGGTATGTGGTCCTTGCTAGCCACAGGCAACACACCCATGAGCTGTTCGTACGGTTTGAACGGTTCCCCGAGTTCAAAGTTGAACGTCATCTTATCTACATCCCGAAGATCTGAAATTCATCTCAGAGTTAGGCAATTCGCCACGGAGAAATCGACTCGACAAACCTGATATCCTAGGCGCATAATGGTAGTCGTAGAACCATCCCCATGATGCGACTCCGCTATAATAGTAATGCATGACCCATTGGAGGCCCTCTACATATCGACATGTGAGGGCACCCATTGCATTCGGATCATCGTATGATATCTCTAGTTTTCCCTAATATTGGCGTTTAATCGATGCGTCGACGTTAGATCAAAAGCCACACCTTATAGTAATTCCGTTTCCATTCATCCATCTTTTCCCGGATAGATCGTTCATGTCTTGCATCGAAGCTCCCACCTTCATCCTCATCCATCACAGATGCCTTTGCATACTTCTTCAAAATCCTTTCAATGGCCGCTTTGCTTTCTTCGTCTTCGTCGTCGGTATCTTCCCACTCTCCGTCGTCTTCATTGTCCTTCTCGTCATTCTCCTGTTCACCCTCCTTCAAGGAAGATGAATCCTCGAAAGTACCCGGAAACCTCAAGGTAACCAAATTGACATCCTCATCGTACTCATCCCACGTGATCGACAAATGGAGTTCTTCAGCCAGAGAACCAATGAACTTCCGCTCCCGCGCAGGAAAACCGTTCGGCAGAGCCAGTTTTCCCTTCCTGTCATTTCCCAGCACAAACTCGTGAACTTTCTCAAATATCACGCGCTGAGGGCGTGTCAGTACTGCGAGTAAAAGGATGAGCATGCATAACCGAGTAGTAATACTTCAGCGCACCCAATTTTGACCGCCTACGTGCCAACTCCATCTCTTGCACATGTTTAGATTGCTTTCCTTTGTACCAATTTAGATCCGCATATTCCTTCTCGAATACTTCTTGCTCCCACTTGGCCATTTCGTCCAAAATCACTTGCAGCCGTAACAGGTTGATTGTCCCTCCTTCGTTAAGATATCCATCTTACAATATGTCAGATGCATACCACGGTGTCGAAGAGTAAAAGCAAACCTAGCCCAGGTAAAACCGTCTTATACACGTCAAACAGTTTCTCCAGGCCATTCTCGTGTATGTGAAGATCGGGTAAGTTTGGAAGAAAATCATTACCCACAAATACGGCCAGAAGAACGAAATCATCAATAACACGTTCAAGGCTATATGAAAATGGAAGCCGTGATTCAATTTCGTGGAATTCAAGATCAAGGTATTCCCTCATGAGAGAAATATGCAATAAATAGAAGTTGATACTTTCCAAACTATAGTATGTATCGTGAGTGAACCGGGTCAAAGAGATAAAGAAAAGCGCGCACTTAGTTCCACCTTTTTTCTTCGACGCCGGACCAAATTTGACTTCCTCACGCAATAAACAAAAATGTGGATCGTGGCTCAACAGGCCAAGCATAATAAGGTCGGCATCCAGGCCATAAAGACAATGACGGACGTTGGGATTGTACTCTGGTTGTGCCCGAGAGAGACGAATGTATTCCATAATCTTGTGTTCACCTTCGCCCGGAACCTCGTGTCCAGACAAAATCACTTGCACATTTTGCCAATTTGAATCTTCAGTTATCTTTTTGTTCACAAAATATCGTAACTGTTTGGAGAGACGGGTCATGAAGGGCGTCCCTGAAACATGGTCAGACCACAGATCGAGGATGGAGAACGTAGCGCACCAGGAGTGATACAGTTACTGTCAAATGCCTTCTCCTCCGGCAGTTTCTCCCCTTTGGCCTCTGCTTTCTCTCGGAGTTCCTTCGCCTCCTTTGCCGTCCTGAACCGCCGGCTTCGTTGTTGATTCATCTTGGCGCGCGGGGCAACGCCATCAACAGCCATGAAAAACAGTTTCTTTGGCTTGATCTTTCCGAAAAGATGGTCGACATACGCGAAAATAGACGTGAATATCTGTTCCTCTGAGAGTCTGAAATGGGCATCGTCGTCGTTCGGATGTGAGCCTGGACATGTGTTAAAGCCATGTTCCCGGGACATGCAGTAAGAATAAACGAACAGTTATGAATGATTGAGTTGAAGTCCAGATAGAGATTGTCTGCAGAAAAATAGTTTAGTCAACGGAATGCTTTCAGGATAGTGAATAGAACTTGCCAAATTCAGGTATCTTATTTTCCTGAATAAATTGGGAAGTTAGCGGGTAACGCTCTCTGAGAGGATGTCGGTTCAATCCTATATTGTGTTACTTTTCAGAGTCACGCACGATATGTATCTGAAAAACTGAGCATGGACAGGTCAATTCGTACTTTGGTCTGTCAATCTTGCCAAACACACGGACCTTGGGGATACCTGAAATTTGCGTTAAATACACTTACATGGAATGGTCGTAGGACTTACCCATTGTCGTAAACGTTTGTATTGGCAGGTAACTGTGGTTAGAAATTCGAAGTTCAGGGCAAGGTGATGACTCATCAATTTGCTTAACACTCCTGTGATAAACAATGCGTCATTTCCGACGATCCTCAAATCTCCCACCATCACGTGCGCTTCATATTGATATAGTACTATACATACTTTCACAAGTGATAAACAGATTTTGCATCCATATTTTGGAGCACTAAGAAATACGCAAAGATGGATACAGGTTCAGTTTCTAGCATTGCTGATACAGTAATTTAACCACACAAGCAGACAACAGTCGTGAGACCTCCAACCACAGGTACGAACAGACACGACGACAAAAAAGGGCTACGAAGTCCAACACGGCAGACGACAATCCAGGACAAAAGCAATATCAGGAGCATGCAAGAAACAAGACGTGCAGAAGAGACCAGAAGCAGAGAGACTTATGCAAAAGAGAACAGAAATCAAAGGTCGCGGCTGGGGGCGCCCTCCTTGTCTGATGAGCGCGGTTGTGACGACGAGAACGGCTCGGATGATGAGCCAGAGTTGGCAGCCTTTTTCTTCTTTGGCTTCGGTGCTTTGCCTCGGTTGGGATTCTCGGGGGAGTCTCTCCACAGCACAGCAACCTGAGTGTATGTGTATATATCCAGGTATAGACATAAAGAAAGCGAGAACCAACCTCCTTCATGGCATCCCTCGCAGACCTATCAGGATTCTGCTCCTTCCAAAGCTTCAATTGGACCGACATAAACTGTTGATATTTGGAAGGCTCGCGTGGTGCCTTGCCTTCTTTAGCTACCTTGGCGTGGGCGTAACGTCGATCAGTGAAAGGCGCATATACTCACCAGTTTTGGTCCTGGAGGCCTTGGACATGGCCTTGACAGAAGAATCTAAGAGGATGTGAGGAGCCTGCTGTTCACAGAGACACAGATAAAATACCTTTGCTAGTTTTTGGCATGACTGAACGCGACTGAGACAGCTGAAGAGAGATGGTGGTGGTACGATGTTAAGACGCGTCACGGACGAGATCCAAGTTGATCAATGATCACGCGTCAATCAACAAGTGATCTGTGCGCAACGCGTGGGATTTAAAGTCCGCTGATGTCAGTATTTCAACTCGACTGCGCAGCGGCACCTTCCATCACGCCCGCCACTTCGGGTCCTATATCCACTCGTTAGCATTTAGTTTTTCCCTCCCGATTCTCTTTTTTTGGAATGGCCGCAGTCGTTCTTTTTTTCGCAGTTGCTGCGCTTTCGGGCTCTTCCGCTCTGGCCCAAGATGCTACAGGAACCTATCCTGCAACGCCCTTGGCATCGAAGCATTTTTCTTACCCTTCTGGAATAGTATGTTGCGCATTCTTCATACCTTTATTTTTGATGTTGAGCGAGGTTATAGCCCTACAAAGTTGATACCGACACAGGCTTGATTCGAGGAACTCAGTTTGGTTACAACTTGTGCAACTCTACCACCGAAAATCAGAACTCCCTTTGCCAAACTTCTTTTTTGAACGCCTTGGATGGTAGATTGCTCTCTTTTCTCTATTGTCTCTTTTTTTGCTAAAGTCTTGTATTCAGATTTCTGCTTGTGGGCCCCCTCCCAGCCAAACAGCACCATCGCCGACACTGAAGGCGAGGAGGTTGCGTGGTGCACCAAGAAAGGTCGTGGGACACGTCTGATGCCTGAAGGCACTTTGAAGGGCGTTCAGTTCATCAGGACGCCTGGGTATCTGCAGGTCACCGGTTTCATTGACCAGACAAAAATTAATATCCAAGATGGGGATTACGGAGGCGAGCTTGATCCGCATGGCGCCGATCTCGTGAGTCCCTCCACTTTTCGTGAATCTCCAGATGGAGACATCCTTATATATTAGCGTGGAAATCCCATGGGTGGTCTCATGTACACTACTGGCTGGAGCAGTGACAATAGTACTTATACCCAAGCTATTGAATGGCACAAGTACGCCTTTTTCCAACTGTCGTTTATTTTCCTGCTGAAATGTTTTAGTTTCATGGGTGGCAATGCTTTTTGCTTCAAGATTTGCGATCCTTCTGGACCCAACCCAGCTGATCTATGTCAACACATTTACGATCGTATTGGCTGTGCCTACAATGCACCCAACAATGCTCAACAAGGTGTTTTCGAGTCTTGCCAGGGCGATAACCAGGACCCCCCCGGCATCTATACCTCGGGCGGCGTTGTCATGACCTACACTCAGCCTGCCGAGTCCCTCGGTCCTATCACCTCCATTCCCTACACCGCGAGGATACCCGCATCAAGCAATTGTGTTTCGTTCGCAAGTTCAGCTTTGTACACTGACGGACCAACCGTAACCACTACCTCATCGACCTCTGCAAATACCTCGAAAGCAACGTCGAAGGAGGGTTCGACCGGTGGTACGGCGACCAGCACTGCCTCTGGTGCGGGAGCTGCGTCAACTGGCAATGGCGCTACCGAGACGACGATTTCCGGTATTGCAGCATTGTCTGTCATTCTGTCTGCTCTTTTCCTTTCTTAGACATGCTGCGCCCTTTTCATGACAAAATCATTGTGCCTTCATGACTTTCACACCGGTGTCACTCGTTTAGTTCTTGTCTACTTTTATTGGCTATATTCTACCATGGACCACTAACATTCTTTTCGCATATTAGGACCGTTGTTAATTAAAACTTCTACACGTAGTTTGCATGGACACTTTACTTGGACAGGGCTTCCTACGAACGTAAATTGATATGATAGCCGGCCGATGAGACAAAGGTGAACGTGATCCATACCGTGTGGAGCCGCCCATATTTCCCTACTATTACCTGGAGCCCTTCTACCAATCCCTGTTGAATTTCTTTGTCTTCCTTTCTCTTGCGGGCAGGTACGCCTTTGTCCAGTATCGTATTAAGATACAACTTTTCCGTGTGCAATCGCATCCCGCTCTCTTCCGTCCACCGCCGCACTCGGTGTTGACGACATTGAAATGGCTCCCAAGGCAATGAAGATCAAGCGCGCGCTCAAGACTGCTGCGCGCTTTCCCGTGCGCGGTGCCGGCACTCTTGTCGGTGGAGGCCGTGGGAGTGGGCGCAATACCCTTTCGCCCATCTCAGGAGAGGACTCTATTGTGATCCTGAGGCTGCAGATTTTCGGCTGCAAGGACATGCTGGCCAAGGATAAGAATGGAGCTAGTGATCCGTGCGTATCATTTCACCGTCGTGTGATAGGAGCTTACACGATGTGCTGCTAGCTTCATTGTCGTGTCTATGTTGAACTCGCGATTCCAGACTCCCGTGGCAAAGAAGACACTTCAGCCAATATATGCGCCCAAGGATGCAACTTTTGACTTCCCCATCTATCTCTCACTGGCCGACAGGTTGGGGGTCTTGGAATTGGTGGCATGGGATAAGGACATGTTGATGAAGAAGGACTACATGGGCGAAGTGGCATTGCCCTTGGAGGACTGGTTCTCGAATGGGAGGACGTACGGCTTTGACGAGCCAGGTAACAAGGTAAGTCAACCTCTTTCTTATCGTGACGCGGGCGCCAAAGTTGTATGCATTCAGGCGTTCTCATTAAACCTTGTTTCGACAAGAGATGGAATGAAAGCCGCCGGGTCCGTGCAAGTTAAACTTGGCTTCGTCTCGCCACCCAAAACACAGAACCTTCTTGAGTTTGACGAGATCTTCTCAGAACTCATCAGACGATCTCGGCCTTCTTTGGTTTCTGCACCACCAGTAAGTCCTACAAGTTCGCCGAACTATTTTTCATTTATTAAACTTTGTAGACGGAAGGTGTTGGTACCGTGCGCTCCCACGCCGGCGTGGCTGACTATGAAGATGACGGTGGTATCTCATCGGATTCTGACTCTGACTTTTCTGACGATGAGGAGTTTGCCGATGCTCTAGACGACAGTGATCCCGTCCTAACGCCCACACCCAATACCGCGCCTACAACCCCAGCAACTAGCTTCTCCACAGGTCCCACCTCGCCTTTTACCCCTACCAATACACCTGCATCTCAAGAGGCCGAAACTCGCCCCCTCCCTCCTCGGCTTGATTTGACGCCGGCTACACCTGTTGGATCGCCTAAAAGGTTTCCTTCACCAAAGATTGCGACGCCTTCTCCCAGCTTCATGAGAATGAAATTTTCACGACGATCGACCTCGACGTCAAACCCTACCAGCGAAACTTCTGATACGGGGACGCCTCCAGGGACACCAGGTACAGGTTTGGAGAAGGAGAAAAAGAAGCGCTTCAAAAGAAATTGGGGCACAAGTTCTAGCAGCGCGCCGGGTACAAGCAGTGGTAGTGGTAACGAAGGCCCTGGTGGACGGATGAAACGAAAGAAGCAGCCATATAGCTTCAGCGGTCGAAATGACATCGTGGGAATCGTTATGTTGGAGATCAAGTCTGCCCAAGATCTGCCAAAATTGAAAAACAGTGAGTAGAACTTGGTATGTATTAGAAAAATACTAATCCGAAGTGATTCCAATTTAATAGTCACCCGTACGGGGTGGGACATGGACCCCTTTGTCGTCATTTCATTTGGCAAGAAAGTTTTTCGGACTCGTATTATTCGTCACTCTCTCAGCCCTGTTTGGGATGAGAAGTTGCTCTTCCATGTTAGGCGATACGAGACAACTTTTAAAGTCCAGCTCACTATCTTGGATTGGGACAAACTTTCTTCCAATGATCACATTGGAGATGCCAGTTTCGACCTCAAGGATTTGTTGGATAACGTACCTCAGGCCGATGAAGAGACTGGGCTATACCCTTTTACTGACGAGGATCAAGCGATGACAGACTTCAAGCTGCCTTTGACGACTGGAAAAGATATGCCTTGGGAAGCCAAACATGCCCCAGTTATATCTCTTCGGTATGCGATATCTATTTGTTTTATGTACCTGACTAAAGGTTTTCGGATGATAGCGCCATGTACCAGCCATATGCCGCTCTTCGTCAACGTTTCTGGCGACAGTTCCTCAAGCAATACGATACTGATGACACGGGATCGCTATCTCACATTGAGATTATCTCGATGCTGGATTCTCTCGGTTCGACTCTTACACGCTTGACCGTCAATTCGTTTTGGACTCGTTTCAACAAGAACTCTCATACGGATGAGTTAACCATTGCCGAAGCCATCCAGTGTTTGGAAGCGGAATTAGGTCGACCTGATAGTGAAAAGAAGAGGTTGGACACAGATGACGCCCTTCTTGACAGCAGCGTTAGTGCAACGCCCATGATCATGATATCGGATAGGGAAGGTAATGAACTACCACTGGACCGTCTTGACTTTTCAGGGCCCCCAGTGAGCATGTCAATGGTTCCGGAAACTAGCGATGCGGTCGGTGGTGCGGAAATGAATGCACAGCCAGTTGCTTCAGGGTCATACACGACTGAACCTGCGCAACAAAGTCTTATGCAGGCTACGCCTGCGGGTGAAAGCGCCGACCCTATCGTCGGAATGGCTATACAGGGCTCTTATTCATCTTCTGAACCTGAAGACGAGTCTTCCGGCACCGGGTCTCCAGAACCGGAGACCGTTCCAGCTACGAAGAGATCCAAATTCAGGAGAGCGACGGAATCCAAAGCAAAGGCTGGGTCTACATTGTCCGCCTCTAGCTCCTCAGGCTCCGAAACATCGCTCGAACGTGTCATCAATGTCAAGAATTGCCCATTGTGCCACCGTCCCAGGCTCAATTCGAAGGCGGAAGTTGACATCATTACCCACCTCGCCGTCTGCGCCAGCCAGGATTGGAACAAAGTTGATCGCATTGTCGTCGGCAACTTCGTAACTGCCAGCCAGGCTCAGCGGAAATGGTACACTAAGATCATCGGCAAGATTTCGAGTGGTGACTACAAGCTCGGCGCTGTAAGTATCTAATCATCGTAACGATGCATCACTTAAATGGTTCCAGAACTCCGCCAATATCATTGTTCAAAACAGGATGACGGGTCAGTTAGAAGAGGAGAAGATGCAAGTATACGTAAGGCTAGGCATTCGATTGTTATACAAGGTGGGTTTATCCTGGACCCTCTTCGTATGTAATGCTCATATGAATATTAGGGGGCCAAAGGTCGAATGGAAGGAAACGGAGGTAAGCCTTTTCTCTTACTTCGAGCTGACCTTGATGTCTCTGCAAACAGCACGTCGTCTATTAAAATCCTTATCGATCAAACAAGGAATCAAGTACGACGCGCCTGAATCTGCCCGCGACATTCCTACTTTCATTGAATTCCATGGACTCAAGGTGGATGAGATTCTGGATTCCCTGGATTCTTTCAGTAAGCTGGCCTCTGCAGTGATTGATCGCATGACTAATCGTTTCTCAAGAATCCTTCAACGAATTTTTCTACAGGTATCTTTCTGTATCTGCTCGGCAATAACATACAGTCACTTACAATGGCTTTTTAAGGAAATTGAAACCTTCTGCAAGGCCTATCGAGAAACCTAATGACCCTTATCGGCTTGTCAGTGCAGCCGACTGTCGTTTCATGGCGTTTGAAACCGTCAGCGAAGCGACTCGTCTGTGGATCAAAGGTCGTGAATTCACTGTTTCTCGACTATTGGGCGACGCGTATAAGGACCAAGCCGATCGATACAATGGTGGTGCTTTGGCTATATTCCGACTAGCGCCTCAGGACTATCACCGATTCCACTCACCTGTTGAGGGTACGATTGGACCCATGAAGTACATTCCCGGCGAATACTATACAGTCAATGTAAGTGAATGAGGTCATCTTCCATGGTTTCAGGCGCTCACTGTATGTTTCTACCAGCCTCAAGCGATCAGAACGGCTCTGGACGTTTACGGAGAAAATGCGCGTAAGATCGTTCCCATCGATAGCCCTCATTTCGGGCGTGTGATGGCTGTTTGTGTTGGTGCTATGATGGTTGGCACTATCAGGACAACTGTGAACGAAGGTGATTATGTTCAACGGGGCCAAGAATTTGGGTATTTTGCTTTCGGTAAGCTCTCCTGTTCAGGTTGAGATTGTAGGCGTCTTATTCTTCCTAGGTGGATCAACGATTGTTGTACTATTTGAAAAGGGTACAGTGGAATGGGATGAAGATCTGTTAATTAACGGTCGTGCCGCCCTTGAAACTCTTGTCCGTGTTGGGATGGGCATCGGCACAGGTGTCAAGAGGGGATAGATGCGAACTTCTGAATATAAGATATACTTTTTTGAAAAGTAGATATATGTATAGTTATGCCGGATAATTAAAATTTGCGGATCGACCGGAGACTTGTGGGCTGCGACTGAGTATGAATCACTGGAGATCAAGGTTCAAAGAAGGAACAGTCCAAGTGTCAATGAAGGAAACCTGGCCCAGTGACGTCGTATTATGGAAAAAACCGATCATGATCATCAAGAGATCGTCAACTTCACGAAAAATCAGCCTTCTGTTGTAAGAGACCTTTCCCAGAGTGTCGATTTCCATTGAGATAAGGAAGGAGCTTCATTAGTTTTACACGGAGCTCTTCGATTGCGAAGCCATAAAATGTGGGTACCACGGTGAATATAATTTCGGATGGCCATCTCTCTCAATACTTTGATAGTTGTATGCTGCTTAGAGAAGGTCTGCATAAGTGGTTATCGGCGCTGTATTTTTTGGAACGGGCCCTGAGTTTGACCGAACCCTGCTAAGGGAAGTCCTAGAACACTAAACAATGAACTTTTGAACCCGCCGTTTCTTGCAAGTACAGAAAGCATTTACAGCCTAGCCAAATTCGCGAAGCGCCATGAGATATTGACAATGGGCAAATAAATCAAGGAATAATTTGCCTTTCATAGAATAGAAGGCTCCCCGAGCTTTTGCAGTGAATTCAATGCTCAACGGGGCTCTCCGCCTTGGTCGCTGATGTGTGCGGATCTTGGCAGTGCGCTGTACAAGGACATACACATATGGCTGATCCTGGAAAATTAAATCAATCAATACAGAGAATAGATGACAGGGTAATTGAATAACTAACTGCCTTGTATCCCAGCCATTTGCCTGACTACGGTTTCTCCAAGCCTGAGGCTGATCAAACACGGACGAGATTGACCAGAATGGTATTCGCATTTTATCATTCTCCTTTATGGCTCACCATTAAGTTTGATGCTCATAGATACGCCGAGTTGTATTCAAAGCTAGAATCATCTCTCGGAGCTTGGCAAGGTACTGACCGTGTATACAAACAACTATTGAGGCAAGAGTATTATGTAGCACGAATCTTCTTTTTCTGATAATTATATGACATCCAAGAAAATACGTCGAGTCTCACAGCGGATTTTGGTACGGGATAGCACCGGCGGTTTCCCTTTGGTCTATTGCTTCCTTAGAGACTCGATAGTCAGAACGTACTGTATAACCGAAGGAGAAAGTCTGCATCCGAAAGTTCCTCATGGGACTATTGGGGTGGTAGTTTGGGGAACGGTGGCTGTCGTCGGTACAAATTCATCTCTTCCGGCGCATTTTTAGCCCATCCCATGTTCATATCTTACTTCTTGCCAGCGCCACTACTAACCTTACTAACCCCAATTCGGCATTATCATCAGCCTATTCCTCGAAGGGCGGAACAAGGTAGATGGCCGTTTGGCGCCGTCTGAGAAGGGGAAGGCGAGTTTTCCAGAAAACACTGTCCTCAGTGGCACCATTGTGCGGGGTTGAAAACATGTATCATTTCTTCAATTGAGTCGTCCCTACGTGAGAAGTATGATGGTCAAGTATCTTGCCAACCGTATGGAACCAGCGTTTGCTTCTTCGGTCTGCGGAGACATTCGTCACCCCAAATCGTGGCCGAAGCTATCTCATGGGATGTAATAGATAAGTGGTCTGAAGTGTTTTCTTTCTGGTTTCGATGGCCTTTCCGCCTCGTGTTCCTAGAGAGCGCAGACCATGACTTCTTGACATATGACCGCAAGCCACGAACCTCGCCACGCCGGTTTGAGTTCTGCGCTGTTCTGCATCTCATTGGGCCGCCACCTATTTGGTTTCTAGGGACCAAGAAGTGAAGCTCACCAATGAAGTAGGATCAAAGTTCGCTAACATGATTTCATGACTTTTTCATTGCTTACCATCGCTATATTCCCGTACAGGTTTATCACAAGATTGATTTTCCTAAGACTTGCACACATATATGAGTGCTCTCCTTCTGTTCGTTCTGATGGATATCGTCGACATCATCCACGCGCACTTTGCTGTCGGCCCGTTGATAGTAGTCCTGGAATAGCTGTGAAGTCTGAGAAGTACGTGGAATGGAGTTGACCATATTCCCGGCTTGTGTCGATTATAAGTCATCAAGCGGGTAAAAGATCGATGTTACAAAACAGTCACACTCGCAAAATAGTGTATTGACGGATGTGAGAACCATGAGAAAGATGGAATGCAGAATCTACGCGGAATACTCCAATTTGGCTGGGAAATTTATAAATTAGTAAATATGTCCTAGAAGAAAATGAAGGTCTCACTTTCGTGCTTCTTCGCATCGCTTACTTTCCTTGCTGCTTTCGTCAAATCCTCTTGATTCACGAGTTCTCTAAGAAGGGTACGCATTATGATCAGTTCTTGGAAGAACGGGGAAAACTGAAAACCCACCTTTCATCTCTTATGGCAAACATCCCTGCCTCCGTAACAACATTGCGCAAATCGGCGCCATTGAATCCGTCCGTCAGCTGGTAATGTTGATATTAATAGTAGTTCTTAGTGTGACGCCCTGGACGTACCTTGACAATGGCCTCGTAATCGATCTCACCGCCCTTGTTCACGGGGGCAGCGTGGATTTTGAGAATCTCAAGTCTTGCCTGCTCGTTAGGTAGCGGTACCTCAATCTTCCTATCTAAACGACCTGGACGAAGCAGGGCAGGATCCAATGTATCCGGTCGGTTGGTAGCCATGATGAGCTTCGTCTTTCCCAAGGAATCGAAACCATCCATTTGATTTAACAACTGTTTAATTTATCAGTCACACTATTAGCATGCGAGGGATACGGAGACTCACTTCCATGAGGGTCCTCTGAATCTCCCTGTCTGCACTAGTACCTTCGGAGAACCGTCTTCCACCGATAGCGTCAATCTCATCCATGAAGATAACGCAAGGCTCGTGGTCTCGTGCATACCCAAACATCTCTCGTACAACACGGGCACTCTCACCGATGTATTTGTCTACTATAGCGGACGAGACGACTTTAAGGAAGTTCGTTTGCAGTGTTGCTGCGACGGCACGCGCCAGAAGAGTTTTACCAGTCCCAGGAGGACCATAGAGCAGGACACCCTTCGGAGGTTTGATTCCGACACGTTGGAAGAGTTCAGGGTTCAGAAGAGGAAGTTCGATAATCTGTGGTGTGTGAGCTCAGAAATAGAGAGCAACGAAGGAAGATTTCTGACCTCACGTAATTCACGAACCTGTTCCCCCAAGCCACCAATACCCGCAAACGAGGCTCCTCCAGGGTCTTCCAGGCTCATCTTGTATACAAGAGGATCAACTTCACGGGGTAGTATGCGCATGATGGTCAGGGTTGTCATGTCAAGAGATACACGAGTACCGTTTTTAAGTTTAGCGGCGGGCAGGGCAGGGCGGTATGAAACGACATAACGAGGACCTGATGAGGCCTTTACTATGACTAGAAAATGGCAACGAAATATTCAACATAGATAATGAGCCATGCAGGTGCAGCTTACACCGATCATCATCCAGCTGCTTCATGACCTCGCCGATTATTTGGCCTACGGATTGCACAGCTTTGATGTCGTCCTCAGTCTTCTCGTATTCCTTCTCCAAGTCCTTGAGCGAAAACCGTACTAATAGACATAAGCCACCGTATACGCTGCGAAGATATCTGAACCTCACGAGTTTTCAGGTTCTCGCTACTCGATTCGTGGTGTCGCATTTTCTGCAGAAGAAATTTTCAGTAAATTATTCAAGAATGAGAGAAGGTAACTACCTCACGATAGCTCTGCAATGCATCCTTCCGCCGCTGATCCATGCTGCCAGAAGACGTCGAGGATGCCTCCATTGTTGTCGATGTAACTTTACAAGAAGGTTGATGACGCGTCGACCGTGTTGCTACGGATCCACGGGACGAGACTCCGATGATGCCTTTCAAGTTTCCACACCTATCACAAACTTGTGCAAAGGCATGCAAGATCTCAGCGCGAATTAGCATATACTTCGGAGGAGCGTGACAGGTACAGGCAAATGTATAATGAGGTAAGAAAGCAGCTGTTAGAGACAGACACCAGAGGAACGTGCTCAGCGCGCTGAGTGAGTTGTAAGACCTGAGGAAATAACTGAGGCGATATCATGAGGATCACCACTTAAACTGGTTTATCTTTTGGTATTATAATATTAAGGAAACCAAACCAGAGCCTCTGTAAGTGCAACCCAAGTCAGCCATTGGCCGAAAACCATCACTAATACTTTCTCGTGTATATTCCCCCCACCTTGCACACTGCTCTTCCATTGATGCAAATCCGTCAATCCGGCGCAGTTCATATGTGGGCCTTAATTCGGGCCATTACTTTTGAGAGACGTATCCGATGGTGACTTGTTACGGTAAGTATAGCTGTATCCGACACCTTTGAGATATTCGAGACCTCAATCCCAAAGAGGGCTTTCTCCTGCTACAGAAAGACCTGCTATACTTCAAGTAAGGTAAACAATAATTTTCTGTAAACGAAAGTGCCGTTACATTAACACAGGAAATATAGAACGACAAACCCACTTTCATCCCACCCAAGGCTTGCTCAGACAAGTATAATCCAGCATTACCTTCCCAGCCAGGAGCACACGGACCTTATTCTCAATAAGACATAATGCAGTGAGGCAGGCTGTTTCACTACTTGTCATAAACTCGGAAGGGACCCAGGCACTTTGGGCTTACTATGGTGAGTATAAAGGTGCGTTGATGAAGCTAGTGTTCACAGATAGGCCGAGGTCGGTTTCTTGTTCTCGATGTTCTGTATAATCCATATTGTTAATGCTCATGTTTTCTAGGTGAAGCAAGAATGGGCTCGACACCTCCGGAAATATGACGAGTAGCTTTCTATGAAAGCGAGGAGATGGCTGCAAAGTGCGGGCAATCGGTAGTCTCCATCGTTGAATGTGAGATGGATAGGCTGAAGACAATGCCGAAGAACGAGCAGAGTTTTAGAAACTAGAGATATTACCGACGCTCCTGTACGTGGAGATGAAGGTCTAGAAATTATTCGATAAGATTGTGTAGGATTAGCCCACTCACCGGTAAGCTGGTTCGGAATGTGTTTGAGAGGCCCTTTTCCAGAACTCACGAATTCTGAATCTGAAGACGATTTTCTTGATTTCCATTAAGACATGGTCAAAGACTGGTCGAAGTGAGAAGTGAAGTGAAAAAGCGCCGGAGAAGGCATTATTGTAACGTAACGCATTTCCAATGTATTGTGCTTAGCTCTGCCAGTGTGTGTATGCATTTGTCCTACGCGCTGAGCTCGTCAGAGGTCGAGACTGACGAGCGCAGATGGTGACTGTAGAGGATGAGGACAGAACAGTATGTCCGGGTTCAGATCAAAGAACTGATGATGATAGGGTGAATGGCTTAGAAGCTCAGCGCCATGACACGGTATTTCTTCACGCGTTGAACACGCGTTAAAGAAGGGCGATACATCTTGAGAAGTATTTTGACCGGGGTTACGCCGTGTAAGGCCACACCAAGACTCCTTGTAGGGGGAACTGGGCATTAAGAAAGAACTCTATTTATAATTTTGTCAAGCACTTATCCCTATCCTTTTGGTTTCCCGCAGCACTGATTACGGTACGCGTTATCTACGCGCCAAGCTGTTCGAGGAGAGTCCTAAGCTTTTGGCTCAGGCCAGGCGTTAATTGGATGACACCGTGGGAGGTGCAGAAACGATAGGCCGGCATGGGCTGGTATGTGTTGGCCAGTATCTACAGTAAATATTAGTCGGACGGGTTGATATAAAGTCTTGAGAGTAACAAACATTCCCGTTCTCGACGAGAACCGAAGCGACAATGTCATCCGGGTCGCCAATGCGTCCTAATGGTGGGATATTCCGTTCGTCTTCGTGGGTATCAATATAATTTGTCAGAAAACGAGAAAAGCAGGACATTCAGTACTTGGATCACACACCATGTATATGCATCCATCCGTTCTGTAGTTGAGTCGCGCCATTCTGCTGCACCTCGTCTACACCCTCACGAAGACCTTCCTGTATAGCCTGGTGCAGCACGTCCCGGAACTTGTCTGCATAATAATTCAACCTCCAGAAAAAAGGACAAAAAAAATGATGCACGATTTTCAGTGAAATCATTAAGCCCGGACTCTCCTCCAGCTCCTTGTGCGGGTAACCAGCCAATAATTGTTGATGAGTCAGGTGTCGGCGGTGCATAAGGCAAAAATGACAACGCGAATATTGGTGGCGAACCGGAATTTGGATATATCAGGTGGTAAAAGAGGTCAGGGCGGGTGGGGTCGGAAAATGACCGGGCAGGTGAATTAGAGTTGCATTGTTGTTGATGGAAGTTTCGACGTTGCATTTTACATTGTAAAGGACGAGAATAATGATGAACAAGTGAAGGGGTCGAGTGAAGTGCAGCAGACCTCAGAAGTAGTCGAGTCGTCCTGACGGTCCACATCAAAAAGGGTCGTGTGGCAAATACGTCACAGATCAATGTCAAATTTTTTGCAGTGCTAATTCGCTACTAGCTGTCTAAAAGTATACAGAAAATCAAGCATCTGATACATTCCTTGGCTTCCTCCTACCGTAGAATCCCCAGTATATCTGGTTCGCAATGGCAACGTCAACCCCCAGCTCTTCTGCCCAAGCCCATACCAAACCAGGGTTCTTCTGGAATCCCTTGCCAACAAGTATGACATCCGCTCTGCCGTCGTCCAAGATACTCTGAGCAAGTGTTGCGTTAGTAATGCTTCCAACGGTGCTGACGATAAGCCCTGGGATGTTTGCCTGCTTCACAGCGTGAGCGAGGGGAGTTTGGTACGCTGGGGCGCCCTTAATGCGCTGCTGCGAGGAGTTCCCGCCAGACGATACGTCAAGCAAGTCGATGCCATGCTCTTTGAGCAAGAACGCAAGACGGACGGTATCTTCAGAGCACCAGGATGGTATATCGAGGTATTCTAGGCCCTCAGAGCCGGATATCCTGCAAGGGCAGGTTAGCTCGGTTTTGTGCCAAAATAGCAAGCATGCTACCTGAAAAACAGGGGCATATCCTGTGAAATAACCCCCCTGACTGCGTCGACAATCTCCAGAATTAACCTGACACGGTTCTCCCAAGATCCTCCGTACTCATCTGTGCGCTGGTTGCTCACTGGGCTTAAAAACTCGTGCAGGAGGTATCCATGCGCCGCATGGATTTCAAGAACATCAAAACCAGCTTTCACAGCTCTCAGTGCGCCGTCTTTGTATGCCTGGAGTAAATCCGTGATATCATCCTTAGACAATTCCTTGGGGGTGGCATAATCCGCTGCCCACGGAATGGGCGACGGAGCAATCACGTCATTGGGCCATCCTCCGACGTTCTCGTCGGCTAAAGCCTGCCCAGAAAGCCAAGGGGCGACAGTAGATGATTTACGCCCTCCGTGGGCAAGCTGAATACCGATCTTTTGAGACTGAGAGTGGGCGAGCTCGACGAGTGGGGTGAGAGTGCGAACGTGGTCGTCAGACCAGATGCCTAGATCTTCGGGGCAGGTACGTCCATTGGCAAGAATCGCGGTGGCCTCGATAATAGAAAGACCTGGTCCACGGGTGATGATACCGCCGTCTACGACGTAACTAAGTGCTGATCGAGTGGACGTTAAAGAAAACGCGTACAGTGAGCTGTATGCCAGGGTGTGATATGTCCATCGACAGCAGAGTACTGGCACATCGGAGACAGCTACATACGGTGCTCAGCAGACAGTTGGACGAGAATGATGATACACACGAAGATTCTGTTCTGAAAGGTAACTCCGCGGATCGTGAGAGGCTGGAAGAGGCTTGGGATTGGCTTGTCCTTGGATAAGGCCGTTCCAGAGGGAGTCTCCTGGTAAGGAGAGAAGAACGAGACTCCAGGAGCAGGCTTGTTGACTGCAGAAGGCATGGCGGTAGTTGGAATAGAGACTACATGTTGGCTCCTTATAAAGTTTCCCCAGGTTACAAGGGTCGAGGTAAGCTGTCATCGCCTAAACCAAAGATCCTTATGATTAGCGGCATGCCGTCGTCATTGCAAGTGGTAGTCCGAGGTGACATGCCGGGGCTCATAGCGGTAAGCAAGAGAGACGCGTCTCGTAGGAAATTCGACAGCTCACCTCTTTCACCTCTGTAGAGCAACTGTAGGGCATCCATTCTTGCTGCCAGTTGACGACAACCGAATTTGAAGATGTTAGGTGCCACTGCCTTATATAAATCCGTGGTGCGGAGATGCACTTTTCTCCGTTAGACGTCTATCTAGGACTCTGCAATCAAAGTCGACAGGCCTAGGGCGGACGACCTCAAGCTGGACTTCAACCGGTCTTTTCATCCACCTAATGGTACGTATCCAAGTTCTATTTTTTCAGCGTTACTCCCAGTGATGAAGTACCGCCGGGGCCATATGACTCTTTGAAGGACTTCCATCCAGATCCTTGGAAAGTTGTTTGATTTACGTCCGGCTTATCTAGCTCGTAGTTTCACCTGCGCTAGATCCATTCTGATTGTTTTTTGGTGTCTCTTTACTCCTATCATCGCTAACTGTTTTCTTTGCAGCAACAGAGTAGTAGACCAAACGCTCATTCTCAACACTCGACTCACCACGACCACATAATGAACTGCCACCCTATTAGTAGATCGGGTATTAAGGTATGCTCAGTATTCTTGAAGAGCGCAATGTTACACGATACATGAACATGGTTCGGTACTCAAAACTAGGATGTTCTTTTCTCCACAACAATGTATCAAATAGCAAACTCAAGACGGATGCATACACATCATGTTACTTCGTCCCTCAACCAAGTCGCATTTAAATGCCTTAGCTAACCCATTCCTATAAACCCATACTCTGCAAAAAAGGACCCACGACCTCCCGGTCTGCAGAAGAAACAAGCACCCCCATTTTCTGCCTATCCATAGCCATCAGACGCTCAGCAAGGTATTGTTTGGGATTTCGGACGTATGCAACAGGGTCATCAGGCGCTGATTCTGACGCAGCGAGACGCGAAAATGCGGCCTGGTAGCCTGCCGTCGCCTCTTCATAATCAATCTCTGTCAAACCCACGGCAGTGTCATCCTTCAGACCCTCAAGATATTGCGGCTCATTGAATTGCCTAACGAGGACAGTGAACAGCGAGGACCATGTCCGAACGCTCGGTTCAATCAACATGTACTGTGTGCCGGTGAGCAATCGAGTAAGTCCAACAACAGCAACTTTGCGGTCCTTGATAGGAATTCTAGAGGCCTCAGGAAGGATGAAGTTAATGAGGATCTGCGACCACAAGTTGGGCTGTATGCTCTCAATGGTGCCGATGATGAAGTCGACTGATAAGCCACCCGGAACTTCGATCGCGATGGAGAACAGTAGGAATTGGGTGAAGAGATAGATAAACTTGTCCGTTTTGGTCGCCTGCATTCGCTTGAGTATTGTCATAATAACATCCCTGAAGTACTGCTGAAGGCTGGCACTAGAATACCATCAGTCATCAGGCAAGAGGTGCAAATGAGAAGCCACGTACCCATCAACGTATCGCACGACTGCTTGAAGAAGTTCGAACCCCCAACCGTCATTTTGTTTCGAGGGTATCAGACGTTGTTGAATAACACCGAGCACTGTCGCAATCTGCCTGTTCGCAACCATCTGTGCGCTATCACGTGAGAGGTATGCACTCAGCAGCTTAACAAGTCCTGGAATGCTGCCTTTCTGTTGCCAAATGGCGGGCATGAGCAGAAAGGGGAGCAAGCTTCGATATTCCGTAGGCACATCCTTTGAATGCATCTCAAGCATCTGGGCGAGAAGCTGGAAGACATAAGGAATATACTCTGTATAAAAGCGGTTAAGATCGCAAAGTCAAACAGGTATGTTTTTACGCACGGTCAATGTCCTGTTGCAGGATAACTGTAAAGGGACCAAACAGCACTTGTTCGAAAGTTGTCAAGTTGGCTGGATTTACCCGTGCTATGAACCTAACGAGGTGTTAGGTGGCGCCAACCAAGCCAAGAACAGGAAAAAAAACAGACCTGATGAGGCCGGATATGCTTTCAAAGATGTATTGGTCGAATTTAGGGTTACTGGGGTTCTTGGAGATGACACCCAAAATTGCTACGAGACGAGCAAGTGTCTGTTCATATCCAGGTGCCAGACCCTCACGAGCTGTGAAGATTACACGCATAACACCTTAGACAACGGCGTGTGAGTAAACTACAAGAGACGATCAAACGAAATGACTCACATTTCATTAAATGGTCGTTCTCTGCCATCTTCTCAGGTGTTTTGGCGGATTCAATTTTTGTCAGTAAAGCATTGAGGAGATCAGCAGCAAAGTCGTGGATGTCAGTCTGAGTAAACCTTTGCAAGATGGACATTATCAATATTGGTATGACACAACAGGACCCGGACGCACAGCAGCTGACCGCCCTGCTTGATGAAAAGAATTCGGTCGATAGTGATCGCGGCATAAGTACAGCAAACATAGTTGGCTGACCCAAGATGGCGAATAAGAAGTGGCAATACAGACATCAGTTGAGGCTTCGTGAGCTGCAACAAAAGCCGTCAAGAAGATTTACGCATCAGAGTAGTACGGCACCTACTTGATTTCGGAAAGTGTAGAGAAATCGGATAGCATCAACTTGAAGAATAGGGTGAACAGAGCCCGCAGATGCTTCCAAGTCTTGGAAAACGTGTTCAGAAAAGAATTTGATCACGTCGACAAGTGTGTTCGTCGATGTTACACCTTGTTGGGTAGTCGACCCCTTTGTGGCAACAGCTGTTAGCAGATAAATGGCGCTGTCTTTGGCTCTCCAGTTTTCGGTCTTATTTGCTTCATATCGTTTCAGACCTGTCTCTATCCATTTTCCGACGATTTCAGTGGTGGCGGTCTCATACCCGCTGGATACCAGGGCTTGAAGCACATCGGCCGCCGAGTGACGTCTCGTAGCTAGATCGGTTCCAGCGGAGGAAAGCGAGAGGTCAAGACGTATGTACTCCAGAGGGTCATCCTCAAATTGTTCAACATCATGCTCTCGAAGAGAAGTGTTGGGAACGACTACCCCTTCCACTAGGGAGGAAACAATGTTTGGCGAGGAGAAAAGAGGCTGGTAGTGACCCGATCGGATAGCAGTCGAGATAAATCGAAGTGCTTGAGAAACCAGCTAATGCCGATGAGTCTCAGTCAACATTAATATGAAGAGAGGCCCTACATGGTCATCGCTTATGTTTGGTAGCTGATTCGATCCCACTAAACTCCATACGCCTTGCACCAGTGTCTGCACGGCTCCAGACTGTTGAAGTTGTTCAGGATAGAGTTTGAGGAAGAGCTGAAAAATCGATGAGCTAACGGCAATGTGTGGTTAACAAAAGACCTGCCTCTGCGATTTCGAGAATTCTGGTCTTGATCTGTGCGGGAAGCGATGGAGTAGGGTCGTCTGCCTGAACGCATACAAACAGTGAGATGTGTGAATCGGTCCAAAAAAATTAACTTACTTCTCCTCTGAGCTCTTGGGGATTCCAGGGCATGAAAGTGTGGAACCAGCCTTGTGTTGTTCCAAAGAATTCGGCATGGGCATCCTCTATGGCAGGCGGGAGATCTTGACAAGTGAAGTCGTGGAAGATCTCAACGAGCAACACCATGCACTGTGCCAATGTCGTGTAGTTAGAAGTGGGTGTCGTCAGAGCGGGATTCGGACTAGGATCAGAAAGGAGAAGGGTTGCAGTCTGTCGGAATAGCTGGAGGAATGGATCCATGAATTTTGAGAAGACGAAGTTGATCTCGGTGAAAAGCTGGTCGGAGCGGACGTGTGCGCGCCACTGGTTAAAGATCGAGTGCGCTGTTTGTAAAACGCCATAATTAATGTTATAATCCGTTGCAGACAGTGATGACACCAGTTGCTTATGGAGACAATCAGTGCGCGATAGGACAAACCTACAAAGAAACATACATCAATGAGATTTGGCCATTTTTCGGGAAAATCCAGCTCTGCTATGAGAGAGACAGATTCGGCAACTTGGGCACGTATTGCCTTGTCCGATGGGTTAGATAGTGCAAGCATAGCTGGCACCAGCTCGGACCTCAAGACGACCTTGTCCTGCTCGGTGAGTGGCTGAACATCCTGCAAAGAAGAGGGGTCAAAACACGAATCAGAGGAGAAATGCGGCATTCTCACTTCCTCCCATTTCAATTTCGCGATGTTCTTGAGATATACACTCCCCGATAACCTGACGGCGCGTTCTTGGGACTGGTCGAGTACTAGGCTCAAAAGATGGGAAAGAAATCCCTGCTGGGCACTGAACGCGTCAAGACTCTGTTCAGCTTGCTTTCTAGTGGCGGGATTGAGTGAGGCAAGGAGGAGCTGGGGAAGGTCGGACATGGAGGAAGCTGTACGAGTTCAAGATGCTCAAGCGCAGAAGAACCGTTCTCGCCTTGGATGACATCATTTCCGCGTTTGGAAAAATGCAAATAAGCAACAACTCCACGTACGCTTTTTGGTAGACGGTCATCACCGCTGCCGTCGTCGCCCCTCTCTTCTCTGTTAGTAGCCCACAATGAACGCTGGCATACAGAATCTCGTTATATCCCTTGGGGCCATGCAAGGTATTTTTTACCCACACTGCTTCTTTTCTGGATCCAATTTGGTTATCTGTCTCTCAGTGGCCCGAAAAATTCCCTTCGACGATCCGGATATCCTCAACTACGCACGAATTGGATACCTCGCGACCCAGTTCATCATATTGGGCATATACTACTATATTTCTATGACAGTGTGTTACATGCTGCGTGCACGCGAATTTCACTGAGCATTGGGCTATACAGATTAAGCGGAAAAATGATCAGACTGTTCTTAAATACGGTGAGTCCGCCTTGACATTCTCGTTGTTTTTTCTTTGCGTTTCTCAATTAGAAGTGTTAGTGGAACCGTCAACCCCGATGGTATGTATCTTCATCAAAATCAAAGAGGCGCGCGTCTCATCCCCTTCAGTCTGGAGAAGAAGGGAAATTAGTGACGACAACTGTGCGGGACTACGATCTCGTTGAAACGTCTAAGCTGGTAATTACCTTCTATACAACTCTGCCTTCTGGAACTCATCATTCACCATAGCTGCGGTCGGTGTACCTGGGCATCGCGATGATGGGTTTCTTGCATGGCTACATGAAATTCACACAACCACTTTTCATTCAGTCCCTCATGGGTCTTAAAAATCTGTATGATGCCAAGCTCGTTGCTATTCATCTCTTTGGAAAACCAGCTGAAGGTGACTTGAAGCGCCCCTTCAAATCGCCTCCAGGATTGTTCGGAGGTAAGTGTCAAATTTTCTGACCTTGTTCATGCTCAATCATTACGTCCAGCTACTGGCCCTCAAACTGACAATGCTGCCATTACTGAGGCTGAGAAGCGTGTCGGATCCAAGAAGGAAGAGTAATTGCTTCCCTGCTATTTCTGTGATAAAATACATTATAATCGATATTGGTTTCTCTTTATTCTAAGTGTGGGAGCGGAAGAATCTACAAATACATCGAAGTAAGCTAATTATACAAGTGCACTTGGTGTCCACTGTACATGCAATTTTTTAGACTTCTTGTTCATAAGCATCGTCCCAACCAATGTTATCAGCTGCGGTGTCCTCGTCTTCTTTATCGTCATCCTTGTCATCTTCGGGTGGCGGTGGAGGAGGAATTGAATCTTCTTCAATGACCAGCAGGGCTCCGCCGCCTTCTCCGTCGCTCTTATTGTCCATCGTATACAAGTTGGCCTCGTCCTTCTCATCCAAAGTCGGGACAACCCCACCATCCACGAATAGATCCTTCAATGCATCGTAATTGATCCGCTTACTGTACTTAGGATTCTTCTTCATCATATTCTTCACGCTCTCAGCAGTCGTCGCCCCATGTGCAGTTGTTGAATCCCGAGGCTTCGTTTTTCGGCGCTGCGACAAGTAATGAAGATTTCATAAGCACCGCCATAGACGAAAACATTCCTCCCACTACGGGTTACAACTCACCTTCTTGCTTCTGGTGGTAGTATTTGACTGATCGCCTTTAGCTGAAACATCCGCTCAACAGGATAGACAATGTAACGACAACCGAAGGCTTACCTGCCAATGCTTCCAGGTAATCTCTGTTTAACTCCACCCATACACGTTCTTTGATCTTTACCTCCTCTTCGCTTAGCAGGAACCGATCGAGCTCTTCTTCGTCAAGTCCCGTAAGCTCGTCGACAACACCAATTTCTGCTAATCGTCTCTGCTCTGCCTCATCTAGAGCGCCGCTCAACATGGCCCCTTGAGGATTCTGGAGATATGCCGAGACCTCCTCTGCCACGACAGTTGACACTGTTTCGTCAATGGCATTGAGTGCAGGTATTGCAGGCATATCCAGAAAGGCAGGATCAATGGAAACATCATCGGGAGCAGGGTAGAAGAGAGGTGTTGGGCTCACTGTTGTTCCAGAGAGAATGCCTTCATTCAAGAGAGACGAATCAAAACCTTTGGCAGCCTGCTCAGACATCTCAGGAATGAGGTCTTCATCACTTTCTTCTCTTTTCCTTTTCCCTTTCCGTTTACCCCTCTTCTTTCTCAATTTCTCGAGGGCTTCTTCATCGCCCTCTCTGATCAATCGTTCCTCCTCTTCTTTTACCCGTCCTTTCGTAAATGCAGGTGGATCAACTTCCTCATCCAGCCACACGCTCCGAAAGTCACCGACGGTCAGTTCACCGCTTGGTGTGTTTTTGAATTCATCCAAGCGTTTCTTCAATGTTGTGTCGGCAATCTTTACGACTTGGACAATCTCTTCCATACTTCGTCGGAAGTTGTTCATTCTAGCGGCGAGTAGTAGTGCCGCACCGCAAATACCAGCGGGCCGTCGTCCACGAGTCATCCAATCACGGTCGAACCGTTGCACGAGCCGCACGGCATCTGTGGCAACTTTGTGAGTTTCGTCGCCAAATTCGAGTAATGCAGAGAAGCGAGATATGTAATGAGACGGATCGACAAGAGGAAGTCGAAGATTCAAAGTCTGCACTAATTGGAGATATGTATGGCCGAGTTCAAATACATTGACCTAGATGTACTGTCAATGTCACACACAACAATATCATACGAAGCACGTACTTGAAGTAGATCAGAGAAGTCGATGAGCATGTAATTCCGAGTCTCCTTCTGTCGACATGCGACATACAGACACACAGCGACGACGTTCATACTTTTGCGACCTTTTGTGAACTTGTGCTCTACAGCAAGCGTGTACATTCTAGTTGCGGCCAGACAGACGCTCTCTGATAGCTGTAGGACGTTCGCAATGTTCTGTATCTTCTTGCTAGCTAGGGAAATTGAGCGATGGAAGAAAAAAAGAGTTGAAAATGAAACCATACCATTGGCAATTGTTTGTTCTCTGCTCTCGGAATTTCCCCGATTGCCATACGGACCGCTCATCCTGGCATGAGCTACATGGTCACGTTTAATAAATCCTTATTATGATGTACAGAAGGTACTCACTTGAACCCAACCCGACAAAAGAACCCTGCACCATGGCCGCTCCCGAGCTGGTCTCTCCGAAGACGACCTCATTGACGATGGTGTTCTCCTCGACGACGGTCCCACAAGTAACACAGAATCCGTTTCCTGCAGCTGCATCGTACTCGATGACGGTGCCTCCACAATCGGTGCAAATATGCTGGAAGGAATGAATGATGTCAGTGAATGCCAGTCAGAAAAACGAGGTGTACAGACCATTTAAGAATATATAATTAATAAGGCGGATATATGCTCTTTATGAGTATCGTATAACAGCGTAGACGAAACTACGAATGGAAGACTAAACGAGAAAACGCAAGAATCGTTTTGGCCATAAAGTAGAGAGGAAAGAATTATATGAGTCACGAACCATCACGTCACGGCTGAGGACCACTCCTCAGCGCACCACCACGATTGATAATTGCTTTTCGGTGAAAACTAACAAATCCAAAAAATGTTTATTGCACTATACCATACTGACGTATAGTCGTTCGAATGCCGCTTTGGACTGATTCATGCCGTAGTCTTCAATGTTGAGCTGAGCTACATGTTTTCATTTTGTATACGCAGTTCTGATTGCTCATTTTATCAAGGAACTCTGGCATAATGTGCCCGATGGCGCCATGCAGACGTCCTCTCTTCAGCGACCCTTATGCTTGCTTATGCTTGGATTCCCTATGAAATTCGTCTCTCTGGTTCTCTTGATCTGCGTCTACGTCTGCACTGTTTCCGTGAGGGGATTCGGTTCATTGCCCGAGCCATATGTCATCTTCCCCATTTTTGACCATCATCTTCCTTTGAAGAATGGCAATCACCTTGTGGATCCTTCCTATATCCGAGGGTATCCCGAACTCTCCGTCTTGGCTTATATTTAGCTTCATTCCTATCTCCATACCAATGCACTGGATCGACGAGGACATACTGAAACATGCGTATTATTAACACGAGCGCAGTGTTTCTGTGCCTGACACACCCTGAGGAGAAGCCTTTGAGCACCAGGGTACGGATATCTGTGTCCGCCAACTGAATCCCCAATTCTTGCGCCACTGACCCGAACTCTGAGCCATTCCAAGGAAACTCAAATTCTGAACTGATGGCCACGTGTACGATGAATTTTCTGACCAAGTATTTGGGCATTCCAAGCAATGCAATGCCATCCTGGCTCGAAGAAGTATTCGGGCTATCCTCCCGGACAGCCATCATATCATGGTTCATATCTGGGATATACGTCAGTGTTACGGGCTCCCAAGCAACCTTTACCTGTCATCAGCGGTGTCTTTTGTGAGGCTGGATCAGAGGCGCTATGGGACCGTCATTTACATACTTCATCGCAACAACAGGGTCATGCTTTGTCTTCCTCCAAAATAAACCAATCTCCGGGGTCTTTGTCTTATGGGGCTGTATACGATAAAGCATTTCGAATGAAGGTCACTTGGACACACAGCAACCTTATCCATGCCGGGCCTACAGAATTTCGGTGAGACATACCGTTTTCCAAAAGCAAGACCCCATAATCATTGGTGTGGAGGTTGTCAATGATACGAAAATTCGACGGCATGAACGCAAATTCGATTGTCGTCAAGACAGTTCAACCCCTTCGCTAAAGGCTGACGCCTTGGCCAATGCCGCTGCGAGATCAGAAACGGAGGAAAGATTACGTTATCCGCAGCTAAATCACGCCCTTGTGAAAAGGATCAACAGGGAAGTATGAACCTGCAGGTTGGTTACGGGCAAATTGGAGCTCTGACAGGGAGCGCATATGGGGCGGAGCCGTCAAAATGAAGGTTTTGAACTCCTCTGGAAGGACAACAGAGGACAGGAAGGCGGTGTAACTTCCGAAAGACGTCAAAATGTGTCTCCGCAGCATGTGTAAGGTGTTCATCAAGAAAACGGGAACCTGTAATAGGAGAATTATTGTCACGATTTTGGAGAAAAAGAATCAAAAGCGATGAATGAACGATGCGAAGAGATGTATGAAAGATAGCAATGTGTGATGGAAAGACATATGAGGACCGGATGTCAGCAAAGTTACTGAGAACGGAATCCGGGGCCCTTATATACATTTGGCTCCTTTTGTGTTATTATTTTCCCATACAAGTGTGAAATAAAGAAGCCATAGGGTAGATGCACTTTGCTTCCTCCTCCTGTCCTCACGAATGCCCGCCGAAAAAACGAAACTGAAACGACGCGCCAGTCGCCGAGAAGTAGACGAGTTCAAATTCGACGGTACCCACGCACGGGAGCTCGAGCAGAAACGGAACCGAGGTATGTTTCAGGGCCTCTCCGTCGTGTCGCAGTACTCACCGTGCCACCGCGTCTTATAGGAGAGGTACGCCCTTTATCTTTGGTTATTTCTTGTCTATCTCACAGATAATATCAGGTCTCGTGTGCCGAATGTCGTACGGATTCGAGCCTTTATTGCGATCATCGCACCGAGTCTAATTCATACTTGCAGGCAGGCTCAAGATAAAATGCGACAAGCAAATTCCCTGTCAGTCTTGCCAGGTATATTCATCCCTCGTAATGTGCGGACCGCCGCTCATTTTCTTCGTAGCGAAGGGGCTGCGCAGCGCTATGCCCTAATGGTGAGCCAACTGAGCCACAATCGTTACCTGCAACGCTCAGTATTGTGTAGGTAGTCTGGCAACTGGTCAGGGCACCCGTTTCGTCCTCGCAGCTACGGAGCATCTCCATCGCAGAATTGCTAAGCTGAGCGGCAGAATACGACAGCTAGAGGACGCCCTTTCTTCGCTACATTCACAGCATTCAACCGACCGGCATCCACTTTTACAAGATGAGCTCATTTTCAACGAAGAACATACAACAGAAGAGAACAACGTCTCGGATGATGCTACGGCACAACCACCTGCAGACGTTATTGACGCGTTTGGAACACTGTCTATCTCTGACCACGGGATATCGAGGTTCTTTGGGCCAACAGGAGGGTCAGAGGTGAGCAGCCCATCCTCTTGCTGTCGATGTCGATGTCTCACTCCGGTGTAGAGCCTTTTGATAGCCTCGTCACCCTCTCCAGCAAGTAGCGCCCACAGCCCTGACTCAAAGCATGCCTCAGTCAGTCCTACCAATTCTGGCCACTCGACCGATTTCTCTCTGTTCTCGCAGTCTTTTCCTTTTACGCCTATGGGTCGATCTGAAGACGTCCAGGATATGATTCGCACCCATCTACCTCCCTGGGAGCGTGCACAATCTCTTGGGGAAACATATTTTGAGCAAGTGGCCTGGATATTCAGAGGTGTCACCCGCCAGCAGCTCATTGACGACATGCTACCTGCGATATATCGCAAGCAGCCTTCAGAAGAGTTCGGGGGTCCGCATGATTTATCTCTTATCTTTATGATTTTTGCTATTGGTGCGCTCGTGGAAAGTGAACCCTCAACTACTTATGCTGAGCACTACCATCAAATCTCGCGGGCGGCTATCTCCCTACAACCGGTGTTAGAAAAGCCTTCCATCGTCACTATCCAGTGTCTACATCTTATGAGTATTTACAATGCCATGAGTGGGAGCGACACCACTAGCGAACCAAGCATGGAGATGACTTGGTCTCTCATCACCCTGGCTGCTCATCTATCTCAAACGGTTGGTCCGTAGTGTTTCCCTCAGTAATCGTATGCTGAACTTGTCTTCTTAGATTGGGTTACGTGCGTGTAGTCATACATTTCCAAGCTATGAGATTGACCAGAATGAAAAACTTCATAGATCGAGACAGTGAGCGCTGGGGTTTGCCAGTGAAAATGGTCCAACGTCGCCGAATATTGTTCTGGGACCTCTTCGTCGCAGACGTATGGCAGGTAGGTAACAATCCAGGGTTACGACGCAACTCTTACGCCCTATCTGCAGAGCCTCAATACAGGAAGACCGCCGTCATTTTCTCTCGCATATATCGACTGTAGTTTCCCCCAATACGACGATCAAAAGGACGGAGGTTCGCCTGGCTGGGAATGTGAGTGGCTCCGTGCAACCTTGGGCTCAGCTGATAATTCGCGTCAAAGTTGAAATCTGGCAATTCCGTTTCGCGTCCGAGTGTGTTGCCGAAGTAACCGCACGGACATTGACCGCTGAGGCCCCCAGCTATAACACTATAATGGAACTTGATCGAAAAGTGCGCGAATTTCCATTGCCGACAGGAATGGCAGAGAAAAATGATCTTGGAACATCATTTCAAAGATGCGTCCTCGACCATATACGTGAAACGGGTATGTTATCTTTATTACATGCAAGGGAGAAGCTGACATATTTACGAAGTTCTCATGTATATCCATCGAAGTTTTTTCGCACAGGCTATCATCGAACAGCCTGTCAACCCTCTTAAAAGTACCTATGCTCCATCATTTCTGGCAGCCTATCGCTCGTCTGCGACGATACTTAAATCTGTTCGTGAACAATTCACCATGTGGCCAAATTCATGCGCAAGGTTCTGGACCATGTGGACTTTCGCGTTCTCAGCGGCTGTATGTCCTAGGTTACCTGACTCTCTCATACGCGTGACCGTTGAATTTTCGTTGCCTAGGTGGTTTTCGGTACCGTCGTGACCAGGGGTCCCAGGTCCCCCCTGGCCACTTCTGCCATGACGGAGCTTGAACAAGCCTGTGTTCTTTTCTCGAAGGCGGCTACACATAGCAAGCGAGCTTCAAAAGCCCTCGTGAGTCTATTTGATGATTTGGAGGGATAGTTCTGACCGGATTATGCCAGCCAATCCTCGTCAAGCTTAGTGAAAAAGCACGACACGCGCTTGCTGCGGCCCAACACGAATCAATGCCCCTCTCTGTTGATAAAGACGGTCTCTTGTGGAATATTAAGCAAGAAGACGCGGACGACGAGCTGTCTATATTCGCAGGTCACACGCGATTCGTCTCGGCTAAGAGACTGGCGAAGTCATCGAGGGATTTCGAGCATGGTGCACCTTTCTCTCAGTTCTCGAATGTAGGTGACGGTACTCAGCTTGCGCCACTACCATCGATGTCTGGGACCCAGGTTTGGTCTAGGCAGAGTCTACAACGTCCTTCGCGCGAATCAGGGTATATGCCTGCAGCTGACCGCAGCCTTCAGTATTCCTACTCATACGACCGGAGTCGTCCAGCTCCATCTGATTCTGGATATGGATATCCGTCTTCTTACCGAAGTACTCAGTACAGTCCACCCTCGCAGTTCCCGCAGATGTATCCACCGCCTTTTAGTTCCAGCTCCCAGCCCAACGTCCAACCTGGCAACCCTGCACTAGCTGATTTGGGCTTAGCAGCGCGGGATTCTCGACTTGATGAACGATGGAGTTCATTTATGCAGGATTCGGGGCTACTTGACGATGTCGGGTTTAGGAACCATTAGTATGACGACTAATGTCTGAGATAGCTGATAAAATAAGTCCACCTAATAGTCTGGCTTTCGTGTTTGTAACTTTTATTTTGTAAATGGAATGAATTCAGCTTGAGCTGGCGTGATGTCACTTTAAATGTAGTAGGCACTGTGGTGCGTGGCGGTGTTTCCGTGCTCCTGACCAGGCGACGCGTCCGGTTTAACGGTCCGCGAAGTGAAATTTCAGTCGTACCATCCTTTGGAAAAAATCCTTGCCTTGCCCCTTTCCTTCCCCTTCCGCATCCTGCGTCTCTCTTTCATTGATTCTTTTTCCTTTCGTCTTTATCTACACGACCATGGGTATCGCGACGTGGCTTGCTTTGCTTCTTACACACCCTACAGAGTTCCGGACGCTCTTACAGTTCAAGCTGTATCACGAACACAAGAGAGATATCACCCATGTGAAGGAGCATGCAACGAGCGGATGGGACAGAGAAAATATGCGCAAGTGTTGGCATTTTCTGGATCAGACAAGCAGAAGTTTTTCGGCGGTCATCAAGGAACTTGATGGTGACTTGGCGAGAACGGTCGGTGTTCTAAACCATTCAGAATATCACATCCTTTTACTGATCTCACAATTCAGATATGTATGTTCTATCTTGTACTGCGTGGTTTAGATACTATCGAGGACGACATGACCATCCCCGACGATGTCAAACAACCCATGTTGAGGTCGTTCCACAAGCATACCATTACCCCTGGCTGGAAATATGATGGATGTGGACCCAAGGAAAAGGATCGGCAGTTGCTAGTCGAATATTACTGCGTTGTGGAGGAGGTTAATTCGTTACTGCCAGCGTAAGCTCTATGGTCTTTGTTTCTCCACTATTTTTCCGACTTCCTGCAGGTACAAGGCTGTTATAGTCGATATCACCGAGAAGATGGAGAACGGCATGGCAGATTACGCGCACAAGGCCGCCACAACGGGGGAAATCTACCTCGGGACCACTGAGGAGTATGATCTCTATTGCCATTACGTCGCGGGTCTCGTGGGCGAAGGATTGTCTCGTATCTTTGCTGCTTCAGAGAAGGAGGCACCTTGGCTCGCGTCTCAGCTCGAGATGTCAAATTCTATGGGTCTCCTTCTTCAAAAAACCAACATCATTCGTGACTATCGCGAAGATGTTGAGGAGAAACGGTTTTTCTGGCCCAAGGAGATTTGGGGACAGTATGGATTCGATGAGATTCACGAGCTATATGCCCTGGATCGATCAACGAAAGAACGCGCGCAGTGGGCTCAGAGTGCCATGATTCTGGACGCGATGCGGCACTTGGTCGATGCGCTCGACTACCTTCGGGTGCTGAGAAATCAGACCGTATTCCACTTCTGCGCCATTCCCGCTACTATGGCCATTGCGACTCTCGAGCTGTGCTTTATGAACGCGGAAATGTTCCAACGAAATATCAAGATTCGTAAGGCGGAGGCTGCTTCTGTAAGTCGCCCTGAATGTTTTTGGCATTCTATTTATTTGAATTCGGCGTAGCTTATCATGCGGTCAACAAATCCACGAGAAGTAGCATATATATTCCGGGATTACTGTCGTAAGATTCACACCAAGGCAGTTCCCCAAGATCCCAATTTCTTGAGGATAGCCGTGGCATGCGGAAAGGTACTTCGTAATCCCCTCTCGTCGCGGTTCTCGCTGACGTCCCTTTTCAGATTGAGCAGTGGTGTGAACATCATTATCCTTCCTTCGTTCAAATCAGCTATTCTGGCGACGGGGCGTCTCATCAACTGGATCCCGAGGATGCCAGGTCACGCATTGTCCAGTTGGAGAGTAAGCTGGCGAAGGAGCTATCTACGAAGAAGCGAGCGCAGGCACCCCAAGCACCGGAGGGGTTACCATGGGAGCTCTTCATGTATTTGGGCGGTGCCGTCTTAGTGATTATTGGGTTGTCGGTGGGCGTGATTTGGGCAGTACTAACGCTCTTCCCGGACTCGCGATAAGTGCTACCCATATACCACTAACTTATTTCTTGTGTAATCGTACGACATTATCATGCCTTGGACAAACCCCAGACAACGAGGTGTCAAAGAGCTTGAGAGGTCGGCAAGGTATAAATGGCTACAGATATAAATGGCTATTAGATGATTCAGTTCGGAGGCTCATCATTATATTTTGAAACGACAAACGGAGGACAGTGATGCGCCACCAATTACAAGTGATACTCCATCAGCCGCCACAGCAAGTGCTCCTTAGTAAGCCCATCCGTTTATGTATTCTTGAATATGAAAGTATTACAGGTTCCGTATAGATATAGGCTTATACGTACAAAAGAATGTGAGCCTGGGGACAAAAACAGTGGTAGTAGAGTGAACGAGAAGGATATAACAGTGTAAGGAATCCAAGTGTAGAAGGTATACGTAGGGTTGGTTAGATATATAACAGCGACAATACATACCATGACGAAAAAATACAAATAGAGAAAGAGAGTAAAATGATGGATAGTCTCAATCAAACCGACCCGGTATAGCGAAATGAAATATAAAGGCGTTAGAGGGCAATACCGCTTGACCTGTACACCATCCCCGTCCCTGTTCTCGGTTTTGGCTTGCTGTTCAACGACCCGCCCATGACGCGCGGAACGGGAACGGCAGGTCGGTCTCGTCCAACCACGGCTCTAGGCAAATGTAGTGTTTTCGGCGCGCCCGTAAACAGACTCTGCGTCCTCTTCCGCGCTCCCTCCCCTTCCCCCTTCACAGGCAGAGGTGTCACTGTCACTGTCTTTGCCGGTCGCCGTATTGAACCCGTTTTGGGATTAGGCAGGGAAGGCAGCGATTTATCGCGATCAATGAAAGTCGACTTCATTGACGGCGGGCTTGAACTAGTGGTGCTCTTCGCAGGCGAGTAAAGTTCATCTTCCTTCATAAGCCCCCCTCGGAAGGCCCTTTCAAAACCTCGCAATGAAACCGGCGGTGGATTGCATGACGAGGTCGACGAGGAAGAGCCACGAGACCTTGGAAGGGACACACCAAAAGAAGAGGGTGGTGGGTAGTAGGAACTTGTGGAAGAAGATCTCGCCACCGTTCCCGATGACATCGTAGACCGCCAACTTAGGCTGGTAGTCGAAGACCTGACTGTACGCAGGTTCTTCTCAGAGAGTGTCGAAGATGGACGACAGGATGACAAGTTCAACGACGATATTTTCCTTGTCAGTTCCGAGGGCGCGTCTTCATCTTCGCTGATACGGGAAAAAGTCAAAAGGACAGCAATGGAAGCACAAACGAGGTGGGTACCTATCGCTCCAGCCTAGGCCTGTCGTCAAACCAATACCACCCCTCAACAGCCTACCGTCTCTGTGTCGAACTCTGCGTCGGGGAGTATCTCGATTATCTTTCAGAATCGAAGACTTGGACGTATCTAGATGAGATGACAGCTGCTGTCAGGCACAGCCAACAATCATGATTCGCGAACTGACCAACGCTAACTATGCTGGCTCGTGGATCCATCATGACGCCATCCTCACTCACCAACAGTGAATCAACCGAGTTGATGGACTGGGCACCAGGCAAGAGTGTCGAGTTGGGGGAGAGCAGGCCATGTTTTACCATGAGATGGCTGGAGAGGAGCTCGGAAAAAAAAAGAAAGAAGACTAGACATGCGACTCACGGTAGTGGCGTATGCAGATCCAAGCTGGAATCCGAATCGGTTCTTTCGCCTTCCAACTCTCGTTCCAACTCCCCATAATCATCAATGAAGTCTGTCTCCTCCCACGTTGTTGCCTTACTGGATCGGTCGTATGGCAGCCCTATTGGTGAGGAAGTCCGTCTACTCGTCGAGGCCGATGACAGAGCCTTGGATGTCGAGGTGGAGCGGAGGGAGAAAGTGGTGGAAGCGCTTCGTCTCGGCTTTGGTGTGCGAGAAATGATGGTGGTGATGTCTGGTGAGATAGCTCTATCCAGATTGCTGGCTGGAATAGCAGGGGTAGATTTTGATAGAGGTTTGGCGCTACGGGTCGGCGTGATTTTCTTGAATGAGTGGGTCGACGTGCTCTTTGACGAGTGAGGGCTAGGGAGAATACGCGAGGTGGTTAGTGCGTTGAGATCGTCGTCGCCGCCATCGTTATCGTCATCATTTGAAGGAAGGTCTTGCATAGAAATGCTGGAAAGGGAGTCATCACGGGCGCCAAGAATGCGTTGGCTATCTTGAAAAGAGAAGCGAGATGGTCCTGGCACAGGCGGTAGCGGTGTCGCGGGCGGGCGAGATGGTGGCGGGTTAATGGAGGTCGTCGGCGTCGGTGGAATGAACGAAGGCGGCACTGGAAACGACTCGAGTAGCAGGGGTTCCAGTGCCATTTTCTTCGACATGATTGACCACCGTAGACTTAAAGGGTGACTCAGTCACGGTCACACATAATATTTGATTTAGCCCACACCATAGCAGGCTTCGAATTTACCCCCATATACAATCCTCGTTTCGCAAGAGTATCGCGACATTTTGGCTGTTTCCAGGACTTTATCGAATTCGGCTACCTGCCTTGTAACCAGAGGCGCTCCCTCGAAGGCGCTTTGTCACCACTGCCGACCGGTCCACCCCCAGACTACTACAGTGCGATATCCATGGAATCCATTACATAACTCTCCTCAGAATCCAGGTACGTATCGCGGTACCTCTACGTCAAATTGGTCTATAGAAGAAACTGATATTTCCATCATCAATTTGAATGTTCCTGGTCACGGTAATACTGAAAGAGACTCAGAAACAGTCACAGGTTGACGGTTGGCCGAAGAGAACAGAGTATCAAACTCTTAACTATTGACAATACAGGATTCCAGGCTCATGCTTGGATTGGGTGCCCAGGTATGTTCTGCCGGCACGAGGTTCGAGACCCTCATTTGTGGATTCTACACAAATCTTTGCACCACGAGGAACACACAATAGCAAGTCTCCCACACGGTTGAACAGTATAAAATACGCTCATCATTAATAAACTGATAGTGTTTCCATCGCCGAGTTCGCCAGTTCGGATATAACCTTGTGGTTTCTTGTCAGTTTCTTGTATTCAGCGAATGTGGAAGACAAACGATTCAAAATGTTTTGGCGCTGAGATAAAGGACCCATACATCGGTAAACTGACTTGCCACCAAGTCGGAATAACTCCTAAATCTCGAAGCTTAGCAGGAGATGAAGGAAAGGGGACATTATGCTATACATCATTGTATATAGCAACGAAGGACCCTGTCTCAGCAACTGGAATCTCCCGAAAGCGGCGCAGCATGCTTCGACAGTTAGTGTAGGACACGCGCTGCGGCGTCACTTGTAAGTATCACCCTTGCGGTTAAGCATCGGAGACGGGCGACCACCGTTTGAGGGTGACACTGAACAAGGCGCCTATGCAACAGAATGACGGGAACGTCCTACGCCAGTAGCAGCGTTTGAAAATGATTTCAACTTCCATTTCTCTGCAAAGTTGGCCGCTGTTCAAGCTCTCGACTACGTTCCGTGGCAGACGGAGCAGCAGAAAAATCAATAGTTGGCGAATTCCCAAAAGACATTCGGTCACTGGTCAGGTTGAAATGAGTGGAAGAGGGATTCCAAGTGGGAAGCCTGCAGTACTGGATTTTATTTATAGGTGAAAATTCGAGGCACCGGGGCCGTACATGAGAGTATTCTAAGATTTGGAACATACGGCCGAAAAGCAGGCCTCCGCCGTTTCAGTAACTTATACGCGCCTTTCCGCCTTTCCACGTCACAGCACGACGTGTCCCAAAGGCCCATTTGTCTCCGCTTGTACTCCTTTCACGACGTCGACCTGTCTCCCCCCGGAGTCATTGGTAAAATGTTCGAATTCGCTGCATTCGTCGAGTTCGCGGCGAGTGATCTTTTCTCTAACATTGCTCTCGGCGGCCTCTTCATTTCCGGGCGGGAGTCTTCCTTTTTACTGGGATCTTTGTCGACGACTCTCTGTCACGTAATGAGGCTTTGGGCTACTTGTCCGCATTTCGTTTCTCAGTTCTCTGACCGAAAAGGATCCTATTGGAGTCGGGATTTTTAGATAGGGCCGCGCGCTACTTTGAGCGTTGACTAGTGGGTTTGCAACGCCCATCTGAATGCGTTCACCCTGTTCACAGTCGCTCGCCTTCTCGCTCAAGCTCAAGCTTCCAGATCGTATATGCACAGTGCCAGCTTTTTCCTGTTCAGTAATCGACGTTGATGGACAACTGGAATTGATCCTAGAAGAATCTTAGTACACCTCCGCCTGAAGCACGGCAAACACTCTCCTTCTACTCCCGATCCGCCGTCCTCACTGCCACTTGCACGACATATTATCACATTAGTACGTTGTTCCGTCTCTTGAAATAATGTCTGATAGAAAAGGTTTCCGCTGTCCCCGCGCCAACTTTGCACTCCGATCCACCACAACATTGGGTGCGGTGACGACGTGTTTACCATGCGTTCAACGCCATCTCTTGTTCGGCCTCTCTCGTTGGGAAGCTTCCAAGCTACTTATCAGATCAAGTTCGAGCTCAGATGGGCGGGCGCTCCACCATGAGGCATTCTGATCCTTGAAGACCCCGACGTCAGGGGAAGAGATTAGTTCTTGGCAATTAAACGCTCTTCGGGGTCCTGGGATAATTTTGAGCGCTCATGTGACGGCAGGGCGGATAGGCCGGGATGGCGCTATCGACGCTCGAGGCTGTCCAGTCCGCTTACTGAACTGTCGTGATCATTGTCTTTGTTCTTCAGCTAGACGAAATAACCGGTAGGTTCTGTCGCGCCCACGTCCTCATTCTGCTTTCTAGTTGATCGTATCGTCAAGTTTCCCGTTCAAAGCGAAAATCAAGACCACCTTTTTTATCTCTTCACAATACTGCGAAATCAAACGATCCTTCTCACGATGGCCATATCGGGTCTGGTTCGACTGTTCACTGTAAAACGTCCGGGCGGGTGAAAGGTAACCCCAGCGCACGTCTGGCGCCTCAACTGGTGCGTCATGATGCGAAGAGCTCGTTCCCCCCTACGATTAACGTGAGGCTAACGTCAGTGTTACCCATATATCACCCACGGGATGTTATCATGCCTGTTTTTATTCCCTCCTCCGCAAAGATCAATCCTCCACCTTGACGGCATTTGAAGGTACAGCGCCCGGCAGGGTATGCGCCTTGCCCTCCTGGACCAATCAGCCTTCATGATTTGATATCATAGAAGTAGATCACGAACGATAACAAAATCCGCTTCCGAGCTTGGCCCGTACTCATTTTCTTTCCTTTCTTGTTCCTCCCGTGTCCACTTTTTGCTTTTCTCGCGACACAGGTCGGGTCCGGAATGCTTGTGAATTTAACGGCTTTGGGGTGCCACTGTTCCGTGCCGGATCCATTTCTCAAGCCTCCAAGTATCCACCTTCTTTGGAGCCTCGCGTTGATGCTTTTCTCGTCATGGGTAGCGGACTCACCCGCTCATGGTTGTGAGGTATCCCCATCAGCACGTCGCGCGCATGCGCATGGGTGTTTATTTCCATTAGTGGCCACTTTGGGGGACTTCTGACACTGTTATGTTCGTGGCCCCCTCGTTATTGGTGATCACGGCAATATCGACATTCCTGACCGACGTGTCGGACGTGTGTTCTGTTGCTTTTGTAGGCGCCACGTCCTTGTTTGCATCACGGCGCAAGGTTGTTATCGATGGGACTGCTGTCCCTGCGTGGCGCCATAGGCTTAAAAGAGCCAGACTGTACCCGACATTCCGCCGGCACAATCCTTGCAAAATACTCTATGTCAACGACGCCGACCGCCCCGTGTCCTTTCTCCAAGGCGCGAATTCCCGCCCTTCATACCGCTTTTGGAGTCACTGCAAGCATGCTCGATATAGCCTCTCGTTTTGCGGCGCCTGATCTCCTACTTAAAGCGGATCATTCTAGAGCAGTAATTCAGTAGTGCTATAGAAAAACTCGACCCTTATGCTCCGGCACAAGCTCACGTTGGCGCTAGAATTAAGGTACTGGAGGCCGAACCATCTGCAATACAGCGGACATACGGAGCATACGGCTGTGAGAGTAGTCCTGTGAACTCGAAGTTTATGTCACATTTAGCAACACGTTTATCTATACTGCGTTTCTCACCCCGTATCTCGTTAACAGCGTCATGAGGAAGTTAAAAAGCCACATTTGGTGGAAGATGGCTAGGTGCGAACCAACCATAATAGCTCCATTTCACGCTGCCGCGCCGTGTTCCAACCATGGCCTGCAGCCGCTGCTATTCACGTCTAGTGCGGTCCCAAGCGAGGTGCGGGAATCCGTCGCGGATTGGACGCTCGTAGGACATGGAAACGCGGGGACCGGGGAATCATGAGCAGTATCGATATCTCGGCGTACGACTATCTGCAAATGGAAGATCCTTTGTCAAAGACGGGATTAGGGATATCATAGAAGTGATGCGGCATCCAGCTGGAGCTACGGCTGAGGTATTCCAATTTGGAACGAAGGGCAAGGGCAAGGGAGAGGGATAGAGCCAAGTGAGCACCTGGAGAGTTCGTTTGGCTCTCCAATGTTGTCGCTGATATGGAAGCATCAGGGTGGCTTATAATTCATGTACGAGGAGCTTCCATATACCGCGTCTGTCCGAGGTCTTCAAGATCCGCGATGACAGACGACAAGTCGCGACCCCGGCTCGTGTGAAATTACACGTACACCGCTAAGGTCTCTAAAAGTCCACAGCGAGAGTGGATACTCGACCGCAACCTAATCAGAGGTCGTCAGCCTTCCTTAATTGCCGCCGGACTCTGATCGGACTCGCTCTTAGGGACAATGATCAGAGGCAAAATACTCTGCCTGTTCGAGTCGTTAAAATACTCGATGAAAGGGAAGTAAAATGAAAGAACATAATTCTTCTGCGAGCCAATATTAGCGTCCAACTTTGTGATTATCAGTGGAAAGCCTGCGCAGAGTTGATTCACGTAGAATCACAATTAATACTGAAAGGAAGCTGCAATTGGTTAAAGTACGAATCTCGATCGATGACGCATTATTGTTTGTACAATACGGCGTTGGCAAGCACCGGGAGCCGGCCCGCCTGAGCGCCCAGGTCCTGAATTTAGATTGGCATACGAGTCGCAGTCCTGTATAAATTTGTGAACAGAAACTTTAGGAGGGTTCCGTACGCGCCACTTGAACCTGGGGTCACATATAAAAACATTGGATCACCTGTACATATTCCCCTCGACCTCGTATTTTATTTACAGGAGCAAGTTAAAAGTGCACGTAGTGTAGCGCCTTTATTATTTTTTTTTCCTGTGGTGCGCGGAGCTGTTCAGGTTGATCATGATTTACCAGTTTAACAAAATGGATCGGCGTGGGGGCTTGAGGGTCCAGGCTAGGGGCTGCCTTGTCCCCCCCTTCGCATGGTGCTCCGCCGAAGGGGTATGGAATTGGTAAATGCAAGACAATTTCAGTCGGCATCGAATATTGGGATCTGAAAAGGGGGGGAACAGACTGGCGGCATCATAGAGGATGAGACAAAATGTTTCGGAGGCAGGGGCTGCGGGCCGGCGGTGAGTAGATGGATAGGCAAATGGCGACGAACAAATTTGCTGAGCAGTAGTAATCAGTTGGATCAGGATAGATCAGGCAAGGGAACATGCGAATGCCTCGAGGCAAGGTGTTCTGATGGATGGGGTCGAAGAAGTCGGAGGCGGGTTGGGGTATCCGGGGTCCTGGCCGGCCATGTGACGACGGGCCGACTTTTTAACGACGCGAAGGCGGATGGCGCCTATAAAGACCATGCGCCCCGGATTCCGCCTCCCGTCTTTTTCGCCCCAATGTCCCCTCCTCCGCCTCCATCCCTTCCTTCCACCAATCACATCCTTGCCCGTGACCGCGATAATGCCCAGCCATCCTCTCGCAGCCAGATAGCTGCCCTTCTCACAGACAGCTACAAGGAAATCGAGGCCTTGCGCCACTCTCTTACTGAAGAAAAACGACGCGCAGACCATTGGAAAAGTCTCGCGGAGGCCTTCGACGCTGCTTCGTCCAATGGCTCCTCTCAGGATCTACACGACAAGATACGGGGCCTCGAGCAACGTGCATATAGCGCAGAATGTCTCAGAGACGAAGAGATGGCACGACGGGTGGCGATTACCGATCTTTGGTGCCAGCTACGGGACTATCTCTCTGTCCTCGACGCCCATAGCAAGGACGCGCGACTCGCCCTCGACAGAAGCGTCGATATCGTCGGCAAGGGCGTCGGTGCCGGCGCTCTCATTCGTGAACTTCCTGTCATCCCTGTGCCTTCCATCACCGATATCGCTGGCGGTGAAGATAAGGTCTACTCGAGCCAGGGCATGCTTCCGCCTGTAGGCACACATCTTCTTCGCAAGGGCCAGCAGTCATCAGCTGGCGGGCGGGTCCGGCCGAGGTCGGACAGCATGGAGATGGGCGGGCATGCTGCTAAGAAGAGCCGGCATGAATCTGTGAGCGTCTTCCGGGATGTCCTGCTCTATATCTGACCCCTTTCCTTAGCGTCCTCATCGGTCACATTCTCGCTCATCATCGCACTCATCCATCGATGAGATGATCCTGCAGGCTGCTGATCGCGACGAAGGTGCCATGTACACTCACCCTCCGCCTCGTCGCAATGGCGCTGGCACCGGAAAGCTCGTTCCCGATGGTGTTCTCCCGCAGCAGCAATATCAGACGCACGTCTTTGCTCCAGTCGTCACTGGCGCACCTACTAAGAAGGGCAAGTACAATCCCGGCAGTCAGGTCCTTGAAACTCAACAACCATCTCTCACCCATCCCCCGCATCTTTCTTCTCATCCAGCCTCTCTCTCAGCGCATCCTTCTATCAATGTAGGCATCGAACAGAAGATCTATCCCCCAACCAATGAGCAAGGTCAGAGAATATGTCGCAGCTGCGGTCAGCCAGGCCGCTACAAAGAAGACAAATGTGTTGAGAAATGGGGTCCAGGGCCAATGGGTCCAGGTACCGTATGTGACCGGTATGTCTTTCCAACCAACTGCTTATCTTCATTTGACTAATTACGATCTCTAGATGTCGCAAAAAAATGAAACGTTTCGAACGGCGGGGCACGCTGGGAGCTTCCCAAACCCTCAACCCTCAACTCGCACGAAACAACCTTCCTCAGCCTCAACTGCACCCTTCACCGTCGCCTTCACACCCTTCCAATCCCATGCCGCGACCTTCTTCCTCTTCTTCTTCATCTGTTCACCACTCTCCATCCATCCATCGCGCGTCTCCTTCCGGCGTGCATCGCTCCGACACTATTGTCGTTCCTTCCTTGCCTCCCATTGCCGTCGAGCGTGACACGCCTTCGGTACGCCGCATTACTCCTTCTCACTCAAACGGCTCCGGCAAGGAGAGCGATGCCGATGCTGACGCTGACGGTGAGGTCGACGAGATCGACGCCGATGGCGATGTTGATATGCGAGAGTCACAGGTTCGAGCAGTGGGGCTTGACAAGTCAGACAAGGCGGACAAGGATCGAGCGAAGAGTGAGGACGCTGCCGCTGGGGAGTCAGGGGAACCTGAAGAGAGCGTCGTAGATGACCTGCTTGAAGCGGTAGATGCAGCCGAAGCGAGAGGCTGATGAACTATTCTTCTCCTCTCTCTCTCTCTATCTGTTTTATCTGTTTTTTTTCTTTGTTACATGCTCTTTGTCTAACTGTGTTTGTGCTGTGTTTCTTGTGTTTCTAGTGTGACAATTGTTGTACGTACAAGGCCAATATCTCTGTTGCTCGATACCTCAGCCTTTGGATCCGGGGTACAAGTCCCATATGCATCACCCGAATCAAACGTGATTGCACGGCGTGGGTGTCGTTCTGCGCGAGACCTAACTATGGCTTATAATTATCATGCCCCTTACCCGAATATGACTTCGCTCTCATCAATCCAAACACGCCAGAAGGGCAGCCAAGCAGCAACCGGCCATATCTTCCTTTCACTAGCACATGATAGAAACCTCGAATCCATGAGAGAAATCCGATTGCAAACACGCATTCATTTTCATCAGTTCCTAGCCTTCACGTCTGTCAACACCTTTTCTGGACCGAATTCGAAGGCAGTATTATGCCAAAGCGGCCAATCACTTTGAACCCATATGTTCACTTCCGTCCGATGTTCGCAAAGAAACGGGTCGCCGACGAGCGCATCATCGACTATGAATAGATGGCCTGCCAAGGGTGAAGATATCAGCCGACCATGCCCTTGTACAGGACGATGCGCCAAGGAACCGCATCAAGGGAAAAGGGCGTGGACTCAAGAGGAATTTAGGAACTCGCCAATGACCTCGTTATCACTGTCAGACTTAATCTGAAGTCTTCAAGAGTCAAGAACATTCCTCACGGCACGTCAAAATGCTCTCTCGTGAAACTCTTTACCTTAATCTTTCGCTACCTGGATAGCGCAGCAATCTGGCTTTAACACCGAGAACAGCCTTCGGATTGCTCGTAATAGCCGACGCGGATGCCCGACGGAGGTAATGAGAGCAACGAACTTCACTGTCCCTGAGGTTTCTTGATGCCAGAGCAGAATCACACAGGTTACCAACACGACAATGAGATGCATAAGAATTAAACTTAGCCCTTAGCCTGTCATCAAGACTTCCTTTTCAGCTTAGCGGAGAGGAGGCCGTGTTAGTGACGGGTAACTTGACCTGAACCTGAGGAAGTTAGGTCCTCGAGGACCAGCGTCCTTCTTTCTTACTGGTTCCCGCTAAGTACCGACCTTACGATGGCAAGATTCCGGCAGTAAATTGATTCTAGAACGCTGCCTTGCGGCCCTCACTCCCACGTCAGATAGGAAATGAAGGTATGCGACCCAGCGTCCAATGAGCTTAAGCTGACGAACCCTCCAGGTTCCTATCAGTTATTGTAGTCCATTTGACGTAAACGCGTAAGGGTGCTACCGTACTGCGATCTGAAGTACATATGAATGAAATGGTCTCGATCCTGTCCAAGGACCTGAAAATCCTCCGCTTAGAACGATCTGCCCACCACGAACCCTTGGAGTTCCTACCAGAACAGACGAGTCTCGTCGATCCCAGCCGGAGGCACCGACGGACGTCTTTCGCGAGACACCTTTGCATTGCTTTGAAGACTCTTGGATGACATGCAAAATCCCAGGGTATTATCGTCCATGAAATTTATTTCACACCTGAAAAAAAGTCCTCCCCGACAGCTACGGGCTTCTCCACCCTCAAAACAAAATCGCGTCGTAGCCTCTCGAGAGGATGTACTCGTGAACCACTATTACTTATTGTATGATTCTGCACTGCGCCCTGAATCTGAATTTTTTTACACATGTAGGCTGTTTCTGCCCTGGGTCTTGACCATCTTACGGCGTTATGTCCAGAGGGTTCCTTTGATATCACCTGAACCCATACTCAAACTCAACCTCAAGTGCGTATGCTGGAAGGCTTGGCAGGGGCCGTGTCCCTGTCCATCGCACTTCCCCTTTTTGACACAGTCCCTAACGACTTGCAGATAACACGCCTCTGAAAGCTAATTTGCGATTTTCACTCAATGACGGGTCTTCTGTCAGCTACTTATGGTGCTTGCGCAGACTCGAGTTGTCTTCGTGTTAGGGGTCTCAGTCTTCACTCGTAGTGGTGTAAAGGACTGAGGTACGTCGGGGCGAAAATTATCTAAAATATGGTAACGATCGCGCTACTGAATATGAATCACTTATCTAAATATATAATAGCTCCGAATAGGCCGATGCATAGGTGTCGACTGAACCTCTCGACACTTCGTGTCTTCGGAATCTCAGCTTTCTCTTATAACTCAGGGCATAGCTTGACCTTGAATCTGTCGGAGTGGTGTCTGTTGAATTCCCCTGCTGCCATGTATCGGTGACATCTCTAGTCTATTGTGATGGCTTGCCTTACGCTCCGATGACTTTCTTGCTATGACGCGGCCAACTTCAATAGGCGAGACCTACGGAGCGCTCTCTGCCATAGTCCTAAAGTATAGCAGACTGCTGTGGATTATCGCTCATTCTGGGTTTCATTTTTGTCAGGCCAATTATGCTCAGTAAACGTGTACTGGATGCATTGGATGCAAGCTGAATGCATTTCCTGGCATTGGTAAAGTTATTCGATGAAAAAAACCATCTGCTCAACATTTAGTGGATTTCAGGTTGCTCCTTTGAACTCGTTTCTGTGCTATCAAAGCTACTGCAATATTAGAATCAAAAGTTGTACATAATGACTTCGGGTTTAGGCTTCAGTCGTCTCTCATCGACATCAACACGATCACAGTTCTAGTCCGTATAAAAGATTCACTCCGCTATGTGTTCTTGCTAAAACTTTTCGAATTAGTGGATCCCAAAATGTGTTGCTTGGTGACTTCTTTTAGTGTCTACTGTTATACCATGGCACTGCTCGTTTTTGAGACTGATGAATATACCTGGTTGTTCTATCATCCCAAACTTTTTAAATGCCCTCCAATCAAAAAAAGGCCCTCCTCACTAGCAATTCAGTATGATATTTCGTGGATTATGATTCGTCGGTTTGCTATTACTTTCTTCGCGAAGTTACACCTCCGTCATCATCAATACCGCAACATCCCCGTCCATGACGGAGCTCTATGATCTTGGCCTACTCAACTATCTTGATGTATTTCGGGTGGGTTCCTACTCCTCTTCTTTTCTGCTACTTAACTCAGAGTACTTCGAGGGGCTCCGAACCGCACGTCGGATCGAGCAACTGTACACCGACTCATATTCGCAGTCAGAGGTCGGTGAAACGGTGGTTTAATGCTGACAGTGGACAACGAATTTTCGTGATGTAGTGGTGTTATGGAAATCACTTTTGAATAGTAAGTAGGTCGGCTTTTGTGGAAAATTATCCTCAACGGTATTCGTCGCGCAATCTCGCATGGGTACACGTCGATATGCACGACATTCGAACACCATTCAGTTATCCAGTAATTTCAATTAAATAAAGCACTGGCTAGCCACTCCAGGTACACTGCCGTCAACGATTTGCACTGGATCTGGTCCACCTTCTGAACTGTTGGGGGAAGACGGGTCTCGATAACAGATGCAACGTCATTATCGTCATACGTCGGCGTGGATAGACGTTCCGCAGAAGGTGTTGTGTTGATTCGGACGACATCTTCGAAGTCCAACTTGGCAGTAATATACCCTGGAAAATTCCCCTAACGAGGTGACGGATATTGGGTAACCCGCGTAGGAACTCTAGCAAAGATGTGCAGTCCTCTTGATTGAGACTCTTCTGCGACTCGGCATAACTGTATTAACAGAGATTTGAGATAGTGGTAGGGAATTCCAGTTGATGTGCGCCGCGAAATAATAAGTGCCGATGAGCCGTCTCGAATGCTTTCACCACGGCATCATCGAATATCGGTTCAGCAGGCGTGTGGGGGATTTGACACGTTCCAGCCGCAAGAATTGCAATAGATCAAAGTATCTTCTGAACGCCGTGAAGCCTATTTCAAAGGACGTGAAAGGGACGACGACGGTGAGATATTGAATGCGGGGTGCAGGATTGATGCTAGGTGACTGAACAATGTCCCTGTTACATATGCTGGCCGAAGACTATGGCCACGACTTCGTTCCAGTGTGGCAGACGTGGGATAGTGTCCAAGGACAACTCTTTGCAGTTGAGAGGCGCCCTGCTGTAAAAACAGCGTGTCGTCAACGCAGTACGAAAAATTTCCCGAAGGATATCGTCTGGTATGGTTTATACGATATGTATGACAACTCCTGCCCCGAGGCCAATCTTTTCTGGTTGAGATTCTGTCAAGAATATCCTGTGCTTTAAGGCTCGAGAGTGACTGGCAAGTCGATGAGAGAATTTCAAGGGGGTGCTCTTGTCCTCTGGAGAAGAGTAGTTATGGTGCTGTAAGAGCCTCTCAATTCGTGGTGAGCGTGTAGTCTACATGGTTTAAAAAGTAGAATCCGATATCGTTGGTGAAAGAATCGGAGTTGGAGGTGATACTACGATGATACCACGCCCCGTGAAAAGATGCGATGTCAACGACGCCTTTGAAAAATGCTATCAATCTTCATTAGCATGAATGCTCTCAGACAAGTAGCCTACATACCTCAATCTTTTTTTCCTGATGGCAGCTGATGTGAGTTTTAGGCTTTCCGGGACAGTCACGAAATTTCACCGTGTACCGCTGACTTGAGGGCATATTCGTTGAAATGAAAAATTAAGGTATGTAGCAGTAAAGTGCATAACATAAATAATAAATACCAGAAGTGAAAGTGTTCCCAGTGAGCGTCTACTCCTTGACTTTCCAAACCACACCAGCGACTGCCAGCCCTACCACAATCACACCAAAGGCAGTCAACATCTCCTGCCTGCCCTTGACATCCTTGAGTTTTTGTTTTTTTGACAGGTCCTCCACCTTCACGTATCCATCTTCATCCACGTCTGTATCGTTTGGCGGCGGGACACTGATACTCTGCCCCCGTCGTCCACGCCTTCTCGGTCTCCCGCTACTTCCACCGTCATGTCCGTCGGAATCACTGCTAAGACTTCGAGGACTTGGCGGGCCGTCGCCCTGAAAGACCTTGACGACCTCTGCCTCTGGCTTCTTCTCCTCCTTCTGCCGCCGCTCGATCTCCTCCACTCGACGTATAACATCCTCCCATCGGCCAGCACGTTCCCGTTCCCGTTCCCATTCCTCCCGCTCACTATCCCGTTCAGTGAGCAGGCCCTCGAGTCGCTCAACCTTCTTCTCAAGACCACGGATAACGTCTTGCGCCGCTTCATGTTGCGCCCGTAATACCCCTGCGCTTTCGAGTGTCCCTGCTAGTTGGTCGGTTAACCGTCCAACCTTAAGGCTGAGCTCATCAATAACGGAGGACCAGTCTTGTCTTGTATTCGTCGTCTCCATCATGCCTGGTTCCGGCGTCTTGGGGCGAGCTCGCTCCTGTGGTGGCTCGTCTTCTTCACGTTCATCAACCTCCTCGACCGTCTCTAGTTCTCGTTCCGTAATTGTAGTAACGCTTCGTGCATCGTCGTCATCATCGTCGACCTGAGAATATTAGAAAAACACATAGAACCAGGTCGTGAGAATTACCTCGTTTCGTTTGGTCATGCCATCGACAATCATACTGCGAATTTCTCGCCACATATTTTCCTGCTCCTTCAGTTTTTGTTCCAGTTCCCTGACCTTCTCAACATGAACATCCAAAGCATGCTGGGTCTCAGCCAACTGCTTCTGAACCTCACCCATGACTGCTGCACCTTCGTCTTCCGGCTTCTTCTCCTTCTCCTTCTCTTCTATACGCTCCTCGACTACCTGCACGGGAGGCCGGACCGGCGGCAGAGCCCCGTTCACCGGTATCGCACTTCCCGCCCCACCACCCAACACCTCCCCAATGTCCCCCATGGCGCCCGTCAGCGCCCCCAGCTCCGCGCCAGTTTCCCGACTCTTTTGAAGCTCCCCTTGCAGTCTGCTCAAAATATGCTCAAAGGTCAACCCGCTCTTCCCAGGCGGACGCATACTTCCGCCCATTCCACCCATTCCCATGGCTTGTAGCCCGCCCGGTCGTCGTCCAGGTACAGGCCCAGGGGGAGCAGGTGGGTTAAACGAGGCTACCGGGGCGGGCCCTAGTGAATGTGATGCTTGCTCCGACCGTGCAGCAACCATTGCATCCTGCTCCGTAAACACGCACACGACCCGGGCAGCTACTTTGTGATGCACGATTGTTTTGTTGTCCTCGCCGACAATATCGATTCCAAACTCGACGATGTCGTCACTCTTCAGCTCGAAATTCTCACTCTCTACGCCTTCAGGGCTGAGTCGTTCGCCGTTAATGAAGGTTCCGTTAGAACTTTTGACATCTTTAATGTATATCTGCCACTAAGTCAGCGACTGTATGTCTAGTAGAGAACGCTGTATGCACCTTGCCATTCTCCTCCCACACTTCAGCATGCTGTCGACTCAAGACCTTGCTGTCAAAATAGCCATTCCTCTCTCCAGGGGTCGTCTTTGCATTCGTCTGGCGTCCAATCTTCACCCTCCCTTGCAGTGATATATGTTTCGGCACGAACGAGTCATTCAGAGGATACAAGTATAGCGCTGGAATTGGTGATAACAAACCGGGGGACGACGTTGGGGCGGGCATCGCGTTCGTTTTTCGTGGTCGTCGAAAGTTGTCGGTAGTGTGACGTGACCAATAACGAAATTCAGGACGCACGATCATGTGATGAGATTAAATTGAGTGGGGTGAAATACAATATTAGTAATATTTTTGAGGGCCTAGAAACCCCCCATGCCGCCCATTCCGCCCATTCCGCCCATCGGTGGGCCGCCCTTCTCCTCAACTTCTGCCTCGACAATGGAACACTCACTCGTCGTCAGCAAGCTAGCAACACCGGATGCATCAACCAGCGCCGTGCGTACGACCTTGAGCGGGTCAACAATGCCACTCTTGACCATGTCAACATATTCGCCCTTGCTCGCGTCGTATCCCCAGCTAAACTTGTCTTCACCAGCGTAACGCTCTAGCACGTTGCCAACTATGACACTTGCCTCTTCACCAGCGTTCGATAGAATTGCCCGAGCTGGTCCAGCAAGGGCGCGTTTTATGATGCTGACACCTAGCTCTTGGTCAAAGTTAGCGGTCGCGACACCGTCTAGAATCTGCGAAGCCTTGAGAAGGGCAATACCGCCCCCAGGAAGGATACCCTCCTCAACAGCTGCACGCGTCGCGTTAAGGGCATCATCATATCGGTCCTTCTTCTCTCCCACTTCGACTTCGCTGCTGCCGCCGACTTTAATGACAGCAACACCGCCGCTCAGCTTAGCAAGACGCTCCTGTAGACGTGTACGATCGTAATCGCTCGTGCCCTTGTCATCAATTAACCCTCGGATCTGCTCGCACCGCGCCTGGATTGCCCGGCCCTCGCCTTCACCGTTAAGAACGATCGTGTCTTCCTTGGTTACAGTCAAGCTACCGGAGCTACCGAGCATCTCCCGCGATGCATGCTCAAGCTTGATGTCGACCTCGTTGCTAAACACAGTACCACCAGTAAGAACCGCCAAATCGCCAAGGATGTTCTTGCGGTTGTCCCCGAAGCCAGGGGCCTTTACCGCAGCGACCTGCAGTTGACCACGTAGCTTGTTGAGAATACAAGCTGCCAATGCCTCGCCGTCGACATCCTCAGCGATAATGACCAATGGCCGTCTCTCCCTAGCGGCAATCTCCAGAGACGGCAAGATATCAGCAAGCACACTGATCTTGCCCTCGCTGAGCAAGATCAACGGTTTCTCCATCTCGCATTTCTGGCCCTTGACGTCCGTGATGAAATATGGACTGATGAATCCCCGGTCGAACCGCATGCCCTCCGTGATCTCAATCTCGTCTTCAATTGTCTTTCCCTCCTTGACCGTGATGACACCCTCCTTGCCGACCTTCTCCATCGCCTGTGCAATCAGGCTCCCGACATGGACATCGCCGTTCGCACTGATCGTAGCAACCTGGGCAATTTCCTCACTTGTTGTGATCGTCTTCGTCTTGTCGCCAAGGAAGGCGACGACCTTTTCCACAGCTGCTTGCGAACCCCGGCGGAGGTCCATTGGGTTGCACCCAGCAGCTACGTTCTTAACGCCCTCAGCATAGATGGCCCGAGCGAGCACGGTAGCAGTTGTCGTTCCGTCTCCAGCAATCTCGTTGGTCTTCTGTGCGACATCCTGAACGAGTCTGCGGAACGTTAGTTTGCAACATTCCTAGGCGTGCCCGCAACACCCACCTGGCACCCAGGTTCTCAAACTTGTCCTTTAGAGTAACAGCCTTAGCGACTGTGACACCATCTAATGACTGTTGTCAGCACCCTGCATATCCTCATTCAAGCCCGTTACTCACCCTTCGTGATCTTTGGACCGCCAAAGCTCTGTTCAATAATCACATTGCGGCCTGAAAACCAATCCACATCAGCATTGCCTCAATAAGGGTGTGGGTCTAGACATACCCTTGGGTCCCAAGGTTACACTAACAGCGTTAGCAAGGATGTTGACACCATTGAGTATTGCCGCGCGTCCTTCATTACTGAATTTGATATCTTTGTGCGCATATCGAACACCACTAATTTTGCGTGCGGAAAGACGGATAGTGGAGGAGAGGTGGTGCATCTGGACGTGATGTTGAACGAAAATTGTTGGGAGGTACGTGGGTGTAAGAAGCAGGGACGAATGAACCACGGGTATTCGACAGAAAACAGAGGAAGGCGAAAATAGATACCAACATACAGAAGAGCATACCACATACCATTGTCGCGAGAAGAATAAAGGCGAAAGAAAATAAAGACCATTCGTCAGCAAACTTGGCACAGGGTTTCAGTTGGCAAAGACACTGGCGTACCTTTCAAAAAGAGCTTTTCGTGGTAGAGAACAAGAGAGCTGGAAAAAGGAAAGAGGTGAGAGTTTCAATCTCAAGTAAACGAGATGAAAGAAGAGGAAGGTGAAGGAAATTACCAGAACTTCCCCCGCATAAATTTTCTGAAAACGCCTTACATAAGCGAAGCACGTGGGAGCGTCGGGCCGAGGACGCGCTAAAGTTGGGTCTGTTCTGCAATTTGTCGGCAATTCCTTTCTTCATTCACATCAAGACCTCAATTCTACCTCTTCGTAGGGCACCCATTGACTCTCTAGCTACTACTGAAGAATACCGTAACTAGTTTGTAATTGGTTCTAGGCTGGTATGTCTGCCCAGTAGTAGAACTTTCCGAGCCTGCCCTTTACCATGCTCCCAAGCTGTCAACAAACAGAATATGACTGCATTGATCTGGTTCTGATGACTTCAATGTCTTGACAAGACTGCCTCTGACCGAGAGAAATCGCGGTACATAAAGGATCGTCGCGCGTGTATCTTCAGGGTTGACCCGAACACAAGGAGTGAACACACATGCACGGTATGCATAATAATACAAAATATACAAAAGTCTAATATCTTGTCCCATAAAGAAAGGATTCATCCACAATCTAGGACTGGGAGTTCCAGCAAAAAGTGTAATCGATGTCGTCAGCTTCGTAATCATCCTCCCACATCGCGCTCTCAATGTACTCCCTCAAACAATGCACAGGTAAACTCCTCTGCTTCTTCCTCGAGTGAAAAGGCTAGAAAACAGTCAGACAAACGTGAAGATGCTGAGAAATTAGACGCACTCTGGCAAGAATTACACGTCCCGTGAGCCTCGCATAATTTCTTACACTCTGAGTAAAGGGTGAGCAAATGGCTGAGATACAAAAGCGCAAGCTCACCGAGCTCAAACATATCCAGTAGTAACCGGGTTGTACTTGTCCGACTTCCATCCATTCCAGTCATTCTTGTTCACAAATACTACTTTCCAAAGACAGCTGTGTCGGGCCATTGCTCGGGACTCAGGAATCCACACTCGGGCTATGCGAAAAGCGAAGATGCCTATGATGGAGACGATTGACATGATGACGAATAAGTATGATAGGTAGGCGAGGATTGTCTGAAGGATATTGGCATTTTTGCAGCCATTCTATATCTTGCGAGTGTCTCGAGAAGGAATGAGGATTAAAATTAAAACCACAGAATTCCGGGTCACTGTTTTCTCCAAGATGCCCCGTAGTGGTGCAGGAGATTTGGTATGTACCTAGCAATCGTTCTTTTCATAGAATGGAACATGACCGTAATCTCTTCTTCCCGGTCTCGGACTAAGTCCGACTTCAACCTTCTTCTCGATATGGTCGGTTTCACGAGCATCTTCATTATTCTTCTGTTCGGAAACGCCCGGGATCCAAAAGTCAACTACTTTACCATATCTTTGTAGAAACCAGATTATGTTCCAAACTTGAAGTTTGAAGCTTGAAGCATTTTACTTGGTTACTTGGCAACCTCTCCTGCAAGGACGAAATCTTGTGAGTCTCTGACATAAGCCCTCCTCCAAACGAATTCTCGAGTTCTCGAATAACTTCAATAGTATTGTCTATGCAGAAATGGCTAGGATTTCAAAGTCGTCGTGAGCCAGATAATTAGATAAGTTTCACAGCCCGAAGCTCGAAGATCTCAAGTTTGATTTTATAAAAAGAACGATCGTGATTTTCTTGATGTCTTTCCAACACCATCGGCACTGCCTGTCTGCACCAAGCCTCAACGACGTGGGACTCTGTGGTCTCTGATCCTCATTCCTTCTCGAGACACTCGCAAGATATAGAATGGCTGCAAAAATGCCAATATCCTTCAGACAATCCTCGCCTACCTATCATACTTATTCGTCATCATGTCAATCGTCTCCATCATAGGCATCTTCGCTTTTCGCATAGCCCGAGTGTGGATTCCTGAGTCCCGAGCAATGGCCCGACACAGCTGTCTTTGGAAAGTAGTATTTGTGAACAAGAATGACTGGAATGGATGGAAGTCGGACAAGTACAACCCGGTTACTACTGGATATGTTTGAGCTCGGTGAGCTTGCGCTTTTGTATCTCAGCCATTTGCTCACCCTTTACTCAGAGTGTAAGAAATTATGCGAGGCTCACGGGACGTGTAATTCTTGCCAGAGTGCGTCTAATTTCTCAGCATCTTCACGTTTGTCTGACTGTTTTCTAGCCTTTTCACTCGAGGAAGAAGCAGAGGAGTTTACCTGTGCATTGTTTGAGGGAGTACATTGAGAGCGCGATGTGGGAGGATGATTACGAAGCTGACGACATCGATTACACTTTTTGCTGGAACTCCCAGTCACAGGGGCGTGATTGCAGGTAATTTATACGTATCGTCTGTAAAGGGTCTAATTTTCAAGCGCCGTACTGTCTATCCCGACTCCTTTCCACTAAGCAACAGTCAGGCAAGAACAGCAACAGTCTGCAAGGACTTACCTTGAACCCAAGACCCACATGACTACGCTCAACCCGGCGAGGAGCTGTAGGGCTCTGGCAGTGCCTGATATGCGACTGAATGCGATATGGGCCTTGTGCTCGTCGGAGTGGCGTTGAGAGACATTCTGGTAAACAGGGTGTGTCCGGTCACGCAACCCGGCACCAAACTTTACACCAGTCGATGTGTGGTATACCGGCCTTGGTTTTCTAGCCGTCCAGGCAAACTTTGCATTGGGTGGTCTGTTTCTCGTCTCCCAAGTAGTGGTACGGAAAAATGCGTGTTCTCGTGGGTGTGGTGGTACGGTAGTAAGGGACCTGTCATAGGCACGCCTCTGTCTGTCGTCAGACAAGACAGCATAGGCCTCTGAAGCACGACGGAAGTGGTCTGGGGAGTCAGGGTGAGCGGAGAGGTCTGGATGGTGGGCCTTGCTGAGCTGCAACGAGACTGAGTACTCTGCCTGTATGCTGGGCATCGTACCTGGTAGAAAGAGGACTTTATCTGGGCCTTGGATGCATTCCTTGGTACTTTAAGAGCGTGGTAGTGGTCAACAGGCATGGGTATGTTATTTGTGTTACGTAAAGAGACGATTATATATGGTGATATAAGCAGAAAGGCAGCCACCTGCGATAACAGGCAATGTCAGGTTATCATCTAATCCAAAATCAAGGGACTCTGCAAAGGCACTGACGAGTCCTGCATACGCCCCAAATACGACTGTCCCGACCCAGCCCTTCTCAGAGGGTACCCATGACCCGCCCCCAATCCCGCCCCAGAAGCCGAGCACGATACTCGTCCCCGTCACTGCAGCTGCCACGAACCCCGCGACGCTCTTCTTCTTCGACCACGGCAGTTTCGACGTCGACGGTCCGTACAGCCGCCCAAATGTGCTCGCCGCCGTGTCCGCCCAGGAGAGGATGAGGATGGACACCACAGCTACATCCAGCGGTAGGAACGTGAGCACAATGTTGACGCCGAGAATGTAGTAGATCACTCCGTTTGTCTGTGTCAGCTCGCTCGGCCGCATGAGAGGTCCGAGCAGGATATTGTATAGGCCGGCAAAGGGCGAGCGGGGAAGGGTAAGCCGGAGGATGTCGGCAGGAAGGATGACGAGCAGGAGCGATGTCCAGAGAACGCGCGTCACCGGCGCTGCTGACCCGCCAGAGACGTAGAGATACAGCGTCCCAAAGCCTGTTCGAGTCAGCACACGACCAGGGCACACGCAAACGACGAGCCAGCTCACCTATCGACGAATGCAGCACCTTGCGCGGTATCTCCCAGTCAATCTTTTCCTTTTCCTTTTCCTTTTCCTGCGGTTCATCGTCTTCAGAGGAAGGATTCGACGATTCTTCTTCCACCGGGTGCTCACCGAGGCCTTCCAGAGTACGTATTACTTTGCGTGTTATCGTCTGCACGCCAGGCGTAGGCGACCTTGACGTGCGAGGCGACGACATCGCCATCAAGGTGGTGGTAGTGGTACAAAGTTCAAAAGGGACTCAGGGGTCATCAATTACTGATTCCGGTAATTAGCGCTATCTAGTACACATATCCCAAGAGCTTTCCACCAATATTTTTGCGACGCGCCTCTTCGTGGTCCATAATACCACCAGACGTGGTCTAAAAAATCGTCAGTAAAGAAAAAAAAAAAAGAGGGGCTACACATGAAATGTAAAAAAAAAAAACCTACGAGAATGATGATTCCAAACCCACGAGCAGGCAACAACAAATTGACCCAGCTCTCAATCTCGTTGTGCTTCACGTTGTACCGGGGAGAGATCACACCCGTCTTGTTCAGCCGTCCATTAAGTTGGATCACAATTTTGCCAGAGCGATGGTCATCGATGATCTCGAATTCACCGATGTAGCCTGCAATTTAGGTTATAGCGTCAGCACCATTCACCATTCACCATTCACAAAACAAGCAAACATGTAGCCCCATCCGTGAACGCCTGTCCCTAGTACTGGAACACACGCTATATGGTTATCCGGGGCATCGATATATCGGAAACGCTAAAACGATGCCAGCGTGCTCTTCTTGCGCCGACACCGTAGTTATCGCCCGAATGAACAGGAAAAAAAGGACACCCACCATGTCTCTGCATGACGCTGAGAAACTTGACCACTACCTTGGACGACGGCCGGATGAGCACCTGCCGCTTGCCACGGCGTTCGGCATTGACGATATTGTTCAAACAGTCGTTCTACCGTCAGCTCAGTATGAGAATTACCCCCGCCCAAGGACACTACGCACGAGTACGGAGATGCGAACCATGACTGTCTTTTTTTTGTTTTCTAGAGAGAGACAAGTGTCAGCAGCCCGGAGAGTGTCGCCAACGAGCGAGTCGACCGGGCGCACGTACCTTGAGGAGGCGAGGAAAGTGAACAGGCAGACCAGGGCCCCAAATGTAATTTCAGCCTGCCGAGAGCGTGGGAACCAACTGTATAGTTGTGCAAGCCACCTCGGAACTTGCCGTCCCCGTCCTCAGTCTGCATTCCCTCCCTACCGACTCGATTCGACATTCAGTAAGATGGTGAGTTCGCCGTCAGTGACATCGCCGATGTCGCAGCTGATGATATTCTCAGGGCCGTGTTCGCACCAAGACGACAAAGAGGGCTTCCCGTGTTCTCATTGAGAAATAGTACGCCCTGCTAATATCGCTTTGGCTCGCTCTTACCTGTTCGCAGCTACCCCCGCCTCACCCTCGACTTTCACACCAACAAGAGGATAATCGATGAAGTCGTACGTGGCCCGTTCCACTGCCTCTTACATGTCTCACCCTTCCCAGGCCGTCGTACCCTCAAAACGCCTACGCAACAAAATCTCCGGCTTCACCACTCATCTCATGAAGCGCATCCAAAAAGGTCCCGTCCATGGTATCTCCTTCAAGCTTCAGGAAGAGGAGCGTGAGAGGAAGGACAACTACGTCCCAGAGGTGTCGGCGCTCGATACCAGTGCTACCGGTCTGGAAGTCGATACTGAGACCAAGGTGAGCATTGCAGTACATGCCATGCGTTTTGACTGATCTTGTCGCAGGAACTTCTCCATGCGCTCAACTTTGATAATATCCAAGTATCGGTCATCCAGCCAGCCGTTCCGGAGAGGGCCCCCAGGAGGGAGAGGAGGAACGTACCCGGTGCTGGGCGATAGATGTTTATTGCTATCCATGTATGCACATGAATCGTATGCTGGCTTCCTTGCACATTTTATGAGAACGAATGAGACTACGCACCAGTCTACCAAATAGTCTCTCTTACGTTCAATTATGTGACAGGACACCGCTGCAATGACAGCATTCCGCAATTGTTGCTATCTTTGATACTCAATACTCTCATTGTTTGTTAAAAAGAAGTACATTACCCCTTACCCACTGGAAGCGCAATCAACATCAGGAGACTTCGACTTCAGTCATGCAAGGTTGGACTAGCATCAGAGTCTAGTCGGAATCGTATAAAAAGATCCAAAGTTTCCGCAGACGGAAATATGGTTACGATGGGACACACTCTATGTGCGATAGCTGCATTTTACATGCGGTACTCTCGCTGTCGGGCATTTGAAAACATCCAGTGTTAATCGTCCCGCCATTTGTACTAGGGCTTGCCACAGTTCCCGCCTACTAGGAGAATTGCATCTCCTCGGTTCATGTCTTACGGCTGTCTTTCGCCAGTTTGTTTCTGTGCTACTTGGAGCCTATTTCTCGAACGATAGTTTGAGCCATCGGAATATTCATGTATGAGGTAAATTTACTGGCCACACATAAAATTAGATCTCCCGAACCATTGTTTCTTGTGATTATGAAAAGTTTCGACACGGCTGTCTTTAGCCAATTTCCCTGTCGCATTCCTTAACCGACAGTTCGAGTTACTCGGTACGCTCCTGGTGAATGAGGTATACTTGCCGTTCCTACGGTAGTACCACATTATAATGTTGGAGAATATCCGTACGGACCGTATCGTTTACCCTTTTTGCCTTTCACCTGTCACTCGTTCTTACTTACCTTTTATATACATTCCCCTGTCCTTACTCGACCACTATATAAGTTTCACCATAGTTACCCGTATGCCTCAGTCGTTCCACAATCGCTGTGCCCGACTGAGGTACGTATACCTTACCAGGTGTAATATTATATTACTTACTATCCTTCGTAGCTCTTACTTATATTCTTCTGCTATTATATAAGCATTCTGAAACTGCAATACGTCCGAGTCGTCAGTCATCCTTAGCAGCAAATATTCAACTCGACCACCATAAGGTCATGTTCTCACCGTGACAACTATTCTCTCTGTCGATCAAGCCAACGTCGATACGTATCCATGAAACTTTTCGGAAGGAAGTGCAGCGACAACATCAGTTACATATGTGAAATGTGTCTTTCCCTCCGACATCACCGCCTACGTCCCGCTCCTCTAGGATGAACGTCAGTCTTGAAGTGAATTGCATACGGGCCTCCCTGACTGCACAGTGCCGTTGATTGAAAAACACGCGCTGAAGTATAAATGAGTCACAGGAATGCCAATATCCTCCAGGAAAATTGGCCACCCTCGTCTACCGATATGCGCTTCTCTCTCACTGCTCTAGTTCCCTTCGCTGGGCTCGTTGTCCCAGTTCTCTCCGGCATCGCCAAGGCTGAACACATGGGAGGCAAGCACACCACTTGGACTTGGCCCGGTAGCAGCAAGCCATGCCCCTCGGATGTCCATAATGATTGTCCTTGCCGGAAGGATGTATCATGTATGTTTGCTTCCACTGCTTGGTGCGCCTTTTGCCTCATTTTTGTACAGTCTGAATGCGGGTTCAAGTGCCCCCCCACAGTGAGTCGACACCAACTGCACCTGGGAAACAGTGTTGAGAATAAGAGCGACTGGAAAGGATGAAAAAAGGGAAAGTATAACCCCATTACCACTGGGTATGTTAACAAGGACACCTTTGAATTCGGTAAGCATATCTCTACTGCTAGTTTACGCTTACTCACTATTACAATCTAGACTGCAAGAACCTCTGCAAGACTCATGAGAAATGTAATTCTTGCCGGGGTGCGTCCAAGTCATACATACGTTGTCTGACCGTCTTACCAGTAGAGAAGGCGGAGCAGTTCATATGCGCACTCTATGGAGAGACCATCAACATTATTTAAAACCTGGGAGGCTGACTATGAATATGGCCACAAGGATCACAAAGATTACTATACTGTTCCCGGAACGCCCAGTTTTCTAGATGTGACATTTAGTAGAGTTTCATATAGGACTTTGTATATTTTACTGTATGCCATTCGCATGTGGTCCTTTTCCCTTTCATGCTTTCAAGTCTGTATAGTAAAGATAAGCCTGCCTCCGTAAAGATGTTTCTTGTGGTGATGCGTGACAACCATAGACGGACTTCACATTTGAGCAGCATACGATTTTTGTGCAGACATATAGCGTTTGACATTGAAATGCAGAGTAGATGATAATATACTACAACGCAGGATGATGGGTACGGAGATTTCTACCGCTATCCGCTGGTCCGCCTCTTCTACCGTCTCACAGGTCCTTTACATGACGCAGCCTTCTTAGCGTCACACCCAAATACCCCCTCTGGATTGATAATCCATATCCGGTCCTCCTGGGAAGACTAACGCCACATATGCTTGAGAAAGGGCCGACGCTTCTTCGTATATTGCCATTGACGTGAACTTGTAGGCATCATCTCAATGACAAGAGTGCCTCCGAGCTGCCCAACGGTGATGACGCACGGCTCCTCCATCACGATGGCATTCTCGTTGAAGCAGTCAAAGATTTCGGACGCAAAAGCCACATTGGTCTCATCAAGGACGATGGTTTCCTCGCCATTGCCTCATTCTTCAAGCATTGCACGGATGGCATCAAGAAGCGCGGATTCGTTGAGTACCTTTTGTCCGTCGTTCTTAGCATGGCTGTTTGATCGTGTCATGTGCATGATCTATCCATCGCGATAGGGCAAGTAGCGTTTAGACAGGCAACCGGAAACCGAAGACTGCTTCATCGAGCGAATCGTAAGATCAATGAGAGAAACGGAAGGGACTAAGACTCCGACACGAGAAGATCATATTCTCCGCACATACATCTGCGTTTACCCCAGTGTGCAGGACATGTTTATCATTGAAGCCCAGTCTTTCCCAGAGCCGTTGCACGAACTGGTTGCCTTATGGTCCTGTGATAACGTACGGGAGGTCGCTGCCAATAAGAAGACGTGCCCCCTGAGTGACGATGTGGGTCAGACGGCCCAGATGGTGCTGCTGTGCTGGAAGGAATACGAGTTAGGGGAGAAGGTCATCATTGCATTTGGGTACATAATACGGCGAAAGATACTACAGTGAGACCGAAGGGTAAACGCGAAGGTTGCTTCGGCCAAACCGGCTGTCAAGGAATGGGCAAAGAACAGGAGCGTATCCGAAGCCGGAAAGAGGGCTCTCCCAGAGGAAATGAACATCATGATCAGCCAGGTATCTCTCATTTCCCTGAGTGGCGTTTCCATGTTGCCTCTGCGATCACCGGTAAGAAATTATTGGCGGAAGATGCATTTATACTAGACAACCCCGCCTGGGTATACATGTTGATCAACTGCGAAAATTTGCCACGACACATTAATCACATTTGGGTGAACCAAGCTCAGCATACTCACTGAAAGCAACAAGTCTTCCCTGGATGGGAAAACTAATGTTTTCCCACCAACCCACCAACCGACTGCCGGGGCATCAAAGAATGCTATTTTGCGGATCTCCAACCAAGCAGTGGGGAATCTGGCGGACATAGCCAGCGGTTTTTTGGAGACATACACAACTGTCAGTAGGACCCATTGAGATATTACCATCGACGATGGAGAGTGTGAGATGATGGGTGATGCATGCCGAAAATATAGTAAGTGATACTGTATGGAGAAGCCTATAGAGCTAGGTACATACGGCCGCCAGGCAGAATGAGACTTTCAGATACTGCTGTAGCATAGGACCATTAGGGCATTATGAAGATGAAGGGTAATAACATCCTTCATACAGTTGTTTGCTTCGCTTTCTCTCTAGTAAGGCGTCCCTTTCCCCGTGCCATCTCAACTTCGCCCCACATGGCTTCTGATTCGCTGAAAACCAGCAGTTCTTCATCATATTCCTGGAAGAATCTCGAGATCTCTAGATCAAATGTCTCGTTGCCGAGACTCCGGATGGCATTCCGTACGCCAGCAAAAAAGGCATCGAGAACAGCGAGATTATGAAGAACCAATAACGAGTGTGCCGACATCTCATGTGTATGCAGCAGGTGATGTAAATATGCTCGTGTGAACGGTTGTCCAACCTCACCGCCATTTGGTGCACTCTCATCTAATGAGGAGTGGCTTATCCGTGTATGCGGGGATAGAGGTGAACAGGCCCCGCACATACAGACAGGCACATCACCGTTGCGAGTCGCTTCTCCGATAAAACAGTTTGCTAATGGAGCGAAGTCTTCTGCATATGATGGATCGAAAAGATTATGACCAAGGTCCTGTTTCCCATTCGACCGCCGCCGAGTTCCCCAATTACCTACAGGGAAGCTAAAATCCAACGCTATTCCGATATCAGCGGCCCTCTGAGCCCACTGAGCATCGAAAAGATCTACCCCAATTTGCTGAATTAAGGTCAACATCTCATGAGGTGACTTCGAAGAGTTCACGAGACGAATTTTATGGGTCGGTAGAGGGAACAGTGATGAGCGTAGTAAGGGAACGATGTCGGATGTTTTGATGCCAGGATCTGTCGTAACAGGAGATGTATCGATATTAATGACTCCGGACAAGGCCAGGCGAAGTGGGACCAGGTCCAATTGGTACCCTGTGACGCCTTCATCCAGTGACTTCAGTGGCTTGACCATGTCCGCATCCTTGCCATGCAGGGTCTCGAGAAGACTCTCAGAAAAAGCCGTTCGCGCCGCGATGCTGGCTCCACCTGCGAGATGGACAAATACATTGAACGGATGTGAACCCTCGATGGGTTGAAGGAAGTGAGTTAACCAAGTGAATGACCGCTCAATGCTTTTGGTTAGTCGTTTCTGAGAATACGGTGATGGATTGAAAGGGGTATCAGACAGAGGGACGACGATATCAGGTTTGCAGGCGAGGGCATATGATCGCCACTCGTCTGGTGAAACCTACAGCATCAAAACATAAGCTCGTGCAGGCCAGACGGTATTGTAGGGTGCGCACCTTACGAACGCCACGGATGGTATTGGCTGAGACGAAGGCATTTCCGTTCGAAGGCACCTCTCGTCCATCGTGAGGATCTCGAAGGGACATCGAGACTACACATTTGTCAGAAGGATATCCAAGAAAACGATGAAGAGGGTCCTGTCCGGTCTGCAGTGTCGGGACGGGAGGTTTATGCTCTAGACTACGATGAAGATGCGAGGTTCAGATGAGAACCACGGCAGCTCACCATTGATAACAACCGATAAACTCACAAAGTCTCAAATGGAACGTGTACCCAGCGCACACTTGAACATTGCTTGTATTGTTCTCTGGAAAGATGAGGTACCACGCCGCGCGATGTATTAACAATGACTCCAGGGGTGTCGATATCGATGTTACCGTCGCCGTTTCGCGTCAACGAGAGAGTTCCTACGCGAGGAGAAAATAAGGATTTCGATATGCTTGCCTGCGCAATGGTGAAGGATAAGGAGCATGACTGTCTCGATGTCGACATCGGCATCAGTGTTGAACCTTGCTAGGTTTCTCCGAGCTTTGACAAACATCACCAATTCAAAGTAAGTACTGTTACATAGGTATACGCGACTTTCTTGATAATCATGTCTAACTGGCAAAATCACTGTCCAACCGAGTAATAAGCGTCAAAATAATGTTTATCTGCTCGACCGCGACTGGTATCGACAACTTGCTCCACCCACCATCCACCATTGCTGCCCACAAATAGTCTGGTTGTGGTATAATTCTGTCATGAAAAGGAAATTCAGATACGACGACGTCGAAGGGTTGGAAATCCTTACCCGAGTGTTGGGAGACGGGAATGGCCCATTGTACTGCTCCCGCCAGCTCCGTACCTTGGAATGTTACATCAACAAAGGTGGGCCCAAATGAGGGACATGAACGCGTACCATCTGGACCTGACACCATTGACACTTTGGGGATAAAGAAGAGCCATTCGTATATCTTGATCAGACCCGTTAAAGGAATGCAGATACGAATGACGCAGCAATGTACTCCGAGACGAGCTATTTCTAAGAGAAGGTGGCGGAAAAGTGAGGTGGGCGAAGACGGCAATAACAATAGTACTCACGCCATGGTCCACATAGGCTCAATCTTTCCTGTCGCTCTGTATTCTGGAGCTCCGTTGCTAAAATCGTCTTTCCATTCAGACGCTCCAAAATGTTCACAAACGACTGCGGCTACAGCATTTGCCAGTAGTTCAGGACGCTCTGTCATCCAAAGTGTTTCACTCAGATGTCCACCGGACATGTGTCCCGTCGTAATAACGAAACTAAATCGCCAATAAAATCAAACACACTATGAGATGAAGGGAAGAGAGCATACTCGATATTGATTCTCGGCCGGTGACGGGAAAAATATTCCGCCATTGTAAGAAGTAGGATGGGACCTGATATCTCATTGTTTAGGAAAGTGTAGGGAAAACCAAACGTAACCTACCATTTTCTTCGATGATTGAAGGTCCGTCACCTGTTCTCTACCCATTAGATTGAATACTTGACTCGGCCGAAAACACTTACTATGAGTATATACAATAATGGTTTCATTACCTCCCGCAGTGCCCGCCAAGTGCCCAATAACCGTTTGAGTCGACGCGTTATAACTTGGCGCGTCTAAGACGACAGTCGCCGTGTCCACTTCGTCATCTTTGATTAGCTGGCGTATTGTCTCGCCGGTGGAATTTCCAACGTATAGAGCAGGAACCTCGTTTGGAACGTATTGATCGTCGGAGCCGTCGTTTGGTAGGAACTGCAAGGCCGCATTGTCGTCTGAAGTATGGACCCAAGATGCCACAACAGCAGATACACCGCGAGCCTTCATCTCCGTCCAGTTCAAGGTTTTGGCTGATTGCCAATGTGGATTGGTCAGATTTCCAAGCTGTTAGACGTCTATTAGTTGAGAAAAGTGTGATAAAGTTGAATGCACCTCTGGAATGTCGTCGGGGTCAACACTAGAACTAAGTTTACGGAAGGAAAAGCTTCAGAAAACATCTAATTAATATTTTTAGACATCTTACCCAAGTAATCTATAGCCTGGTAACGAATAGTTCCTTGTCGGACTTGGGTTGTCGAAAAACAGGACAGTTCCAGGAGCCTCTGACCGAACCTGAGTCAGGTTGAGCGTGCTTTCATCGGCGGTCTCGTCGGAATGAAGACCAAATGTTCCTCCGTCAGCCATTGGTGCTGTAACTCCCTCCAATCCACTGTTGCCACTGTACGGCCAGAATCCCGTAGTCGGTAGCACGGTGGATGTACCATTACGAAGGTTCAGTGTGAGAGACCACCATCGTGCATCCCATCTGCATAACGAGGCGACAGTGAGAACAGTGTGAGTGCAGAATAATTCTATTCACCTATTGATAGTATAATTCAGCATGTCGACTGTCAGACCCGCAATTCGCATCGATGTCGCAACAGACTCCGTTAAGGTGTTCTGGTTGTCGTTACCCGCTTCATGATAGGTCCACGTCAGAAAGGCAAGTAAGAGAATGAGTTCAACATACTCCATCGTGGCCCTCTGAGATTGGTTTGATACAACCTATCGCTGAGTAACTGTCGAAGTCGCTGATCGAGCTCTGGAGTACAGACCCCAGTCCAGGATGATGAAAGCAGCAGGAGAGCGGTCCAGAGGAGCATTTTTGCAGTGAAGGGACACACGCATCGGATCCCATATGGTTTCTACTTATACTGTAGAGGATCAGCGGCGTAAAGAGATAAGAATAGAAGGCGCAAGCGCACATCAGGGTCAGAAGCAAAAAGGTCTTGTCGCTATTTGGCGGAAATCATTATGACAGTCCACTCCAAGGTGGCAATAACGTTACCCAGTTTGGTGACACCTCATGTGCGAGGTCAACCTAATGCCTGTGACGATGTGAGAGAAAGCGAAGGCATCTTATCCCTAAATAATATTTGAGGGATGCGTAGCGTCATCGAGAAGAAAAGCCAAAAGTAGCACGTCTTCGAGTGGATCAAAGCTTCTAGCATGCATGCTCTTCCGATCTACGACGCTCGGGGGTAGCAGCCATGAAAGCGAAGATGCATATTGGTTCTTTGTATCTCTTGCGGTTCATTGACACCTTTAACGTTCTCTTGGGGAGGGGGGAGATAAGTAGGTTAAAGAATTCATTTAGGGTGAAAAGATGAAGTTTCGACAGTCTAAATGGATCATTAAGTCATAGGAAATAAGAGTGAGCGCTTACGTTGGTGGCAGACCTTGAAAGGATGGCCGGAGGTTCAAACAAGTCAAGTTATCGTAGGTAGTCTCACCAATCTACGTGATCCACGATCAACGAAGCATGAGGCGAGCACTGATTAATTCCGTCTCTAGAACATCAGTTGTCGCAAAACTACTACACGTGGACAAGCCCGAACCCATACATGTATAGGTACTCTACAGGATATATTGAGAATTTTTGCTGGTCATAGATTTCCCGGGCTTATTACATACATCATCATCCCCAGGAGCATGGAGCATGTGTGAGCCTAAGCTGCACCAGCCTCGGCTTCTGCAGCTCTTTGCAGTCTCCTGGCCTTCTTGGCAGCGTTGGCAGCAGCAGCCTTTTGCTTCTTTGCTTCAGCCCTAGCGACCTGGTGGGCAGATTAATACGGTAAGGACGGAACATAGCAAAGGCATACCTTCTCCTCCTCCTCCTTCTTTTTCTTTTCCGCCTCTTGTTCGGCCTTACTCTTCCCTCCTTTAGGTGTGTTCACTCCTGAGGCGGGGGCGGATTTTGCGGCTTTCTTCAACTCCTTTGCTTCTTTCTCTTCTTGCTTGATGCGCTTGATACGGGGATCCAAGCTGCGACCAGAGAAACATTTAGAAAGTTGTGTACTGTTATGGTTGAAGCCGCCTACCTCAGAGTATGATCAACTATTTTTCTCACACGCGCAATGTCCTCTTTCTTGCGCCTGGCACGCTCGCTCTTGTTCTTCTTTTCGGTATAGCGTTTATCATCACGGCTACAGAAAAAGAAACGATCGTCAATCAAAGTCCTGAGGATGAAAAGGGTATTATGAACCTGTCACTTCCTTCATTGACCTCCTTGTCATACCACTCGAAACTCCGCCAGCTATCAAAGTTGTACCAGAAATCGTAGAAGCCTTCAACATGTTGCTTGCTGGCATCGATGCTGCCAAGCATTGGTACAGGTTGTTTCTTCGAAAACCTGGCCTCCCGCTCGAAAATGGGCGTGAAAGCTTGTATGAAATCTAGCTTGTCCGACTTGATGGACTGTGCCGTAGGAAGATCATCTTCCAATTCCTCCAGCAGCTGTGGATCTGCGGAATCGAATTGTCTACGTTTCTCAGGGTTAGTGAGTACCTCGTGGGCTTTTTGGATGCATTTGAAAAAGGCGTCATCGTTGGTGTTGAGATTGATTCCGGAGAGGAGAGGGGTGGCACTCGGCGGAGTCGACGTCGTAACTTTCTTGTCAGGATGATGTTTCAAGACCTTCTTTCGGTCTGTTTGCAAAACTGTCATTGCAGAAGACAAAAAATAAAATAGAAGGGAAACATACGGGCAACCTTGATTTGCTCGGGCGTAGATTTGTACCTAAGATGAGACAGACCCAGCACGGCATAGTGGTCTTGTTTCTGTCAACGTGATTAGAGATGAGGAAGATGTGCAGGGCGACCATATACCTTCCACTCCTTGGGATCTAGCGCCAAGAGCACCTCGGTTTCCTGTTCATCACCGACACCCAGATCGTCTTCACTATTTGAAGACGCGCCCTTGAGCTCCTCGAGTCGTTGGCGTTCCTTCTCATTGTGGAAGTCGTGCTTCAAGAAGGAACCCTGATGATGGATGGTTAATCGAAGATGTTCGATAAATGCGGGGCCTGCGGGCAAAAGCCGTCGTTTTTTGAAGGACGAGAGTTGCGACACTGCAGCGTCGGGAGCTTTGTAAGCCTTCGGTAACGGATTCGTCTGTACCGTTGCCATCGTTGAACTCGATGCGCAAAAGAAAAAAAAAGAATATAGGGTGGAGTACGTAATCAGAACATGGTTGAGTCGGAGATTGAAAGACCATCGGGATTCCCGCCGTACTTGTTGCGGGCGGGAGCTAGTTGGATGGATTTGAAACGCGATGACTGCAGCTCATTAGTTAACTCTGACAAACCGCCCCTCAAGTCCCTGAGGCGTGAACGCTCGTTGCCAGCGGCGTTCACTTTGAATTTCATCCATTCCATCTATGTATAATCTATGTTCAGTATGTAACTTGACGCAATCTCCATGGAATAAATGCTGTGAATAGTTTGATGGAAGACTGTCCGAGGCCTCTCCGATACTGGGATTCGGAATCCCTGGATCAAACCGACCCTAGACCTCAGTGAGGGTTGAGCATCAGCATTCACTTGACCGGTGATTATGGAATGTGGCTGAAACGGAGGGCTAGATTCTGGAGGCACTTGCTATTCCTTTTGAATAGTCTTGGTCCATAGAGAAAGCTCAAGTAGTAGATACTACATAGTAGTTAAACCCCCAGTCATATTATATAGCGTTATTCATCATGCCTTGTCCACAGGCGTCATCAACGCCACACAACCTGTACAGAGCGACCATCGGATCGAAAGTGATGGTTCCGGTGAATGACCAAAGTCCGCGCATATGCGCCAATATAAAACAGGGCGAGTGAGATAGACGAACAGATGACCCTACATCCTGATTTTGAGAAGATGAAAAGTCAAAACCCTCGGTGTTCCAACGCCACGGAAAATAAAGATTTGTATGTGTCTAATGATACAACGATGCTTTGATATGAAACAAAATCCTGAAAAAGGAGCATAGGCAAGATATAAACAAAAAAGTGCATGGATGGTGGGTATACGATGCGCAAGAAAAAAAGAAAAAAAGAAAATTTGGGATCACAGCTTGGACATGTTTGGCTGCATTTTATTCAGGAAAGCTGAAGCGATAATCCTTCCGGTGTCTTTGTTGATAATCTGAAGATGATTTAATTACCAAGGAAAAGGGACAGACGTCAACGTACCTCACACCGGGACGTCATAACCCTTCCACCTAATGATACCGAAGTACTTATGATGCGAATGCGAGCGCCCCTGACGACGCGGTCAGAACGAGTTGAAAAACCTTGAAACACGGACTCACAAGGATGCGGGGGAATGGAAGAGGACGTTCATGCCTTGTGTCACGCCAACGCCATTGACACCTTGCACTAAGCCGAGGACGACTAGCGGAGTGCTGCAGCAACTAAACGGTACGGTCGCGTCAGAACTAGGGCCATCCTCCCAGAGATAGAGAGGCCCTTACTTGTCTATGAGATACGTTATGCAGCCACCATGTAGCATGCCAGCACCGTTCAGCATATCTGTGAACAAATAGCAGACATTTAGATAAAAGCTTTATAAGAATGTGCTGAGAGGAAACGAACGCACGTTTACTGACGACGACTTCTGCGATTGTGGTGGCTTCAAGCCGACCGTGGTGTTCCAACCGTCTGTCGACGTTGATATCGACAAATTTGACATCTTTGCCGGCCTGATAACCGAAACAATCTTCATCTCCAACACCATATGAAAAGTATGTGTTGTAGTTGAGCCGTTTGATATCGTCACCGACGTTTCCTGTCGTTGCAGAGACATCGCCGTGATCAGGCAACGAGGCGGGATCCACCCAAGCGGAGGTCTCTGGGGTTATCCTCGACGACCGAGAAGAGGGAACGGAAACTGGTGTTTCGGTTGCTGTCGAAGCGGAGGTGTGCAGTCTAGCAGCAGACATAGCGAAGAAAGTCAAAGAAAACAGAGGGGCTCGACAGGAAATATGATGGAATGTGGGACCAGGCTTTATATCGAGACAGAAGTATGGAAGCCACACGTGCCTGGACCGTTTTGGTGAAGGTCTGCACAAGATTCAGAGGTTATCCACGGTTCTCCGCGCGACTAAACAAGTAACTTGCCGGGAATGGATACCTTCCCTATAGCCGATGGTTTTTCTGCGGATCCCTACAAGAGATAACAACGGAGGAAAGCCGAACAGCAGGCACGATGCCATTCTTCCCCCTCCCCCCCAAGAGCGGATGTCTGGGCCCCAGAGTACAGATACCAGAGTAACCTATCAGCCGGACACGGATGATCTCTTTGGGATACAGGGCTGAATGTGTTGTGAAGGGTCATCAAGCAGTTTCGGTGTCGAGCTCCCTCAGCGAATCAGTGCTCATCCAGGTGAACATAGTTGATGCTGATTGGCTATATAGTATGTAATGGTCCACTATTACGTCCAGGCCGTCCGAAATTTTGCTGAGGCGCTTGCGATGATGGCAGCATTGATAGACTGTTACAATTCAAAGTGTAGTGTGGCGACCTCCGCTCTTCCGACGACGAGGACGGAACAGCTTATTTTCCTCAATTTTCTCGCATGGCGGCCTCTGTATCATGCTGTATGCTCCGTGTGTATGTTGGTATGTTCATCAATCATCTGTTCTGATTCCTGGTGACTTGAGAACGCAGCCCGGTCGTATTTTCGGATTGAATACCAATGAGCCCTGTTCTTCGCATCAGAAGACCGTGCGACTGCATCCTCCGGTGTAGCATGGAAAAGACGTACCTTCATTATCTCCAACGTCATCTGCCTTGATGCTTCAATTAAGATGTACTCTTCCATCTTCGAAGCTACGTTTTACCATATGTCTCATACGACCGTGACACTTGAAACGGCATCTTCGGGAATTCCCAAGGAGACCCCCTCCAATCTCGATGCTCTCCTGCTCGAAGACAGTCAGCATATCTTACAGTTCATTACATGAGATGCTAAGAAGCAGTTTAGCCATCGCTACCACTGAGCTTGTTATGCCCAGTAACTCATTGACGGACGGGCTCACTATCCGTCAGCGGAAAGGAAGTCTAGACTCTAGAGCCAGTAAGCGATTTCCCGCAGCACTACCTGATCACCGATGCGCTATCCGACTACCGTGAATATGGTGACCATGCATAAGCTTCACGCTGGGTGGATGCCCTATATTCGTTGCCGAACAGGTTTTGTCGCACTGTTCGGGGGATAATCGTTGCATTAGAATTTGTCAGAGAATGCTGGCTTAGGCATCGAAACCAACGTCCTATGTTGTCGGATAGTGGTATGACTCAATTTATATACACGTCTGCACTCTGACTGTACAACCAGGGGGATGCTCGGCATTCCTGACGCGTAGCCTGAAACCACCTGTTTGCGCTGAAAAATCTGACTCGACCGTCGCTTCCGGGACCCAAATGACGTCACTAATCCAATGCAGATGAGTCCACCTTTCTTGACGCGTCTTCTACCGAACGACTACGCAAGCTACTCCGTCGGTCTCGAGTAGTATAAAGGGTAGAAACTCAGGATATCATCTTCAATCACTATTCAACATTTACTCTCTAACTTCAAATGTCTACTTCTCGCGAAACGGCCTCATCCACCTGTGGCAGCTCCTCGTCGTCGCGGTCCTCCACCCATTTACATAAAGGCAGCGCATGCTTGAACTGCAGGTAGGGAACACATCATCGCCACATGCAGATTCTGTAAATTGATTCTACGTTTTCAAGGCGTCGCAAAATAGTGAAATAATACTGTGCTCTCATCTTGTCATACATGTGCTGACCATTCTTTTCCCCTTGTCGCTCAGAAATGCGACGGTCAGAGGCCTATTTGTGGGCCCTGCCTTGCATCATCAGGATTTAGTGACTGTGAATACTCAGATAGGGGAGCAACCAGAGCTCAAGCTCTTGAAGAACAGATATCTGTCCTTCAAAGTCGAATTCAAGATTTGGAACATCCAGGTCACTCAGAGCCTTCACTCCCTCTTAGCGACCCTTACCATCGACATCGTCCAGCAGAGTTTGCGTCGACCACGGTAATATCACAGCCTCTCCAAGATATCGTAAGTGCAGGATCCTCATTTTATTGCCTTGAAGCCTGGCTGACCTGGACACGCTCTGTTGTTTCAGGACTTCCCCATCGAGTATCGTGAAAGAATGTAAGCATAGCCATTCCGTGTTTCCGCAGGCCTCTGGCTGATATACATCTCTAGTTTGCAACGTTTCGTACAGCAAAGCAGCGAGGTCGGGTTCTTCCTGGACATTTCCCGTTTTGTAGAGTCTCTTTCCGGTGTCAGTAGAGCACAGCCGTCCCCAGCACTTCTCAGCGCAGTGTATCTTTGGGGTGTTCACCTCTCCCCAATTAGCGAGCTTTCTGCATACGAACCCATTACTCTCCAGCGTGCCATAGAAGCCGCCGCCCAAGGCCTCTCTGTCCGCCATCCGCAAATCATTGTACATTGCATCCAAGCCGAAGTTCTTATTGCAAATTACTTTTTCCGCAATGGCAGAGTACTAGAAGGGAAATACCATACAACCACCGCTGTGTCTCTCGTTCTTAGTGCACGACTCCATAGAATTCGGTCAGCTGAGCCAACATCGGCTGATAGCTTATACATAGGCGCTGAAGCTATGCTTCTGCCGCCCGTGGATCTGGTCGAGGAAGGCGAAAGAATAAACGCGTTTTGGACTGTACTCATTCTCAACAACTGCTGGTCTGCAGCTGATGGCTCCCCTTCCAATATATCGTACTCGAACCCAGATGCGAATGTTGACCTTCCATGGCCGTTAGACATGGTTAGTTATCATCAGGTTCGTCTGGTTGTTATCAATACTTGTAGCCGTGTGTATTCATGAGCTTCCTTCTGTCAGGTCAATCGTCCGCCACAATATCGAACTAGTCATACCATTCAAAGGTTTCTCGCTCACGATACTGATGATTGTCATTCTCTTATAGCTCTCCACGCGAAAGCGTCCATTCTTTATGAGCAGGCTTCCCGTGTGGGAGTCAGATTCAGGCCTGGCAAGTCATTCTATATTCTACTATGTTTCAATTTCTCATTGATTTCCGGCGCTAGGCATGCAGCAGCAAGAGGCCGCGCGTTTCTTCGCAACTTTCTCGACTCTTGAAAGAGTCATTCAAAGATTTTTGGAAGAACTGCCGTCGCCAATGACCATGGCAGCCCAGTCAAGTCCGGGGGCTACAATTGTTATTCATACCCTCGCACAGATGTCTATGATACAGCTTCATGCACCCTTTCTTGCCAGGAATCCTTCCTCTCATGGACGCACCGTGGAAGGATTCCGTGCCATCGTTAAAATCATTCAGAGCGTCGACATATCCAGGAGCTTGTTTCTGGATCCTATAGTTGGAGTACGTCCATTCTGCTGTGACGTTCAATATTCTTTAATGATTGCTTAGGTCTTGTGGGCAACCATTTGCAAACTATTGATGCAAGAAATTTCCAGCGGTCAAGGCGCTTCCGTAGCTGGAAATGAACCTTTGCAGTTGCTTAATAACGTCATGGGTGCGATATCCACAGGGGCTAGTCACTGGCCTCTCTTAGGTTCGTCTTTGCTTCCTGTCATTTCCTTCGTGTTATAAACGATGTCTATAGAAGCTCAGCTGACTGATGTTCGTCGCATGTATACCGCTACAAGGCGGACATCTGGGCACTAGTGATCACGGACTCATGGACTCATCTCGGAGGGAGTCATACGTTTATCATTCTGCTTCTTGAATGTTGATTAATTGTTGAAGATAATAGAGAGCATGGGTTTCGTACCTTTATATATCCACCGCACTTAGTCAGTCAATAGTCCGTTCCTCGACATTTCCCGATTTTCTCCAACTACTGTATGCAACTTCTGCCGTGGGCCTGTGCAAAGGAGCGTTTGCCGGTTTGTTCCAAAACGAGGAGAAATTTTTGCCTTGCCGATCCAGATCCCACGATTACCTTTGATCCGATCTATTCCGCACAATCCGAATGGCTTCCCAACGGACCCTTGAGCGGACCATCTTACTACCACCCTACGCGCCTCACCATCTTATGCGCCTCACCGTTTGAAGGTAACCTGTTGCTAACTGTCGACAAAGCTCTGTATCTAACCGAGCCTTGGAACTTGAGTATTCGATGGAATGCTCTGTGGGAAAAGAACTACCACTGACGTGTTCTAACTGTATTGAACTTTCCTCGTCAATATGGCAGTTTTTGCAAGGAACTGGAGTCAGTACGTCGTCGTCAAATTACTTCCGGTACGGCGTTTTCCCGAAACTTCCATACGCCATTTTCCGTGGTCGCGTTCAAGTACTCGCGCTACCGTGGCTGTCGGATTGAGAAAAGACATGTAACTCGCCTGACAAACTCCTCGAGTCATTGCTATACGCATATATATATGCCTCACTCTCAAGAACTGCCCTCAACTTGTTCCCCGTTCCCAACCAATCTCTAGTGGATATGTCCTCTTCGCTTCACCATAGAAGCACCTCGTCTGTTTCCTCTGGGACCTCGCATCCCCTGCATAGAGGTAGCGCATGCCTAAACTGCCGGTACGACGTTCAGTTGCGAGAAATCCTAAGCTTTAGGTCTGACAAAGCAACTTATTAGGCGCAGAAAAGTGGTAGGTGTCCTAAAACGCCGACATGCCAGTCGGAAAACCCTCGGAACTGAACTTTTGCGTATGCTTTAGAAATGCGACGGTGCAAGACCCATATGTGGGACGTGCGCGTCTGTTCCTTCGTTACAGGACTGCGAGTATAGCGACTCTGGAACCACTCGGACACAACTACTCGAAGAACAGATCGCTATTTTTGAATCTCGAATTCGCGAGCTCGAAGCGTCCCCTGCGAATTCGAATGCGGCGATCAGACTTTCTCAGCCATATTCAATAGCTGAGAGCTCGATAGCGGGTTCCCAACCTCAAGCTTCAAGCTCTGGTACGTCGCCGTTCCATTCATGCAGGCGTATTCTCATGTCCCGCTCTAGTATCGAGTTTTCCGCCCAATCCTGCACCTCATGACTTACAGGCTATACCGGAGGTATGTCAAACAATAAGAGTGTCTAGATCTCAAGAAACGTGATATCACTATTAAATCGTAGAGGCTTCCAGTTCAACTCCATCAAACAATGTGAGTTTCTATCTCCTTCCTCATACATAATCATTTCACGCTTTTGACAGTGTTGGGTCTTTTTTGCGATGCTGCACGGAGATTGGATTTTTTCTCAACGTGGGCCGCTTCACCAACACGATTATGAATGCTGATGAATTTGGATGGGAACGGCCGTCTCTTGCTCTGCTCCAGGCAGTGTATCTGTGGGGGGTTCATCTATCCGCCTCCCCGGAAATATCAGCGTTCGAGCCGTATTTCTTGTCTACGGCAGTGCGACATACTTCAGAAGCTCTGTCGACCACCCATACGCATAAGATCATCCATCGTATTCAGGCAGAAGCTCTTCTCGCACAATATTTCTTCCTGAATGCAAGGATGCTCGAAGGGAAGTACCATACCAGTGCCGCAGTTTCTCTCCTTTTTGGTGCAGGATTCCACAAAATTCGCTCTACTGAAGGAGGCAGTACCTCAAACCTCCCTCCTCTTACTGATCTTGTCGAGGAAGGAGAGAGAATTAACGGATTCTGGACTGTGTTGATACTAAATAACTGCTGGACTACTTTAGAGTCGAATATTGTATATGAATCGATTGATACACCTTGGCCTCTGGAAATGCAGTCCTATTCGCAGGTGTGTCCCTGGTCGTTCTTAGTAACAGACTACTTACTCTTACTTTTCTTAAGATATACTGGTCCCCGGAATTTAGAACGAGCCAAACCGTCTGGAAGTTTTTGTCCCGTGCGGTTCTTGACGGCGATGAAGGGACCTCTATGATTGCATCATACGCCAAAGCCAGTATTCTGTACGAAAGGTCGTCGACAATCAGTCGCCATTTCGAGCCTAGTTTGTCTTTCTTACATGCTCCTTCAAGGTACATTTACAATTGATCTACTAACAGACATGCCTCAATCATCGGCACGACAATTCTTTGGTTCTTTTTCTGCTCAGGACGCTTTAGTCCAGAGGTTTTTGCAAGAGTTGCCATCAATACCAGAAATGATAGCAGCTACCTCGCATGAGACGACACTCCTCATCTACACTCTCGCACATTCCTCCGTGATTCAGCTGCATCGACCGTTCATTGCGATTAACCCAGCATCCAGGGGACGTACCATTTCTGCTGTTCGTTCCATCGTTCACATTCTTGATACTATCAATGTTACAGAAGTTGTATCACTTAATGCATTCTTGGCGGTGAGTCCAAGGGGGTTTCTTGCATGTGCCATTGCTGATATTCTTCTTAGGTTCTCTGGACTCAAGTATGTCAGTTTCTTATCCAAGAAATATCGGATGGTCACGACGATAGCATTGATTCGTCGGGAGCACCAAGTGAGCCCGTCCAGCTGCTTAAATCACTGATGACTACGATGTCTAGTGCCGTACAACGAGGGAAAATATTCGGTGAGACGTTCGTGATGCAAATATTAATGTCCTAGGTGTCCTAATATCCTTATCAATCACAGAATCACAGATGGCCGTGATTAGAGAACGTTATGCCCAAGCGTTTACCTAGACGAATACCTTCGGTATTAGACCATGCCATACAGCTTGTTTAATTTTACATATTTTATATACAATACTGTACTAGCTTGAATAATCTTAGACTTGTCCTAATAATTCGTTTTTGCTTGAGAGGGTTGTGGAAGCATTCAAACCGTAATTAGAGCTTTATTCCTAGATTTTGTCGCGACTCTTCAAGTTGACGACAAGCTGTATGAAATTCCTCATACTAAATACTAGCTGATAAGACACAGTACCGTGTCATGTTGCAGGCAATAACAACTATGATTTCCTCATGACCGTTGGGAAAGTATCGAAAATTGCCCTTTGAATTTGCTTTGAATTGCCTTTGAACACTACAAATTTAGCTAGCGCAGCCGCCGTTCCGGCCACCTGTGGCGACGCTGACATAATTATGACGGAGTAGTGCCGGTAACTTAAGGTTGCTCGTCGCCTACCCTGCTTCACGTTGCTTTCCGCCACGATTAACTCGAATATATGAGCACACGGCCGCTCTCCCTACACGTCTCTGCTCTTAGTGATGGAGAGTACGCTGCATATACCTCAATTCTCGATGGCATCGCCCCCGCAGACGACGAGGACTTGAATGTGCGAGAGACTAGAGCATGGTTAAGGGGACGGTATCCTGATGCCCCAGTGGATGACGTGCTCAAACTTTTCTCACCAAAGCTGGCGTTAAGAGATACGCTGACGAGAGGACAATTCTATGTCGCGATGCGACTTCTCGCGCATGCACAGGTGGAACCGGGGCGAGAGCTGGATCGAGGACTAGCATTTATTCAGCGTACGTACAAGTATCGGTCAACTCTTACTTTATTTATTTTACTGACTAGTCACGTTTTGCAGCCCAACTGCTCTCACCACCGTTATCAACCTCACCGCCGCCGCGAACTAATCCATTCACGCCTGGGCATCGCCCCAACAATCCTTTTACGGCGCCTCCGTCGCGAAGACCATCGACGACGTCCTTGCCACCGCCACGAGCATCTTCTAACTCTCCCACACGGCCACCACCTCCGCTAAAACCGGCATCGACGTCTCTTCCTGCGACACCAGCACGTCCAACGGCCAGATCTACTTCACCTAACAAACCGTCTACATCTGCTCCAGCGCCAGATCTGCCTCCGCGTAAGCCCAGTAAGCCCCTCCTTCCCCCTCCAAAGAGATTGCCCGTCGTACCACCGAAGCCATCCATAAATGGCCCAGTTATACCCCCGAAACCTCTGTTGCAGGGCAACGGGAAAGTGCCGGTTCATACGACAGTATTAATGAAACAAAGTCTGCAAGCGAGTAAACAAGGGAGTGCGATGAAAAAGGCCGAGGAGATGCTGGAACGAGAAAGGGTTATCGGAGTGCTCAAAAGCTCTTCCAACCCTGTGCCCTTGCACAAGTCAAATAATCCCTTCCCAGTAAGAAAGGCAGGCAGTTCTAGTTCCGACAGCGGTAGTGCGAGTGGAAATCCTCTTCCCAGTCCACCAATGTCTGTTAGCTCGCTGGAGCAAGTCGCACTAGCCACGGCCAAATCGGGTCCGCCTCCACGACACCCAGCGCTAAGTGAAGATGGAGGTCGACCACCACCTCGTCATCCAGCGCTCAGCGACGACGGAATCATTGGACGTGGACCCTCGAGCGCCTCAATTGGTACGTTAAGTCGGAGCAAGACACTTCATCATCACTCGTCCTCAACTTCCTCCATGGGTCTCAATACATCCACCATTGGACTTGGTGGCCGGAGGAAAAGACCGGAAAGTGTGCAGGTACTGATGGCACAGGAAGCCGAAGAAGGAGCAGCTTTCCTGTCGCGCCATGCTAGCATAGGCCCTGGGATTCAGAAAAAGCTTCAAGGACTTATGGAAACCCATGAACGGAGGGAGCGGGGAAAGCGTGGCATACAGGAAGAGAGAGAGGGTCTGATGGAAGAGGAAAGACTTCCGAGGGGAAGATGGGATAATAGCGCTGATAGTGCTGAAAGTGGGGCGGAGACGCCGACCGTTGAACCCGACAGAGACAACCTGAAGTGGCCAGTCCAGGAGGCAGAGGGATGGAAACGGCTATGATATTATGTCGCTAGCTTTGGAGAGGTGTTCGTATTTGTTTTGTGCCTCATCATGCCTTGTGTCTAACACAATATTACTTATCAAGAGAGCCTGCGGGCCTCATGTATATTATTAAATAATACTCATACTGGAAGTGCCGCGCAATCTAATTGAAAGTTACAAGGATAACGGATACAATGGTCATGTCAAGAGAAGTGCCTCCTGTAAATGGTTCATAGCGATGCAATCATCATCAATCAGTAAGTAATTCATTGATAAAGAGATGCTGGCAGACATACCCAGGCCCCAGATCTCCACGAAAACCAAAACCATATTCTGACAGCATCGACCTGAATGTCGTACGTACAGCAAATATAACCTGGGAATAGCGAAAAGTTGTATTCATACCGATTGCTTGCCTTCTATATCGTAGATATCTTTATCCTTGATTGATATTTCCACAGCCACGACCTGTCAAACATCGAAACGATCACCAAGAGGGGGAAAGGGAATGGTGGTGGCGCATAGCGTGTCGCGCCTTGATCCCGACTGTGGCAGTGATTATTCAATTGCTTCGCAGTTACCGTCAAAAGGCAGAATAACAGAGAGATTCATGTGTAGATAATCATTTAGATCGCAGAGTGGAGGATACTCAATGATACCGCTTTCGAGGACCACATCTGTTCATATATTATGCGCATGCGTCTGGGAATGCTTTCGAATGGTTTCACGCAGCGTGAACACCATGATTGATTAACCTCAAAGAACCAAGGAATGCAAAAGAACATCGAGCGGACAACCGCTTTGGAAGCGTAATTCCTGTAAAAGAGTTAATGAGACGCGAACAATGCCTGTCAATGGTAGATATGAACACTGGGAGTAGATACCAAACTTAGAAACGGCTCAAGCAGGAGGGTCAAGGAACCGTTGAGTAACCGGTGTCGCTACAGCCACTTAAAGGAAACTGCACTCTTACCTTGCTATTACTACGTTGACACTTTGTCAAGCAAGGGATAATGTACACTGCTGCCACTCCGTCCGAGTCCTTTTCTACCACGTTCTTATCGCTCAATCGAGCTCCTGAATTTTGAAAAGGACGTAAGAGATGTTAAACCAGATTCGTATTATGGGTATTACAGCACTACGGGTGGACTGCCGCTCCAACATTTGTTCTAGGAATATTACTGGGGAAAATATATCGTCACATTCGACATCAGTATGACGCTCTTGCCACCGCGTTCCTGTGGGGTTTGCTGGTGCTGCCAATTTAGGGCCAGAAGATCGAAGGATGCATTACTAGAGCCCCGCAACCCAGCCATGTTCCAACCCGAACCTCGATTTGTGCCCTTTGCTTTTACTGGTATTGAATATGTTTCCTTCTCCTGAACGAGAAGATACACCCCGTTGCCGGCATCCCGGCGTCAAAGGCAGCTGTGCCGTCGTCAGAAAACAAAAAATGACAGCCCATCTTCCGACCTGCGGAAGGATACGCTGAAGCTGAGGCAGGATTGAAACCTGACTGTGGATATCTCTATCAAGGCCAGGGTACATGGAGATGGTACCTTGTCTCTGTTGTAAGTATCTCCGCTTCCTGAATGTGGCGTGGTGACTGGACAGATGTTTTGAAGGTAACAGAACCGGATAACGCGCTGCACCTCATTGTAGTAGTTGGCTGTCTATGGGATGAGGGTAGGAGTATAACGGATCACTGGAAAATGAGACGATGCATTGAACCTGTATGACAATAATAGCAACCTTTGTCGTGTACTTCGGCATAAGGAACTAGTTGAATACGTCTCAAAACACTTGGATCAAAATAGTTTGTGAGAAGCTAGTATTTTTTCATCAACGCACTAACCAGTTAAACATCCTGTACGGCCTTTCCATCTAGCTTGTACACCTTCCCTCCCCTCATCACAAAGCTCACTCTATCCAAAGTTCCTTCAAAATCATCCTCCAAATTCCCTTCCAATGCGACTAGATCAGCTGCCCAGCCAGCTTTGACGTTGCCAAACCATATGTCATTATCTCCTGATGTTCCGTTCTGACCCCCCTTCCAGTTTATCGGTCTGATACACTTCCAACCGCCTAAGGTACTCCACCTCAGCACCCTTTCCACGGTGCACCAAGTCTGACCATCAGCTTCATCTCCAGAGCATTATCTCCGTGAGGAAATGGACCTGTATCTCCTCCACACGAGATATTATCCATTCCCATCTTCAACGCTCGCTGGAAAGACGTCCGTGCGTCTTCCCATCCCTGGGGACTATTGTGTCGCATTTCATAATAAACGGCAAGGGTAGGAATCCAAATTGTTGACGGCGAATTACAGAACGCGTCCATTAAGGAAGCGTCTTTGTACATTTGGGAGCCATGCTCGATGGTGTTAGCACCAGCCTTTAATAGATTTGATACCGCTTCTACAGTTTTCGCGTGTCCCGCAACTTTGACACCAAGGGCATGTGCGATATCGACCATGACTTTAATCTCACTGTACATGAAAGTAGGCATGGCACGAGCTCCGATGGCAGGAGAGACAGACGCGACTCTAGAGCGCACGGAATAGTCTAGGAACGTGTCATTAGGATGTTCTTTGTAGGAAAAATCACAGCGCGCCTGCATAAATCTAACAACAAGTCAACAGAGGTAACGAAACTGGGTGATTGGGGGAAATACCTTGATCCAATCTACGCCAGCGCCGACCTGCCTTCTGACGGCTTTGACACATTCGTCTATGCCATCAGTGACCTCTGCCCCGGTAATGCCTTCTACGCCTTCACTGTGAGGGTGTATCGAACTTTTCGGTCCTACAGCATCTTAGCTCTTCAGTGCCCATTTCGAGGCGCCACGCACCATAGCTTCCGGTGGTGACAAGGGCACGATTGGCGCAGAAGTATCTCGGGCCAGGAATGATAGGATCCGGGCCAGCTAGACATCGACGCAGCGCGAGATCAGCATCGCCTGCTCCCTCTGTTCCCAGGTCGCTAAACCAGGACTCAGGCTCAAGTGAACTTAATAACTGGACATACGTACCGAACTGTCGTGAATCCTGCCATCAAGGTCTTTCTGGCGTGAACAGTGGCCCTGATGGTGCGTTCAGCGAGACTCTCCTTCGTTAACTGATCCGTCCATGATGTCTCTGAATACGAATGAAGGAACACTAGCGGAGCTCGTCACTTGGAGATGAATTCCGGACATGAAGCATCGCATACTGTAAACATGAGCGTCCACGAATCCAGGCAGAACGGTGAGATGGCGAAGATCAATATCAACGGATCCAGTCGTATAGTCATGCACATCAACAATCAACCCAGCTGTTTTCGATACGACGATGACTTGACTTGCAACGAAATCTTCAATGCTAGGGTCGAAAAGGCGACCAGCAAGGATAGTGAAAGTATTCCTGTTGGCATCCATCGACAACGAACTTGCTCGTGGTGCAGAATATACATGGTTGATGACAAATGTCGATGGCTTGCGTACGGAAAAATCGCTTGACGAAATGCAGAGACTCAGCAACGTGATGCGTTATTGCAATGGGAATTATTACGACTAAAATACTTATGGCCTTGAACAAAATGCTCCATATAAACCCAAGTGGAGCACGCCTACCTCCCCCAGCCAAACCACCCACTTGACTTCCCATCCTCTGTACTCTTGCTGCTCTGCTCTCCCAGTAGCGGTTCCCTTTCCCCTGACCTGGGCCTGACAGTGATTTCTAGCACGGGCCTTACCCCTGCTGATCTGACGTCGGTTTCGACCGCACTCTCCAGTTCGCTTGCCAGAGCGACCCTCACGGCGACCTCATCTTCGCCTTCACCAATGACAAGCCCGGGCATCCCTTCAGGCAGAGGAGAGTATTGCTGTAGCGGGGTTAACGGCTCACCAAAGTCGTCTATGTGGAGCCTGCGTTGCCTAATCTTAAACACGATGCAAAGCGTCAGGAGAGTCCCTTGCATCATTCCAGCAACAGCAAAGGTTATCCATGAAGTCCAGTTTGTGCCGGGTCTGATGGAAAAGTCACATTAGCGAGAATATATAGAAGGCTAATGGGAGGAATAAAGAGACAGAGAGATGGGGTTTTAATTCACCTCAGCGCGATACTTAATACCATTAACACGGCACCAGGGCTTTGAATCAGCATCATCGGAATACTAAGTGCACCGACCAGCCGCGCGCGCCAAGTGTGTATTATTTGAGGCGCATATTGGATAGCCGCGAGGAGTGCTGAGGAAATACCTACGACGATAAATAACATTAATATGGTGCATCGTATTAACAGGCAGCGTACCAAGAAAAGTAGCCCAATTAGCCAACGTTTTGTCCATGTGCTCCGGTGGCGTGAAGGGGTCGATGGGAGGAGATGCTGACGGGGCAGGTGACGTGAGAAGGAGGAAAAAGGTCGTGAACGTTATTATTACACTAGATAATTTATATTCAGATGATCTGAAGCACTGTCCACGCGCGGGTTACTCACAAGTGAGCCGCCGTGATCCAACTGAGCACTATTGATTGGCTCCACTCAGAAGTAAGTGTTGGCGTCTTCACTCTCCTATGTATCGGGCGGGAATTGTGCGCGTCGATATCTATCTCCAAGTATTTGAGATGGGGGGGATAGTATATCATGTATAGAACCATTCTGGACATGGCAGAAGTTCCCAGTCAGTTGTAACCAGGTGCACCAGAACGCGTAACTCACATAAACGTAAACATGGCCCATTGCAGACCGACCTGAATGACGCCAGCTGTCATTTCGAGGCAGGTTCCAAAAGTCTGTATACAGCATCGAGCAACGAGAAATAGGAGGAGAATGGAGACATACAAAGAATGGACAACATCGGACGATGCCCCATTGCATCGTCACCCTAAATCGAGCGAGGCATTATTAGCTCTCAATTGAAGAGAACGTAATGCAGAGGGTGGAATAAATGGAGAATGACCGGAATGGACCAATGAACTGTTGGACTGAAGGAAACGCACATGTTCAGCAACCCCGAGGCAGACGATGTACTGCCCAACAATAGAAACCAAGGACTGAAACCTTCTGAAGAGCGTTTCTGTATGATTCTCAAGTGCTGAATTCGCTTTCCGTGAGTCCGACCAGCAGGATCTGAAAAAAAGGGAGACTGACTTGGGGCACATAGGAAATGACGAGGCCAGTACAAAGACCAAACGTCAGTGTTGCCGTGAACCAGTCATGTTTCTAAATAGATAATAGATTTCCTCGTAAGAAGAAAATGCACATGGAAATGTCGACGTACTCACAGGCGTACAGCTCTCCGACATGACTTGTAGGACAGCGAGAGTACCGAGACACGTGTGCCGCGGCCCGAGTTCCGCCACAGATAACCACGTGCCCCGCTGTGAAATACAAACCCTAACCTCACCACCAACAATTGATGCCGCCTCGTTCTACTCCTCCACTACGCCATTCTTTGTCGCCGTCGCCGTTCCCCCCAAATGATTCCGCGACTTACAGAGACTTGCTACTCTTTGAAGAACGTCTCAAGTCGAATGCAGCCTCTCTGCAAGCTCGAAAGTCGCGGTACCAGCGTGCGTACACGTCACATCAGCCGCAACACTGACCCATTGATTCTCCTGTCCATAGTATTCTTGCTGCAGTTACTGCTCTCTACACTTTTCCTGCTCATTGAGATTGTCCTTCCTCCTGAATCATCTCTTCTGCTAAATCCGTACAGAGCAATTCATGCGTCTCTGTTCAGTTCACGTCCAGACTTCCGGCCCCCAGTAGAAATTCCGTTCTATCCCTACCTTCCCACCACTCTACTGCTTATTTCTCTGACTACGCTCGTTCTATTCTTTGCTTCGGGAATGTATTCGGAGAAGATTGCCTACGCCAATAAGTATGTCCCACATGCCAATCGAGCATTGCGCTCCTTCAACATGTATCTCAATGTACGGAAACCCGGATGGAGTTTGTTCTTCTGGCGGAAACCGCGTGCCCATTCCCCACCACCTCGATCGTCCAGCCGTGGATCCAGCGTGCCCATTGCCCCCATTCCCCCTTCCTCTAACCCTCGTGGCGAGCTCATCTTTTCCTCGCGCATATCTCAGTCATTCCAGGACTCTTATGGTCGCCATCGCGCAACATTTGAACGCAAAAGAGCGGAACGAGCCAGACAGCAGAATTCTCAGACTTGGCTGGGAAAGTTTACCGCTTTAAAGTTTTGGGACCGCAGCCCACTGCCTGTGTTGGAGGCCACGCCGACACATGTGCGGACAGGGGGCACGCGGGGAAGGATTAGTAGGAGTGGGACACCTCCCATAGGTCGGCAGGTGGAGCGGGAACGGGAGAGGTCAGGTTCTCCGCCACTCATGTTGAGGGAGAGGGAGAGGGGTCTGAGGCCGTCATCGCTTGGTGCCGGGGGTAGTGTATCGAGCGATTCTGAGTAATGTGTTCCCTGTAAAGTGGACTTTTTTGCTGATATTCTTTCAAGGCAACTATCCCCCGTTTAACTGCCATCCTCGAAAACAATGTGAGCATTTATGAAGAGCTGTATTCATTGAATTGAATTGCCATGTCTCAAGGCTAACATTTGGGTGGGCTTGTTCGACTGTTGCTGGTGCCGCAGATTTTCTCCATTGATCTTCACAAGGTGTCTGTAGGAGGTTATCCCCTTGGAGCTGCGATCCTCCTGGTCAGTAGTCTGTTCGCACATTTATCAACTGGGGTGTCTGGCGCGGAACCGGGCTAGAACTTGACGGTTACCGTCTGTCATGTACATATATATGACAACATTCCAAACATTTATTGCATTTCGGAGACGGCCTTTCCATTGGGGCGTACAAACGACGATTATCGAGGATCCGCAGCTTGAAACCACAAGTCAGTTTTGGTTAACCAGTCGGTGCTAGCCAGCTACGGCATCAAATCAGGATGAGAATTCCGTGTCATCCGCTGGCATTGTACATGTCTGTCATTCATGACTTACCGCAGTTGGTAGAGTTTCAGAAACTAACTTTCTCTTGGAGGTTTATCGTGAAATAATGGGGTTTTAACGACCCGTGCTTGCAGGTCTCTTGTGGCGACTCAACAAGATATTCCTAACTGTGGTCGCGCTCATATTAGGAATAATCTATCTCTACACGCATGTTCCAGAAGGTGTACGCGTCTTTATGCCCACATTTCTGATTCCAACGGTGATTAAACTGCTCAAGTTTTTATTCGGTTTTGTAATTCTTTGTAATTCTAGAAAGCTCGTGCTGTCTCCAGACCTCCGTTCAACAGACTATCGAATGGGAAACCGTCGATCTCAATGCCCTTGATCGACAATGCTTTTATTACATTACTATTGATCGCAGCGCCTTTTCCGCAATTATTGCCGATGCCTACCTTAACTCCATTCTCCGTTATGGAAAGCTGTTCTGGCTGGGAGCACGGAAGTTGGTGGACACGACGTAACCACTAAAGAAGGCGAATCATAGGAACTAAAGTTCAGAACCGAGACCTCCATGAGGGTATGGGTGGTGCTATTATCAGCAAACTGTCAATCCTTCAGCCTACGTACGAAGATTGACGTCAACATTTAGAGAAAAGGGCGACAACGTTGTGGAGTTAAGCATAAGTGAATCAAACGAGCGAGAATTATGCGGCACAGGTCCTTATCGTAGTACTTACTACGTAGTGGCCTGGGGTTGTTTGGACTAGCATTGCCATATCGGGGCCGCGATGTGGCTGTGTAAGGCAAAGCCGTTCACTCTTAGTGGTGGAAGAGGCATTACTACGATACACATGGTCAGTGAACAAAAATGGAATGGTGTGCTGCAGCCATGCGCTTTGTGGATCTATTTTTGGGTTCCAGCATGCCTGTCTGAACAAGTAAAGTGAAATATTGAGTAAAAATATCGTGCCTACCTCGTTGGATCATCGCGAGAGCAACGGAGAGAAACAATCACCAACTTACAGTATAGAATAGAAGCTGATGGTCGTGAAGAATCATTCACGGAGAACTTCCTGGATTCGCTAGGAACCCTACGGTATTTGAACCTTGCCACCCCACGAGGTATGCTAGAGGGACCCACAAGCACATATAAGGCGCATCTTACGACCACAGAAAGTAATGAATTATGGAAGCTTTGTACGGTCTGAGTTATCCAACAAAAATAATATGTTTCTAAGCTAGCGCCTCCGCACATAGCTAAACAACTTACAATCAGAAATAATGTTACAATTTTGTTGATTCGAGGTATTAGCTTTAGCTCCAAAGGGAGATAACATAGGTATAAGAAATAAAGTAATGCAAAGCAGCAAGCCTTACAATAATCCCAAATAAATAGAAAAGGTATATATCAGAAGAAGAAACGGTATCATCAAGAGTGTATGTAGTGTGATCCGCACCCAAGACGGTATACAAAGAGCAATTAAAGTTTTAGTCCTGATGTGATGAAACTCAGAGTGAGATGGTAGATTCTGGTAGATTGCCAAACTATACGCCGAAGCCAGAGCTAGTCTTTCTCAAAGTCAGGGCGCGCCATAATCGCTTTACACCACTGCTACTTGTTGGGCTTGAGATGTTGGTATTCGATTTTGATCGGATTGGCGGCATCGAAATCGGAGGAGGCGCATTATGCCCACCTTGCATTGGTGGGTGGTCTCCAATACCGAGGAGTAAGAGCGCCTTTGTCCTCGACTTGCGACCTTGTGTGGACGGGGACCGAGTAGGCGAAGTAGGTGGCGAGCTAGACATGAAGGAGGAAGATGAACGTAAAGATGGACGTGTGGCGATATCAGAAGATACGACCCATGAGGATGGACGATGATTGACCGGAGAACTTGGAGCAGAGAGGGAATGTCCAAGGGTGGTCTCATCCGCATCTATGGCAAGGAAGCTGTGGGACTTGCTCTTTACGACTGGACGAGCCGCAAGGAAGGACGGAGGACAAGCTATTGGACTGAGATTAGCCGGCATTGCAAGGGGAGTACTTATATAACTGCCTTCTGTGAAGGTGGGCGAAGGGGTCAAAGCACGTAAGCGCGCACCAGTTGAGGACGCAGGGGAAATCGAGGATCGAGATTGCGAAGTCGGTATTGAAGGAATAGGAATGACAGGGGGAGGCACTGGTTGCTTTCTGATGGTAGGCTTTGGCGTCGTTGGAGTGGGTGGCGTAGGCGTCTGGCGAACCAACTCAGTGGTCAAACTGGTGCCACTCTCAGGGACAGGGTATTCATGCTGATCCTCGGATGACGTGAACGACAGGAATGAGAGTCCTTTCATATGTTTTGATCGTGGCACCGGGGCGACAACATGTTCTAAGACTTGGGATGACGACGCTACAAGACGCTCCACAGGCACCGATTCAAGAAGGAAGCCGAGAGGAAGAGGAGGCCCGGCATGAGGCGAATGAGCTGCGGCATCTGCAGCCACCCTTCCGTCTTCGAGAGAGGTGCGAGGCCTATTCTTCGGCGAACCCCCGGATTGTGACCTGGCTCTCTTCATGATAGTCGACAATCGAGGGAGTGAAGATGTGCGTCGAGGGACTACAGGTGTAAGCGGTTTCTGAAACGGCATTAGAGATGTGTCAGAAGTGAGAAAAAAATGTAAATACCCACTTCAATGATAGGATCAGTGTGATCTACGTCCGACTTGGTCGAAGAAGCTGGTGTTGGTAGTGAAGGGCTAGATGAGACGGAATCTGACTCCGATACCGAGACTACGTCTGCCTCCTTGATTGTACCAAATTCATCTTGGATTTCAGCGATAACGTCACACTCGGAGGTAGAGGTAGAAGTGGACCGTCTACTGCGAAAGCTCCGCAATGAGCGTAAGCTTCGGGATGAACGGATGCTAGGTGCGGAACGCGTAGAAGTCGGCGGTACCGGAGGGGGTGAAGGAACGGAGACATTCGGGGACTTGGAAAACATAGAAACAATGGACCTGCGTCTTGACACCGTTGCCTTCCTGTCTGTGTCTATACCTTGGTTAGCTGAATGAAAGCTGCCGAAAATAAATCGCACCAAAGGTTGCTGATGAAACTTTGGTGTGCCCATCTACCGATGCCGAAGCCATGCTTCTTCTTCTCTCTTTCGCCGATACTGGCATTACGACATCAGGTGAAGCCAAACTCAGCCTAGAAAACTTAGGAGTCGTGAGGTAAGGATTAGCGGTAAGCCACGACTGGTCCGGAAGGGATGTATATGATGTAGACGGCGAGGATGGAGTTGATTGGGATGTATAAACCCTGGGAAAGTGCAGGACTTGGGCATGAGGTGACAAAGAAATAAAGCTATCGCGAGACTTTGAACGATGTGAAGCATTGTGAGGCGACAGAGGAGGCGAGGGTAACGAGGATCTGATGGGTATCACAGGGGGGTTCGATATTCGCTTGGGTAACTGCAAAGGAGCGACAGTGAGCGAGGGCAAGTCTGGGGTGGAGGATATTCTATTTGGCTTGGCCTTTACCGCGTCCAAGGGCGACAATTCGAGCCTACCATCGGGTGAAAGGTTGAACGACGGCCCTGCCAACGGAGAGGAACGTAGAGGACGACTAGAAGGAGGCGTCAGACTGTGCCGCCGTGAAGGAGGTGCAAGACAGCCCAGGGAGGTCGCCGCCATCGTGGACAGGGAGAGGAAGGAATCTCCTAAGCGCTGCCTCGCTTCAGTGCGTCCAAATATAATGGCAGACAGGGGAGATTCGGCATCACGTACATCACGATCGCCCCGCCAAACACGTTAACAGCTCGGATAATGTCGTAAAAGCAAATTGGAACGTTAACGGGTACAAGAAGGCCTTGAACTTGAAACATTCTTTGGCGGACTCGTTCCGTTTCTGATAACAGATCGCATCCACTGCATGTCCAGGGGATTTCTAAACCCATGTCATGCAGGGCAGCGGTGTCGCTGGTTCACCAACTGCGAATAGCCCTATGCTTATAGCACAAATTCGTTTGTTGCAATTGGGAACACTAATTAAACCAACAGTTGGTTAGTTCGTTCCCCCAAAAAAATTACCTGGCCAATGGAATGCCTGGACAATCAATGGGCGCTGATAGGCATCTATCGCTGGTCAAATAAAGTATGTGTCATCACATACTAGCAGCGCGACTTGTGTTGCGATCTTTATGCGGTGTTGAAAAATTCAAATCAACCAGCGGCACCTTCCGGGACGATGTTGTCTCAACGCTTTCGATTCAAACAAAAGGCACAGCCACAGCCACCACTCAATTCCGCCGACCATTCCTGAGTGTCGACCTTCTTGGCAGACATCTTTCTTCGAACGCGATGATGCGCTCATCGGATGCAGCTGGTGCAGGAATTTCGTATTCCAAGTGCCGAACATTCTCGCGGTTTCGAGATGCTCTCCCATGACCACGACGTGTGGGAGGAATGTTGCATCATGCTCATGTTTTTGTTTCCTGGCGCTCCGGTGCCGAAAAAAATTCAAGTTGCGATGCGATACTATCCTCCACGAACATCGCATATTCTTACAGACTTAATACCACGACTAATCCGGCTTTGTCTTGCGTGGGTTTACAGGAGAGGCAATGTCATGCTAAGCATAGAGAACCACTAGGCTGACTGCATCGCTTGCTGCGTCGAAGATCACGAATTTGCCTCAAAGTCTTGGCTTGTGAAGTCAATGTCTCTGTCTCCGCGTCCTATTGGTTTTGCCATGCTTAACTCTTTCCGTCGCTTTGCACTGGGAAGATGGTATATCTCCTTGAGAATTCAGGTCCGCAAAATCTCACAATTCAATATCCTGCAGTATAAAGGACTTGCCAACCATCCTACATAAACTATCATTGAATTCACTTCGAATATGCTGAAATATCTAGCCATTCTCATCTTCCTGCGTCTTGCGCCCCTGGTTCGCGCGAGCCAAGTTCATTATAACTTAATCATAGGGAATGCCATTGCTGCTCCTGACGGCTTCGAGCGCAAGCGAGTCCAGCTATTACAATTCCTTCCTTCGTTTCCTGACGTAGAGTTAGCTCCGTTTTGGCCGGGTTCACATCAGACACATTGCAATTTCCCGGACCCCTTATCACGGCACAAAAAGGCAATATTATAACGGTCAGTCGACGCTTTTGCCATGCTTAAGCCTAGTCCTCATCTATCACGTTAGGTCAATGTCAAAAATGAACTTACTAATACAAACATGCGTGCAAGTACGAGCATTGTTTGTATCTCTCCCTTGATCATTACCGCAACGCCATTTGACGCGTGGTTGCTTCAGAACTGGAGTGGGCTTCTTCAACTTGGCCATCCCGAGTTTGATGGTACAAGTTTCGTGACACAGTGCCCAATCGCACCTAATACGTCTTTCACCTATAATGTCGACACCGGAAACCAGGCGGGAACCTTTTTATATCGCTCAGGCCTTGGTGTTCAATACGTCGACGGTTTGAGGTGTGCCCTTTTTCTTAGAAATATGGTTGCTGAGACTCAGAGTCCCCTCAGGGGTCCTTTAATTATATATGGTACGGTCATGCCTATTTTCACCCTGCGGCGGGCTACACTCGCAATATAGATCCCGAAGATCCTCACCTGAATTTGTATGATGTCGACGACGACTCTACTATCTTCCAGCTCGGCGAATGGTACCACGGATTCTCCACCGACGATTTCAACATTTTTCAGGAAACAGGAAGCATTCCGTGAGTGGCTCCTGCGGCTTGCTTTAGCTTCCGGCCGATCCTCTTTTTTCTAGGATCTATGACGCAGGACTCATCAATGGAGTTGGTAGAACGCAGGGTACATTCGTATCATTTTCATCATATGAGATACTATCTAATGTTACATAGGTGGACCTGAGGTCCCATTTGGGGTGTTCAATGTTGTTTCTGGCACTCGGTACCGCCTTAGGCTCATCAGCAACGCTCCTCGTGCCGTGTTTGGATTCATCATTGACCAGCATAACCTTACAGTCATTGAAGAAGACGGTATTTCTACTGAGCCCGTAGAAGTTGAAGGGCTGGAACTCTACCGTAAGTGATTCAGATTGCATCTATAGGACATCTGTAACTGACTGTTGTACGTAGCCGGTGCGCCAACCCTTCTTCCTCGTGTAATGCTAGTCAGCGCTTTGATTTTGTTCTTATCAAACGTCCGTAGGTCAACGATACTCGGTCGTATTCACTGCCGATCAGGTACGGATTCTTGCCTGGACATTAAATCTCATCATTATGCCAACGTAAAACAGGCCGTTGGAAACTACTGGCTTAGGTCTATTCCCCGCGGTGGAACTCAAACGAAAAACCCCAACTGTGGGTGAGCTCTATCGAGTGAAAAATTTTTGTACTGACGGGACATAGTGAATGCTACTCTTTCCATAGCTATCGTTCGTTATGCTGGCGCTCCCTTTGAAGACCCGACAACATCCCAGGCAAACATCACTTTGCTGAAAGAAACACAACTCCACGTGTGTACCATGCTCTTTCAAATTGCGTTAGGCGATGCTGATGGTTTCATTTCATAGCCTCTGATCCATCCTGGAAGCGTAAGCGACGTGCCTTAGAGCAATGAAAGGTACAGAATCTAATTTCATTGCAGCCAGGTGGTCCTGACGCGGAGCCGGATGTCAACATTACGTTGAACTTCACCACGGTGCGTAAATCAATTTTGTCTCATGTTTTCCTGGATCACAGAAGGCATTGTAATAGGGTGCTACAGCGGTATGTGGAAGAGGGTTTGTTTAGCCTTGTCTCATGCAGCATTTAGACGAATCCACTGGATACATGGCATATCAACGATATCTCCTACAAGGATCCTCCCATCCCCACGCTTGTCCAGATCATGAATAACAATGACACTTTCCCAGAAGACAGCCATATCATAGTCCTTCCACCAAACGCTTTAGTGCAATTGGTGATGCCCTTGGGCGAGGATGGTGGCGGTCATCCGATGCACCTTCACGGGGTAGACTTCTTATCTGGCATCGGCCCTAGAGAATCTAACCCGCTCACTTCACAGAGCACGTTTGATGTCATTCAGCCCGGTGACTCCGGTGGGGTAATGAACTTTATCAACCCATCTAGGAGAGACGTTATCCCTGTTATTGGAGATGTAACAATCATTAGGTTCCGGACTCCTGCTGTTGGTGCGTGTGATCTTTATCAGATATACGATTTTGACCAAATCTTGTTCTGCCGGTGCGGGTGAAGGCATTTTCCACTTACACTGGTGAGCTGGCCCTCTTCAACTTGGCTTTAATATGCCTCGAAATTTATGACTGGTGTGTGCCTTCGATTTCTTAGCCATATTATCTGGCATGCCGAGGCTGGTCTCCAAATGACACTTATCTCTGGTCCCAATGCTATTCGAGAAAGCGTCAGGCCAAGTCCTGAATGGAATGACTTGTGCCTCAAGTACAACAGTCTAGCAGCGGAATTCCAGTGACACGTATTGGCAATTTGCATAGTCTGAGTCTGTGACAAGTTCATTTTGTAGTGTGCCGGATGTAAAATATATGAAATATCATTTCTGACGTGCTTCCATTTACCAAGACACTGTGATATGAACTCAGAAAAGCATTCCTGGTAAATAACTGTTTTGGGTCAGACAAAAAAAGGAAAATGGTTGGAATAACATTGATTCAGGTAAAATGAGTCGGGATTCCCTTTAATGATAAACTAACTAAAAGCCGAATTTTGTTCTGGTCAAAAGCCTGTGTGAACATTTAATCTGTATTCCATGTTTCCCTTAGATTTTGAAGGACGCGAGTTAACCTACTGTCAGGAGTGTTAAAGGTAGAGTGACGTGTTCATCACGTGTGTGATTTGATTATGTAAGTCTGCCACGTCCGCCTTTGGCAGGAAATTTAGTTGAGGACTACCACTCTTCGTTTTCTCTATCATGAGCGGTTGTGGGTAGAGTCTATATTTTCAGTATTCGGTTTCTAACTATATCTCTTCGACAGTTCGGTTTTTGAATCTTGTCCGTCCTTTCCTGCCCATCCTTCCAGAGGTCTCCTCGCCCGATCGCAAAGTATGTAGCCGGACGTGTTGTGGAAGTATGCAACTCATACTGTTTCCAGGTTCCATTCAACCAAAAAGTATTATGGACGGCTGTTAGTCTTTTAATTTTCTTGGTGTGCTCCCAAGTACCCCTCTATGGAATCATGTCGTCGGACTCATCGGACCCTCTGTACTGGTTGCGAACCATCCTTGCCTCGAACCGTGGAACCTTAATGGAATTGGGCATCAGTCCTATCGTCACATCTGGAATGATCATGCAACTACTTGCCGGTGCGAACTTGATTGAGGTCGATTTCAGCTTGAAGGAGGATCGTGCTTTGTTTTCGGGCGCGCAGAAACGTGAGCGATCTAGTCCTTCTTCATCACTCCTGGCTGGAAGCGTGTTCATTTCTTTACTTAAATTTCTGTAGTTTTCGCTCTCATCATCTCGTTCGGCCAAGCGACCGTGCATGTTCTCACAGGTCTATACGGTCAACCAAAGGACCTCGGCGCAGGCGTCTGTCTTCTCCTCATGATCCAATTAGTTGTCGCTGCCCTCATTGTCATTCTCCTCGATGAGCTCTTACAAAAAGGCTACGGTCTTGGATCCGGTATCTCGCTCTTCATTGCCACCAACATCTGTGAATCTATCGTTTGGAAAGCCTTCTCGCCTACTACTGTCAACACGGGACGTGGCCCAGAATTTGAAGGTGCTATTGTCGCGCTGTTTCACCTTTTGTTCACCTGGAATGATAAGGGTCGTGCGCTGCGTGAGGCTTTCTGGAGAGATCGCCTCCCCAATGTTATGAACCTCATCGCCACCATTATTGTCTTCGCCGCTGTCATTTATCTTCAAGGTTTCAGGATTGAAATTCCTGTCAAGAGCAACCGATTCCGCGGTCAACGTGGCTCCTATCCCGTTAAATTATTTTACACTTCAAACATGCCTATCATGTTGGAGTCCGCGTTGACGTCAAATGTCTTCATCATCTCGCAGATGCTCGCCTCTAGGTTCCCTAGTAACTTCTTCGTAAAGCTTTTGGGTGTTTGGGAGGTTTGTAGTTCATAATATACCATGACCTCATTTTCAATACTGATTGGCGCGTCTTAGCCCCTGGAAAACTCACCTCAACTTGCAGCCACCTCCGGCATCGCGTATTACATGTCCCCGCCTCATGACTTGAAAGAGGCTATCCTCGATCCTATCCATACCGCCGTCTACATCACCTTCATGCTTTCTGCCTGTGCGCTGTTCTCCAAGACATGGATAGAAGTATCCGGCTCCGGGCCCCGAGATGTCGCCAAACAGCTCAAGGATCAACAAATGGTTAGATAGTCTTTCTCTAAATTCCCATTTCTCATAACTCATGCCGTATCTTCTTAGGTTATGGCTGGTCACCGAGAGGGCTCTATGTACAAGGAGCTGAAACGTGTCATCCCCACCGCCGCTGCATTCGGTGGCGCTATTCTTGGTCTTCTATCTGTTGCTGCCGATTTAATGGGTGCGATTGGAAGTGGAACTGGTATTCTGATGGCCGTCACCATTATCTATAGCTGTGAGCCGTTGTTTTCGCAATCGTAGCTATTCATTTGCTAATAATGCACATGCTTTTTTAGACTGGGAGACAGGTATGAGGGTAAGCAGTTGGTTGTTTCGGGTTTGTTCGAAATCTAACTTACTTTTAGGAATCCGGAGGCCCGGAAATGGCTGCTCTCGGAGATCTGCTGTAATTTTATCGTAGTAGTGAATGGAGTAAAAATGAGAATGGGCGCTCCTACAGAAAGTTCGTTATTACCCGGGCGTGGAACTTGGTCTTTTACGGGCGTTTCCTTTGTAAAATTGCGTGATTTCTGACCACAGACTGATGACCTAATACTTTGTCATGTCATTGAGATCATCAGTTGCTCGCATGAGTTTCTCGTGTTTCCACTGAAAAGACGGGTGTCGAATAACATGAGGAACCTTGGCATTCAATTGTAGACAGCGGAGACTTGGAGAGCAGTTATTGGCTGCCCCAAGTCATTAGTGTTGTAAGATCACTTGGTGTCACTGTACGGATTCAATAGACAATCAACATAGGTCTTTCGGCCTTGCTTTTGTGGCGGAGCTAATTTCAGAGCTGTTTTTGCCGCGACGCTTTAGATAACGCGTTCTAGTGCCCTGACTTCAACTTCAAGAGAGCGTAATGGATAAGAAAAAGACTTCCATTGCACATCAGCATGTCAGCTGTAGCATTTCAAGTAGCATCATATTAGGAGAACTCGACTGCAGGCTCGCTTACAGCTTCTCCATATTGGTTTTTGAAGAATAAAATATCACCATCATCCTCAACGAATGTGCATTGAGTAAATGATCTCCATAAAGCGAACAGTACACCCTGCTCATCGTCAGATCGATAATTCAGTAGGCTCAACTATGCCACTGACCGTAGAGTCGTAGTTGTAATACTCGCCGAGTACGGGCTTGATTGCTTCCGTCACTTCAGGAAGGTTATCTAGATTAAGGATTCTAAGTTGAAGAAGGAAACGTCGGAATACAGATAAACTCACAGAAGGGTACACTAACAAAGAAGTGGTGGGCCAAGTGGTTGGTGCTAATCTATATCGGGCTGTGAGCGCGAGTAGACCATAGCCTCATACAAGACCGCACATTATGAAGGAGAATTCTGCCAACCCATCCGAACAAGGGGCGATCTACCGTTGCCAAGGCACCGCGAGCGAACGTCCATTGATCCTGAGACGAATTAGCGAGGGAAATGAAAAAGGCTGATTGGCACTCACGCCTCGATAATATGGAATCGTGGGATCGCTATGCTGCAGATATGTGAACATGACCATCCTGGTGAGACGAGTAATTAGGAAACCGAGCAGCCTAATTTCGATGATAATATACCAGTTATGTTGGAACTGCTCAACCATCGGAATCAGCGCATGCAAATATGTCGAGATGATTGCTTACAAGCCAAGGCACAAAATAAAATTTAACGACAGATGTCCAACCAAATGTGTAGGTCAACCATGTTAAAATAGACAACATGGTACCAATGGCGATGTTTGACACGATGATCGATCGGCCTTCTCGTCATCAGTGGGAGACAGGACAGAGGCGGAATCCAACTTACGTTGTTCGGGTTTGAATAACAGGGACGAAGGTTTATAATGCTACAAGCCGCATTTTAGTTTTGCCACAGAGGAAGACAATATAGACTTGCACTTGTCCACGCCGGATATTTCGCGTTGCCTTTCCGATTATGTCTACAAAGTTTATGTTTTGATGGGAGGATGTAAAATGTCACAATTCCTCACAAAAGATATAGTTGAAATCCACTAAAGACTGGTTCAGCGCGACGCCGGTCGGATAGGACAGATGACAGCTCACAAGAATTGGCGCACAAATAGCTTGAAGAGTGTGAAAGCCGGTGTCTCTTCCAGTATCTCGGTGTAGTCCATTCGGACGGCCACTTTTCCATCCAGAAGTTTAAAATCTTTGCGCGTAGGTGGCATGTAAGTCTCGTCACGGTCCATATGGTTAGTCCCTTTCTAAAGGCAGTGTGAGATCATACGAGCGGGAAACAAGCGATGAGTAATGCCTACATGGTGCGAACGGTGCGTTGCACGCCACGCGTAGTAGGGAGTCAATACAACCGTATGGAGCACTATACCGACAATGGAATTCACGATACGATATGAGGAAATGGCATCATGGCCAGCCTGATGATTAAGCCTATAAGAGATAGAGCAAGGCAGGTTGTGATGCGCCACGTACTTCATGCCCTACAAGATAGTATGAGAGCACAATTCAGTGACGAACGAGTGGTATGAGATTACCAAGACACCAAATACCCGCGAAAGCAAAGCCTTGCCATGCCCAAAACGTGAGCCAGAGGAAGGCAGATACGAGACTATGAAGGGGTCTGTCATCAGATCCGCCAACTAGGAATTGGGAGATGACATCGATTCTAGTGGCAAAGAGATGAAAGGAGTAGGTTATGGCCAGATGCTTGAACACATAGAACAGTCCCCAGAATGTAGAACGTTCGAAAAGATGTTTTGGTACCGCGTCGCGGACATCCTTGAGAGTCACATTCGGGGGGGTGAAGATGGACCTCTTCCTGCGAGCCTCGTATTCAGGACCGTCCTGGAAGATCTGATACCAAGGCATGGTAGCTGGAAAGACGGAGCGGTGAATGGGTAAAGATGAAGCCTGCTTGTCATATATATATAGGCCTGGGCAATAATTGATTAAACTTGGATTGGGAATCATTAAAGACTCGGATCGTCCGTCGAGCGTTAGGTAAAGAACAGAGCATGGTCCGGCCATGAAGGACATGTCGTCGGAATTATCCATTATGATATGATCGGCGAAGGACCACTCCCATTCCGCCTATCAATTCGACCAACGACGAACATTAATTTCGGATTAGACTGCATGGTCAGCATGGCCTTCAGGCCCCAGGGAGCTGGAATGATACCATCGATAAAGGTTGCATTTTCCCCAACAATGTGATATAAGTCGGCATCATAAGGAATGGTAAGCAGGCGACAAGTTGGTCTAAGATTCAGTGGATCTCGGATGACAGAATGTCAACGCCACATAGACTTTTCCTAGCGTTCGGCCATGCGGCCCGGTCATCATTCAGGCGGAGACCGAAAAACGTTTACCAATGCGGCGACACCCGACGTCGGGAACACCACCATCACCAGAGAGTTATGTTCCTACCATGGTGACCCTGATAGGTATTGAAGGCAAGGTTGCAGTGCTTTTCTGCCTTTTTCTGTCCCTTTACATGTTTCATGGATTCTTCATAACCCCCGTTTTTGACGCGCAGCGATGCTATGATTGGTAAGGGCCGGTCGGCAATTTGGCCGCTGCACTCAAGCTGAACCCATTTGGTCTCGACTCAGATACTAGCCCATAGCTCACTAGACAAGGTACACTATTGTCAGACTTATTCAATTGAAACCGTAGGGTGTATATGTTAGCTAAACGATTTGTTTTGGCCAAATTGCGGAACTGAATACCAAGTTACTATTCGTTTCTTGGGTTCTCCATTTCATCTTGCATGGCCGATGTACATCCCTTTCTCGCGACATCAAATCTCCGGCTAACACTTTCTCATAGAACCAACCATCGGTAACATACCGTAACTCCTCGAATTTTAGTGTTCCTAGACCGGCTCGTTACAGAATTCCAGCCTGCCAGGGAATCAAATCCCGGTGTTCCATACCCTTGATTGCCGCCCACGGTTACATGATACAGCTACAACGGTGATTCAGCATCTCTTCTTAGTATCTGGCCTCATGCTGACGCTTACCGCAGGATTGATGAATGAAACGCTCACTTTACCCTCCGCAATACGCGCATCGTTGATTAGTGTCAAGATAGCTCCAACAATTGGTGTCGAGGCCGATGTCCCGTAGACCAGAGCGGCCCTACTGTCAATTATGACGATACATTTCACTCTAGTGCTCATGAGCTAAAGAAAAAGGAGTTTAAAGAGGCGGCGACCCTACCAATTCACAGAGATGTCCGGGATCCCTTTCCGATGAAAAGAATGAATACATTAAAGGTTCATGGGTAGCACTAGAACTTGTCTTGGCCGTGTTACATCTACATCTGCTTCCATCATATCTCACAGATGTGGTATATTCAGCCTTGTGAAGCTTAACAACATCTTATGCTGGCACCTTCATTCGAGAGCGGTCTCCGCTGAAAATGACTTCTTCGCAGGCAGATTCTTCCTAATGCTTGAATTATAGATGGCTTCACTTCCCGTAGGAAACGGAACGACGGAATAGATCCTTCCCTGGGGTAGTCTTGTTCCGTACCAATCTTTCAATATCGTTGCTACTTGTACCTGAGGCACTGAAGCTTACCTTTGTCATTCAAGCATAGCCAAGTGTCCGCTATTTTCCAAGCCAAGAAGAACGGCGAATATACTTGCGAGTCCCCTACCGGCAACAGCAGTCTCCCCCACAGTCCCGACGAAGAGGACCGATACTCTCATCAGCCCTATTTTGCACTACCACCGTTCTCACTGTCTGGAGGGCCTAGCTGTTATTTCATTCTGACTGTCGTATCCTCCGGGACGCTAATGGGGTCATCACTACCACAGCAGATGCATTGGGCACGTCGAGCAGATTTGAATGATTCGCCTACCTTGCAACGTCAAATGCAACACCGCAAAGTAGGGGTGGATTCACTTTGACGAGATCACCGACCTGGAATAATTCCACATGCTACTTGCTTGTCATAAGCTCTATCGCATCCTGGGGGACCAGGTTTGATTCCCACTTTGCATCGAACCCGCGTTGGTCCGTTTGAATAAAGTCTATCTTGCATTAGTCCGGGGAAAGGTGGAGAACTTTGAATGCAAACATCGGGTACTCGTTAGTTCTGATGCCTTTCCTGGTTAGAAGCCTCTGTCGACGGGAAAAAATTGCAAAAAAAAAGTGTCGAGGTCGCTCTGGATGTAGGTTGAGAGATGTATTCCACTTCGCACCGACTTTAGTCCTAATTCAGAATTTGTGAAGCTGTTCTTTTCGGGGACAGCGGGAATATCAACAATCCCCTAGAGCGACCGAAGACATGCCGGTGTAGTGTGCGCTGCACAATCTCCGAGCTGTGACAGGACTGTCTACACTGGCCTTGCCAACATATTTCATTGTTAGCATCGGGACGGCGTTGGTGTTCGCTTTGCAGAGGCGTCATCAAGACAACCGACATAGGGTGCGACGTACAAAGGGAGGGAATAGTCCGGTTTGCTTCACAATTTTAACTCGACATCACTGGCAGAAGGGGAAATTTGGCCTACCAACGTGATCGCCTCGGCTATCACTCAGGTTTCTATACCCAGAACTTGCATATCTCGTCAAGAGTGTCCCGTACGCCGACCTAGGGCCCTCCCCGCACGGCTGCAACGTGAGAACTTGAATCGTCTATTCCCACTCGAGTTGAGACCCTTGGCGATTTCCTGAATATCGGCGCTATAAAATGTCTGCCGAACGCTGCCTATCGGGAGTCGGGGTCTGAAATGTTCAAGAGTCCAGATGGAAGCCGGCGCGACATCTGGTGGCTGATATGCAAAGGAAAGAGCTTATCTGGTGAAGTTTGGTGCGATTTAGCGTAACCTACTGGCGGTGGTAAAGTTTTTTGTGGACATTATGGACCATCGTGCTGGCGAAGACTGATGAGATCTCACCCAAGAGTGCGACCAAACTAGCTGGAAAACGCGTCGCGAATGTCTTCGGTGCCAGCATAGAGCTCTGCCTCTTTTTTTCTCTGCTTCGACTTCATTGTCATGGATCCAGGAGTGAAGTAGCTGGAGTCGCTGCTGCCTTTACCTAAAAACAAGGATCAGTACATACCTCGTGGGTACTGGAGTAGTCGGAAGACCTTATTTGCCCGCCTTCTTTTCACTTTCCTGTTCTCTGGCTTTCGGTTAATATGCATGATCCTATCTCGTTTCCGCTCGCATATTTTTTTGGTAAGGGATGTAGCACGCATATCGAACACAACCAAGAAGTTGACTTCCTTATATTAGGCGCATTTCCAGGACCTCTTTCCTGTAATCGCGCCGAGACAAGTTGTTAGCTACAAGTCCAAAAAATGTGCATATGCTTATCTTCTGATTAGATCGTTCGAACGCTATCAAGCGTTGACTTATTCTTATTTTCCGCATTATTCCCGATGGCTAAGGTCTTCAATCAATAAATGAGTAAAACTTCTTTTTTCGACTGAAGAAATGCTTGCAGATCTGTCAAAAGCCGTTACGCGTGTGATCTCTTCCGCCCAAAATCCGACGCAACGTTCAAGAACTCGTATAAGACCCATTCACTGTAAATTGCTAAGCTGAGGTCGCGCTGAATCTCGTTCACTCTTTGCCCATCACACTTTTTCACCAAAATGCTGGCTCTTTCTAAGACATTCGTGCTCCTCCTTCTCGCTGCATCTGCACTTGCAATCACGAACATGGTCTACATAATTACCAATGCGGAAACACCATCTCTTCATCGTCCGGGTTTGACGCCTATTGGACATCACAGAGCTGGTCACTGCATCCCAGAGGTTGGCATTTCACATCGTGGTTATTTCGAGAAACTAAGATGATGCAGGTTTTTGGAAACCTCAGCTTAGGCCTCATTGCATCATGCACCCCAAACAGTGATACGGGTACCTGCGTTCCCGCCGTGGCAACTGCAGCACCCCTCGCAAATAGTCTTGGAATGGAGATTGATACTTCCTGGTAGGCTCCACCTATAACTCAACCTCACATCCGAGTCGCCATTTTTAATGTCATTCTTAGTGGAACTGGAGAAGAATCAGACGATGACTGTGTGCACAACCTTTTGCATGCGTACGCGAAAACTAGTTCAGCGCCTATTCTCATAGTTTGGGTCCGTACATCGTATGGTTTCCTGGCCCAGGATGTCTGCTTACTGCTAACAGGATGCCGCTGCTATGGATGATCTCCTCGAAAATCTCGGCATGGAACTTCCTGATGCTGACAACGAGGACGATGAGGAAGGCCAGGAGGAAGAGGTAGTCGGAACACAGTAAGATTAGAGGACTTCTCCTTGGTTTCTGGTTCCTAATTCTATGCTCTAGTCCGGATACAATTTTGACGAAAATGAAGGGATCCAAGCTGGTAGAATCTTCCATGAATTGTACCGGAATTGACGGCATTGCTGACGGCTCTGACACAATTGTGTATACACCATCTCATTCACGACGCCGTCCTTCACTTCACCGTCGGCGTTTCTCTTTGAGAGCCTCTGAGACTGTCAGGACACATTGGGACTTGGGACGCTCTATTTGAATAGCATAATAGGTATTTAATAGATTATTTAAATGAATCGGCACCATTTGATATATCGTAACTGTTGGGATTTTGCCGGAAAGTTCTAGAAAGGGAAATCCGGCATCATGCCGAGAGTTGATGAGTAAGCTCGAGAGAAAGAGAAAGTTGTAGTAAATTCTAGATATAAGCCTGGAGAGTATAAATACAAGCTCTGTAGGAGCTGTAGAATAAGAAGTTCATTCTATCTGGCCTTACCAGCCTGGAGCTATCCTGCGCAACACCCAGGATTTCCAACAGTAACTTTATTGGACTGTCCTCTACTATCGTGCAAAGGACCTGAGCTGACTCGGCCTATATGTCCGACACGGAAGTGGCGTGGCCTGACAACAAACATCAACAACGCGGTCGCGTCTTTTAAAGGGGCCGCTTGACATGTTTACACTTACTACCGTGATATTTCACTGATTTTTTTTTCTTACTTCGTCGCTCAATCTGCACTGCCGAAATGTTTCCCGGAGGCTTTGGCTACTTGTATGATGACATTTTTGGCCCTTCAAGAGGCTATAGATACTTTGGCAGTGGATTAGGGGACTCTGTAGACCGTCACAGTTTCGCGGCCGGCTCGCAGCGAGCCCTTCGTGACTACGAGAATGTAATGAACTTCTGCCATCTGTAAAATTGATTATCTGTCGACAACAGCAAGGGTGCGGTCACGGAAGAGATCGTTAAATTCTAAGAGTGTACTCAGTTCTTCGCTTTAGCACTACCCATCGGAAGCTGACCAGAGAAGGACTGGACTGGATTAATAAGAATCGGCGTTCCGTATATCTTGTGCAATCCCCATAGTTCTTTCTTCTGTTCAACGGATATTAGTTGATGCAATTTTCGTCCATCGAAGTCACTCAAGGTGCGCAACAGGTGTATTTGCAAAAACTCCCCGAACTTGGGATTGATTTCGTTTACTGCCGCCGCCACCTCTTCTACTCAGACTTCTGTTCCCTTACAGAACATGGTCAACAAGAAAAGAGGCTCTGACGAGGTGGCCCTGACTACTTCTGTTTCCACCAAGAAGGTCAAAGTTAAATAATTCCACGATCGCCACGGTTTTCCTTAAGTTACTTAGTGTTAGTTCCTACTTTCTTCGCATCATATTCTTTATGGGTCTATAGTCTTTTTAGTTTATAATCTTTTGTATTCTCGTATGTGCACTTTACAGTGGATCAAAGTGACCGTTTATATACTCACTACCCCAGTCGGTACTCATATCATTCACCCTGCGAATCTAAACTCCGGGGAGGAAGGGATGCGAAATAGTGGGTCACTGAATTTGTCATGATAATGTCGTTAAATCTGTGAGTTATCAAAGTTCCCCACATGATGTGCTAGTAAGGAGTTAACTATATACTGTTCCTTGTGTTTGCCCCTATCATATCAATTGACCACGGCCCATTGCTTTGTGTCTTCCGCTGTGAACGAATAGTACACGAGAAAGAACCATAGTGGCCGCACCGCAAAGCACCATTGCCTAGGAAACCAACCCGTCAACACTGTGAAATGGAAAGAGACATCAATAACTTACGCCGCAAAATGCGATGCATCGACTCCAAGCATACGAATCGGGGTTATCGGTACGCAAAAGCGCTCCATCGATAGGTGTCCCGAAGAGCATGAACAAACCAACACACGAGAAAGCCACGCCCATCCGTGTCCTGTAGAGTGTTAAGCGGAGGGCTTCTCGTCAGAGTAGGAAATACTGACCCAAGTTCGCTGATATTCTTGGTCGCCAAAGATATCAGAGAGGGAATAAGCGAATAGTCTGAGATGGAAGTAGATTATTTCATTCCGCAGAATTCATAACTGATAGCAGCACGCACATGAGCCGGAAAAGAATCCGTAGGCCAGTGCGAATACCACGATACCCGCTACATCCCTGATGTCGCTGCCAAGGAGTGCGAAGAGTAGGAAAGATGTGAAGGCAATGCAAGGAATAATCATATTATATGGCCCAATATGGTCCGCGAAGAAATTAGGAAGGAGGCGACCAAGGATGCTCCCTGCATTTAGTATCGCAAGCTGTTTGGTGACCGGTGAGAAATGAATAGTGTACGCGTGTAAAACGCACTACGCACAGTATAAAAAGCCCAGTTCGGATTGATTCCTTTGTCAATGGAGTAAAGCTGCAGATAGAAATCTGAACGAGAGGAATGTCAGTTTAAAAATAAGCAGGTAGAAGGTTCATGATGCACAAGGAAAGAAAAACCCCAAACAGACGAAGCACGCTCTAAATATGTGCAGTTTGAAAATTAGAAACATTTAAGTAAAACCAGACGCGAGACTAACGCAATCACAGAAACCATGAAGGCGCCATCCATAAGAATGTCTCTCACAACGTCAACGTCACCACCGACGTGCGCACTACGTACTCGATGTGTCGTGCGCATCATCAAATTGGCACAGAAGAGCAACGCCGCCACGACGCCACCCGTGGCCCGGATCGCGTTTGCGAATGACGTACGCTGCCCCAATTGATTCAGCATAACAGGCCACACTATACCACCGCACGATGCACCCTACGCAAATGATCATCAACCACAATAATGACTAACAAGGAAGGCGTTTTACTAACTGTTACGGCAACACCAGTGGCAAACGCTCGACGTCTTTTAAAATGGTGTCCGATGATGCTGAGAGATGGGAGGAATAGAAGAGATTGACCAAATCCGATGCCTATAGCTTGGGAAAGGAATACCTGATTGAAGGTTTTTAGTGGTGATCCATTCAGTATGACAAAAAATCGTACTTGATAATATTGGCCTTGATGCGTCAAGGACAACATGAATGTGCATACCACTTGGATGAAAGATCCTGCGGCAATCATGTAATGACTGGGAACAAAATGAACCCAGGGAATGTAGAAGGAGAGATGATCATACAAATAACCGGAGTCGAAGGCTCGGCCAACGAGTATTCCAGGAGCATATTGCATAAAGAGCTGAAAGCTACCTATCCAGCTGACACGTACCATGAGAAAGAAAAAAAAACGGAGAGAGAAAAAGTTGAAAACCTGATTTCAGATGGTGACTTGTGGGAAAGGAAGTCGCGAGTGTAATAGTCTTGATAAACACCAAAGGCGCTGATATATCTGAAAGAAAAGTCGGCATTTGTAGCAGTCATCATGAATTCTGTTTACCCCAATGTGCAGAACTGAATCATCCAGCTGTATCGCAACCGAGTGGAATTGATTCAAGACAGAGGTAAGCCCCACTTACGACCCAGCAACAGTCATCCAGGCCTGCACTCCCCCGTCCAGCGGTTCGATATTTTCGTGGCCATTTTTCTCTGCATCTGCGGTCGTCGTACGCGTTGTATAAGAGGTATCGTCGAACATATTGAAGCTGAGGACTAAGAAAAGGTGGAATGTTGTTGCCAGCAGTAATTTTAAAGCAAGAATTGCAGACGGAAGAATGAGGCTGAGGGATGGATTCCTGTATTCTTAAACTGGCGCCGCCATTGGGTCCATATGAAAAGCGGATAAGAAAGGACCCCCAAAAGTACACAAGTTGGAGAAAAACGACTAGGCCGAGATGCCGATGTTGTTCTGGCGTTCGGTTGAGACGAAAGAAGGCCGGAGGTCGACGACGGATGGACGGAGGAAGACTATCAAAAAGGATTCTGGTCGTGATTGGAAACGAACTGCGGGTATAGAGGCCACGATATGAAAGTTGACGTTGAACAAGGACAGCTATGAGACGAACATCGCAGACGGACAAGTTCACAGCTGAGGGGGAATATCTTGGATATTTGAAAGCGTCGTACTTCGGATACCGCGTCGACGCACATAATTGAACAACTGAACGTTACGGCTTGAAAGCAGGTGACCGTGAGCACAAGATTCTTTATATATACTCATTACGTAAATGACACATCCAAGACGTTGACGTCGACCTCGACGTTCCACTACACTGGCGTGGTCGCTATGACCGGTGGCAGCTTCACCACATTTGACAGAAATGAAGCCAGTGCTGGTAGACTGACCGGACACGCCTACATTCGCGGTCCTAAGCACCTTCACTTACCCATCCTTACCATCGGCTTCCTAGGCATTCAGCTTTTCTGGTCTGTAGAACAATCCTACGGGTCTCCGTATCTGCTTTCGCTTGGTCTCTCAAAGTCCGCCATGGCTATGGTCTTCGTAGCGGGACCTCTGTCCGGCTTGGTCGTGCAGCCACTGATTGGTGTGCTCGCCGACGGGTGCACATCGAGGTGGGGACGACGACGACCATATATGATGGGAGGTGTGCTCATATGCATTTCTGCGATGCTTTTGTTGGGATGGACGAGACAGGTTGGGGCCTGGTTCACGTCAAAGGTGAGTTCGCCGCGTCTTCGGGACACGCCATGCTCATTTATCGCGGTCAGCAATCTTTGGTAGTGTGGCTAGGCATCCTTTCCATATATTTTATCGATTTCAGTATCAATGCAGGTATTATTCTATTTGCCTTGTATGACTTGGTTTTATCATCATAGTGTCACACAGTCATGGCCGTGGATCGCGCCCTTCTCGTTGATACCTTGCCAGCCTCGCAGCAACCAGCCGCAAACGCATGGGCCGCGGCGATGTTTAGTCTAGGAAGCGTCATCGGCTTTTTCTTGTGAGCCTATCTTACCTATACCTGTCGGCAAATTAATATATTCCTCATTTAGCGGTAACCTAGACCTCCCCTCTCTTCTGCCGTTTCTTGGACATGCAGAACTCGAGGTTTTCAGTATCATTGTCAGCTTCCTTCTACTTGCCGGGCACGTTTCAATGGCCATTTTCGTCAAGGAAAAAGTCCTTCTCACAATAGCACCGGGTCCTAGAGGGTAACTACATCCACCGTATGCAATTGTCTTATAATATTGATGTCCATTTCAGCCCGCTCATCCGAACATTCATCCAACAATTCAAGACGATATTTACCAGTATTCGGACGCTGCCTAGAGTAATTAAACAGATCGTTAGTCAAAATATTTCTTCCCTACCATTCACACTAATGGAGCATCGCCGTTACATAGTGCATAATACAATTCTTGTGATTGTTTATGGTCTTTTTATTGCCGTCGCGCTGACGTTTCCGTCCCTAGTACCTGGATTTCTTGGTTCCCGTTGCTCTTCTACACCACGCTCTACATCGGAGACCTTCACAAACGGGAATATTATACGTCTCTTCTCCTTACGGAATCCGTCGGCCCTTCAACTTTGGAGTTAATCAATTCTACAGGTATTTCGAGGCAGGACGACATAGATGCGTTGGAGGCGGAATCTACGCGTCTAGGGTCTCGGGCCCTTTTCTTCTCATCAATATTGGCTCTCTTGTCGAATGTTCTTCTCCCTTTTTTTATCGTCAAACCACGTCATAAACCAGCGCGTCATGTTAATGCCCGATACTATAATACTCGGGCGCAGAATGAAACGGATGGGTATACACAAAGTCCTACTGCGGCAGGGAGGTTGTGGGCGTCATGGAGAATTCCCGACGTGATCAGGGTGCATCTGGCGAGCCTGTGGGCCGTGAGTCATGTGGTGTTTGCTGGATGCATGTTGGGCACTTTGTGAGCTTCTACATTCATGTTTCAGACGTGGTTGATAACCATGGCGTCCAGCTTCACAACCTCAGTCAAAGGGGCAACCTTTCTGATAACCGTAACCGGATTCTCGTGGGCCATCGTTCAGTGGGCTCCATTTGCATTGGTTCGTTATGTGGAGCCAGACAGCTATGTCATGTTCTCCCACTTACATCGTGTAGTTAGGTGAAGCCATATTGACGGAGCCAACGTCTGGTGCCGGTGACGCGGGTGCTATAATGCTCACGGACACGAGGTCTTCCAATGCAGGGGTGGAAGAGGTCGTGTTCGAGGATCCAGAACATGATTCCGACTCTGATATCGGATCGGACCAGAAAGAGACATCAAGATCAAGGCTGATGGGCAATCCTGATGCTAGTGTCAGTAGGGTCAACATCTCTGGGAATCGCGTTGAATTGTATGAAGAGGAGGAAGAGGAGGAAGAGGAGGGTGAAGATGCTGTGTTAGTCGGTAGGCGGAGATCGGATCTTGAAATTAGCGAAACAGGAGATGGGGTAACTACCGAAGACTTGAGCGCAAAAGCGGGCATCATCCTGGTAAGTCCTGTATGGTTTGTCTGCCCGGGAATCTGATGTAAAATTTCAGGGAATACATAACATATTTGTTGTGGTACCGCAGTTCCTTGTAACGGGCATCTCATCCATTATTTTCGCTGTCTTCGACAAAGATACCAGGGTAGCCCATGACGGAGACGCCAGCTCCGCAAAAAACGGAGCCAAGGCCGCAAGCATCATGAATGCAGCTGCAGGGTCAAATTCGGTGGTGTATGTGTTCCGGTGAGTATCCTCTGGAAATCATAGTGCCGTATCAGTAAGCGAACTATCTATCAGGATCGGCGGCATAGCAGCATTGATCGCCTTTGTGTTGAGTTGGCGACTCGCAAAGGAACTCAGACACCGATGACACCGTTTAAAAGAGCTCCTCCATGTTTCAAGAGAGCTATTCTTGGAGATATCGTGTAACTTATTTTATTTCTGGGTGCTACGAGTAGATGACACACTGTGATGGTAATCTTTGATACTTAGGTCTTCCAGGCCGTCTCAAAAGACTGTGCCGTCACTTTCGATGTCAAGTGGTGGACCTCCGGTTTCAGGACGTTTTTGTTTCGCAATCTCTCGCCCACCCTTCCAAGTCGCACCCTCTAGAACCTGGGCCAGATTAAGTTCATCAGGCTTGAGGCCCAACTTCGCACGAATGTTATCAGCGATTCTATCCCTAGCGAGGAATGAGACAACGGCGAAGCTGGAATTCCAGATGACTTACAACATGATCACAGTGAGGGCGCGCCATTCCACTACTGCCGGATGCGAAGCCGCGGCCTTGGGCAATAGAGAGACGGGGTCTGTGGGCAAGACGCCTGGTTTAAGCGTAAGGACGCCCAGGTCGATCAAGAGTCCACCTGCACATCCGTGAGAGTCCGAAAACGAGGCACAGAGTGTATTTTACCATTACGATACTCTGGCAGCCCCGTCATATCTTCTTTGCCGACGATGTCCCATCTCATCACGGTTTCAATTGCCTCAATGACGGAATACGTCATCCATTGTGTGAGTTTGTGGAAGGGAACTAGATCATCTGTTTCTGCAGATGCGGTAGGTCTAAGGGCGGGGCAAGGCCATACGTCACCTAAAGAAACACCGGCAAGGGTGGTACGCGACGCAGGCCAGACAGGATTGAGACCGTCGATCAAGACTTGCCAGAGCGCGGCGAGCGGCACTTTTCGAATCGATCCTTCGACAATTGACTCAGATTCCAGGAAATCTGTAAAACAAAACAAGCTCGGAAAAAGATTATGGTTTCAAGGTTGTAGGGTTTACCGAGCATATTTCCCGGCCGTCCGTCGGGCCCGAAAAATTTGGGACTGGCGGTAAGGGCCTTGGATAAATTGATAAGCAGGGATGTACGGCCGTCGAGACCGACGAGGGGATTGGTCGCATCGACTTGCATATGCTTCGCCATTGAATCGACGGTGACCTTGGACAAAGCCTCCGCTGTGTATTAGTTTCAGCACTGAATATGATGGTCTAGATGCGACGGACTACTGTACCATCGACTTGGTGCGGTTGCTCTGGATTGCTTGAAAAATACCCTTCCGTGAACATGTGTAAGCAGCAGACGGCCAAACCTTCAGACCGTGAATAGCGTTCTCCCGATGGTTGCTCGGTGTAGGCCCAGTCTTTGCCTGCGCCGGCATCCAAGAGAGTAGAGGTGACCAAGAGATCGACAAGACGCTTGCATGCTTCTTTAATACCCGCTGAAGCAGTCCATTGTTGAAGCAAAGGTGTGACTCGATCTTGTCCGATATTGCAATGGCTAATTCGTCCATGGGGGGGCACCTGCAGGGTATTAGCCGTTTAACATCGTCAATAAAAGGTGCGAACCTGATCGTAATTTGTTCCGAAGTCACGCTGGAAACAACCGTTTAAATGAATGGGAATAATTTCCTGTGTTCTCGACTCACCGCAATTATCCCGCTGCAAAACTCCGTGATAACACCCTCCTTGTCGGCATGATAATCAAAGTACTGAAGCTTCCCTCGTCTTGCGAGATTGAATACGCGCGCACAACGTTCGCGAACAGCGGGGAGAGTTCGCAAATATTGGGCTTTTTGAGGCAACGATAGATCTGCACTGATGTTCATGGCTGCTAAAAGAGAGTTGACAGGATAAATTGCGAATTATTGCCCCCTTTATACAAGGTACCGGCCATTAGATAACCACGTGCGTAGATTAGATACGAATCTATTAATAATTTCTCTCCAATAGCAAGAACGAAAACAAAGTCGCCCAGCGTGTTCTTCAGAATACGATGCATCGGTCAGCTCGGCGTTACTATGCCGCAGGCAGTGAGCAATGGTAGCAAAGCGAAGGAGCCGTCTTCGTGACCACATTCTGTGAGGGCCGCAGCCTGTCCAGACAGTCATTAGCGAGCCTGAAGGTGGGATAAATAAATGGATGAACCATTGCTTGCAAGTACTCTTGCAATCATGATCATTGGCTAGATGGGCCGAGCTGTATCTGCATCTCGTGGAGTTGCAATCGATCTGTGGACGTCATGGGCTAGACTCAGATATTAAGAGCGGTGATGGTCGAAGTTCAACATACCCGTTGCTCGCCATGAGGGGTGTCGTGTCCACAAGAGTATCTCGTCGTATCGATTTTGCGATAACACATGGTGAAGTAGGGGTGCTGCAGGGTATTTCTGTTTATGATGTACTGGTCCTTATAAGCTCGGTAGGGTCACGTACATTTGTAGAAGTCTGAGACGGTGAACTCTTTGGGAGTGGGGGTGAGATCAGAAGGATTTGATGCTACTTTCGCTGTAAAACCTCCTCTATTTAATAACCGCTGCTTCATGCGTCCTGTCGAAGTGAATTAAAATGCAAAAAGGAAAGAGGGGCAACGCGTAATGGCCGGGATAGAAGGAAACATTATTTGGACCACAAGGGATTAGGCAGAGCTCTAACCACTCAGCTCTGTTCGGGAAGAAGTATAATTAAAGCACGATCTGGATCAGTAGTAAATCCTGTGCAGCATTGATATTAGGAAAGCCGGAATGAGATTGAACTATGCTTACGCGGAAAACAACACAGCGACAATAGAGATTTAAGTGGCCCGAATATAATTGCTGCCAGGAATAGACCAAGAATGCTTGGTTCCGTGATGCGATTTGGAATTAGGGCGGACGTCAAAACGAATACTTGTGTTACGAAAGTAGGGATCTCGTAGAGGGGGCCGAGAGTACCTTTCAAGCCAGGGACAAGGGTCGGAAGCTAATAAGCCGTTGTTAAGGATCCGGAAGTGTTGACATATGGCGGACTACATCGTATTCCAAACACTACGCGTAACGCGCGTATCCCAAGAAGGTCCCGATCGTTCTTGCGAGTTTGCCGCCGCCGCGTATTCCAATACCGGTAACCTAGCGAGGTGCCCGATTTTATGTGAAGCATGGAGAATTGATTAATTTCGTGATCACTGTCAGGAATAGTCCAAGTAGATGATAATGGCAAAATAGATAGATAGGATTAAAAGTATGAAAGCACAAGGCCCACAAATTACCTCGGGTGCAAACGATACGCCACATCATTGGTCGAAATCTCTTGAATGCAATCGTCCATGCCAGAATGCATGGTTCCACCAGTCACCCTCGAGCCTGACGGGCTGAATCTTGCGTCCAGCGGCGTTGACATTTATTGACTTCTGTAAGTACCACAGCTCCGCGATGTTGACGCTTCGAAGATACTTGGCCACTCTGTCATAATTCAACCCAACAGCGTGGGGTCCGTGACTATCGTCTGACAATGTGAACCGACCGCCATGTTTGACGATGATCTAGGTAGAGAACCGGACCAAAACCGATATGGAAGCAATTAAAACATACCCCTCGACGCGCTAAAATAGACATGTGTGTACACACCTCAACGACATCTTCCGCGGGGTAAGCCGTATCCCATTTTTTCCTGAGAGCGGCCGCGTTAACCTCAAACAAGGCGCCATATCCGACGGCATACGCAATATTCCTTTCCGCGAGCTTCCGGGCCGCGGGATAATTGTCCAGACGCAACGAAGGGGTATAGAGACGGCATAGATCAAAATGTCCCACAATCTCGGGCTTCACCTGCTGAAGAATGTCGTACTGGGCCTCGAAATAACAACAAAGGAAATTCTCCTGTGTGTCTTTCTCGGTTTCACTTGCTAAACTGTGTAAAGCCTTTTGGAAGGTGTCGAAATCGAAATCTATGGGCAGGCCGTTGACATGATGTATGGAGCCGACGATGTATTCGACACGCTCCCCATGTGTTCGAAGACACCGTTGGAGGTTGTCAATATCCAGCGAAGTGATGTATTCCGTCTCTAATCCGACTAGCAGATTGATCTTGTGAGTATATTTCAACTTCAATCTGTGCGCTTCATCAAGAAACGCGTTAAATTGGATTTCAAGATCAGGCAAAGACATTCCTTCCTAAAATAAGTAGTGAGATATTTGATCGAAGCCTGTACCTGCCACTTAGTACTTGCCTCTTCAGGATAGAGATCTTGGATTCGGTATCTGGGAACATGCTCAGTAAGGCCGTACACGTCGAAGCCTTGATGTATAGCTTCAAGAACGACATCCTCAAGGTTCCCGGACGCATGCCTGCAGAATTGGCCTGAATGGGAGTGGTGACTGTGCATGGTGGTCAGGTCCAGGAGAAGCGGGGATCAGTGATCGGTGCAAATCGAGTGGACGTTTATGTAACTTTCTTTGGCTTTGTTACCTTTCGAAGCCGATGTCCTGAGCCAGGAATTTATCACGTGGACGAATTATTTCCCTCGTGGCGCCAACGAGGTGGACCAGTAATGTGCAGCGTGGTGCGTATTCATTTACTTCTTTCCTTTCACCTTCATACTCACCATTACAAGCTGGTGGGATGATTGTGTCGCTCCTCTTTTTTTCTGCCTTTTGCCTCTCCCTTTTGGTAGAATTTACTACCACGAGACCTGTTCGGTATCAGGCTGGGTATGTGCTAGCTCGCCCTTCCAAAAATTCCTACCAATCATCTCCGGGTTAAGATCCTTAGGTCCGATAAAGGTCAACGCCGCCCTCGAGTCGCACAGGTCCGCTTTTTGGCCATACTCATTGCATTCTCGTACGCTAACAGTCACGTAAGGAATGGGGTTTGTACTCCCGGCATGAGCCAACGACTCGGATATCCCTGTGAAGATTTGTACGTTCTCCATTCAGTCTTAGAAGCTTTCGAGCTCAAGCGCTCGTCGCCAATTAGACTAAAAAGTCAGGATCTTGTTGTCTTCGCATCCGAACGGTACGTGTCGCGAACGTGTCCTGATTACTTCTTTCTTTAATTGTTGAATAAGGTCACATGCTCTGATGCCCAGCATGGTTTCCCCCGCATCCGAGACGCCAAGGTGTGTTATTTGCTGGTAGATCATTGTGCATCACGTTTGATGCCCGTCACGTAAGCTATGTGGAAGGTCCTTTGGGCCTGTATGACTCTTCGCGGCTTCATTCTGGAGATCTGTACGTTGTCTATCACCCCTTCTAACCTTCAGATCTTACCAGCAATTAGACCAAAACCTCAAAAACCGCCGGTCGTCGCGTCCGAACGGTATGTTCAAGAGCTGTGCCCTGATATTTTTCATTCAGAATTGGTTTTAGATCTGATCGTTTGATGCAGAACGTAGCCTTCTGTACGTCTGAAATGCCGAGGTTGGTCAGTCATCGTAGTCGTCGCGGTCCCGTTATCTGACCTTCACGTGCAAGTTGCGAAGACGTTAATTCGGCTGTGGACGAATCTTCACAGGTTCATGCTGAGCATTCGTACGTTCTTCATTCATTTTAATAGGTGCGAGGACTCACCCGTCATAATTAGAATCAAAGCCCGCGTTCTCGCATCCGAAGGGTATGTCTAGCTATGTCGCATTTCTTTTTCATGATTCAAACTGGACGATCAGAAACGAAGATACACCTCATCAGCCTCATCTCTCAACGCCATTATTCATATTCCCACGAACAGTTATTCAGACCTCGTCAAATGATGTCACAACGCCCGTCTCACCCGCGCACCAGCTTCCCATGTTTGCCTCCTTCGCGCCACTGCTCTCCTATAGCAGTATAGTTCTATTCATCGCCTTTGTCGTATCGCGATTACAGCGATGGTTCTCCCGAAGACGAAGGCGCCAGGGCTCATTAGGACTTGATGGGGTCGAATTGCTTCCTACAACCACAGCATCAGTACTCCCAGAGTTCAGGGATTATATTGTACAACCCCCAAATGTTCCCCCAACAGTTTCGTCTCCAGGCAGGTTGGGGAGGCGTATCGAAGCGCACAAGTCAATAGACGCTCTCGGGGCTGTCGGAACGCGGTTGAAAAAGCCCTTTCGGAGTCAAAGCCTTAGTCTGCCAAAGGCAGAAACAAGTGGTCTTCATGCACCAGTACAGTTTCGCTCGTTTGCCTCAGAACCACGCTCAAAATCCACTCCAAACACTCCGAATGGACTTCTAGTGGACTTGTCGCCAACACATGATTGGAATGCTAGGAACGGTATCCACGCTCGCCGACCTTTCGTGAATGATGTCTTGCTTGGAAACACCAGCCTTTGGGCAGCAGACGTCAACGTGTCGTCGGACACCCTCTTTGGCCTTCGACAGACATTATCGAATCAGAGTGTTGACATTGCTGATGTACCGTTAAAGCCTATAGTAATGAAGTCAAGAGTTTCAGCGGCTCCTGTAGAGGTCATTACGGTAGCAGTTCCAGTGGCAGCTTTTGGCGCTAAAGCGACTTCCCCGTCACTATCTGACTCCTACTCTGAGCAAGACATAACCGTCGTTCAGAGCAACTCTGATCACCCTCTTATTGAATTCTCACCAAAGGGCGGCAGCGCCTTGGATTTGACTGCAGCAGCGCCGGTGGTTGATGATACCCATGAGATTGGAGCGCGGGACGAAGTCACATCCCTTCCGCATTCTTCTCTTCAGGAAAAGCCCTTAATGGAGTTTAGTCAGTGGGACGAGGAGGGATGGGGATTCGAGGTCGTTTCCTTGCCCTCTGTTGATGACGAATGCATGGGAATTACGAAAATGTCCACCGTAACTCGAGAAGAGGAATCCGTTTACGAGGTTGCCGAGCACAGCGTGCAAAAACCACTCCTTCCTAGTCCGGTTCAAAATTCCACAGATGTTCATGCTGAATATTCGGTTCAGGACATCACAGTAATTTCTTCGCCTCTTCACGCTGATGAAAAAATTATATCAGCCGATGAGGACGCGAAACCGGACACTGCGGAGGGGACTGTTGTAGTATTGCTACGGGAGTCAGTGGAAGATACGCTCGTCTCTTCGGCTGCCGAGAATTTATGGACAGCCGCTGTTCTTGATGAAGGGGCGCCTGTCGTGCAGCGCTCTTTGGATGCGAAATCTTCTGAAGCATCAGAAGCCGTAGAACTGCAGGACACTTCTGATAACTCTGACCCATACAGCGATTTTGATGATGCATTGACTTGGAATCAGCCTACACCCCCGGTCTTGGTAGAACCACCGACGACGATTGATATCGACGAACAACACGACAATTATGACATCTATGATAACTCCGACGACAACAAGGATCCATTCCATCATTCTTACGATGCCTTAGCAGAACCGCAACGATCAGAATCATTAGCGGTTGACACGATTATTCTTTCTTTACCTCTCGAGGTAGAATGTCCCTCTCCTGACGCGCAGCTAATGCCAGATATACCACCTTCAGAATCCCCGGAGATGGATACATCTATTGACGATGCCCTCGTTTCCCAGCCGGAGATGAATGCTCCTGCGCTTTCGCCTGTTGCCGTATTAGATTCTTCTTCAGCCTCGCCTCAGACGTGTATTGCTGTTGACTCAGTTAGTATTGTTCAGCGAAGTCCGGAGCTTTTGGATTTGGAAGATACAACCACTGATGTATCCATTCCGGAGTTGGTTATAGACCAGCATGATCTCTCTACGGCGACAAAGGAATTCCCCGATCCGGAGCTCATTCCGCTACCCATCTCGCCCAAAGAACGAGATTCTTCGCTCCTGGTATATCGAACACCCACATCTCTCACCCCGCTGCCTCTGTCTCCAGTACGCAAATCCCCTGCACGACCAGCTTGGTCACTACGCGCGGCCGATGCCCCCCCACTAGGCCTCAGTGCCAGCGCATCAGCAGTTGGTCTACCCTCGCTCATCGAGGAAGAAGAGAAGGTCAAGAGCGAAGTCGAGAATGCAAAGGATTCTTCCCCGGTTCCGCCTTCATCTTCTGCATCTTCTATGACCTTGTCATCGAGTCTTCCAGGTGCATTCCCGGAGCCAGAGGCCAAAGAGACGGCCATAGCTGTTTCCCCATCGAAGGAAGTAGAAGTAAGGTCTACTCCTTCCCGACCTCGTGTGACACGTTCACCCATCGATATCGCGTTGGCGATGCAACTCCGTCCCGGTTTGGGCGTTGGGGCAGACCCAGCGTGGATGGTGAGGTTCTTAATGTCGATGTTTGGATGGTTTGTTGTGATGCTTTCTGGAAGTGGGGGTTCCGATGGGTATTATTACCCTATACGACGTTGAGGTGGTAATGCATTTTTCCATTTGTTTTGTTTATTTTTTCTCTTGCTCTTTGTCACTCGCACTTGCAATTATGGAACGCAACGGAATTCGGACAGCATCATTCATTCATACCCATCAGCAATCTTTGTCGCATGTATTCCTTCATCCTCGGCAACTCTGTTATCTACGCATTCTATTACCTTACATACCGTTTTGACTCTTATTTTGCATTTTACATGCTATCTTTAATCAGTATTGCAAAGTCCTTCGGGTTTCATATCGGACCCTTGTTTCTAAAGTTGAAAACCTGAGACTCATGGCCGTTCATGCCGGAGAAGATATGTCACAGCTGTGACGCGACGCGACTTGAAGAGCTTGATCCTTAACCACCACTATGCCCTCCTCAAATGGCAAAGATACCCCCGAACATGACGAATACCAGTATCTAAATCTGATCCGACGCGTCCTTGACACTGGGGATGCGCGGACAGATCGGACAGGTACTGGCACAATATCCATCTTCGCGCCACCTTCTTTGCGCTTTTCTCTTGCCGACTCTACCCTGCCTTTATTGACGACCAAACGCACATTTCTACGTGGGATTGTTGAAGAGCTACTCTGGTTTATCCACGGTTTCACGGACTCGATACTGCTATCAAAAAAGGGCATCAAAATTTGGGATGGGAACGGGTCGAAAACATTCTTAGAGGGCCGAGGGTTAGGTCATCGTAGGGAAGGAGATCTTGGCCCTGTGTATGGCTTTCAATGGAGGCATTTTGGTGCGGAATACGTTGACTGCGATAAAGACTACGCGTCAGAGGGTGTGGATCAGCTCAAGGAGTGTATTCGCAAAATCATCGAGAACCCCACCGACAGGCGCATCATTCTAAGTGCATGGAATCCTAAAGGTACGTGACTCATGTATCGATCCGGGACGCACTAAAATGCCTTATCCTTAGATATTCCTTTAATGGCTCTACCGCCCTGTCATCTTCTTTGCCAGTTCTACGTTCATCTCCCACCTGCAGACGCTCCGCATCAGAAGCCAAAATTGTCTTGTCTGATGTACCAGCGCTCTGCAGACCTTGGATTAGGGATACCTTTCAACATTGCCTCGTATGCGCTGCTTACACATATGATTGCGCATGTAACCGGGACCGATGCCCACGAGTTGATTATTCAACTCGGAGATGCACATGTTTACCGCGACCATGTGGATGCGCTGGAAGAGCAGTTAAAGAGGGAACCGAGGGTGTTTCCGAAGCTGAAATGGGCCAGGGATGATATAGCCGATATTGAACAGTTCGTTTATGGCGATTTTGTGGTCGAGGGATACAATCCGCATCCAGCCATTTCCATGAAGATGAGTGTATGAGTATGTATAGACTTCCTCGTGTTGTATGCCGTACAAGTTTGTTTCATTTATGTTAATGGATCTTTCCCGTCTGCATTCCTTTCTGACCATAACACGAGATTTGTCCGTGGCTGATATTGTCCAAGTTCAAGAATACTCGTTTATGTAACAGCTTGGAGATGAGCGTCAGTCTAACCCAGTCGTGCAATTAATTCAGGTGACTCACTGTATTTCGGACCTCCTCCGCCCTCGGGGACTGTCCACGTGATGTCCTGAGAGGGCACCTTCACGTCGCAAAGCTTACAATGAATGCAGTTCTACTCAGGTATATGAGGTATAGCACTGCATCGGAGCTTGTCACCACCTACCTGAGCATTGATTACCAACTTTTTGCCTTGAGCACCCTCCCCGTCATCCGAAGTTTTAGACGCCTAAGCATGGCAACAATCAGGTCTCGCTCGCCACCGATAAAATCTTTCAAACCTACCTCATCATCGACATATTCATAAACCCCGGCGGGACAGGCACGACCGAGTAGCCCAGCGTATTCACCGACATTGACTTCCACATGCTTCCTTCGCCTGGCTTTGACGTCCAGTTCCCCTTCCTCTCCCTCGCCATACCATTCCTTGATATAATCCTTCATAGTAGTGACCCTCAGATGCGGTACCTGGTCCTCAACGTGGTTCGTTGCAGTCAACATTACACTTGTCATCAAATCGGTCGACAACGGCGGTTCAAAGGGAGGATATTTGATCGAGTTATGTTTGGATGCAGGTTCCGTATGCGCAGAGTCGAATGACGGCGTGGCGTTCTAGGAACGTAATACCCATCAGGCCCCGATCCGTTCGTTGATCAAGAACATTAATATTGCTTACAATGTATTTCTTTCGTGTTTCCTCCTTGGTGTGCCGGAAAGTCCAGGGGGTACGGCCCTTCAATAGTAGCGTATCTATACCCGAATAAGCCACACCACCCCACATTCCCAAGCTTGTCGCAAACGACGGTCGTATATTTCTAACCTCATTTAAGTCATCATACACCCACGATTTGGTAAAGGCGCGTGAATAAGATGAAAGGTCCGCAGGTTTATCTTCGTTCGCCGTTTCTGAAACAACGGTCACACCTCCGGAATGAAGATATGGAACAAGACGTACCAAGCGCATCGAATGCACCCTCGCCTCCAAGCATCCCTGTCTTCATAGCATTGTGGACACCCTTGATTTTGGCAATGTTGACAAACCCGGCGGAGCAACCAATGAATGCACCACCAGGGAAATGAAGAAGGGGAATAGATTGTAGACCTCCTTCTGTCAACACGCGAGCACCATAAGCGACACGGGTTGGCGTGAACGACGAGTCGGTCCCCGTCAAAAGCTTCCTAAAGTAAGGGTGGTGTTTCATCATCTGGAAATCCCGATACGGTTCTCTATATGGATTCTTCCAATCCGCCCCGACAACCAGCCCCAAACTTACTAGTCCACCATCCATGTGATACACCCAACCACCGCCATAGGTCTGCGGCTCAATGGGCCAACCAAGTGTGTGGACTACTTCGCCTGGTTTGTATCGCCCGTCGTTTTGACTTCCGTCTTCTGCAGCAACACGCCATACTTCCTTGACACCAAAGCCATAAGTTTGTGGCTCACTCTCCTTCCGCAAATTGTACTTTCCCAATACTTGTTTACTCAGACTCCCATGAGCTCCCTCAGCGACTAGTGTCACCTTTGAACGGAAGACCATTCCAGGTTCAAAATTCGACTTGAGGTAACCAGTGCGTGAAATACCGACGTCATTGGTAATGACGCCCTGCACGCTTTTAACTTTTCCCGACGATGCGGGGCTGGCTACATGCACTTTAATGGGCTACATCTGGCAACAAAGGGGGGTTCCACTTACATTCGGGCGATATACGAGTGACCTCTTTACCCCATTTCCCGTCCCACTCATTCCACGGATCGTCTGCCCTGGCATCCTCGCTGAATAACAAACCCGCACCCGAGAATCCGGGGTAAATTTCAACGCCATAATGTTGCTCCGCAACAGTCGCCAACCAGCGCGTAAAGGCAGATAGAGATATTATATAATTTCCTAAGCAAATTTCAGCAACTTCAACTGCGCAATTGAAAAGCACGGCACCATTGTTTCCCATCTGAGGGGGGTGCGGTATCGGAAGAGCTGACTTGTCCGTCAGATACAGCATTTTGGACGAGGTAGCTGCCTGTCCTAGAGGCGCGTCTGATCCGTAGGTCGCCGCGTAGGTAGAAGGATCACCAAGTAGCTCGTAGAGTGCCCGTGGTTCGAGTACACATCCAGAGAGGATATGCGAACCTAGTCATGGTTCATTTTAAAGAAATATCAGATATCGAGAAGAGACTCGCCTACTTCCCCTCCTTTTTCCAATACGACAACACGGACGTCCTTCCCCTTCTCGCGTTCCAATTGCTTGATCCGAATGGCAGCACTGAGGCCAGCGGGTCCTGCGCCAACTATGCAAACGTCCGTCTCGTCTTCAATCCGTTCCACGGCTTTCGGATCGTAAAGCTCTACCTGAGAAGTTTCATTCCGGCGCGCCAGTGTCGCATGTATTCCTCGACGTTGTAGTGAACGGCTAACTGGGAAGGAATGTTTGAGGATTCCTCTATAGTGGAGCATCTTGGATGATTCTGGGTAAGGTATGGGCCAGCACGAACAGTCATCTAAAAAGACGTACCCTTGCTGTTGGCAGGTGAACCCGATTTACCGGTCGCGATCATGACGAAATCCGGGTTATAATATGTCCATTGGACGTCATTTCATTGGTGAATTTGGTGTTTGGCATCGGCCTTGAAGCATAACTGTAAGCGCCGACGGCTACGAAGTACGCTATTACTATTAGTATTTAGGATCAGCGATGAGCACTTTCCGATTCTCGCTCTGTTGGAATTTCCTTTAATTCCGGGCCGCGAGCATTGGCGCAATATCAGTACAATATCACCCGCTCGTATTGCAATTACTTATCAAGGATCCCTTATCTTCGTTTGTTGAATCTCCCTCATTGAGATTCAACTGCACCATCATGCAGACGAAGCTGCCAGAGTATTCTCTGCCATCAGCCAACGGTCTGAGGCCCACTGGCAAGCGATCCCAGTTTATCAGACTTCTAGGGGTTGCGTTTCTGTTCATCACATGGGCCTCTCTCTCCCTCTTCCGACATTACAGTAGTCGGAGTGATGTCTCATTGCTGGCTTCACCTAGATGCTCACAAGTTGATGTCCTGGTCCCCGAGAAGAATGCAGATGTCTGGAAATCAGCGGGGAAGACCATTTCTACCGAGGAATTCAAGTTGAAGGCGGCATCGTTGCTTGGTGGTGCTATTCAGATTCCGTGAGTACATTGCTTTTATCCAACAACTTTGTTTTGATCCGTGTCCAAGTGGGGAGTCATACGACGACATGGGTCCTGTCGGCGAAGATTCCCGTTGGGAGGTACATGATAAATTCCACCGGTACCTTGCCGAGGCCTTCCCGCTAGTGTGAGTTCATATCAACGCCACTGCCTTTCTTGCACTCATATCAGTTATCACACAGACACGCGACGTTTGTCCTCGAGAAAGTCAATACGTATGGTTTGTTATACACTTGGAAAGGAAGCGAGGCATCATTGAAGCCTCTTCTTCTATTGGCCCATCAGGGTGCGCATGTTTATATACTACTTCATCATGTCTCCTCTGAAAGCACCCAGATGTCGTTCCTGTTGATCCCAACACCATTGATAAATGGGCACATCCACCCTTCTCTGGATACTTTGATGGTGATCGCATATGGGGACGCGGCTCTTCCGATGATAAAAGTGGTTTGATCGGCATCTTGTCTGCATATGTCGTTCTTTGATGACCACGCCTAACGTTTCACTTTAGATCGTCACTACAAGTACTGTTAGAAAATGACTTCAGGTCAACGAGAACCATAATTCTAGCTTTTGGTTTTGATGAGGAGATTGGCGGATTTCAGGTGACAAAGCACATTCCTAGCCTATGACGGTTTACTTATTTGTTGCATTCTTAGGGAGCAGGACACCTTGCGCCTAAGATTCTGGAGACTTATGGCGAAGATTCGGTAGCTTTGTTAGTCGACGAGGGTGGTGGGTTCGGCCAAGAGTATGGAACCGTCTTTGCCACTCCGGGAATCGCTGAGAAAGGTAGCATGAATGTCCGGCTCGACGTCGCCACACCTGGTGGACACAGCAGTGTTCCGGTGAGCTTCTCCTGTTCTGATGCATTCCTGGTATGTGTCGTGCTTATATGATGGTCGAAGCCTGACCACACGAGCATCGGTATCCTTTCAAGACTGCTTGTCGAATTTGAAGATAATCCTTACGAGATTCACCTTGTGCGTTCCTTAAACGTTCTTTTGTTGTCTTATAGTCAATGCTGCTTATATAGCGAAGAGGAACGCCAACGTATGAGCTTTTCCAATGCTTTGCGGAGTACAGCAAAAACATTCCCGATAAGCTACGGAACGAAATCAAGCGATCCGCCAAGTCTGACAAGGCCCTGCTCAACGTTGAAGATGTATTGTTCCAAGATCCTTTGTATAAGAGTCTCGTGGGAACTACCCAAGCAATTGACATTATTCACGGCGGAGTTAAGTCTAACGCGCTTCCTGAGCAGGCTTGGGCCATTATCAACCATCGTATATCCACTCAAAGGCGAGGTTCCTCTCTGTCCTTCCATTCATAAAGTATCTCATCTTCGGCTTAGCTCTACCTCTGAAACCGTTGAACACGATACCAATCTCTTGGTATCGCTGGCAGCAAGGTTCAACTTGACCTATACTGCTTTCGGGAAAGACATTAGCCCGAGTGGGGTACCGACTAAAGGGAGCTTGACCCTTAGCTCGCCCAACTACCTCGACATTGCTCCAGTAACCCCTACTACAGGAAACAAAGCTGCTCCATACAAACTCCTGTCTGGAACGATCAAGGCCACCTACAATGCATATCGGTCTTTGGAAGGCGACAACATTGTCGTCGGGCCTGGTATGCCAACGGGAAACACAGACACGAAGTATTATTGGGGTCTAACGCCGCACATCTTCCGGTACAAGCACCAGAATTCCGGCAATGGAACAAACACTCTAGGCAGTGGAGCCCATACAGTCAACGAATGTAGGCATCTTTTATGCGTGTTTAACAGATAGGTAACTGACGTATCTTTACTATAGCGATTAGCGCAGATAGCTTTGTGGAGATGATTCTTTTCTACGCAACCTTGATATTGAATGTGGATGAGAGTACGGACCTGTAGTGGGGTCTATTCCCCGGGCATCCGTTAGTGGAAGATGGTGACCTGCTGCCTACCTCCGTCACGGTCAACACGTGTTAACTGGTAACCATCTATGAGTTCAGAGGCCGTGTTTCCAAGGTCCATCGACTATTAATATTTGATCTCACGACTTCCAATATTGTTCTCTGTTGACCGTACGCTCTTCATATTCCTGAGCATAGTGGAGGATATTTATCCTGGTGGGATCACCATGGAAAGGGTTCAACGTTCAAGCAGCGCTGAACTTTGCAATTTTAAGCTATACGGGCATTCTGCCCCGCAGTGATATTTCTCAATTCAATTCGGCACCGAAAATAGTAAATAGTCGACAATGCCGTACGTTTCATGTCTTGCGGTGCCTAGTTCCTGCTTAATACTTCCTCACCAAATGCCACTATGGAAAGGAAAGCAGAGGCAAGAATCGCGCGATGATGAAGGCGCCCTCCTGCTTCTGAACTACGTCGGCTCCAGTGCCTTTGACGCGTCTGTTTTCTGTCTGTCACCGCATGTTTTTGACTCAAAACATATTCTGTACAGGTCTTATACATTGCCCCTCCTAGTAGGATCATCGAAACAGAACCTGAGTGTGCAAGTAGACACAGGCTCAGCCGATCTGGTACATCCGTTGATTTTATCCAAAATCTATCATTTAAGCTCATCGCTTTGGTTTCACACAGTGGTTAGCATCGACCGATTGCGCCTCATGCTCAAATTCATGTCCTCTCTACGACACAAGCCAAAGTAGTTCCGTCATCAAGACCGGTGCACTGTTTGATATCGATTATCTGGTCGGAAACGTTACCGGTACTGTTGTATGGGATGAGATTGATATCAACGACCAGTTAACTATAGACTCGCAGGCTTTAGGTGAGTTGTTGTCGTCGACGGTCCTCGGATTTCTCAACCAGATTCCACATAGCCGCTGCCACCGACGTGGTCGATGAACCTCTTGGATCTCGTTTTTCAGGAGTGCTTGGTCTCTCCCCGCCCTCCAACTCGCGTATCACAAGCCTCATACCAGCTACGGATTCCAACGCGCCGGATGGAGCTACATTTTCTTCCAACATCTTTTCGTCATCATCTATCTCCACTGTAAATCAATTCATAGGTCTCCTTATGACTCGTCCGGATGGTGGCGTGCTCGGAGGACGGCGTCCGCTTCTAGGTATCGCGAAACACCCTGAAGAGAGCGATTTGCCGGAGTGGTTGGGAGGGAGCATTGACAGCATCCAATACACTCGACCGGTGACAAGTACGAATGACTTGGGTGTCAATATCGGCACCATATTGTGGAAGGTGACGGTGCAGGGCGTGAGTGTGTGGGTAGATGGCCAGGAGCGGGTGGTAACACTACCATCGACGACTCGCGGTACGACAGCAGTGTTAGATTCAGGCGTACCGATAATCCTGACGACCAAGGCGATTGCGGATGGAATATATGGTGCAGTCGGTATAGGGCCCGGGTCTGATGGGCAGTATTACATTCCATGCAAGACGCCTCTAAATATGACGCTAACGCTGAAGATGAGCTCAAAATCAGTTGTGTATTCGGTGCATCCCCTCGATCTGACGACGCTACAATCAAAGAATGCCGGCGACAGCACCACATGTGTGGGCCTGATTCAGGCCAGTGACTCGTCCATTAACACCGCAAACGCGGGCGACATGATTTTGGGTGTGGCTTTTCTGCGGAATGTATACATGGTGCTTGGGTTTGACGGAGCAGTGGGAACGAATGGCGAGGGGGATAATAGTGGATACCATCTCGGTCTAATGGGTTTGACAGAGCCAGGAGTTGCGATGTCTGAGTTCCATACGGTGAGAGTTGATGGAATGGCACTAGATGGGGCCAGTGGTTCGAGCGGGACATCAAGCAGCAGCGACGGAGGAGGTCTAAAGATTGGATATGCAGCACTGATCGGAGTGGGCGGCTTCTTCGGCTTGGCCTTTTTGATGTTTGGTCTATGGAGGTGGACGACATGGAGGCGAGAGAAAAACGAGATAAATGAGGGAACAGGTACCAATTCTGCTATTGAAATGGCAATGGCCATGACCCTGGGGAGAGGGGAGGACAAACCCAAGAAACAATCATGGTGGGCTAGCCTGCGGAACGGTAAGCATAGTCCCGGTGCCTACCAGCTGGCAGACCTGGAGATCAGCGAGGACGAGAAGAGGAGAAGGAAATTTGAGGCATATATGAGAAGGACAGAGCGTGAAAGGATACTGTCCGAATATACTGTCAACAGCGAAACCACGAAGGTGGGAGACTATGATGGTTGGAAGGGAGAATTTGGAGAGTCGAGTGATCCTTGGGATCCTGCGACACAGCTTAACTGGGGACAAGGTCGAAGAGGAAGCCACGGGAAAGGCAAGGAGCCAGAGATAGACTCAGATCCAGAGAAGGAACAGCTTTTATCATCGGAGGGTGGGCGGGTCCATGCCACAACGGGAGCACCTTGACGATTTAAGTCAGCTTGATATTTATCGATTTATATCGCATTTACATACCTGTATCATACTGCATCCATCTGTTATTTCTGCGTAATTTGGACTTGAATATTAGCGAGAGTGTTGCCACGGTGCTGGGTCAAGAAAGAGAGGGAAACGTGTGCAAAGGCTCACTATGTCGACATTCGGGTTATACTGGTCCTACGGACAAAATGCGGTATTAGTTTACGTTGTCGCTGTCAGAACAAACATAATATGGACCACCTAGGCCGCTTTATCAGACAGAGTTTTCTGGCTCACAAAGTGCTGCGAATAGCGTTAGTGTCTTCATAGACAGAGAGCAAAGATGGTGTCATCCCAGAAATACTGAGAGTCAGACCAAACAGCTTGAGGGTAAAAACTTGAAGGGATCCGGAATGACTGCGCTTGACGGCGTACGTACTGCGGAGGGGCAAGTCCGACTGCTCCCTAAGTGGGTAGTCCAAAATGGTATACAGCAGTCGGGAAAACGGTGGCCGAGATTTTGGAAAAGGGCTCAGAATAAGGGCGTTGGCCTAAGAGAGAACGACAGGGACGTTCACGAAGCAATAATCAGAAGAGAAGAGGATGTAATGCAGTCGAACGAAGTAACAGGCGTTGCTATGCTCTTAGGAAGATGAGAGATGCTCGGTACGCCAAGTTGAAGTTGATCTTGCCAAAGGTTTGCTACTGACACTGCCAGCAAAGCTGAGTCCCTGAGCGGGAACGTACGACAAGGGAAAGGCAGGGAATTCCAAAGAGATCGTGATGTACCAGCGGTGTTATAAGAGACTGCTTATCTGTGCCGTACATCGCGTTGCGAGTGCGGCTGGCCCAACTTGGAATTCAAGAACGAGGGGCAAAAAGTAAGAAAATCTGGTGACATATGTATCTCTGCAAACCAGATTGAAGATGAAGCGTGCATCAAGGGGCAACGCTAAGAGTGAACGCAAGAAGAAGCCGGTATTAGGAGGTTGCACCCCCGGTCCGATAGTTCCTTCTCATCCTTTCCCAGTATCACAATTCAGGACGGGCTCCATAATGGCCCTGGCTGCTTTGAAGACGGAGCTCAAGACATGGAATGCAGCACTGGAGGCAAATGATGCCGGAAACTTCACCGAGGCTCTGGTGCTGTTCCAAGTCAGTAGAGACGACCTTTTTGAGCATTTCTGGGACTTACATCGGTGGTAGGAGATTGCTGATACGTCGAAGATTTGGGTAAACATGGGTCTAATACAGAGAAGAATCGAGCGGTACAATGAAGCGGTCAGGTCCTTGACTAGCGCAATTGCGTTAGATCCGTCCTTGGTGCTTGCGTGCGTTCTGTCACCTGTATCATTGCCAGTAGCTAACTGGTATCTCTACGAGTCAGGTACTATGAACGTGGCGTATGCTATCATGCGCTGAACAAGTGCTCTCAGGCGCTGGATGACTTTATCAAAGCAGAATCACGAATGAAGGGAAGCAGCGCGGTGTTCGTCTGTCATCTGCTCTGCTAGCATCCGTCTTATTAGTTAATTGCAGACACTACGATGAAACCGGCCTTGCTTTCACTCTCCATCTTGCAGAAGTCCAATTCAATAAGGGCTGTGTGCTGATACAATTAGGGCGTCAACCAGAGGGTATTGCTACTCTGCGCAAGACCATATTTCTCAAAGCCTTGCATGCTGATCGCGTCATACAAGGGGTACACGTCGACCCCAGTAGACTTCTTAGGCTGCTGAGAGTCGTGAGTCTTCTATATCGTGTTGCCCTGGCCACTTGGCCGCCTTACTCCCATATCGTTATTTAATACCCTCTTTCTTTTCTGACCCTCATCTACAGCCCCCTGGGAGACTCTATCGACCCACCGACAGCAAAATCAAGTTCCTGGAACAATACGACATGGATATTTACACCTATGCCGACGACAAATTTGCCACATCGTCTCGCAAAGCCTCCGGCTCGTTCTATAGCCACAGATCCGACGCCTCGAGCACCTGCGCCCCGAGCTTTGATAGTTTTCCCTCCTCTCCTAAGAAGTGGGGTTATCATCGTCGACACACATCGGAATCGTTGCCGCCCACGCCACAGATCAGTCGAACGGAACTCAACAAAGCGATGGGGCCCGACATGACGACGCCAACAACAGATATCACTACGATACCATGTGCAGGTTTACGGATCTCACACGGTAAACTAGCAGGTCTCATGGGCTGGCGCTTCGCCGTAGAGCTTGACACCTCACCGAGCTCAAAATACAGCGGCACCCCGCGGAAGTCTGTCGTTACCAACTTCATTCTCGATACGGGTATCGGAAAGTCGCATGTCCCTGCCGAAACCCTTATGGTGCTGGGATATTCTGGGAGTTTGAAACGTGAGTGGTTCAATCACCTTTGTAGCGTCTCTCATGATCATGATACAGCCGGAGCCGAAGTGGCATTGAGAATACAGGGAATCCGCACAAAGTGTCTGATTGCACATGAGGGAGAAGCTGGGAGGTTGTGCGGCCAGTTTTTGACCTCGGGATCTCTCACCTTGTACTTCGACACCAAGCTGGATGCCCCCGTGCTTTACGGTAAGCAGCTCCAATTGGGTAAATGTATTCGACACTCATCTCTTCAAGTCGCCGATGACAATCCAGATGCTGCCAGCATTCCTCGGACAATACAGCCTCTCTCATCACCAAGATTATCATTGAAAGCTGCTGTAGCCGCTCTGCTTGCATTCCGTGGCCCGCGGTCAGCGATATGAACGCCATCTTCTCTGGGAATCCCGGATATATAATAATACCCAATGGATGGACGTCTTAACTATTTATTTTACAACAATCCCATACGGATAAAATTGTAGACGGTGGCAGTTGTGCTTGTGTAACGGATAAAATTAATGTATGTGAATGAACGATCATGACCTCACCAATTTGTACCTTTACCAATCCATCATGCGCTGGATCCCACACCCACCTCAAAAGCAGCGTTTTTTTCTCATGGCTTCCCTTTCTGCGTCTTCAGTATTCACTTGTCTGCCATTTAATAGAGGCCCCGTGCTGTACATGTTTGCCTTTCTGCACCCGTGGCCTTCTTTTCGATTCACTTAACGAGCGGGACAGTCTGTAGACGGTTCTCTGTTACCGTTTCTGTTCAGGAGCACCGACGAATAATAAAATCATCTTCCGACCGACCGACTCTGGACGGCACTCTTATCATTCCACATGGTGCTGGGAAGGGATATTGCGATAAAAGTCTCAAAACCCATGAACAAATGAAATTCCGGCTCTCAACTGTCCCTCGCAAGCACAAGATGAAGGTCGCTTTCGCATCGCTACTCTCATTCTCGTTCCTGATAACGCGGAGCTTGGGTAGAGATGTTTTCCCAGATCTCTACGAGGCATCTGTGTCGGAGCTGCAGGAGGGTTTGGATGAAGGACTTTTCACTAGCGTTGATCTTATCAAGGTGTGATTACAGTTTCTTTCTTTCTTCACAAGAAATTGCAACGGATTATAGGCATATTTTGCGCGAATCGATGAAGTCAACCTCCAAGGGCCTGAGCTTCGTGCTGTGATTGAAACGAACCCGTCGGCATTGGTGCAGGCAGCGGAAATGGACGCTGAAAGAGAACTATACGGGAAAAGAGGCGTATTACATGGCATTCCTATTCTACTGAAGGTGCGTTGTTGTTCGTGTGTGGTTAAATGCTTCATGACTGCCATTAATTGTGTCCCGTAGGACAATATTGCCACCGTTGCTTCCGAAGGTAGCTCTATTGTTTCTCCACAAGTGATCAGACTCATGTTTGTCACGTAGGAATGAATACTACAGCGGGTTCGTTCAGTCTTCTGGATTCCATCGTCCCCGACGATGCTGGCATAGTCAAAAGACTTCGCAAAGCAGGTGCCATAATCCTTGGCAAAGCCAACCTCTCTGAGTTTGCCCATTTCCGCGGAAATCTCGCGTCAGGCTGGTCCGGTCGCGGCGGACAAGCCAAGGGTGCATACTTTCCTGGTGCAGATCCGTGTGGATCGTCGTCAGGATCCGGAATAGCAGCGTCGATTGGCCTGGCGGCAGTGACGCTTGGCACCGAGACGGACGGGAGCATTACCTGCCCATCGAGCCAGAACAACGTTGTGGGCATTAAGCCGACAGTGGGCTTGACATCGAGGGCTGAAGGTAGGTAGATGAACCTGCGGTTTTGCGAGCAATCATGCTAAACCTGTGATTTCATAGTAATACCTATTTCATCCCACCAGGACACCGTTGGACCCATAACGCGTTCAGTAGCAGACGCAGCCGTCGTGCTATCTATCATTGCAGGCAAGGATCCTAACGATAATTTTACCTTGGCGCAGCCATCTGTCGTCCCAGACTATACCCAAGCACTAAGAAAAGACGCCCTCGTTGGCAAGCGGATTGGTATTCCCAGAAAGGTCTTCCTCGACGGACTGGATCAACCGGTCTTGGACACATTTGAAGCTGCTCTCGAAACAATCAAGCTGCTGGGGGCAACTGTGGTGGATCCTGCTGATATTCCTTCAGCAGAGGAGATTGTGACATCTAACAATGAGACCATTGTATTAGACGTAGATTTCAAGGTACGTTGCTTCATTGCGACTAAACGAACTTCATTCGATTGACTTATTGAGCAAAGATCGAGCTGAATAGGTATTTTTCCGGCCTTATCAAGAATCCTTCTGGAGTGCGCAGTCTTGCGGACCTGATCAAATTCAACAATGATCATCCTGACCTAGAGGAACCAGTGAATTATACCGATCAGTCTACGCAAGTGTCCAATTGTTTTACATATAGCAAAGCCCGCTTCTGATGAGGGATTTATTAGTTTGATTGAATCCGAGGCCACTACCGGGTTTGACAACGCATATTTCGACGCTCTATCTATCGACCGAGAGCTTGGCGGAAGTATGGGCATTGATGCTGCGGTGAAAGCATTTGACCTGGACGCGCTGGCTCTTCCCTCTCAAGGATTCACGTCGAGCATTGCAGGTGGGTCAGTAATTGTCTCAGCACTCCTGGAGACCGATGACCTATCATAGCTATCGTTGGATACCCGATTGTGACTGGTAAGGCGGCTGAAACCTCTCGTAAAAATTCGTACCTGACTTTCTTCTAGTCCCCTTGGGGTTTTATCCTGACAACTTCGCCATCGGAATTGCTGGTCCTGAGACCGTGTATCCGGCACCTGGAGTCCCATTTGGATTGTCTTTCTTTGCTTCAGCATTTTCCGAGTTCGATCTCATTGGTTACGCTTTTGCGTACGAGCAGCAGAGTCAAACGAGGCTTATGAGAAAAGCATTCCCGGAAGCGATTCCGTCTACACAGCTCCAGGACATTGTAGAGAACCGTGTTCCGACCCATGTCTTCAAGGGTCTAGCCTAAGTTGTGTAGACGGCAGTTTTGCTCCAACGAGACGGTTTCCAAACATTCAGGTTTTGACAATGTCACTTCTCCAGAATATTTGTCTATAACATGTGGACAGACCGCACTTTGAAACGGAGATATATATGGCTTGACTATCGCGCGCCTACCTAACGGTGTCTGTAAATTGCGTTCTATGCTCTTGATTACATGCCGAAGCTCCAAGGACGTCGTATCTGTTCAATTGAACACATGCTCGTTTTGACATTATTATCCTTTGGCTTCCCATTTCTTTCATCATGAAGCCGCCTTTTCTGGCTAATGAGCTAAATCTCTGACCCAGCATTACTGTCATCAATGTACCGAATGTTGCCTATTCCTACAGCGCCTTTACTATGTGGTGCGTCCAAACAAGCAGCTGTCGCATGAATGCATGCATCATCTACATACTTGGTTTATATTATCCTGAAATAAGGACGCAGCCCTCTCTTGACGTTCAAAGTTTGAACGCCACTTTGTATCGCCTCGCCTGCGCTCCTTGATTGACGTACTCCGTGAAAGGATGCTGCGTCGATACCATCTGTTGTGAGCCAATTTAACTTGCTTATCTTTGGCTCAATACATTCTGCGAGCTGTTGATGTAGATGTAGATGTCGACCCTGACCCCTCATCAACACGCTTATAAGACAGGCTGAACAAAGGTCTTCGGAGAACAAGGTCCCCTTTCGTCACCTTTATCTCTGCGTTTTTCTGCACACCCCAACAAAGCTTTCTTGTATGTTTTCTATACAGCGTTGTGAGTAACTATCTCTTCGTGGCCATGCATACACTGTTGATTGACATGGCATATCCATAGATCTTGGTGTCTGGATGCTACTGCTCGTATCCTCAGCACTCAGCGTCAATTTCAGTCAATGTCTAGTTGATATTCAGTCGGGGAAGTATGGAATAAATGGTTTGCTGGATAACCAAGGAAACCCTGTTTCGACCTACGGTAACGCGACTGCTGCAACGCTTAAGTTGTGCTATCATGCATGTGGTCGAGGGTCGGAGCCCTTCTCATTTCCAGCTTTCGCTCAGGAATCAAGTGCCTGGTTTGTTCCATGGCTAGCCTTACTCTCCCAGCTTCCTTTTGGAGCAAACGACCTATTCGAAAACGCCAGTTACATCATTCTGGCCGTCGGTTCTCCCACTCTTATCATTTATTCCCTTTCTCTTTCCGCCATCAATACTCGTTGGATCGGCCGCCTCTTTGATAACGCAAAACGGTATCCCAATCGCAATTACACTGCCAGAGCTTTCAATGCTCTTCAACATTGCTGCTTCTATCTGGAACCGTCTGACGACGTCCTAGCATCTGTCATTGTCCTCCCACAAAATGATGCGTGGTGGGAAGGACTTGTTCAGGAATTGGAGTCACGAAGACTCGGGTGGACCATTTCCGCCTTCTTCAATCTCATCTGGGTTTTGATCTCTTTCATTCTCACCATCATCGACGCACTCAATACTCCGAATCAGGACACCAATGCCAGCGGGCAGAGCATTGGTCTTCTCTGGCTCTGGTTATATCCGGTCGTTGTAGGGTGGATAGTTTTGTCTCCCGAGTGCGACAGGCGGTGGCTCGAAAGTCAGCTACTACATGCAGGCAGTAAGGCAGTTATTGCCTCAGAGACGCCCGGACAATTCTACAAGTGTCCTCCGAATAAGCATCCTATAACCCTGTGCAGGCCTGGCACGTCTCGATGGAAATTCCCCAATGATGACATTTACCGTACATTGCCGATATTTGACTATGCGCGAGCGTATTGGCTGAATCAGGTGGTACTAGACTACTTCCAGTCGTATCATTCCATTGCCGAGAAGGCGCATGCTCGTGGACTCGTCCAAGTTAACGGTACCATCGAAGATAAGCACAGAACTGGGAGCAAGGACGTTATCGTTTCGCGTTGCTATCACGAAACCCCTCTGGAATATCAAGGAGATAGCGTGTGTTTCCGGGTGTTAAAAGCATCAATCGCAGCTTTGGTGGTTCAATGGGGTACTACAGCGTCAGGCATAGTTGTCATCTATTTTACGCCCACGAAAGGTACAGGCACATCATCTTTAGTCCCGAAATTTATGTCTGAAATCTCCTGTAGGTCTGGGATGCCGGTCTTTATCTTTCCTCCTGTATGGGCTGGTTTCGACGGTCGCGTGGTGGTGCATGATTGTATCAGCGTGGCTAGCTCACCGCTCTTCTACATGGCCGGGACCTCGTCCTGCTATGGAAATCACAACGGACGAATCATCACATCTCCCGTTAACCGCGATCTCGATGCCAATGCTAGCACCGTCGGGCGAGCCTCCGTCGACTGACCGGTCGTCACGGACTACGCTTTCATCAGAATCCTGCAGGTCGACGAAAAACACTAGAGCTAGCGTTGACACCGCACCGCCAGACGACGGCTTGGCTGTATTTTCCAGATTTTTTTCGTATGCAGGAAAGACCTTGGCGTTCCTCAACGCGCTGCTCCTATTTGGATTATGCCTAGCGCAGTTGGGCAATGGGTTTTCAAACTGCTGGTGCAATAGCAGCTATATTGGATTGCGGAGCAAAGCATACACGGCTTTTTTAATTCCCAGCAGTGACTTTGCTTCACTTAGGGCGGCATGGGGTGGCGCAATTTTCTTAGGTACTGTAATCTCGTCACTGTTTGCAGTTCTTATTATTTTTGCAAAGAAAACGTGCTACCCCGACTGAGTTACGATACAATTTCTTTATCCTTGTACACATATCCGATTCTATAATTTACTATTCTTTATCGAGGAATACGCGTAGTTACCGTCAGGCGCCTCAAAATGATGTGCATGTACTGGATGAATAGCTGGGTACCTTGGTCCGGGTCCTAATTTTTTGAACAGAAACAAAGAATATCCTTTGATATAATGAGCTACGAGAAAGCCGGGACGCCTGTACTTTCCTCCCAAAGATTCTTCAAAACCATGAAACCCACACCAAACAGAGCTCCCTTGGTCACTGTCTGAGACCAAGACTCTTGAGCCTCTGAAAGGGTATCATCAGCAATATGAGCAGATATAGAAGCTATATCCGCGACACCGTCGTCCATTATCAAATAATGTGAAGTGAACGTCCATCGAAGGCGATGGCCTGCAGCCTCCACCTGCTCTTGCAATTCCGGCGACAGCGTATTTGCGTCATACTGTACATGCAATATCCTCCGTCGAACATTGAGAATGAACGATTCGATCTCGCCTACGATCTCCAGCACATCATATATCGCCCCGCATATGTCCTCCACTTTCTCGGCAACAAGTCCCCAAGCTTGGAGGGGGGGGAAGATGATGTCTGATTTGAGACGTGCAGTCCAGGAAAATAGCCGGGGGAGGGGGTTATAGGGTGAGAATAGACGATCCCGGAGGGAAGCAGTGAACTCGTCGACGAGGTAAGCACGGGTCTGGTGCCATTGTTCTTCGGCTGCACGAGCGGATCGGCGGAACTCCGCAATATAGCGCCAAGTTTCCTCCCAGGTATGGCTGGGGTCACTGAGAGCTCTGTCAAGAGCACGCAGGGCACCGTCTACGGCACTCATGGAATTCAGTATACAACGCATGGTGTTCGCGATATCATCCCGTCCTTGATAGAAGATGTCACAGAGTTCTTTGGAAAGTGAGGAGGTACAGTTGTGTGAAGCATCGTAGAGGGTGAATAGCAGCTCTTGTAATGTGTCGTTTATACAATATATCTTTTTTACAATTGTTGTAGCCTTCTCAAAGAAAGCGCGCTGTTGACTAAAGGTGGCATCGTAGGTATCATCGCTTGGCTGTGAATTTAAATTGAATTAAAAATCCCGAAACAGTTGAATGGAGAGACGTGCCTTCAATACAGAGAGCAGCGAGAGCAAATCATCGCTCCTGCCTCCCTCTAGATCTATCTCAGCCATGGGATTCCGGCGAGGAATATTCAAGGATTGCCTAAGTAGAAGGCGCTACGTATCGTCAAGTCTTGCCAGGGAAGCAGGTAAGAGAGCAGACATGAACAGTGGCAGTTGCACTTGGCACATCAAAGCCGCTGCAAGCATGTGAATGCTACGGGGCGGACTGGGGTAAGAACTACGTACGTAGCCTGTAGGTCCATGTAGATCCCATCTTCGGACTGCGGCGCCCCGGACGATTCCATCTGGGCTAATCGCTTCACGCCAAGATGGAAGGCTGCAAGACGTGAAAAAAAAGAGTTGTCATTTAGTACAAACGATTCTGTCATCCCGGTAATATTGTGAAGTAAGTAAAAGTCCATATAAATCTCTACGTCGTCTTCATTGCTTCGCATCCAGACTGACCTTGGCAAGTAAACTTGCCAAGGTCTCCTCGCTCTTTCCATCTACCGAAATATCATCCGTCTTCTTCAAACTCTCCCTGATGTTTAAAGACGACTCAGAAGGATGATTCATATTATGATGGTGCATGATGGAAGCATTCTGATACGTACTGTCAATTGAATTATAGCTGCGGTAGAAACGAAAAGAATTACCTCCATGACTTCCTTTGCACTCTCCTCCTTATACAATCGCACGTTATCTGACAGCTCCTGCTTCTGCTGGTCCAAGTGGCTGCTCCCAGCGAGAGCAGTCATCCGGTTAAGTGCAGTAATGCTGAATGCCGCCTTACGCCATAGCTGTTTCGCATTGAGAGCCTTCTTGACGTGTGGTAGTAGATCAGTTGGACCACCACTTGGGCTCTCAGGGTCAGGAACGAAGTGAGCTGATGTGTCCGCAAGCCACTTGTGCTGCAAGCATTGGGTGGCAGTGGGACGGTTAGAAGGGTCGATTGTCAAGCAATCTCGAATGAAGTCCCGAGCGGTATCGCTAACGTTGGCCCAGTATTCATGAGGCTCAAATTTGTAGTCACCGGCGATGATGGCCTCCATCTCCTGCTGCTGTGAGTCACGGTCAAAGGGTGTGTATCCGGCGAGTAGGAAGTAAGTGATTACACCCATCGCCCAGACATCGACAGGCTTGCCGTGGCCAGCTATGCTGGCAATCAGTAGTGGGCGGGGTGACGAGAGATATAGGACATACTCTTTTTGAAGATCTCGGGGGCCATGTAGCCTGGCGTTCCGCAAATTTCGGTCAACATATTCAGTTTTTCCTCCTCCATTACGCGACTGAGGCCAAAGTCTGCAATCATAATGTCGGCATCCTCGGCCTTGGTGCGAAAGAGAAGATTTTCTGGTTTGAGGTCACGATGCACGATACCGGAGGAATGGATGTACTTGACGGCTTGGAAAATGGTGCGAACGAGGCCAGCAGCGTCCGCTTCGTAGTAGTTGCCTTTAGCACATATCCGGTCGAAGAGCTCTCCGCCTGTACAGAGATCGAAGCAGAGATAGAGATTGTGAGAGGTCTGGAAGAGTGTGTAAGCTAAGAGTCGAGTGGATAAAGATGCAGACCTGCTTCAAAGTAGTCACGAAGGGCTACGATGTTTTTATGTCCGCTGGAAACCCTTTTCAAGACGGCAATCTCGTTCCGAACCTGTAGCAACGGTCAGTAGAATGACGCGAAGATACGATGAAAGAGGTGTGCCATATGTTCTCTGCCCTCCATAAGCTTCTTGTTAATGACCTTGCAAGCAAAGTACTCTCCCGTCTGGATATGAATGGCCTCCTTAACGATGGCATATGTCCCACTTCCAAGGGTCTTGCCGGTGCGATACTGATGGAAAGTAGATATCGTCAGGGAATTGAGGATAGACAGGCGGATATACCTGGCAAGGGACGGTAACATTGGATGGAGCCATTATCATTGGAGCGGTCTCTGGTTGCACTGAAGATGATGAGGGGGTATCAGGGCGAGTCTGTACGTGATGGTGAGCGCTCCTGTTTTCGAAATGAGACCTTTGAAGAAGGATACTGGACAGAGTCAAAAGAGGGCGAAAAGAGGGCGATGGAGGTAGAAAGCAAAGATGATATCTCTGATCAAGTCTCGTTTCACTTCAAGCATCGCACAGCCACATCTAAATCGGTCACGGTAGACTTACCTTGTGTGCAACGTCCGCCTGCCTCGTGCTGTCGTCGTTGTGCTTTTTTGCTAATGCCGCTGTGATCTGGCTCCTCAGTGCAACAGCCGTTGGTATGATTACGAGGGGTCCTGTGCGAGAAGAAGACGGGGGGGTGGAATGCTGGGTTTTTGAACTTTGACGGCGACTTTGCTGGGCGCCCATTTCTTGGATGCTGCAAGTATAGGTGCAGAAGAGTTGTCGATGAAATGACACATTCAAGTCTTATACCATTCACTGCCATGCCGACACAACGCCGGCTACGCGTGTCTCCACTTATTCCTCAGGGTCATACCGCGCTCTTGGGTCTCAGGACGACGGTCAGGCTCCGTCGCTCCTCCGTTGAACAGGTCAATTCAATGCCGTCGCTACAGGACCCTTCGTTCGGCATATCTAATTTTACGTTTTCCAAAAATACTTTCGCGCCCACCTTCAAGTTGTTTACGATGAGAATGGACGTCCTTCTGCCACCCCGCTTCAGGATATCGTTTCCGTCTAATCGGCGCTTTGGATTTGCTTCTATCGGCGGTACACTTTGTCTCTCCAATTGTATCTACGCGTTCCATGTTTTCCTCTTGAATCCAACTTCATTTTGGTACTCAGCTCCCTAATATCTTCATTATTACATGTTAGCGACACCCTTCATCTGCGGCACAATAGGCGACAGATTAGAAATCTGCCAAGGTTCGAATCCTGCAGGTGTCTATCACGTTTCAACGCCTTTTTTCCTGACAGGTCATCCCGGCGCCGGTCTGATTTCAATCACCACCGATCAGGAATTTCCATATTCAACAGTCCATCATGGTACAAAAGTTCAAACATAGTTGAGAATGCAGTAATCTTACCATCTGTCTCTGCATTAATACGGGACAGCCCCAAGCTTGGATCTGTCATTTCAGCTATGACCGGTGCTGTAAAGCCCACCAGTACCCCCCCCCCCCACTTGACTCGGTCTACGAGGACCCTCCCAGTCAGTCCTCTCATTCTTTCCTATGGTCGCTACTTGCGCGGTACGCGTCACAGATGTTAGTATCACGCACACAAAGCGAGCAGGTGTAATCTGGCGTAATTGGCTGTTATACCACACCCTACTTAATGTCGTCACTCTTGTATAACCATCACGTCCCCAATGCCTTCCTTTCAAGGGCTCTGTACCGCTCTTGACTCCCATAAGAAACCCTGCAACGCCAGTACCCAAACAGGATTCCTTTGGTGTACTCGCCATAATCAAGTACGAATTCTCTCATCTTTCTCCAGTGACCTCTGCTGAAGCACTGTCGTAGGAGCGCATCAAGTTATACGTCAATTACAAGACCCACCATGCTGCTCTCAATGCCTTCGACCAACACACCATCTGCACTAATTCGAACAAGATCAGGTCATGCACCTCATTAGAGAGGTTACGATCTTGGAACAAGATTCTTGTATACAAGTACCACCTGGTTACCAGGTATGCCTTTTCGTTCAACATTCGTGCGATCTATCTCAATGCCAGTGAAATAGATGCATCGATGCTAGAGCATACTTTACTGAACGCTTCTTTGGGCAAGCATTTCCTTCCACAACGTACAGAGAAGTCAGTCTGACATTTCCGTCTTAGAAACGATATGGCACGTATCGTTGCGTACCACTCATTCTTTGTCCGTTCTGATGTTTCGGCAGGATTTCGGACACAAACAATTCTGGCGAGTGCTCGTGAAGCAGCAATCACAAGTGGAGAGGATTCTAGAACAAGTAGAACATCGGGCCTACGAACTCATTCTGGCATCTCAGAACGCCCTGTGGGTCCTCAAGCAGCCGATAGACATGTCGAAGCCTGATCTGGATTGTTCGGGATACGATGACGCTCCCTTACAAGCCACGAAGACCGAGGAATGCGCCAGTCACTCCGTCGAAAATAGTGGTGACGACCGTCATGATGTCGTGGCCGAAGTAGAAGATCCACTCGAGGTGGCCCTCCGAGGAAAGGCTAACGTTCTAAGGGAAAAAATCTACACTCGAATCTCGAGGTATTGTGCTTATCCCCAATCCAAGTGGTACCATGAACGGCTCCAGGTTATTAATGCTATCATCCGGCGGACCGTGTACACGGACGCATCCCTCATGGTCACATCTCAGAATTACACCTCGGTCATGGAGTTTCTTCGGGACGAGAAGCTAGAGGTCCAAACACTCTCCAAGCTTTGGACCGCACTTGTAGAGCTGCTCACGGACCAGGTCCGAGCGGCGATCGATGACGCCTTGAGGCCGGTGGATGATTCTGCGAGTTATGTCGTCGTCTTGGGGGGGCGTGTTTATAAGGACTTGAGTACAGGATCCCGCCCGCTTCGCAGCTGGGCTCATTTCAGTTCCATAATTCGTTGTTACGGTTGCCTTCGGAAGACTTGCAAGACAGTCAGTTGCATTCTCTTCCGTTTATATAGTGTATACTAACCTGGAACGCAGATGGATGAGGTGATAACGTTGACACAATATACCATTCTTACCTGGACTCATCTCAACCAATCTACGCTCAAATGCTATCATAACATCGATGGTTCGAGTATCCTCATGCTCTGCGGCTCTATCGTCAACTACTTTGAATATTCGGACTTCAGTCATCGCTATTCTGTTACCAAGCACAACGACATCATCGATCACACGCCGCAATGGTCGGAGACCGAGATGAACATTACTGTCTGTATGGGCCTTTCGTTGAACGATCCAAAGGCTGATGCATTCGTCGACGCATGCAATCGGGAGAGGCATTTCATGATATTATCTCGCCGAGGCAAGGAAAGCAAAGTCGTACGCTCAACACCCAAGATTTGGTGCAAGCGTACAAGACGTGCGAATACGCGAGCCGGACTGAAGAAGCTTCCTTGGGAAGAGACGAAGTCCGTCGTGTACTTCCGTGATAGCCTTCTGGAAGAGTGCTGGACACTAACAAGCCTCTCCAAGCGAGTAGAAGACTGCTACCAAGTCGCAGTGGTCGATACAGAGGCTAAGAACGTGACTGGCGTAGTCGCGAAGCTGGCGAAGATTTGGATAGAAGTATATGGGGTCGAGTGCATACATGAGTTATGCAATGAGATTGCGAAGCCGTATGTCAAGAGTGGTGATTTGGAGATCGTGGAGGAGGAAGAAGAAGACACGAACCGGATATGTCCGAAGAGGAATGTGTTGATGCCCGGCGCGGCAGCCGATGTGCATGCGTCATATAGGCGGCTGTGGAAGAAGAGTCCGTGCAGTGGGATTTTTGACGACTGATTTTCGACCGTCGTGTCGCGAAATGGTAAAAATGAGGACTTTCACTGCGTCTCCTTCAATTGAGACAGACGTTTCACACCCTTTTTTTTTTTTTGCTTTTATATTGTTGTACGAAGGAGAATGTACCGGACCGTATGAATGCCTTCTTGTGTGTCCTATTCGCTCGTGACGCATCAGACGGCATCTAATGTGACCACGGTAGAACATTAGCAAAAGCGAATCGATTTAAATATATATGACGCACCACGAAGACATCGTGCTCACCAAATATGTGGTTCCCACTGGTCAGACTCCTGATTACCCTTCTACTCGCCGCATCACCATCTGTCGCAAAGAAATGCGAGATAAGTCCATTGGGAGAAGGTCTTGACGATACTGAACAAGTGAGTTGCATCCCTTCCTTCCTCGAATAGATCTGGAAAATTACCGATGGAGGTCGAAACTGCCATCGAGGAATGTGGGCGACACGGTTGGACCGTGCTCAATCCTGGGCTGTATAACATTACCAGGTACGCATCCCTGGATCCGTTCATCGGCGTTACACTTTAACTCGATCATCAACAGAAAGATGACGTGGGATTTGCATTCATCCAAGGTCGATCTGTACGGGTATTTGAACGTAAGGGTCTCATCTTCGTTAAGGCGGCTTTGATTGATATGAGCTACTGCGCATTCACTCAGTTCCAGCCGGACATTGAGTATTGGTTGGATGCAGAGAACACATACAGGGTGGTTTTTATACAGGTGCCTCGTTTCCGACTTTCTCCATCCCCGCCACCTGATACATCATCCCGCCAGAGTCAAGCCTCGTGGTTTGTCGTGACAGGATCCGACTTCACCATCGACGCGCATAACGAAGGTGGTATCCAGGGTAATGGACAGGTGCGTCCGATAGAACGCAACACGTCATCCATGTTTACACCACTGAACAGCCATGGTGGGAGTACTTCACGACACACACCAGGGCTGATGGCGATGGTCGACCCCTATCTCTAACTCTCTACCGCGCGACCAATTCTCTGGTGAAGGACTTTCATATCCAATCGCCGCCATTCTGGTGTAACGCTGTAGCCGAGTCGAGCGGTATCAGATATGAAGGGATGGTTTGTAACGCGACCAACAGCAATCCACAATTTGCAGGTCAGAAGTGAGTAATTTCCTGCATCGACTTGATGAAGCAATGAATAGAGAATGTTCAGTATTGTTCCTAATACGGATGGTCAGTGGATTGCCTGTGTTCTGAATAGAGGCCGATTGTCCCACAGGGATAGACACATATCGAAGCGACAATATTACACTGTTGAATTGGGATGTAACGTGTGGGGATGACTGCCTGGCTATCAAAGGAGTAGGTAGTAAGCCATTCTGCGCTCTTTCATTGATGGCGATAGAACTCGACCAATGTACTCGCCCGAAATATTACCTGCCGCGGAGGGAACGGGATTGCATTTGGTTCCTTGGGGCAATATTACAATTTGGTGCGTTTGGTCCGTGTTTTATGTAGCAGAAGTCTATAACGATTCATAGAGCGACCAAGTCGACAACGTTCATCTAGAGGACCTGCAAGTGCGTATCATCTCTGTCTTGCACGTTAAGCGACTGACAAGTGCATTGTAGATGATAAGAATAGATGCAAACGTGCAGCCCAACATGGAAACCGGCGTGAGTATGCCAGGATGCACGAAGTGAAATGGTTTACTTTGGAGCATTTTCAGGTTTACTTCAAAACTTGGACTGGTACTGTCAACGGATCCCCACCGACAGGCGGTGGCGGAGGAAAAGGTGCGCATATACGCATTCTTTCGGACCGCATCTGACGGAATTAGGTTTTGTATCCAATATTGTTGCCAAGAACGTGCTTTTGGACCGGGTGACCCTACCGCTCCATTTGTATCAAACGAACGGCGGACATAGGTGCGTGGCATGCAACATTCTGAATCAAAAAGCTCATCAAATGTTCATAGCGGGGACCTACCATCTCTGATCACTTTTGCGAACCTGCAGTTCCTGAACTGGAGCGGGACCGCAATGACCAACGAGAGTAAGTGTACTTGTTTCGTTGAAGGAATGGACCTTACCACCATACTGGGACGCAGTTGTAGACATTGAGTGTAGCACAAGCTGCGATGGTATACTCTTCAACGCGTTTGATGTTGAGGGGCCTGAGAACGAGGCACCAGAGTACATATGTCAGAATGTTACGGGATTGGAGGGATTAACCGGTACGAATATTTACCCCGCGAGATTGAATGTCGTCAATGATTCTTCTTTGCCAGTAGCTTGCAACGAGACGTGACCGGCGATTGTATGCCACAACAATATAAAGGTCATGACAAACATGACCACGTTTTACAATGTTCACCTCCGTTCCGAATTGAGCGGTACCGGTCAGAAGAAAATACATAAAGTAGCGACAGACAGTATTCCTTGGATTCATCCTGGTTTAAAGACAGGTGAAAATTGAGGCCGACACATGATGAAAATGAATTGCTGACCGATTCCGTGTCCGGGTCGTTACCTCGGCCTAAGACAAGGGTGCGTGGTTCTGAGAATGTGACTGACGGATATCGGAGCGCAATACCGTCCATTGGTTCGGATTCATTTTTGTCGGTTCGAAACCGGACAAGTCGAGATGGCTGGATAAGGAGAAATCTTGTTGCCCTTGGACGCGTAATTGACGATCGAAAGCTGGAAAAGCTGAGAAACTTGAAATATATATACCAGTCATAGGCAGTGAGTGATAGGCCTGCGACGGGACTGGATGCTGCCTGGATGTAAAAGTCGGGGACCTCAGTCAGGGCACCTGGCACAATAATTGATGACGTGATATGGTAGCGGGTGAACCAAAGGTGGGGCATTCATACTCAGGAGGATCGTCCGCTTCGGAACTTGTAGTTGAATATCTGCGGCGTCTCCGTGTGATTCAGAATGGCGATCATAACCACAAGAGAAAAGCAAAGAAGAGGAAAGAAATTTCCAGGTAGCCGTACCGTTAGAGGGGAAAGACGGGGAACGGGTCGCGACAAGCAAGATCGCGGTAGCTTCGAGGGAACGCGGGTACTTGTTCCCCTTTGAAATGGACTCGTCAGGCAGCGAGGGGGAGCAGGCAATATCCGGAAAACGGACGTAAGATCTAGATCTTGATCAGAAAAAAATAAAACGAGTGAAAACTACGCCGGGAGTAAAGCGAATCTAACTTGAAATTATCCCTTCATGCTCCTTCTCCCGTCAGTGTAGCCATTGCCTCTGCTGGAGATGGTTGTGTACCGTTTGGGATGCCCATCGTCGGGAAACGGGTGACGTGACCCGGGTGTGACGAAAACGTGACAGACGTCGGTTGATTGTGAACCAGCTTCAACAAGGGCGCAAGCCGACACCTTCTGCTCAATCCCGCCACGCTATCGCTTTTCCAGTGCTCGTCCCGTCTTCGCGACCCTTTGCTCTCTTATTTCCTCTCCGTTTCGTTGGATATGCTACCATAGAGGTCTGTCTGCGCCCTTGCCAACTTTACGCGTGGTATCCTGATTCCTTGCTGCTACTAATAGAGTCTGCTCATCGTGCTACCCATTGTATGCAACTTTCTTTTCCTGCTCTTCTATCATACTGATGATCTCTTAGTCGTGTATTCAGGCGAGCCTTTCTTCTGTATACGTGTGCAGTCCCGTCGTCGGGGACCACTCCACCTTTTTTTTTCTCGGTGAGAGGCACCTTCCGGCTATTACACAACGTGCTGATATTTCCTTTGTAGTGGACTTTGTACAAGTGCTCACATTCATTGCAGGAATTGTGACTCGCTTGAAACCTATCGACAGTGAGCATGTCATTTCACATTTATCTCTTCACTGAAAGATCGCCTCGACAGAATCGTCAAAACATATAATATATTACATATGAATCAATCCTACCCTACAGCTTCGCAGTCTCCCTTTCCCCATCAACAGGCTCATGGCCAAGGCATCAACCCAGCAGCTCTTCTCTCTGGCGCGGGAGGTATCAACCCCGCCCAACTTATGGGCGGCATGGGTGGCGGCATGGGGGGTGCCATAGGGGCAGGAATGGGAGGTGGAATGGCCACCAACATGAACATGATGGCTGGAGGCGGTGGCGGTGGTATGAGCCCTGCCCAAATCCTTCGTGAGAGAGGGATGATGAATGGCGGTGGTGGAATGAACATGAACATGATGAACATGGGAGGAGGAGGAGGAGGAGGAGGAGGAGGAGGAGGAGGCGGTGGTGGTGGAAATCTCAACTCTTCAGGGATGGGCATGGGCATGGGTGGCATGAACATGGGCAACCTTGGAATGGGCATCTCCACCCCGTTACCCAACATGATGAATACCCCCGGCAGTGCCCCGCCTACGAACATGGTCGACGGCATGTCTATGCAGCGCCCTGGTACGTCGATGGGTAGCATCACCGCGACGTCGCTCGGCGGTTCGATGAGCGGTGGTGGTGGCTTCGCGAATCAGTTTGGTGGCATGAGTAGTGGCAACATGATGAGCAGCCAACCCCAGCCTACTCCTGCGGTCTCTCATGGACCACAGCCCGGCATGATGAACCAGCAACAGCAACAGCAACAGCACTTCAGCATGATGCTCCAAATGGCGGGGATGACTCGCGAGCAGTTCGCAAGCCTCAATCAGCACGACAAACAGATTATGATGGAGCGGATGTCGATGAAGATCAAAGAACGGCAGAGGCAACAAGAGCTGCAGATGATGGCGCAGATGGGAGGCATGATGAGCCAGCAGCCTCAGCAGCAGCCCCAACCCCAACCCCAGCAGCAGTTCCCCGGCGCTGGGTTTGGTAACGACAGACCTTCTAGTACAACTTCACATGGTCCCACTATGATGCCGCCTCCACCACCAGGAGTGCGCCCGGGGACTGCGATGGGTATGCGACGGGCTCCCAGTGTCGACCAAGTTCGTCCTCCTAGCCGTATCGGAGACATGATGAATCCGTCGATGTTTCCCAAAGCGTTGCCTGATCAGCAACCCGGAAATGCATACCCTCAGCACGGTCACACATCGCCTGTCGGTGCTCGCGTTGCAGGAAGCCCAAGGATTGACAGTACCGGCCCGAACATGTTCCCTCCAGCGGGTACAACTAGTGGTGGGTACCCAATTGGCAGCTCTGGGAACGTCTCACCGACGAGACCCATGTCTGCGAGTCCGAACAGTGTTGGTTTTGTTAGCAATGGTGCTATGAAAGGAACGCCTGCGCTGAACAGAGTAAATGCTGTCCCTCAAACACCCACAACTCCGCGGATAGCAACTCCATCAAATATGAATGTGTTGGTGACACCACAACCTCTGGCGCCGACCCAGCAACCGATTCAGCAACCGCCTGCCCCCACGCCTATGCCTTCTGGCCCGTCTTCAATGCCGATTCCTGTCGCTCCAAATGCTTCTACGTCAACTCGCGCTCCTACACCTGCACCGACCGCACCGACTACAACCGCTACTACATCTCCTTCCGCTGTAGCGTCGGCGGACCCTACACCTGCTATTGCGAAGCTCCCTCCACTGCCACCAACAAATCCAACAGTGACAGAAGTCACTACAGTTCCACTGAAAGACTCGTTGAAGCTCATTCCAGAGTTGAGCGAAACAGAGATCAACGACGTCAAAGACTGGATGAAGCTTGATAAGGAGTACGAGAACGTGTATGAGGAGATGCGGAAGCGGATGGCAGCGGAGCGGGAAGCGCTAGGCAAAAGGTGGTGGGAAAGAGGAGGTGGCATAAATGTTGGTTTGGGCGCTGTTATACCGGCATGGGGAAATCGGGGAAGAGGCTTTGATGTCAGGTATCCCAATTCAAGACCTAGAAGGGATGGCAGACGAGGCAAAGTCGCTAAGAGAGAGGGGTTGAAGCTGTGTGTTTTTTCATCTTCTATCTGTTGTGATGCTTATCATTCGTCAGGCCTAGAAAGATCGACGCTCGATACGCGAACCTGCCAGAGCAGCTTGTACCCATCCGACTGGAGTTTGATGTTGAGCAACATCATAAGATGCGGGACACGTTCGTTTGGAATTTGAATGGCGCGTCTATCCGTCTTCATAACAGAGTTCAGTTGCTGACTTTTATTCCAGACCCCGTGATCACTCCAGAAAATTTCGCACAATCTGTGGTTGAAGATTATAACCTATCTTCGAGCTATCATTCCGTCATTGTTAAATCTATTCAGGATCAACTCAGTGATTTTAAAGCACATTCGACCAATTACGATGGCGAAGGAGGTGATTATGTTGCCGACGTTGCATTGGCTGCCCCCGAGAAAGGATTGTTGGATGAGGAAAGCTCGTTGTGGTGGAGGAAGTGGCGAAAACGGGTGAGGAAAGATTATACTGTAAATGGAGCCGAGAAGGCTCGAAAAAGACGGAAAGTGGTTGAAGACGAACAACTCATGAGCGTGGAGGACTTTCATATGGATGAGAACGAGACACACGAAGATATGAGGGTCGTCATCAAGGTTGGTTTCCAGAGCTATATCGCCTGGAAGGGTTTTCACTCAATTGTGCTAGCTGGATATCATTGTCGGGGCGATGAAGCTTGATGACCAGTTTGAATGGGATATAGAAAATCCGCATGCGTCCCCTGAAAGTTTTGCGGACATATACGTTCAAGAACTGGGGTTGGGTGGTGAATTTAGGTGTGTTTCCAGCCTCTCTGGACAGAATGGTAAATTTAAGTTGATTCAGAACTGCCATCGCCCACTCTATACGAGAACAAGTGCAGGCGTACCAAAAGTCCCTCTTCCTGGTTGGACATCCTTCCGATGGTACACCGATACAAGATGACGAGCTGCGACTATCATTCCTTCCTGGTTTATCATCAGGTGCTCGGGCACTAGATCAAGTGCAGTCGTTTACACCGATGCTGAACTATCTGAGTGACGGCGAGATCGAGCGGCACGAGAAGGAGCGTGACAAGGACATGAATAAGCGGCGAAAACGAAATACAAGGGGCCGGCGAGGCGTCGCTTTACCAGACCGAGAGCCGATCAGGACCTATCGCACGCCTGCTATTGGGTTCCCTGAGCTGGATCCTGCTATTCTTGCTCTTCAAGTTGCCGCCAATGCGCCCACGTCGCGCAGAGCTGCAGCCGCGGCTGCTTCTCTCACCATTGCAAACATGGTGGCATCTGAAAACGGAACACCCCTCCTTCCTCAAACACTACCCACCGCTCCCCAGCAACCACAGCCTGCTGCCCCCAAGGAGAAGAAGCCAAAGGGGCACTTCAAAGCTCCTCCATTGCCTCCATCCGTCTTACGGCCCCGGGCCAAGCTCACGTCCGTGCCTCCCTCCACTGCTGCAGATGGCGCATCTTCCACATTGGATGGCGATGCTGCGCACTCCATGAATACTCTCCCGAAGGTGGTGACGGCGAAGAGGGCAAAAGAGTTGGAACGGGAAGCGAAGGAGAAGGAATTTGCTGACGGTCAGCACGCTAACTTCATAGATGGTGTCTGGCACTGCTCCAACTGTGGTTGTCCTGAGAGCATCGCCATTGGTAGGAGGAAAGGACCGCTGGGCGATAAGTCACAATGCGGTACTTGCGGTATGTGCTTAAATACAGTTTTGGCGATGAAACTGATTACCCCTGTTTTAGGCAAGTTCTGGCATCGGCATCGTCGTCCTCGGCCGGTCGAATACAACACAGATCCTGATTTCCATTCGAATGTCAAACGGGACAGTGAGCTTGCGAGAACAATTGGCAAGAAGAAGGGAGGTGCTGCTGCTCTGCGGGCACAGAGTGGAACGGTCCCAACGACTCCAGCTTCAGAGCCTCAATCCCCCCGGACCAAACCAGACGAAGAATCTGCGCCAAGATTGTCGCCTGTGCCTCCTCCGTCAAAAGCGGAAACCGCCCTTTCTCCTGTGTCAACGACATCAAGCGCTTCGGAGGCGCCCTTGGCTCAACGGGCAAAGGCAAATGGGACCAGTAATAGCCATACACCGTCTGTTGCGCCTGCTTCTTCTGCCCCCCCTCCGGCACCTGCTTCCACATCACCGCCGCCGCCGGACGCCCCTACTTCTGTCCAAGAATCATCGGCGCCACCGCCAAGTCAATCTGGGCCTCCGGGACCACCTTCTCAACGGTCGTGGGTGAGCAGACTTAAGCCGTCGTCTTTGTAGAAAGTGTTCTGATGATAGCCGGTGCACAGCCTCCTCAATGGCTAGCCACCTGTATGCAAGGCATTCAATATCGTTTCCCATCTGATAAATTTGAGGTGGCTCTCCGCAAGGTCACAGCGAATAGTGACCCAGAGTGGCGGATAAAATGTCTAGATTGTCCTGGCAAGGTGTGTTCTGGTGTTCCGGCGAGTCGGCCTGCTTCTGACTAGTGTATGTAGTTGTACAAGCCTGGTCCGGGCGAGACCCTTTCAAACTTTGAGGTACACTTGAGAAATAATACGCACCGACGGGTGGTGGAGAAGCGTGTTGCTGCTGCTTCGTCTGGGTCATGATAGTGTCCACCTGCTTTATCCGTTTATCTGTTTCTGACTCTATAACCTGTTGTTTGCTTGTTACTTACTACAAGGCTGTGTGTATTCTTATACGTTTTCTGTAATTATGATATGGACAGGTACAGCGGGTGAACACGATCCATCTTTCCTTTGCTTATTCGTAGCTTAACCGACAAGAAGCGATTATCACACGCTTCACAGCGGGAAGGTTGAGTTTCCTCGGATTTTTCTGTGAAGTGCGTTGGAAGCATGCTAAACGCTCACATAAATCTTGGTAGGAAATTACCAGGACAAACCATCTATACCCAAACCACAATGACTCCAGATCAAAGATATCTACGTGTATTACTTTGGGATGAAGAGCACGGAGTTGCCGGCCCGGGTCGCGATTGGTGCCACATTCGCAGAAGCGAAGGAAAACATGATTTGTTTAGCTTGCCATCATCACCGCACTTTCTGACGCAATTTATCTCTTGGGATACTCCGTTTAATAGTTCTAGGTCGTAGAGTCGGCAAAGGACATCAAGACTGACGAGAAATTTTCCAGGTGACTGCTAGCGCCCGGATTCGCATCTTGGAAAGGCACCTTATCATTCTGTTTTGCAACCAGCGGTTGTAGTAAAACAAAACCAGGATGTTGGTATGACCGAAGATACTACGAGAAGTTTGGAGTCTTGATAATGCCTTTAAGGTTTCGTTTCGGAAAGTGAAGGAAGCTCTGATAATGAGGAGCCGGGTACGCTCAGTGTGTCAGAGCCACGGAAGGGCATTGTCAACGCCAATACAGCCGATACAGTTCCCTCCTTTCAGAAGTCATCTAGATATGACGAGGTGAATGTTGTCATTCCTAGAATCTTTTTTCAAGCATAGCGCTGATCTCATGTACTAGCGTAGATCACCAGGAGTCAGTCATGTGTGACCATGCACTGAATAATCATAATGCAAGCCATGCAGGCCTTGTCCAGGGTACACTAACTTATGTTTTTTTTTCCTTCATTGCCAGTCCTTCGACGTCGACGCTGTGCCCATACGTAAACGGATAAGAAAAGGTGTACAACATACGTTCGTACTCCTTCAACTCTAGCTAACGGTCTTACGAAGGATGCCCTGAGGAGGGTACATGCTGAGGGCACGTTATCGTGGAAGAGGAGGAGTACATGAAGAGGAAGTCCCGAGATGAATATGGGAGAGACCCAGAGACATTTTACAAGTATTGGCCACAGGGATAGACGTAGTGTGGCATGGATGGCAGTATGACTTATGGGTGCTTATCACGGCACGGGTCCGTCACCTTGTACGTGCGATTTCTTTAAGTGAGTACCTCTGCTCTTCGTTTGCGTCTTTCAAGGGGACCTGATCCACGCTCGAAGGATTTTGCAGCCAGAGGAATAGCTACGATGATGAGAGTGTTCCTGGTTCTCGATGATCCTTGATAATACTGTCGTTTTCTATCGTGGTCATTGAAGTCTAATGATAATCATCTAAACGGTACACTGTGTCGTTGAAGACATATTCTCTAGGTTGCAAGTCCTGGGTTCTTCACAGCGAGGCTCTCTTCTTTGTCTCCTCCGCAATAAATCCGGCGACCATAGCACTGTTCACATATTCCGTATATGAAGTTATCTTAGGAAGTTCACCGCCTTTGGGAGCCGCAAACTTGAAGAGGAAGATGTACTCGTTGTGCCACTCCGTTCCGAGCTTGGAAACACTATCGGATTGAGCCTGTGGATCATGTCAGTCGGGATACCAAGGGAAGCCGCACAGAGCCTACATGTGCTACGATGGTGCCTTCTCCGGCCTCTATGACTTCATGTACTTTCAACTGAACAAGCCATTAGGTCAAAGAAAAAAGGATGACGATATGGAGACTCACAGACATGCCATTGAATGCTGGCAGCACGGATGCGAAGAAATACCCTTTAAACTGGGCCTTGTTCATAGATGGGACTGCCATCGCTTTAGGCAAGAGCGTAAACGTGAAGTTGTCGTCATCGAAAGTAGCTAGAAGCCTCTCGGCGTCAAAGGCATCAAAGGCATTGATGTACTCGGCAAATGCTTTGTGACTGGCAGAGGCGGTTGCGGGAGGTTCATATGCGACCATGGTGGGCGGTTACAGCAATAGCAAGGACCAAGATTCTGTTATAATACTGGAACCGAGTTCCTTGTCATCCGGTACCTCCAGTAATGCGGAGGCCGAGAAATGAAATTGGCCAGAATAACAAAAGAGACAGTCCGAGGAGCCAGGTAACAACAAGAGACAGCCTAAACGTTTGCTAAGCGATTGTTAAATTTTAAGAATTTCAGGAGAATGTTGACGCTCGGGCCGAATACTCCGAGTCTGTGGCGTGGGAACTTGACTCTTTGTTTCCTATACCCATGATATTGAGCCATCTTGCTCTCCGTATCCGACCTGTCCTCCAGCGCCGTTTCGCCAGCTCCAGTTCCTCCCCAGGCACCCACAAGCTATGCACTCTACGAGTCGATAATATCCCTCGGAACTATGATGTTACTCGCATTCTCAACTCCATCAAGGCCAACCCAGTAGAGAAGATTATCGTAGAGAATAAATGTCTCATCATCCGATTCCTTTCCTATCAGATGGCGATGCGCTGTGTCGAGGAAAACGATGGTGTCGATGACATGTCGCTACGGCTGATTGGCGCCATGTCTGACCGGTCGGCGTTCTTGGTCGCTGCAGTTGGATATGGAATATCACGGACGTGCACCGTTGAGAACATTCCACCGGGTATCAGGAAGGGAAATTTGAAAACTTTAATTACTCAAGACAAGCCTATGGAACACTGGCACTACGATAAGGGGAACTTTCGAGCTGAGATGCGCTTCATGGATCTCTATCATGCATGGCTTGTGTGTCATTTATCCCCTTTATGCTGACCCATTCATATCTTCCTCCTCACAGGCTAGCGCTGCCATCAACCAAAATTCCGTCCTCAAGCAGTGTCGGATAACCTACACCAACGAAAATGACATCTATATGTTTCCAGAGTGGTACGCGCCTCAGGAGGAGAATCAGTCGTACGTGAGGCGGATCGTCACCATATCTAACATCCAACCGGGGATGTACAAAACATGCTGGCAGTGGACCCAGGAATTCGACAAAATTTCTCCGACCTTGGTCTATAGTGGTTATTGGCCTGGCAATAGCGTAAGCACGCCCTCGTCGCATATACCTATGCGATATTCAGACTTCTCAGGAAATGTTGCTCACCTTCGCGACATCGGCATCCGCACAGCAGTTTGTGGACATGTTCCGGACATCGGCAGAGTCGCTACCCGTTCAACTTAAGGTGAAAGAGGACAAGCGAGATTCCATCAACCGCGGTTTAATCACAGCTCTCGGTCTTGGTGCCTCTCGAAAAATTGTGGTCGAAATGGATCAGGGTCACCTACGGGATTGGGACGAACACGTGAAAGCCTACGGAGCTGTAAGACGACTTTCGGCACATTGGTCGTACGTCTTTAGTTTGTTTGCTTCGGTGTACTGTCTGAAACAGAAACAGAGCTGTGTCATCTCGGGGCGAGGCGACCTACGAATTTGATAGTCTGTTCAAAGCAATGAGGGCTATCTTTGTTCTAGCGAAGGGCGGAAAACGCTTGCCTCAGTTTCGGGGCGTCCGGCTCAATTTTTATGGTGCCAAGCATCTAGATCCTGTCGAAATAATGTGTCGGCGGTGACAAACTGGCGACACAATTTATTTGAGGAGCGCTCTTGGAAATGTGATCGTCGAGACCCAGGCTTCACAGCTTTGTGGGTGAAACAATTAATTAATGGACGTGATGCTTACCTCTTGGTTGATAGAAATTGACAGCTTCGTTGCGAGGAAGGTCAGGTTACAGTTGCCACTAAGTGTCCTCGCCTTGCAGGATATACAACATGTTTGATATACTTGCAAAAGAGAGAAATGCAAGTATATATTGTCTTCTGTCTGAAATAAGGCATGATGTTTTGAAGCAGACTTCTCAGACTCACAAACCGAAGACGGTACTAATCGATACCTCCATGGCATGAAAGCAGGGAATTGCACACTACTTGGAAATCTGCCACCTCTCTCTGAAACAGATCCTGGCCTAGTGTATGGATTTAGCGATGTCAGATTCCTGACAAAGCCGCCGCAAAGTAGGCTCACTCTGCAGACAATCAAGTCTTATGCTATTCTGATCTACCCTGGTGGGTAGTATGGGGGATTTATTGATTTCCTGTTTCTCATCTGTAGGTCTTTCAAGTTCCACAGTGGCTTGTGTTGCTCGGCTTGGGGGTTGATAGTAACTGACCAGTGACTAGATGGTAGTGAAAGTCTAGTTTCAGTGCAGGTAGCTGTATCCTTGTATCCGGCGCGCCTGATGATACCGTACCGTGTAATGATGAGATGAGTGAGATAAATAATGATACTATATTTAACGCAATGTATAATGAATTCTTGTTACATAAACATGCCAGCATGGGACTGGTGCTGGACATACTAAGTATTAAGTTCGGTGGCTGGACAATCGCGATTAGAGCCAAAGCCAAGAGCGTATCTTCTCGTATAGTTGAATGACAACATTACGGGGTATGGCGGTGAGTTTCTCATATGACAAGACTTCTTTCAGTGTTTGCATACTAATGGCTAACCATTGAGGAAGCTAGGAATAAACTGAACAAATGAAACATAGTGACAAAGGAGGAAAAGGCTCACTCGTGCATGTTTTTCCAAAGGCTCTATCGGAACAGGGGGCGGCTCGGGGGAATTGGGAGAAGGGATAGAGACTCGAGGCGGAAAAGAATGTACACTTGGGGAAGGAGGTACAGATGGCACACTCCTTGTCTCATGCTGGTTTGCTTCTGGTGTGTTCGAAACCACAGGTTCGACGGGTTGATTCGCCACAGATTGGGCCCGTCTCTGCACGACAGGTATAGTCGTCGAAGCCCATGATCCGGTAAGATCAGGGGAGGACGAGGCAGGAGATTCGCCACGGCGTGTCCCCAAATCTGAGAAAGGGGATGATTGCGAGATACTTCCGAGATCCACTGGCTTCGCGGTTACAAACACCTTGAAGAAGCAGACATCCACGTCTTGGCCGTCTGGCACAGTAAACGTGAATGGATTCATACCGCCGTTCCCGTAGCCAAGAGTCAATGTTGACCCCTTCTGAAGACAAGTGTCAACGGATCCCTGCTCCTCCTTATTGCTACTAGGGCTCATTTTTGAGGAGTACCAAGCATCTAAATGATTCCAAATGGAAGTCAGCCATAGCGTGGTGGGTATGTATGAAACACGAACACACCTATCTCAAAGCTGGTAGCGTCAAAGTAGAAGAGATACACATAGAGATCGATATCGGATACGTTACGGATTGTGAACGCATAGCTAGGACGTCGATTCCAGGGGAGAGATGGGTCTACGACGAACTCAATGGGCTTTTCGTCTTCAATATCAGACAGCAAATTGTCTCCAACTGGAGTCAGACTGTGACCAATACGCTCCAGTTTATTTATTTCGATGGAAATGAACTGGGCTACAGGCAACGGACTTTGAAGTGTAAGTTGAGTGGTGAAGCGGGCAAAGCGACTAATGATGCTTCGAATATGCGCAATATTGTTGACCTGAGAGGCACGAGGGAACCGCGAAGCAAAGCCAATGCTCGGACTGAAGAGATCGATTCTGTTTCCTCGGTCGAAAAAGACGACTTCGTCTTTCACCCTCAGACAGAGATCTGCCTCGTCTGGGGTTCTGACGGCAATGACGGGGACTGTAATCCTCGGTTCACAATCCTTACTGAGGATCTGGGTCAAAAAGTTCGAGTCATTGCAATAGGTGCCAAAGTGGGCGCCGGAAGCTTTCAGTAATCGCGCGTACCAGACGCGACGATTCTTACTAGAAGTCAGGAACGCGGGGTCCTGAGGCACGAGGAGGGAAATGAATGTCTCTACTTTGTCGACAGTAGCAGTCGTAAGTGAATGCTGCAATTCAGAGAGGTCTGTTCTGAATATTTCAAAGGTAGAACCGACAGTTATGCCGTGAAGCAGTCCGGCGTGGAGCATGAGATGAAGTTTCCCGTGCTCATGGCGGCAAAGAATCATGGAACTATCAGCTGGTTCTTCCCAAGAGTCGAACAGACGTCGAAGGGTATGTCTCCCTTCTAGATGCGGTGTTTGACTATGAGTTATTCAGCGCAAAGCGATACGATTAGGACCAACACTTACAACGTCGGCATAACCAGACGATGCATCAATGACCTGTACGTCAATTCGCTGGCAGAGATTTTTGCCATGATCTTGAGCAATGCGCGAGTGAAGATGCCTTGACCGTCTACCTCCCAGGCCGATTGACGACGGTTGCATGCAGCCAACAGTACATGCGAGTCCCAAAGCGAACCTGAAAATCCTGACGTGATCTTGACCCCGGAAGATCCCCGAGACAGCATGGTAGTGTCACAATTGGCGGAAAGCTTTGGAGGGTTAGGGATCCGACGTGACTTTGCATTCAGTATATCGGCAGGTTGGGTTCCACGATTGATGCCAGCGGCATGACAGCAGTCGAGGATCAAGGTCTACACAGCCATGAATTCCATTGAGTTTTCTAGAGTTACGCCACTTACGATGTTATTCCCCTTGGCATTTGCCAACTCCAGTAGAAGCTCGCTAATCGTTCGATCCGGAATACCCTCTACGACGTTGTCATTGACGTCCCGAATCCCAATATCCGTGGGACAAAGCATTTCTATTTCGTTGTCATAAGTTTGCCAATCCGTCCATTCATCTGGCTTGGGAGCCACCGCGCCATGCCCGGAATAGTATATGATAATGGCAGCCATTCCTTGCGTAATTCTCGGATTGCATATAAGACTTCTGAATCCGCTGATGATAGCTTCTCTTGTTGCCTGTCCATTGCGGAGGCTGATGATGTTTTTCTTTGGGGTTTGCAAATCTTCAAGAAGATAATTCTCAAATCGGTCTGCATCAGCGACGGCTGCCAGTAGATTCTCGTACTCTCCGTACTCGTATTCGTTGATGCCGATGACCAAAGCGAAAGTGCCGCGAGTATCTCTATAACTTGAATGATCAGTCAGCCGTGGCCCCAGCGTTACAGTACTAACGGCGTAGACTCGGAAGATTCACCGCTCAATATTGTTCTTTTTGCTATCCAAGCATTTGCATTTGGCACATCTACCGCTCAATATTGATTATAACATCAAAGTAAGAAGAGAGTTCTTACCAAGTTTACTGACTGAGAGCAGATTGTTCTCCATGGCATAATTCGCAAATCGTACGTCAAGTGGATCTTGTCCCTGCAGGAAATGCTATGTTAGCCTAACCTACAGTCTAGAATACGAAAATTGTCGACTTACATCCTTCACCATACCCATCCAATGCCCGTCATGAGTGAGTGCGACTTGTGCACCAGAGAACTGTGAAACAGAGGAAAGGTGTGAATCAATGGCACGACTTCAGGGTAATACCTACATGTTCCAATATGTAATTGTTTATCAGGGCTGACGGATTGATAGTCTAGTATGTACTCGTTAGAACCCAAAAGGTATTAAATGGAGCACTGACGTTCACCTTGTATTGCTTGGAGGATATCTGAACAGAGGTATTCGTCGGTCTGCTGACGTGGGAGTAAGGGATGTCCAAATTCGAATCGTCGTTGGGTTTGTTAACGCCACGATTGACAGTCTGTCGCCGTCTCTGGGAATCTTTGGTAATTCGCCTAGAAGTCATTACCGGTCCGATACCCATGCTTTGAAATGATGGATCTGGACGAACGGAAATCGAATATCCGCGCAGGAAAATCGTCTGGCTCGCTGGAATTCCGGGAGTGCCATCACAATGACTCTGTGCATGGAGATCTTGTTGTACGTCCCAACTGTACATCGGACCCTCCAATCCTGTACCCCCGGCCGAAAACTTCAGTGAAATAGAAGACGAATCTGTTGGACGCGAATAACAAGCATTTCCCCAAGAACGGCACTTGTCGAATCCTGTCACAAGATACAGCATGCCATTACGGATTTGCCGGTGCTGTACGGGGCCGTTGAGATATTTGTACCAGCTATGGGCATTGGCAGCTGCGTATTCTTGGAGAAGATGAAGAAAGGTGGAATCGTATCGCTCGCCGCCATCAGGAAGAACAAGAATAGCGGCTTGAGCAGCCGAACACGTAAATTCATATCCACGTCCGGCCTCAAATTTTACACGAATACTGTAAAATATCTGTCAGTAGGAGTAGCGGATCATTTAGCACCTGCAAGTGAAAACGTACGGTGTCTGGTCAAGTCGGGTCAACGGGTTACCCCCAGAAGAAGCGGTGAGTACTGTATTTTTCTCGTGCATCTTTAGTCGTTTCTCTATAGCAGTCTCTGGGATATCGGTCAGCGGTACGAAGTTGGGAGGAACTCTGCCGGAATTGGAGGGATCGCTTGCATCCGTGCACACATTGAAGAGATATACAAAACCACCCTCATCAGTGAGATACCCAAGGTCGCCAACTCGGGTCCCATCTTTTGAATAAGTAGGAGGAAGGTTAGGATTGTAGTCTGGAAGCCAAAGCGGATAACCACAGCCGAGAGTGGACATCACTTGGACGTAGATGTTCTGATCACTTGCCATGGTGGATGACTGAGGGAAGGATGATTCTACCCGTACAAATGCCTTTAAGCTGCAGCGAGCGTCAGGCATATATCGATCAGCTGCAGGCTTTTTCCACGTGGTTGATGTCTGTGAGTTTTAATGTGAGCATAGAACTGTATTCAGTGACGAGCTGTATCCTGTGTCAACCTTCATTAATGCCCTATTATTGGGCAGGACCGACAACGACAAGTCCCGAATTATTGAATGCAGCGGCTGCGTAACAGGGCAAGTAGAACATGCACCATGAAAGCGACCACCGCATTCAACCTCACGTTTCAAGCCAAGAAGATCGGTTGAAATGCATACGAAAGACTAACATCCACACGATACACCATCCAACCAACCCACGAGACTCTGAAGAAACCTTTCAGTTTGCTTTCAAGTTCAGCTGTCCTCAAATACGGAGGGTTTCAAACAGAGAGAGCTCTGGAACGCGCGGTACCAACACCACAACGAAACGAAACACTGCCAGTGGAAAAAGTGCCTCGGCTGCACGGATGAAACGAGGCGTGCGATTCCAGCACGCTGGTCCGTAGTAACGGACCTCGAAATGTAGGGAGGAGGTCTTCTATTGTACTTCCTGCAGAGTCAATGTGACACTAACTCGTGCGCCAAGGCAAAATCCGAACGAATTTCGTCGTTCTCCGGTTTCTGTGATTGAAATATCAGAACGGACTCGGCGTACTTATAAGAATCTCAGTCTTCAGCAACCTATTGAATGTTCGGATGGGTTCTTTGTCGTTTCCAGTACCTAGGACATTAGGGCTGATCGGTTTGTTGTTTTTATCGAGTCTATTTAGCTCAACGGAGATGAACTTGGTTATGGAAGACAGGCTTGTCGTTTTAAGGTGGGCGGTGAAATGAGCATGGTGGTTTATAATGTCCCGGATTCCTGCAACGTCATCAACACTGCATTCATAAGGACTATGTGAAAGAAGGCCAGTCCTTTCTGTACTCAGGAGAGAATTTCGGTTCCCCCGACCAAAGAAAACTTTCTCCCCGACGGCGAAGCAAAGATCCGCATCATCTGGTTCTGCAGCGGCGATGGAAGCAAGCAAGAGCTCTGGCCCACGAGTATCGTCGGGAACACCGGCGAGGAAGCCTGGGTCGTTGCAATAGATAGCAAGATCGGACTTGCCGCAAAGTTTCACCAATTGGGCTTACCAACCACGTTGTTTATCGGAAGAGAAGTGATCATGAGCTGACTGAGGACTGAGGTGGGATTCAACGGTCCCTCCTTCTGTCGTAACTGCAGTCATGCATGGAGCCAAATCGAATATTTGATCCGTCTTATAAATATGAAAGATAGAACCGGGAGTGATGCCATGAAGAGATCCGGCATGTAAAGCAAGAAGGAATTGTCCATCTTCGCAACAACACGCAATCCTAGGACTATCTGCAGTATCCTTCCAAAGGGTAAACATGCTTCGATGGATATGCTTCCCTTCCAGTTGCGGCCTTTGGCTATGCAGATCGTTCAACATAGATTGAAGTCAGGTAAAACAAATATACGAGCAGCGTGATGTTGTAGGTCAGTTCGCCGACAGATTTTTCCCATGACCTTGAACAGCGCTCCAGTGAAAACGCCTGCCCCATCTACTTCTAAAGCAGTCTCAAGACTGCACGCTGCCAGTAGAACATGCGAATCCAAAGGAGTGCCTGAGAACCCTGATTCGGAGGCGGCTGCCACTACCTGGGACTCTTTAGGCAACCAAAGATCGGAGTCGCAACCTGGAGAAATCTCAGGGGGTCGAGAAGCCTAAGTCTCCACGGTTGGCGCCAGCAGAGTGACAGCAATCGAGGATCAATGTCTGGAAAGAAAGGATATTAATGTCAAGCACATATTTCGGGAGGTGTGACAGACTACGTTATTTCCTTTGGCCTTTGATATTGAACTCAGAAGTTAGCTAATAGTTCGATCCAGAATACCTTCTTTGACCTTTTCTCCATCTGGAAGCGCCATATCGGCGGGACAGGGTATTTCAATTCTGTTGTCGGCACTTTCTCAATTCGACCATTCCTTTGGCTTATCCACTACCGCTCCGTGTCCCCAAAGTATATGATAATTATCGCATTGCCTTGGATTATTCTCCTATTGTCTCTGAGGCCTCTGAAACCTTGGATGATAGCCATTCTTGTTGCCTCCTCATCACGAAGATTATTAATATTTCTTCCAGAACTCGTACAACCTTGAGAAGGTATTGTTTGAATTGGTCGACGTCATTGGCTGCACCTTTCAAATTTTCAAATTTTGTATTACTGTTGATACCGATGACCAAGGCGAAAATATTGCTGAGTTGCTTATCTATTGCTGAGTAGCTAGTCGACATCTATAAAAGGCGCAAACTCCTACGGACTTTGACTTTGAGGAAGGTGCATCTCGTCCTAGAATTTCTCGTTTGTGACCCGTGCGTTTCTCGTTTCCGAATCTGATAGAGCTGTCAGTGATGAAGGAAGAAAATAAAAACCAGGGACACCTTACGACGTAGGTCATGATACCAATCATGACCAACCAACTTCGCCCTAGAACCTTGTTCCTAACGGGACAGTCACTGAGTGTAACAGAAGTACAGGAAATTAGTGAGCATACAGCAACTTCTACTCGCTGTCTGACAGGCTGATGCAAGACGACAAGGGATCAACGAATTTAGGCTATTATGAAGCCTCCAAGGGACTTACCGTCTTTTCGCTCATCAAAGCGGACATTATATTTATGATCTGGCCTGGGTTACGGGTCGAATTAGCACTTTATGAGAACATACGGTGTTATGGCCCAGGGAGCCTAGGATTTGGATGCAAACGATTCGACCAACGTCGAAAATGATGATCTGGGCCTCAGAATTGCGCTCTAATATCGCTCGATAATTGTGCTAACTGTGACCCCGAGGCTTTTGGTATTCACCTGTGACTTGTATGATCGTAGCCGAGAGTCAGTAGGCGCGAGTCGGCTTGATTGCAATAAGGAGCGAGCACGGATGAAGCAATTTGAGAAGGGATAGATTCGCCCAGCGGCTGGACATATGTATCAGAATGACAAGCGATTGAAATATAATGGTGGTTGCTAATTTGGCAGTTGTCTGTACAAGTATAGAACAGTGACCACCAACAGCCATAATTGCGGGCGTTAAAATCCGGGGTAATTCATTCATTCATTTCTTAGACGCTGAGGGATGTCTTTAGCACGAAATCGGTGAAGGCTGACTGACAGAGATAGTATTACACAGATTATCACCAGTATTGACTTAGCTTTGTTTCTATTTTGAAGTAGTCGCTGCCTTTCCTTGATGATATATGAAAGGACTGGCTCGAGTAGGGCTGCTGTTCAGGTGGCTCGATGTTCAAAAAGCTCCCCTTCTTATCCGACGGCTGGACTGAAGAGACTACTTCTGCTACCCTGTTCAAGATAGACAGTCCCTTTCCAACATTAAGCAGAGGTCCGCCTGGTCTGGAGTTTCGGTGGCGTCGACGGGAACAGTAAGCTTGGCTTCACGTTCCTCCAAGGATATACAGGTCAATAAATCCGGAGGGTGGCAATAAGTAAGCAAGTAGGTCTGATCTAAGTCTCGCATCGGGACGTTGCACACCCCGATTGATACCTGCAGCGTGACAACAGTCGAGTACGACCGTCTGAAACGACGGCATCAACGTCGCGTATATGATACATTCAACATATGGAACATACAATATCATTACCCTTAGCCTCTGACAGTCGCAGGAGAGGTTGATTGATTGCTCAATCTGGAATCCCTTCTACGGCATTCTTGTCTTCGTCCAGGAGGCCCATATCGGCGAGACATAGTATCTCAGTTGTGTCGTCAGAGGCTTTCCAGTCAGTCTATTCGACTGCCTTATTAGCTACAGCTCCATACCCCACAAAGTATATCACGATAGTCGCCCTGCCATGGTCAATGTTTGGATTTTGAATGAGGCTCGTGAACCCGTCAATGGTAGCCGATCTTGTTGCCTGAAGGCTAATGATATTCTGTTTTGGTACTCGCAGGTCCTTACGGAGATATGCTTCGAATCTATCGGTGTCACTAGCGGCTCCTTGTAAATTTTCGTAACCCCAAGATTTGTATTAGCTGATACCCATGATTAGGGCGAAAATAGCATGAGTTTGCCTGGCATGAGAAATCTGCTGGCGCCTATATCAGAAAAGCTCGTTATCTTACGGAATAGATACGTCCTCGCCAGAAAACGCATCTTTTGTCTTTGTGAAGTTTACGAAATAAAAACGGGCCAATCGGAATTCACGGCCTGGAAGTGAATGTCAATAAATGGATGATCAGCGATACGACGCACAATGCCACTCATTGCAGTACATGCACGCTTTGCAACCGGAAAATTGTTTGATGTTGGCCACATCGCTTTCATTCTTGCAAACGGCACAGATTTCTCGTGGTGGAATGAGGCCATGACAGAGAGATAGTTGAGAGAAGATAAGGAATCGAGGGAGTAGGCGAACTGTAGTTATTTAAATGACTGCCTTTGCCCCTCTGGTGCGAAAATAAAGGGTCTTTGTTGGGTATTATATACGAGAATGCCGATCATCTCTCGAAGAGAACACAATTAGTCAAAATTCTTCAGTATTACGATAGTTCGTTGTCGGGCAAAGGTTCGATTATTGCATTTGCGTTTATGTTTTGGCCAATCGGTGGCACGCTGATAATCAATACCTGATACAAAAATCAGTGCCTTGACGCGTGAATGGCGCATAGACACACTTACTGCAATATCTCCGCATTTTACAGTCTGAGCATTGCTTGATATCACAATCCTTCCCTGCGATTTTCTGACAGATAGCGCAGGATGGCTTTGAGGACTCCATCGCGTTGGTGAAAGCAATTTGAAACTTGAAAGAATGCCCCTAATGGAAAAAATGTCGGGAACACATGACCAACGCGTGGCGATCAGCGCGCCGGGACCAGGACTGCGATTATTGTCCAACAAATGTGGGTCACACCAGACCTTTGCAAGTATAAAGGGTGGCATAAATGTCCGCTGGCATCGTTATCCCTTCCCACATCGTCAATTCTCCAACCCTTCTTTCCAGTGCTCGTTCTTCAAGATGGCATCCCATCTGCCTATATTGCCTCCCCACGGTCCACTGAACATGGAAAAACTAATTCACTTAGCTATTCCCAAGCCAAAGCCTGTGAGAGAGATCCAGAAAGCTGCCTCTGCCACCAAAACTACGAAGATCACCAAACACACCACTCCATCGACCGACTCGGATCCCCCTAGGCGCACTTCCTTGCAACGCAAAGAAAGCCGAGCCGAAAATGCTCAAGCTGCTCTTCACCGTCACCAGGTTCACGCCAGGACGAAAGCAGTCAAGTCGCGTCGTTCGGGAAAGCTACCTGCGAAGAACCCTCGCTTCCTGACTGGCAGGGACCCCATCCCATCAGAGATTTTCAAACCCAAAGATGATCGCACAGCACGCATTGCATCTTTGAACTCCAACCACATCTTCATCCTTGCAGCGCACAGGAATCAGCAAACGTTTGACAGAAACGCCGCAGAGAAGGCGGTGGCGAAACGCAACATCCAGATGGACGAGCACGACAAGAGTGCAGATTTGTTGAGGAAGCAACTCTATTCAGATGAGGAGGAATGGGGGAATGATGTCGAATATTGTGAACGTAAAGGAGGGGACTTTGCGGCGAGGTTGGTTGAGATGGAGGAGCGCTTGAGGCTCATGGAGCAAGAGGGATACTTCAGTCAGGCCAAGATGCAAGAAAGAGCTCGTCCTCAAGACCCTTCGTCCTGCAGGTATCCGGAACCCATCACTTTTGTGAGTATTGTCTAGTCCCATGACGCGGTCGGCGCTGATTCGGTGTGTTAGTTTGGCACTACGGAGAGCAAAACCTCAGGTCTCGACTACATCGCCCTCTTCAGCGAAGTCACGGAAACCGTCCTAAAGCTCAAAAGCGAGTGCCAGGACAGAGGTGCAACGGAGCTCGATGGGTCCGATGCTACTCGTTGGGCAAAATTCCAATTCGACTTGCTCCAAACTGAAGCATTGGCCAGAGGAGGGTCACTTACCGCCGCACTTCATACTCAATACGAGTTGAAATGGAATTTTCTCAAAGCTGAAAGCCAGCGGCCAACGGCGCCAACCAGCCGCGGCACTACACTCTGCACATTCCCCTGGCCGTGCCTGGATTTTGTCACCACAGTGGAGGATCTTACAGACGAGAGAGTCCACGACTTCTTGTTGGACCCCGTTAGGCCCCTTGCGCCCGTGAACAGCCACATATATATCCTCAAGAAGGAGCTTTTAAGGTGGCATCCGGATAACTTTTCTGATACTCTTGACCTGGTGAGCGACGGGCACAGGAAGAGCATTCAGAAAGGAGCTGAGATAGTCATAAAGCTGATATTGGATTTGTTGGAGGCGTATGCTTGATCTTCAGGCTTTTGATATTCTTTACTTCGTCAATCACCTTGTCTAGAAATGTTATTCAGGTGTGAGTCTTCTGAGCGAATAAGATAGATTTTCTCTCATACTGTGACCGCGCGCCTGGCGAGCCATCCATCGTAGACACGAGGCAGAGGCGCATCACTGGCGGCTTCCTCCGTTCGCGCCGTCGTCTTTCTCGAACTCCGCAGACTCTGACTGACCATTCCCTGCGACCAAACTCCGGTTGTATATCTGAGAGACTTCTACCTCAAAGTCTTTTGCTATTGGATAACCTTGTTCCTGCATCTCTTTCATGGCAATATCATATCGATAATCTCCGCGAGATGCACACGTCACGATGATGGCCTCGTATGTCTCCTGAATGGGCTTGAAACCTGCGGCCTTCATTTCCTCCAAGTGGAAGAACGCGTCGTCATACACCTCTTGCGTTAGGCAAAGCTCTATCATTTGCCTGAATGTCGTTGCGTCTGGCGGGATATCCAGCTCTTTCATACCCTGTAGCATGATGTGACCGAGTTGTAAATGCCGCGCTACTATGCTACCATCGAGGAGAGTTCGGAAAGTGTCTCGGTCGGGGACGACGCTGTAATCGGAGAAACTTTTGTATGTGCCAACTGCGCGCTGGAGGTCTCCTAGCGTGACTGCAGCTTCAATGATAGCGTTCAAAGCAACGACGTCTATGGTGGCCTTTTCGGCCTGTAGCTCGTCGAGAATGGGCCAAACTGAATCTAGCGCGTCTACGTCTTTTGATATTATACGGAATATCGGGAGGGCCGTCGAAGGCAATGGGAGTATGTTATTGGAGCGCATGACATTCAAGGACAAGATAGCCTCTTTTAGACGGCCAGCACGACAAAGGGCCTCGACCAAGGGTGCGACATGATATTCTTGCCATCGAACTCCGGCAACCTTTAGAGCGCCCAGGACTGTTGTGGCCAAGTCGGACAGACCGTGCCGGGCTGCTGTTGTGAGCACTGCAAGACAAAGACCTTCATCCGGGTTGATATTGAATCGTTTTACGACAATGTCCCAACACTGCAGCACCCCTTCGTCCTATTGACCATGAATCAAAGAAAACCGATGCATCGCGTAACTCACCCAAACGGCCTCTGCAGAGGCAATCAAACAGCTAAGCCATGGCTCGGGGCCAAGTCTTCGGATGGAAGTTGCCTCGAAGTCGGTTGCAAGGTCCACTGCCAACCTGCTGTACCCCTGCTCAGCTACGACGACGACGACATCCTGGACCGTTTGAAGTGACGGTTCAAAACCGGCCAGCTTCATTTCATGCAGGAATTGTAACCCAATTTCCACATTTTTACTGGCCGTGAAGAATTGAATAATCAATTGGTAGGTTTCGCCATTGGGGCGTATACCTTTCTGGGCCATCAGCTCGAGGATGTACCAAACCTGTGTGGTCGTTTTGTCCTTGACAGCCTAAAGATTCGGTGAGCAAGGGAAAAATAGACGGCACACCGGCTTACGAAAATGAGGTGATTGAAGGTAGCGATGTTAGGTTCTACCCCGCACGACACCATGTCTTCGTATACTGCAAACGCATCCAATGAGTTTGAACCATACGCAATTGCCAATAACAAAGAATTGTAGGTCGTTGTATCTGGGGAAATACCGTTTTTCTTCATGTTCGTCGCTACTTCGAAGGCTGATCGTATATCGCGCCGTTTAAAAGCATCCTGTATTGCTGTATTACACCGGGCGAGGCTAGTTCCATGTCGGGATTGTTGAAAGACTGTGTCGGGCTCAAATTTCCAGGGCGTACTGTGCAGTTCTATAGACGAAGAGGGATCTGCTGGTTGCGTAGCAGTGGAAGCAGGTCTCCTGGGACATCCTGTAAAAATTTTAAGGTAGAGGTATGTAAAAATGCGCAGACACATACGGGGCCCCACGACAGAGGTATATTGAAAGTTTTTCTTCAAGAGATAGGAATGGCCGCGTTTTAGCGACGACCGTGAAGAAGAGAGCATTGACGTGCCGGCTCGAGGTTGTGCCGTCGGAGAGGCAGGGAAATTGATGCCAAAAACAAAGGCAAATAGTCGCGTGACAAAGGGCGCGCAACGCGTTACATAATAAACCGTCGGCCTGTCCAGTTTGTCGTCAATCGGTTGCATGGTGTCCCGGACCGGTATCAGCACGTGAAAACTAGACTTTTACTTAACGACGACGACGACGACGATTCGGTGTCCCCAATGGCTTCCTTGGCTTCCCAGCCCTACGTTTTCGATCCTAGGCCCAACTACCCACTGGTATCAACACTCAAGCGATACTGGAAACCCTCGTCGCCATATCTTGAGGACGAGGATGCTCTGACATTGATATTTGCTCATGGATCCGGATTTCACAAAGAACAATGGGAACCTACTATTGAGGATTTGTTCTCCTTTATTGAAGTACATGGTGGCCTTAACATCCGTGAAGTTTGGTCGATAGACGCGTCCAACCACGGCGATGCTGCTATATTGAATGAAGAAGTTCTGCGGTGGGGTTACGAAGAGACATGTACGCGTAAATTATTTCATCTTCTTCAAGTGACGCAGACGCGTGGCAGTTCGATGGGAAGAATATGCTCGCAGTTTACACGCTCTATTAATGGGATTGGGCACCGGTGTCGACGTAGACTTTACCAGTCGTCGTCTTGTGGGTATAGGACATTCAATGGGAGCTGTATCTCTGTAGGATGCCTCATTGTAGCTGGATTCACTGTTTCTGATGATATAATTACAGACTTTTGTCCATGACGTTCAATCCTCGTCCCACCTTCGAATCTCTAATTCTGGTTGAGCTGATGACCATGAACCAAGATCATAGCTATGCTCCCGGAACGTACCTCTTGAATGCCTCCCAAAATCGTAGGGACATATGGCCGTCAAAGGAGGAAGCCTATATCATTATGAAAAGCCGAAAAGGGTTGCAAGCATGGGATGATCGAGTGTTAAGACTTTTTGTGGTACGTACGTGCAGCATGAACATAATAATGAAGTAGTCAACTTATTGGTCAAAGGAACATGGGCTTCGACCGCTGCCTACGATTGACTACCCAGACCAGGTAAACGGTGTTACTCTGAAATGCTCTCGAAAGCAGGAGACTGTACGTTTAGCCTCGTTACCAAGAATTTCATGAATACTGGACCTGCAAGTAGGCCTGTTACCGCGACAATTTAGGTTTTTCGCGTGCCTACCGTGGCATGGCGTATTTCGTCAAGCTGCTACCTATACACCTAATCTACGGTGCTATTGATGACATCCTGTACGCATTACGGCACTTCTTCGTCTTCATCATCATGACACACTTTCAAGGCCGCCCAAAGTTAAAGACGATGTAATTAACAACGCATGTGGGGGAATCGAGAACTTGGGATCTGTTTCCCGAGTCGAGGGTGGAGGTCATTTGGTAGGTATCCATTCTGAGGCTCGTCGAGGTGCCTCAAGCTTCCTTAGGTTGTTCAGGTGAACCCTAAAGGTTTGGCAGAGAAGATTTGGGCAGCATTGACGTCCTCATCGAAAACTGCAGCTCACGCCAAATTATGACGTGCAACTTGTAGTCTGAATCTTGGCTTTCCACCAATTGTTCTAGAAATATTCGAATACTTTGAGCACTGTCGAAGTCCATCGATATAAATGGCAGGTCGGAGAAAATCTTGTAAGATACCAGGTATAGTTGTGTACCCACTAGATATAGAACAAGTTTCATCGGAGCATAGCAGCGCTATGATAATGTCCGAGATCAAAGTGCGACAACCAAGGCGCGATTCCAGCCCTTTTTGACATTCTGCCACCGTCCTAACCTGTGTTCCCTTCCCATGCCTGCGACTAGCAAATATCGACCGGCATCCCTCCGCTTTGATACGTCAGAGCCAGATTGCCCCTCTTTCGTCCATGCTGCCGCATCAAAGAAACTTTGCGGGGGAGAGATGAACTGCAGAGAGTTGACGATGCCAAACGCGGGTATTGTGCCCACTAGAGAAAAGGACTTCAATTTGGAGTCCAGTTTCCACAGCCGTATGTCACCCTCCCATGAACCTGAGGTATGAAATGTGAGTGTCACGAAGACGGAATGGAAAGGTACAGACCAGATGCGAACAAATCGGAATATCGAAGACTGGCCAGAGCTGTTACCCACCGGGGTGTTTTGATAACGCCCTCGGTTTCAGAAGAAACTTCGTTGAAGCCGTGGCTCAAAGCTTGGGTGAACACTGGCTTCTTTTTCTGCGTCACCCATAGACATATAGATCTAACAACAGGTAATAAGCCTTCTTTTCGCTGCAATAATGAGAAAAGACGTGCCCACTGTCTCCACCACTGACGAACATGGATTCGTCGATCATCGCGATACATTCAAGGCGCCCTTCAACGAACTTCATCGTCACGTCCCGTTTTGGTTCAGGCTCGCCGTCGTCCTGATCAGCAAGACCACCTTCCAAAACATCTCGCACGCGACTACGCCCTCCGCCCCGAAACACGAGCTGCGTCTCTTCCACTATTTTCCAGTACCGCGCTGTCTTGTCTCGTGCACCCACACTGACACAGGTCTCCCCTCGTAGGGAATCGAGAGCAACGACATGATCCTGATGACCGAAAAGCGTCTCGACATAGCCCATAACTCCAGGGGATAAATCGAATACTTTTAGCGACCGGTCCAATGAACCTGTGTATAATTGATGCGTTCCTTTACGGAAAGATAAAGCCTATGGAAAAGTAGATTAGTCCGAGACGGAAGTCCACAGTAGAGAAGTAAAGAGTACCGATATTGTATCCTTGTGACACATTGGCCCAATGAAGCCTCTTATCCACTGTGCATTCTCGGCATCCCAAACTCCGAGTCTACGATCCTTTCCTCCACTGGCAAGGTACTTTCCGTCGTCACTTAGAGCTAACGTCAGAACTTCATCGGTATGACCCTTGACCTCCTCCCCACCAGATGTCTGCACTTTCCCCTTGCCCTTCGTCTGAACCCGTATTGAGTGGAACATTGCGGCCTTCTTTTTAGAGATCAGGTCCCATTTGGTTATGGTTCCATCCTTTTCCGATGTGAAGAGATATTGACCAGATTCTGCAGCCACAGCGCATGTAACGGAAGATTTGGATGTTTTGGTGCGAAACACAGTCCTGAGAGGTTCAGAAAAGTCAAACTTTGGGGGAATACGTCAGTCAAAACAGGTGATATGTTGTAACATAAAGTGTACGAACGGAATCTGCGATAAACAGATGTATTTTCCCCGAGTGCTCCAATACGTCCTGCTTCAGCCTGGCGGAAATGAGTTCCCGGTCGATTTCAGCCGCGTCAAATTCACCGTCGGCTATCCAAAATGTTCAGCAGCTTGTCCCGTAAAGTTGGAAATAAAGACACGCACCTAGTTTTAGCCCTTCCTTGACACCGTCGATATACAACTGAGCCAGTCTCAATCGTTTCTCTGCTGGTGTCTCATTGGGATCCTCTTCCCCACTGACCTCCTCATCGTTGCTCTGTGTCCTAAGGTCCATATCATCTATGTCTCCCGCGTCGTCATCGGTATGGTCAGAATCCAACTCCTCGTCAGCGGTCTTCCTCTTCTTCTGGACACCATTGGGCTTAGAGCCTTGGAATCTAATACCGTTTTGTTGTGCGCCCTTACGCGGGACTTTTTTGGAGTTACTGGGCCCTGCATCATTTGTGCGCTTCCTTTTTCGAGGTTTGGACGATGTGAAGAAAGAATCAGGCATGAGATGGACGTAGGACCTGGAGTGCAAAAAACTGCTGCACAGATTAGGAAGGAGCTATTAATTAATTATTTATTCCGTTATTATTTGCTAGCGACGCTAGAATCCGCTCTGGAGAAGACAAGATCACACACCCTTCAAATTCAAATTTGTCATTATGACGAGAACGTGGGAGGTATTGTGATTTGTGTTAGGCTGTTGATCACTGGGCAGACAAACTCACGAAGAGCTTCCTCTACCTGTGCCATGTATTTATACTGTTTTCTACCTAATCTGGTACTTCCTCCCCATTTCCTCCCTCATGTCAGCATGCCGAGACATGCCGCATCACCAGAATATCGCAACAGGAAGGCTGTACCAACTAGAAGACAGAGACCTTCTGCCGACTGGCATCACAACAGCATACGCAGTCGCGAGAAGAGGGACACAGCACTGCCATCCTACCCCAGATATCAGTTTCATGACATAACGTTCTTGCTTTTGACCACAAGCTGTACCACAAAAACAGCGAGCACTAGGAGCAGCAGCCAGCTGGGTATGTATCGTATTCTTCGTCTTTGAAGCAAGTATCGACCACGATGCTCACAGGAGATGGCGCCTTCCCGCCCATTGTCCTGGCCTCAAGGCCATCTTGAAGAGGACTTTGACCTACCACCGTCTTACGAATCCGTGCTGAATGCAGACTTTGGTGAATCGCCAGCGCTAGCGCTGGTGCAACATCGAGATGCGCCTCTCCCGCCTCTACCACCCGCCGAGCCGAACCCATCCGAGCCGGCACCATCACAGCCGACACCTCCCCAGCCGGCATTACCTGATTTGAGTGAACCAATCACTTACCCGCCAAGTCCTCGCCCGCGACTTGATCGTCGGGCCGATGCAGCCAACAGCCGACAGTCAACACCTTCCCAGTCGGCATTACTTGATTCGAGTAAACCAGTCATACGCCCGCCGATTTCCCGCCCCCGACGCGATCGTCAGGCCGAATCAGCCAATCGTGAAACTCCCCGGCCTCCGCCAATCCATCCTCGTCGACGTAGCACGCGAAGCCCACAAATACCCGAACCTATTCGTGAGCGACGGCGGAGGCGAAGTGCCCGCCCTACGCAACGATCTATCACCGAGCCCATATCCCAGACAGCCCCCGCCAATCCTGGCAGATCCAGCGCAGTGCCACAACTTTCGACCTTTGCATCTCAGCCTGACCTGCCCTCACCTCTTCTGCGTACCTCCACTGAGCTCCTACTTCGCGCCCGAAAACGCCAATCCAGTTTTTTCGCGTCCAAGTCCAAGACGGGACGGGAGCTTCGTGAGGCCATCAAGGAGATCATTCCGCAGCTTATCGACGGAGAAGAAGGTGTGCTAACCGTACTGAAAGATGCGTGCCAGTGTACCGGCGGTAAACTTGATCTTGGCAGTGTCTTGAGAGACCGGACTGGAAAGGTCCGCGTCGGTAGTCTCAGCAAGAATGCTTCTACCGCGTCGTTGAGAAGAGACGATTCAAATCGGTGCTTGCTATTCGCTGCTGTGAAGAATGTAAGTGGCGGTGGGATCTTGAGGGTTTTGCTCTCGTATGCAGCCCCTATACCCCTTAATTCACCCACCATGGAAGATATCAGGCTTGCTTGTCTCCTTCGTGGAGAGGGCAATGCCTTCTTTCAGAAAATTCGTGGGTGGATAGGGTTAAAGCCGCTAGTCAATGTCATTGAAGAAGGCGATGCAGAGGGTTTCCGAGCTCAGTTCGATTGGGACGGTCAAAATGTCGAATTCATTGCGCGAGGCCGGATTTGGTCTATCTCATACCAGAGTCAACCAGTACCCAGGGTGGTCCTGTCGCTCTTATCAGAATCCCCGCCGACGTGGGTCGATGCTCGTCTTGTCACTCCCAAGACAGAAATATTGCTGCGGTCAACAACACAGCTAATCCCTGACCGTTGTCGTCGTGGTAAGGATCTGAGTGTTCCGTGGACGGGCAATCTTGGCCGAGGGAGATGTCAAATGGAGGCGAAGCTGGAAAAGCCTCGGGACGATGGATGGTGTGTCGTATGCTAGCCGCGACTGAACTCAAATCGCGATGGACGTAATATTAAACCGGTTACAGACTTGATTGAACTTTCACTTTTTGTTCATCTGCCAGGTTCGTCGTACACTCCCGCGGGTCACAACGACCCACGAGGTATACTCGTTCTGACGGAGTCTTTCAAATTATGGACTAGTAGGGCGAGCGTTACAGAAGTACAAATTGTTCTATAGCAATACCGTGATCAAGGGATCTTTATGAGAAGCGTACATATATTATTGGTCGTAACAGAACGTAGGCAACTGTTCATATCCCCCGCCTAGGAAATATCAGGTAAGAGTTAGGAATGGTGTTGGCCATGGGCATCCTGTAGGACAAGTCCGGAGTTCCAGCGCAAAATGGAGTGTTTAAGAAGCTAGGGACATGGTACGATGGAACATGAGCGGCAGGGCGCTGGGATAGACCTACGCCCAGCGACGATGTAAGAGAATATTTAACTTGTTAGGGAGACATCCACGCACGACGAAGAACATTATTTGTCCTGGAATAGGATGCCTCTCTGGATAGTCTGGAGGCATCTTCATGCAGAACCTGGCTCGGCCGTGCATTCATTATTACATCCAGTGCCGGATCTTCCAAAGTAGAACGTCTTGGCCATAACTCTTCCAGATCGCTCTCTGGGCTTTCTGACCATTCAGATTGCGCAGGACCGTCTTTAACACTACCAACAGCGGAGCCGTTGGGTTGGAGTCGTTGCCGTCTACGAGTAGACTTGCGACGGTAGACATAATGAGGATACTTGTTCTTGAACTCTGCCTTCAGTTTTTTAGCCTGGTCTTGGTACCATTTTTTGTCTCTCTGAACAGACAGGTTATTAACCAAACTACCCAAGATTATATGTAAAATAACCAACAAAGTGCATTGTGGCCCATTCTTTGCTCAGGATCTTGCTGACGTCTCCAGTCCGTAGAGCATGGTTTTCCGCAGAGATCTGTGGACGTCGCAGACGAGCAAAAATCATGAACGCATTCATTGGTCGCTTCGGCGTTCCGTCAGCATTGAGGGTTTGAGCTCTCAAGGCTTCGCCTGGAATTAAGTGTCAGATACCCGTATTTCTACAGACGAGACTATGGGAACGTACAATCAACAAATTCTCCATAATCAGGAAATAGATTGGTATGGTCGGAAGCTTCTGGTGTCAAGGGAGAATTTGCATTTCCAGAGGTCCTCGTAGTGCTGATGTAGCTGGATTGAATGGTGTGGGGCATTCGAGAAGCAACGATGAATTGGCTGATAATGATGTGCCGATGATCAAATTGATCGAGCACCGCTGAGACGAAAGAAGGGAGGAGGCAAATAGCGACGGGGGAAGGGTCTGAACCTCGCCAGAAGATGTCTCGTCTTGGCTGAGTATTTTCAAGCGCGCTCCCGCTGTGGGACAAGAGGCTGTTGTTATGTTGGCGCTGTTACATATTCAATCCTTTCGCCTACACAGAGTAGCCAGGCATGCAGCACTGCCGAAATGAGTAGACCAGGGGCGGGCGAGGTTCCGAAAGGTATTCAGCAATTGGAGAATTGAGGCCTAGAAGAGCGGGCTTGAAGGTGAGGCCCGAACAGATGATCATTACCTCAGGTTAGCCTGCTAGGGAAAAAGGAATAGTGGCATGATATGATATAACATAACTGTACTATCTTTGCTGCGACCGTATGTCGGTTCATATAAGCAGTTCATATATAAAATGATTAGGTTGTGGGTGAGAGCCTGTTTGCGTCACTTGAAAGGCTTCTTTGATTTGCGTCGGGAGACCAAAGAGGACCAGAGTGCTTCGGAAGTAGTAGTCACTGAGAATACATGCGCGCAACGCAAGGAATATGTTCTGATTGATTCCCGCGGTAGCCACAGAAAAGCACCGAGATTGACATTAATCTCATAACAGTTCTTGTACTCTATTTGCCCTACAGAACGATTCAAATGGCTTGTGTTATCTCCTGGCGGGAACTTACTCACTTCTTTGTTTGAACCTTCTCTGAACCAGAGGGAAAAGAAGTAGGTTCTATCTGAAACATAACATCTCCTTAAGCCGTTCTGAACCGCGGTCCCGCTCCAGGCGGGTCCCGCCCTTAGGCTAATTGGACTCGGCGTAGATGCATGTCGCACCGACGTGCAGACAAGCTGCCCACTCGGAGGTCGAAGTATCATGGATAAGCGTTCGGACGCTTCGGCTGCCGGCTAGCAGAATGTTAAGGGCTGAGGCGCTAACTGACCCGGTGTGTTATCAAGCATTGACTCAAGCGAAAACACTTGTTCAACGGGCTCTACGACGTAGACGTTATAGTCCAAAATCAAGGCAGTGTGCATTGGTAATCTAAAAGAGAACTGATCAAATTAGATGAATATTACAAACAAGAAGCAGACCCACGACAGACTCCCCCGACGGAACCTACATGCATTATCCAGGCATTTGTATAAATGTGTGCTGAGATGAGGCGAGATATACCGCTTCGTAAAGATTTGTGTAGTGGATGCCGGCAAAGGAGTGGCGTTGAGATGTGTTGGATTATACATGTTCCCACCAAAAGGATTGGATTTGGTTGTCGCGCGTGCATTGGATATAAAAGCTTTCGTGGAAGAGAAATCAGAGAAATGTGTCTCGACTTCTTTTCCCATGCCTCCAGATAAGAAGTTTCGTCTAAAAGAATTTCCTGGGGTCCTTTCCAAGTGGTCAAGGTGATTCACAACTCTTTGGGCGATGCCGTATGAGGCGCTGCGGCTATGCTGCTCATCGTTCTCCAAAGTTCCATCATCCTGCGGTATTTACTGGCCTCCATTATGAGAAGGTGGACATCTTCGATTTGGAAAATAATGTGAAGCTCAGTCAAAGACGCATCTCCTTGCATGTTGCCCAGAGCGCGCGCTAACCATTCTAAGTCCGTGAAGACGTAGAATGCAGTCCATTGGCATCGATGTGAACTCGAAGAGTGACCTATTGATTGTCGCACAGGGCAGACCGGCTCATTCCGAGCCAAGTTGGAAGCCGGACTCCTCCGGGCCGAGTCAGACGCTGCATCTTTCATCTTTTATGATTTTGATCATCTTGGAACCGGCACCAGTTAGTAGGGTCAGGTTCAAATGCTGGCTGATACAGGAATGCGACACTTGAAGTCGAACTGGCGATTGGAACAGAAAACTGGAGACATCAAGAACTTCCCCGGGCCGCTGCTTGCTCTGGTACTATACGGGCGCTGAATATGAATACCGACAATGATGTCGCTACCAGCGTTTCTGAGGTAACTCAACTGTGTACTACTTTTCAGATGTTGTTTTTTTCATTCTTGATGCATCCTCGCACTGTAGGCCAAGGGGTCCCAACATCTTCCTCTGCGCGCTAATTTGTCATGATTGCTCTAGCTCGCATCCTAGTTGTCAAGTTTCAGGCTGATCTTTTCTACCAGCATTTTTAAAACAAATTTCTATAGCCTCCTTCTAGCCGCCTTGATAGAGTCGCTTTAGATGCTGTTAATGGATGTTTCCAGTGGCCTTACTGCCTCGCCCATGTGCACGCTCATCCGTCAGCCCTATTCTTCAACCGGCGCCCGGGTCTCCCGAGTAAATGGTCGGTACTCAGCAAGTCAGTGGATAATTCGATTCAACAAACTATTAATGACGAGAAGTAAAACCATCTTGTTTAGATTTCTCATAGCTGGCTGGTTGAAAAGTTCATTCTTTACTGACATTATACACAGAGGACTCTTATGCGGTTTTTCCGGCTTCCCCAGTTAGGGCACCTGGAATTTGTAGACTGGTAATTGTGGCTCAAGATCCGCGTCGTTCATCACCCTGGCACATTTGATCAAGAACTACGTCAGTCTCGCGCCTTACTTGTCGTGTTTAGGCGTAATAATTCAAGTCGGAAGAAACATGGGCCACCGGTACCGGGCCGTACTGACTCGTATGGACTTCGTAGAGACCCAGTGTACGTGCATAATCTATTTAAGGTTGACAATTCGTTACTCATCGACCGCTGAGAAGCGTTTCACCTTTACTCTGCTATATTTAACGACTCATTCCGTGTCATTCATAGCACTTGACAGCCCTATAAATATGGCCAGAGTCTATTCCGAGTCAAGGCATGATACAACCAAGAATACTGGTAGACTCCCGAAACGCCCGAAACGATGCGCGCTCTCGGTTACATGACTTCATGGTTGTGGAGCTAAAATTCGCAAACGAGGTTCGAACCCACAACAATTGATTATCACAACATCCGGGCTTATTGTTATTCTCATCGGTCGTCAGTTGCTGAGTTGAGATGTGTACTTCTGATGTCAGGAAGGTCATCGATAACAATATTGGGTCAGATTTCCAAGAATCTTGAACGTTAGATGCAAGAGGTAAGGATACTAGGCGGAAATTTTCATGGGTAGTTAAGTCAGGCTTCGAATTTCAACAGGAAAAGTGTGGAGAGGTTCTTCTCTGTTACGTTTCGCCAAGGGCGATCAGGAATCCAGGAATATAGTTTCCGCTGGTGTACCTTGGTGCGTCACTAGTTGTAAAAGCTTCGGAGTTACTAGACTGCGTTCATTTTTGTATATAAGGCAAGATACCTTGAGATGGCTTCTTTCTTTCGTTCACAGTCGTCATCTCCTTACGGTGATTCGATCTATCCGTTGACGCCAGTCCGATTCCCCACAGGCTTTCCGATTTGAAGCTTGCTTACGTCCCGATTTATATTACCTATCTCTATTGGTATCTATCTTGAAGACCCGTCATGACTGACTCTCCTCCGTCTGAGAAGTATGAAGCAAAAGTCTCTGCGGAGAGCGTTCGCGCTACTGTCAAGGATGGTATACCCCATTACATGGGACTTGCTGGGGACAGGCTTCTCTCCGCTATCACCATAACTGCTACTCTTGGTGAGAAAGTTCCTCTCAGCATTGCAAGCGGCGGCATCTGACTTGTTCTAGGATTCCTGCTGTTTGGTTATGACCAGGGCGTCGTGCGTCTTCTTGTCTTGTGATCCATCTTCTTCTGATGAACTTACGATGCGCAGATGTCGGGCATTATCTCTGCCCCTCAATTCTATCGAGTATTTCCGGATCTCAATCCGGACAATGTTGGAAGCAAACATTCGTCCACGATGCAGGCTTTCTATACTGCTATCTACGAAGTTGGATGCCTTACGGGAGCAATCTTCGCCCTAATGTACGGCAACAAACTGGGGCGCAGAAAGATCATCATGATTGGTGAATTTGCATACTTTCACGTTCTATCAGTCGTATTCATTAACGGGGTTCCGGCAGGCGCTTTCTGGGTCTCCATCGGAGCTCTTATTCAGATCACTTCTATGCCTGGGTACGCTGTTGATGATCTCTGTTGCTTCCTATGGATTAGGACTTACGTTTCTCCATATCTGATGTTCAGGCATAAAGCCGGACATCAATTTGTGATTGGACGTGTCGTCACGGGATTCGGAAACGGTCTTAATACCGCAACGATCCCCAGTTGGCAGGCAGAGTGCTCGAAGGCTCACAACCGAGGTCTTCATATTTGCATTGAAGCGAGTATGATCGCCATGGGCACTGGTATCCCGGCTTTTCAGTCTAGTTATTTTATTGGAAACTGATTGTACATATAGTCATTGCGTATTGGATCGATTTTGGATTGTCCTACATTGATACATCCCTCTCGTGGCGTCTCCCTATCGGTCTTCAGATCATATTTGCAGTGCTTCTTGTCCTGGGTATCTCCCAGCTACCCGAGTCTCCGCGTTACCTGTTGTCCACGGGCCAAACCGTCGAGGGAGAACACGTCGTCGCGGCCCTGAGTGCCGAACGCACCGATTCAGAGGCTACCCAGCAGCAGAAACGCATCATTGTTGAAGCCCTTGAGTCTGTTGGAGAACTCCAAATTAAGCACGTCTTCACCGGCGGCCCTTCACAGCACTTCAGGCGTACGCTCATCGGAGCTTCCAGCCAGCTTTTTCAGCAAATTGGTGGATGTAATGCCATCATTTACTTCGCGTGCGTCTTGTCAATGATCTGATATATTCCGATGATGTTCACGCGCTTGCCGTTAGCCCGGTCATTTTCCAAACGTACATTGGTCTCGAGCGAAGGCTTGCACTCATCCTGGGAGGGGTCAACTCTACAGTTTATGCTCTCTCTGCCTTTGGTTCATACCCCATGATTGAACGCCTCGGTCGTCGTAAAATGTTTATGTGGGGTACTGCTGGTCAAGCGCTGTCTATGGTGGGTGGCGGCCTGTGGTGTTATGGCGAGATTCTCAATGCTTCGTTTAGTTCCTCGCATGCTTTTGTCTCATCCCCTACAATGTGGAAGGTGACAAAGAAAATACTGCCACGTACGGCGCCGTTGTAGCGCTCTTCCTCTTCCTTATGGCCTTCGGATGGTGCGGTGTTCCGCAATTTTCAGACTGGTGTCATCTTTTAATATTTGTTATAGCACATGGCTCGAATTGCCTTGGCTTCTGCCGGCTGAAATTAATCCCAATGCTATCCGTACGAACGCTAATGCGATTTCTACCATGACAAACTGGTTATGGAACTTTGCCGTCGTTATGTGGACCCCTCCCATGCTCGATAGCTTTGGTGGTTTCGGCACCTTCCTCTTCTTCGGCATCGTCAACCTTTGCTTCTTCCCTTTCATTTGGCTCTTCTATGTCGAGACAAAGGGACGCACGCTGGAAGAGATAGACATTGTCTTTGCCAAAGCGTACATAAAGGGCGAGTGGTACGTCAAGGTTGGTAACGACCTACCCCGGCTCACTACCGATGAGATCGAGAAAGAGGCAGTCAGATGGGGCCTTACAGGTGATGAGGAGCACCGTACTGGATCGGTAGCGCCATCCGTGTGGGAGGATCAGGGCGTCAGCGAAAAGCCACAGCGTCCTTAGATTCTATCGGCTAACGCTGACTGGTTTATGCCAGCACTTAGTTGGACTTGCATGTACCACATTGCCTTTCAAGTGGCAGGATGCCCCAGGTATGTGCTTCCGTTGTCAGTGTAAATTGTATGCTTCTATGCTGTAGCTAGTATAAACTGTAATTTATCCTACAGCAACGACACTTTTTATGATGCACACTTCTCTTGTGGCTGTGGGATGATGTAAGGTTGATACTTCTCCACCGACCACCACCTCTAAGGTGCCCTGCGTTTCTAACTGATGAATAAATTGAAGCGAGCTTTACCAAGCTCGCCTACGAAGACTTCATCCTTTAGTGCCGTACAGGTTGTTGGTACCAGTGTTTCCACCAAATTGTCGCTTGACCACAGTAGGACATTACCAGCACCTCAAGACGATGTAACACCTCGAAGTCGCGTCGAGCAGTACTGGGCTGCTCGAGCGTTGACTGCGGAGGCCTTACTATCGGCACGAACAGAGCATCATCGGGAACTGCGTACACTTTCGTTCGGAGAAGAGCTGAAGCGTTCAGTGAGCATTGGTTGTTCACGGTTTCGGTGTCTCCTGAGTAGAATGTCGTTGGCAGCGAGAACGTAACACTCTCATAAAAGTAAATGAGGATAAAATCGCGAGAATGGAGAAACTGACAGTGCGTCCTTACCTCATTCACGCGTCCGTTCCTGATCATGTATATTATAACAGTGGGTCCTACTCGGCGTCATAGTATTTCTTGCAATACTAATCGTCTACGTGTCCCATTTGAATCAGCGTCGTGTACAACGTACACAACACTGGCGCTTACCCGCTCATTTCACAATACCTATATTATCCCCTTTCACGTCGGTGGTAGGTTGACATCTTTTCCGTGTGTCACCCAGTTAAACTCTTTATCAGGTCGAGCATGAGGTGTCTGTTATTGGCACGAAGACTATTACTTTTTCTATCACCGTCATCGCTTGCTTTGCATATTTTGTATATCGACATTGGCTCGTATCACGTATTCGCAAAGAATAAGTCTAGGATGGACCTGGACGGTGAATCTCTTGTAAAGCATTATACCGTTGATACCAACAGACTTTCTCTGCTGATACAGCCGTTGGAATGAACTTGTGACATTCTTAAAGCTGATGTACAGTTGCCATAACGTTTTGAGCAAGGCAGGATTTTGATGTATTCACTCGTGTATAAGACACGGGCCCGCTGGTGGACGTATCACCAACAAGAGATGCATTAAAGCCTTCTGTGGCATCAGGTAACCTACCAAGAATCGGCATCTCACAACTAACTTTCATTTAGCCGTGGATGGGTGGCCAGTGACCATCATCTCCGTTGTGCCGTGTTACATATGACAGTTCGCTTGTTCCCCGATTCTTTCCAAAGAACGAGGAAACGACGTTGTAGATAATATTTTCTCGTTGACAGCAGTTTGAATGGCAAGAGCACATGTCACTCTAGCCACCGAGCGAGCTAAGGTGTATTTTAATTCTATTTGAGTAAAATGGATACAGTTCACCCTTTCTTTGTACAAAGGGAAAGAATCGGCTGCCACTACTAGATTCAACCCTGGTCGCACCGCAGCTACCTCGCAGCTCCAAAGTGCCTCGCAGGGCCTGCAACACCCAATTTCATCTGTGATGACTACGGGTTCGAGGCCGACGCCGAAGGCAGTAGTAGAACACCGATAAGTCGGAGGTCGACTTGCCTTCCTCTCACTCGATCTCTGTCAATCAACAACATACACCTATTCTCTTCGGGTGATGCAGAATGTTGTATGGCATTCTCTGCCAACAAATGGCTAGAAATCACCATGAATCGACATGTCTTCTCCGACCATAACTGCGCAGTCGTATTTATAGAATTTGGGAAATGTTCAGGCATCACAGCGGCTTTTTTGGGATGACTGCGCGGGGAGGGTAATGATGACTTTTAATTTTCCTCTCGTCTCTCTTCCACCATCCTTTCATACACGCATCTTTTTCTCGAATCATGGCACGGAGTGGTCATTTCGATTCATCTACTATAAGTCTTTTGGCCAATAACTCATCACAGGGGCTGCGTAGTCGGGATTCAGAATGGGTACAACCTTCCTTGCTTCACTTACAGGTTACTCACAAGCTTTCTAGGCAGATAATCCATATCCCGTAGGGTCAACAGGCTCGAGGACACAGTCATTGTCTGGCAAAGTCCGTGCTGCTTTATAAATAATGATTATTCATTGATGGTCAATAGTTTTCGCTCGGTGCTGACCCTTCAACATGGGGCTCCAACCTGTCACCAAACTTTGCAGAGCCTGATGATGCACTCCACTTGCCCACAGTGCGCAACGGAAAGATGGTAGAAGATGCCGATCTTTCTTTCTCAAGCCGAGGGATTGCCAATGTAGGCTGCTTGACCATCCTTTGTTCCGGAATCCTTGCGTTATTGTGAGACTATGTTGCAGTTGACGTTATTAATCACTTATACTTCGCAGTGTCGGGTATCCCATCATGACGTATGTGCGAGACCAAAATACAACGACAACGACAACGACTACGGCTTTGGGGGTCAACTCTTCAGGCGAGGTCAGTAGAAGACAGCTTACGTTGGGACCTTCTGATGTCCTTGCTATTCAGGTTCCTGACATGGGGAACTTCGGCCTCATTGACGCGGATACCCCCGAAGATGCTTATACCTTCACTTCGTGGCGAGATGGATCTGAGTGGCAACTTGTCTTCTCAGATGAGTTCGAGACTGAGGGACGTACGTTCTATTCTGGCGATGATCCTTACTGGGAGGCAGTCGACCTACATTACTGGGTACGGTCCATCCGAATAGTACCTGATAATTTACTCACGGCTTCTCGCAGGAGACGAACAATATGGAATGGTATGATCCTGCAGCGATAACAACTGCTAATGGTTCCCTTGTAATCACTTTGTCCAAGAAAGAAACACACGACTTGGATTATCAAGGAGGTAAACATGACCTCCCGCGACACGTACTTTAACTGATGTACGCCATGTAGGTATGGTGGCGACATGGTAACTTTCTGGCAGATCTGTGCTATCTGTGTCACTGTATGATAAATTCTTTCCAGGAACAAATTCTGCTTCACTGGTGGTTATTTAGCTGCCTCTGTTCAGCTTCCTGGAATTAACAATGTCCTTGGTTTGTGGCCCGCTGTGTGGTCCATGGGAAATCTGGGACGTGCAGGTTATGGCGCTTCGCTGGAAGGGATGGTATGCATGATATCATCTGCGTTGCATATGGATTAAATTCGCTTCTAGTGGCCTTACACGTACGATTCTTGCGACGTCGGAACGGCGCCTAACCAAACCATTGATGATGAACCCACGGCTGCGCTAACTAGCGGTTACTCAAGTTCGGATTACGCGCTCTCATATCTTCCCGGACAGCGTCTTTCACGGTGTACCTGCGATGGCGAGAGTCATCCAGGTCCTAAACATTCTGACGGCACATACGTCGGGCGCTCTGCCCCAGAAATCGATGTTTTCGAAGCACAGGTTACCGATGACGTTGGATATGTATCACAATCTGGGCAGTGGGCAGTGCGTTGACTTCCCGTGCTTCGTTAGCCGTTTTTGACCATTCTATGCCACAGCCATTCAACAAGGGATACGTCTGGGACAACAGTTCGGACAACTTGATCATTGCAGACAGCAGTATATCGTCATTGAACTCGTACATTGGTGGATCGTACCAACAAGCAACTTCAGTGGTTTCAGAGACAGCTCAGGAATGCTATCAATTACTGACCGGATGCTTTTCTACCTACGGTTTTGAGGTGACCTTCTTCGAAGCTTCGAGATGAAAGCTCGCTGACTTGGGGACATCCTTCTAGTACAAACCTGGTAAGTTGTTGACGTCCAGCTCTAAGGCCGCATGGTGAATTGACACACTGACACTACAATGTTCTCCAGGGTACGATTCTGACGACGCTGTAAGATTTTGATTTTTAACACCGCGTCCTTATGTTCATGCTATCATTTCCGCAGTATATCACATGGGTGAACAACGGATCAGTGGCTTGGACCATAAACGCCGCAGGCGTTGGGGCTGACTCGGATACCGAAATTTCCGCCCGACGTGTTCCAGGAGAACCGATGGTTCGTAAGAGGTTCTGTCGTGTGTCTGATACGTTTCCTTACATGCTTTTGCGATGCAGTATATCTTGGCGAATCTTGGAATGTCGACGAACTTTGGGACTGTAGACTTGGAGCATCTCACCTTTCCTGCAATCATGCTTATAGATTGGATCCGCGTTTATCAGGTTTGTCGAAAGGTTTGTTGGGCATGTTCCGCATGTTTTCTTACGCTTGCTCAGGATCCGGATAATATCAACATTGGCTGCGATCCGGAGGATTTTCCGACTGCTGATTATATCGCGACGTACGTTCACTTCTCTGCTTCCGAGATGCATACTGAAGCTATTTGAAGCTATTCGGGTGCATATACCAATCCTAATTATACAACATGGGTTGATGACTACGGCCAGACATTCCCTAAGAATTCACTGGTAGATAGCTGCTAGATGATATATATTGGTTTTCCGTCGGGACAGTATATACAGTAACATTTTTCATTACAGTGTACTACTAGCGGTCAGGATTTTCTGTCTTATCACTGCTCTCACCTACGCACTACTACGGACAGTCGTTAATCCTTTCTTTCTCATGTAGAGCAGCTTAACTGTTCAGACAACGCTAATATTTGTTGTCTTTGCTAGAGGAGTGAAAATTTGCGTTGTAGAGGATTGTCGATGTCCAAAGCTGCCGACTACTCCTTTAACTGAAAAATAATCAAAAAGTACCAAGTACATGTAATACACGTGGGCCATTGATACGGCCGCACGTGCGAACTGTCTTGGAGTCGCTATCCACGACGAGTAAGCTCGGTTCTCTATTTTGTTCATTGTATGACCGCTAAGGCCAGACATGAGCATCGACATCTCTGTCAATGGTCGTCCCATTGATAAGGGCAAAGGAAGGGCCGTGGATCCGCCCACCGAATGCACGCCTTTAATTCCACATCCCTCGAGCTCGCCATCTTCGTCGGTGACCGACATAGAGCTGTCGCATGTGCAGTCTCGACGAACGCTCTTGTATAAGTTGCTCTACGTTTTCTTTATCTCCCTGCTGCTTTGTACTATCGCTGTTGTCGGCCTCGCATTGCTCGCATGGTCTTACGCTGCACGGGCCTCAGACCTGTCTCCTGATGCAATCATCAACGACGGGCTAGTTTTCGAGGGACCAAGTCGCGTGGATGTACTCAATATGACCGATACGGGTGGAATATGGACTCGAATAGAGGGAAGAATAGGCTTGGACGCTGGCGGCATCACTGGTATGAACAGTGATGACCAGGATAATCTGATGCAGGACTTGTGGAAGTCATTAGGTAGATGGGGTATTCGGAAGTTGGACCGTGTCTCTGTCAGCATGTCCAGTGTACACGTCGTATCTGCGCAAGATGAACGACTGGCATCCCTCACCGTTCCTTCCCTGGAGATAGCCTTAACGCTTGACCCCCCTGCCGACTTATCGTGGCTTCAACCCGTCTCCATGACTGTGTTCATTCAACCGACGACCGACGGTTCTGTCCTGAAATCCTTCGTACAAGAGGCGTGGAGAGAAGGCGCATTCACACTGAAAACAGATGTTGGAGAAGTTGCCGTTGAAGGGGGCGACTTGGGTGGTACCGGCTGGAGGCATAATCTTCGCAGTAAATTCACAGATGTGAACACTGTCATAAAGTTGATAAGTGAGTTGGTGTATTTTGCTGTCTTCATTCCTTTTTCTGATGTGTTTGCTATAGTTCCTAGACTTCCTGGACTACCTCAGCCTGGTCGAAATGTTCCATTTCCTCCCTTAGCAGATCTTATAACTCTTGAATCTTTTTCAGTAATGGCTGTCAATGACGAGTTGACTCTAGAAGCTAGTGCGACCATCATCGATCCGGCGCCTTTATCGTTCAATTTATCTTTGCCACCCCTACCATTCGTCGTATCTCTTCCTCCTGATGTTCCAATTGCCACTGTCATGACTAAGTCATTTACGACAACTCACCCAAATATTATCCTGCATATGACAGGATCAGTACTTCCCTTGCCATCTGGTTCTTCCTCCGTTCTCTCCACTTTTCTGTCACGGTACCTCTCCGCACTGCCTAATCCCATATCTATTTCAACGCCTTTGGTTTCACATCTATCGGTGGAAGCCATATTTCCAGGACCTCAGCCCCAACCTAAGGTTTTGCGCAATGTCACTATTCATGACATGAAGATCAAGCCTAGGGGAAGTAATTTCCTTGCGAGTGGTACCGTCTTTGCACGCGTTGTCCTGCCGAAGGGCATGGACATTGAATTGGACGTAAGTCACGTCCTACCGGATGTGCTGGTGTTCGATGGCGAGCCGCCGCAGAGCAACACCGTCCTCCCCGACCCGCTACCGGAGCATGCATTTGCGCATATACAGCCCGACGAATGGCTGAGGTCGTGGTGTGCTCCGGCAGAAAGCGACGAAGACGGAGGTAGCGCTTTCGCCGTGAGCGCAAAGATGGAAGATGTTCCATTAGAGGTACTTCCTGGACGACAAAAGGCATTTAGCAATTTTGTCAGCAAGGTATTTATCTTTTTTTCTGGACGACACGAGTACTACTAGCTTGCTTTCATAGGTTATATTTGGCGCTGACGGCGCCTTGGCCGGACTTGTAGGAACCGTCGCTGTTCGCGTGGATGTGCCGGGATTACCTTCAGAGGACGATAGCCTGCAACTGGATGGGCTACCTTTTCAGGGAAGTGTTCGTATTGGGAAGAAAAGCACGTTTTTCGTTGACTGAATGGCTCCATTTCTTATGATTCGGACTGACTTTGTAACAATATCAGTACTATAACCACGCATTCCTGTATAGATACGCCATGTCATACATCAACTCTGCATTTTAAGGACTATGAGATCTAAATGAATATGAGCTCTCGTTTTCCTCTGAGTCGGAACTGGTATCTATTGTTACGAGAACACCAGCCTGTAAAAGAAGCTGTACATCACGGGGCTCTTGTTGAAAGATAACATGAACGTTATGTAAAGGGACTCGGTGTTCACGTCTCGAACAAACCAAAGAATGTACTGCATACCAATCATTATAGGAATGGTACTGTAAAGTGCGAAGTGAAGGGCAAGGAGCAACACCGAAACTAGGCTCAAGAGAAGCCAAAGGAATACTCTCAGATAAATCCATCTCCGTCACCGAAGAAAGGACTAAAAAGAAACTATCGAGCACCTCCTGTGTGGCATTGATTTCGTTAAGGTTCAGAGATCGAAGCCTATGCAATGGGATCGTCGAACTCGTCATTCGGGCAAAGCATTCCAATAGAATGGACGCATCTTGTATTGGCTGGGTGGGATCCAAACCACTCCTGACATCCTCCAATGACAGACTCTGCAGAGCCGGAAAATGCAAGCTAGAAACGAACTGAACGGCGTCGTCCACATCCACGAATCCCAAAGTGAAGTGAGACAACGTCAGGGCCGAAATTAAGGTCGATCCTGGTGCGCCACTGGGACATGACCCGATCACCGAAAGGTGGCGCAAATCAGGGGACCCGGCTATAAGGTCCGCAAATTCCTTGGAGGTAGGAAGGACGTCGGGGGCGTGGTACTTGAGCTCAAGGCTGGTAAGGTTCCCGAGGGACGAAGCTGCAGCGCTCCAATCAATGTGAACACCGACGAGGGACAGGTGACTGAGTCCCGGTAGAGGGATCCCACCGAATAACGGTAGGGGGTCTCGTAAGTGTTGGGGTTGGAATGTCTGGCCCTTAAAGGCAAAATAGGCATTGCAGCGAGAAAGGGACAGTCGCTTCAGCGCTGGCAATGATGGTACGTCAAGTTTTTGAGTCTCCGATAAAAATGTATGCATTGGTGCCCAGGTATCGAGAAGGATATCCGCTGCTTCCAGGCGGTCAAGATGCGGCTCAAGGAGTCGGATGACAGATTGCATGCCATTGGAGGTGAAGCCGTGAGGATCTTCTTCCCAGTCCCAAGACGGATCACGGAAATCCATTAAAAGATCAAGCGGGAAGGTATCAGACCTCGACAGCATGCTGTTTGCCCGAAGGTATTGGACAGATGATAATGGGAAATTGAAGCTGATGAATTTCCATAGATCACCGGTCGATAGCGCGACATCCCGCCAGCGGCGGCATGTCTGTGAAACGATAAACGGAGCTGGTATCGTGTCATGCCTAGTCTCCATTGCGGCCAGGAAGAAAATTCTCGCCAACAGCTCGTTGGGAAGCCTGGCGATTGGGAGAGTCGGCGAAGAGTCAATGGAGAGGGTAGAGAGCTGTTCCTCCAGCATTCTTCCTGTGCTGAAAATTTGTTAGACTTCGCTTGGACGTTGATGAACACCTACGAGGACAGAGTGCATCAACGTGAGGCTATGGAGTAGCTAAAGGAGACAGACAACAATTGTCACGTCTTATACGATCAACCTTCGAGGGCCCATCGGGGCCCCGCCGCTGTCTTCGGATATCGGGGAATTATGGTTAAATTTTCAAGACAGATAGGCTTATTTAATTGGTGGTGTTAGAAGAAAGGCAGGAAGAGTTGCCTGAAAAGAGAACAAACACTTGGACGGTTTGAAACATCAGGGTGAGAAATGCTGCTGGGCCGCAGGGCAACCGAGGCATTGAATTGTTGAGAACGAAGCCCGTTCACATGCTTGCTATCCCCACATAGCTCCGAGCAGCGTTCTTTTGACAACATGAGGTCCCATCCGGTCCTTCTCCCGGTCATATATCACTTGCCTATTACCGCCTGTACCTTCAATATCCCATTCACGGAATCCTGTCGTTCAAATTTTTGCAACCCTAATAAATCAGAGACACGATAAGAACGCCTCGTGGTATACAATTATATTATACGCCTAATCCGGGACGATATTTAGGAGCGTCATAAAGTGAGCACGCTAGAAGGAACAAGGAAACGGATAGGAGAGCAATACCAGAGTCCAGGCGTTGAAAAAACTTGAAAATTTCAAGCCCTGACCTCATGCCGATTTGAAACTTCGTAACGACGCCACACAAAAGCGCCGCCACGTGGCCCAATACTTGGGCCAAAGGTTTTGCCATACACAGCCAATTTTTAGCACTGCTTCTGAAAATCAAAAGGAATGCGAGGTTTCCGTAATGTCCTTCGAGAGCATGCATCTGCACTGGACCCACGAACATCGTGACCAGGATCTTCCATCAGGAATCACTGGAAATATCGTTCCATCAGTTTGGCCCATTTTTTAAGCCAACAACTTTACCTGAGGTCTTTCGCGAATCGTTTTTGCGAGCGAGCCGCTTCCGGTCACAAAAGATAAATTTATTGAAAACTATGTTTACTGCAACGTCACTCAAAAGTGTAAGACACTGAAGGGGTATGAAGGTCAAACGCTAAGCATAAATTTAAAAAATAGCAAGCTTTGGCTCAGGTCGCTGCGATTCCCATCAAGGCGGGCAGAACGTCAATCTAAAGACATCATCATCTTAGTGGAAATGAACATAGATGAACCAATTTAACATACGTGTAGTCTGCCGCTAAGTTAGAATCACAAGTCCACAAGGCCGTGCCGCTGGATTCATCGTAGGCATATGCATAAGAGTCAGGACAGTTGTCTTCTGTTGATGCGTTGTAAGAAGAGGGGGATGAATGGTGCTAAAGTTTACATACTAAAGTAGCTGTAGTACGCGACGCCTGCAGCGTTGTCAGTTTACCATGACAAGGAGAGACTGAAATCGGTTGAGACGAACCAGATGAAAGACAGGTAGCAGCGGTATCGTAGCTTCCAGTACAGCAGTTTGGCGAGTCGGCTGTTGTTAGCACAAAAAGTCAGAACGGTATCTGATACCTAGTTGGCCAGGCGAACCTTGATCGCCGTCCAAGTTGGCCTCCTAAAAGGGATAATAATTATTAGTCATAATAGACACGGCTGAAATACTTGGCAGGCATACACAAGCTGATTTACATCCGACGGGAAATCCGGAAGAATCAAAGGGACCCTTCAACACGTCAGGACCTATGTTTTATTCAATAGGTGTTGAACAGATAAAGGAAGAATACAAACAGTTGGGACCCAAATCCACGGGACACGACGCGACACCGCAGCCGACGTTGTTGTCAATTCGCGCAGGAAGATTGTAACCGTCAACCAAAGACACTGAATTCCGTTATGATGATGATCAGCATTCAAGGGACATCACGGGATCGGGGCACTATACCATCGTAATAATCAAGCGAACCATCTCCCTCGAGGGTCCATTCCGCAACCGTCGCGGGTGGTACACCCTTTCATAGATGTCAGCGTATTCTGTCTTTTACACCATACAGCCGTGACTCACGGTACCGGTGTACGGGTCGCATTCAAGGCCGCCGTTGCATCCTCCGTCTAGACATGAATTTGGTCCCGGGTCCGTCGAGAAATCACAGTCTCTGCGTGCCTATGAGAAAAAATATTCGGTCTCAAAACGCAGATTCCTCGGAGAAATGTGGTAAATTCATCACCCAAATTCTGCCTGCCTTCCAATTGTCCGGGACGTAGAAGGATACTGCAGTATATGCAGCCGCTTCCCATCTGAAAAAGATAACCAACATGCAGCAGTAATATCGATAATACAACGAACCCAGTCGCGTAGCTGGGTACGTTCGTGGCGACATTTAAGTCAGTAAACGTCTACAGCGATCTTTGAGTTTCCCTTCAGAATCATAAAGGTAACGGTGAAACTCACGGCAGGCCTAAAAATGGGGTGTTGATCACAATTAAAGGGTCCGATAGAGTACTCATGGAAATTTACCAGATGGTGAAAGGACAGCCATTGTACACCTCGTATATCAGTTAACGAGACGCGAAACATGACAGCGCCGTAGTACGCACCGTGAATGTACGTGCCAAAGTGCCGGATGTAAAGACAAGACCAGCTGCAATAGGGAGTTTCATCTCGACAGTAAGAGTGAAGGTGATCGTGAGGTACACTGAACGTATTCCAGTTGGTTATCCTACTTTTTATACCACGTTGAAGGCCATACCCCAAACAAATCCAAGCCAGGCCCAAAAGCTGTATAGACATGGTCCAAATGACCATGAGGTTCAAGCATTCAATGAACCTGGTCCGCTTCCTGCAAAGGAAATAATCGTATTCATTCACGAAACTATGGTGATGGACCATGCATACGGTATATCACGCTCTGGTGCGCTATAGGGCTCGTGTTGTAGCCAAAAGTAAATTTTCTCGTGCTTTTAGGGCTCTATTTTGGTACACACCGCATGAACATCAACAAATTGGATCACAAGATGGTACTTGCCTTCACTCGGCGTAAATAGTGTTGTTGGGATGTCGACTAGAACGCTGCAACTGACTTTATGACCATACGCTGAGCTTTCTTGTACTAGATTTCTAGTTCGCCATTTCAAGGGATGAAACTAGTTGATTGAAGGCACATGCATCCACGATGGGCTGAAATTCAATTTGGCTTTGAATTTTGCCGGATCTTTAGCTCATTCCATCACCGGTCAGACGGATTTTTGGTGAGCGAAGAGTCTGCTGCAGGTAATAGAAAAGCTACATTGAAACAGATAGTCATTTTTAAGACAGACTCGGAGAGACCAGGGCAAATGATGACGGACTTGCAGTATTTTGCTAAAAGACTAGACAGAGGACAGTTAGGCACATTTTGGAGGCAGTGCCGCGCCCTGAATCCTCATCAAAATCATATGATGATGAGAAGTAAAACACTTGCTTGATCACCTTGGTGTACATGTAGGATCTATATAAAGCCTGCCATGCATGACTATAGCTCTAAATATCAGCAGCTAGGGATTAAAGACACAAAAGAGACGTACCGCGGCCTTGAATTGCCGCCGCTGCACGACAGTCTTGATGCAGATTGGAATTCTGACGGATTGCTATCCGAATTGGCCCCTGCCTGATCTCGAGTAGTACTAGATGTCGTGAAGCAGCCGCGGAATATACGTATGCGAACAGCCACGCCCCGCAGGAAAGAAGTGAAAACGCGAAAAGACTGTTGGGATTGTTGACTCGTATGCGACGATCATAGGGTAAACTTATTTTCGAAAAACATCTAGAGGGAAAGTATTAGATTGAAGGTATAGTGTTTGTTGGCTGCGGGGTCAGAGCTGCAGCGCTTTCTCCCACTTAGTAGCTAACATCGAGATGAATCTCAACAATATCCAGGGAAAGATATCTAGACGCGGCTCAGTCCGATATGATAGCTTCTATTGTTCACGTCGCGGTGTTTGCAGGCACACACTTGGATATGGGAGAAATTAGTCCTGATAGTTATGAGCCACACACGGTAGCCGCGTACCGACTACATAACTACTCGCTTTGTCAACCCTCTAGCGCGAGAGTTGCTGAGACCACATGTGCCTGCTCTTCTGTTGGATGAATAGGAGCGAAGAGAGCCGTCAAACGCACCCAGATCCGTCCAGCCTTTCAATTCCTGGGAACGTTAACTAATATGGACGTTGTCTAGGAGGCCCAGTCGGGACATCGATGTTTTGACAATGTAACAAGCCACAGATATGTCGCCTTAATAAAGAAATTCACAAGTCTGAATATTCTGAGGTACATTTACGTCCGTGAGGATTTTCGATGCTTTCCTGCCTCGTTACTCAAAGAAAAGACTAAAGGGGTGTTGAAGTTAGCGCAGACCTACTTTCAGATTCTAGAAACAAGGTTCTACTCGGACCATGACCACACCACGTATCTTTGGAGCCTGAAAGCACCCTTTTCTGGCTCGGAGGCGACATGCGGCTGTCAAGATAGATACCCAGGCCTTAAAACATCTTCTACCCCATAAGTTTATGATCCAGCACGGCAGCAATATTAGCCCTGTAAGAGAGAAACAAGGTTTCCTACATTTGAGGAAAGTGCAGACTTGTTGGGGACTGCAGGTTTTGATTTCATGATTATCTGCACCATGATAATTGACGTCTACAAAGAAGTCCGTGGTCAATAGAATATCGATGACTAGAAGAATAACATTATCCCTACAATAACAGGACGAGTTCCAGGCGGCCTTATGTTCCTCCTGCTCGAGTATGAAGCCCAAATAAAACATTCATTACTCTGCAAACCCGCTCGGAACAACGACGGAATCCGTGGACGACAATATGATAGAATTCGTACTGGTAGGCTTACAATAAATGTCCTTGTGATAAGATTATCCATGGCGTGCTGTGCGAGACAGCCCCAGAAGAAGTCCATAAGTATCCCAGCACCAGTGAAATCGTGACAAGAATCAAAATAGTGAAGTACACAGAGTCTAAGAATCGTGAAAATCGTAGTCCTGTTATAGGCTGTTGCATATGGAACAATCGAAATTGAGGGTCGTGCGGAACACAGCGGCTGAAAAGATTTCAGTGGAAATCCATCGTGGAACCAAAAGGAACTTACGAAGAGCAATTAGTAACACGAATAGAGCAATGACAGCAACGTATATTGTCCCGTATTTTATTATCTGGAGGCAGGTTAGAACCAGATCTATACAGTCGAAAACCCAATAACACGCACAATCCAGCGACGCTGTCTTTTCTGTTTTATAGAATACAGAGGCGCACGGATTTGTTTTGAGGGACGCAGCCAAACTGGGAGGACAATGTCAGTACATCAGAAGAGCGAGAAAAGAAAAAACCATACATAGTATTGTGGCATGGAATCGATCAAAGTAAGGAACTAAGATAGGGGGCGTCAACATGAACAGAAGAATATGCCCGATGATCAAATCAGAACTCCAAAGCGATAGCTCAATGATTTTCACGATATACTCTCGTGCAGGTTGTGACATGACATGAGCACCGAGACCGCGACCGTACCACCGACCTGTCCACCACGCACGATTAGTCTCGTCGTGCTTGAACTCTCGAGACAGGAAGACAGAGATGAGAATTTTGTGGACAGCTCGCTGGATCGATATGACAGTGATCAAACCCAGTACCGCATGGGAAACATTCCATAGTTCGAGGAACCACTGGGATTGAAAGATTAGTACCTAAATGACTCGTGGTTGATATGATACTGACCAAGAACTCAAAGAATCCAACCATTCCAACGGCGCCAAGTATATGTGCTGTAAACGCCATGACGGAACCGAAGAGGGGGAAGAGTGGGTCTAGCATAGGTCCGAGGAAAAGACTGATGAGGAATAGCGTCAGCAAAATTGCTGCATTCCATACAATAGGCCCCAAAGAAATAACTGCGATTCGGACAAGAGGGCTGGGCGGTGTTTCGCCATTCACAGGGAACGACTTCACAAACGTATACGCGATAATGAAAAGAATAGCCATCACAACGGGGAAGATAACCTCTGAGAAGATGACAGCATGCCAGCTAGCGCGCGGTACGTCACCGGAAAGCTTCTCGGACGGATGCCCAAGTTTCTTCTTCTTGTAACCAGTGATCATTGTCCGCGACAGTCTGCAATATCCGATCCACGAGTTGTTGTGAGACCGAGAGTTACCCCTGGACATCCACCGCAAAAATTCCCTGTGGGTACATGGTTAGAAACTTCAAGGGTAGGAGTAATTGTGCGGTTACCTGTAATCTATTATGAAATCGGAAAAGACAAACTGATGGGGGTTGAACAAGAACGGGGCGACACAAAGAGCGACAATGGATATCCAGAAGTAGATCAGGAATGGCGTCCAGAGTGACAGGGTAACATAAAGCAACATGACCAACGATCGCATGCCAAGGTAGATACTAGGTCCTGCAAACCGAGAAAACAGGATGTTGAAATATATCCTACTAGTGGCAAAGCCACGTCCAGTAGCGATGTAACGCGCTCCACCAAAAGTCAAGTTGCTTAAGATGGAATGGGTGTAAATCTGAGTGGAGAAGATCTCGAACACAGGCGACAATGAACCAAATTGCTTCGCTAAACGGAAAATGGCTTTCCACGTCCCGCGTTCAACCAGTTCTACGAAGATAAGCGTTGTACTATTGTCCTCAAAACATGTCAAAATGAACGAACCTTGTAAGAAGAGGGGTAAGAACGCGATCATGAATACCAGGAAGATACTGAGGATGCAATGTCTGATCCAGTTGAAGACTGGGTCCAAATTGTAGCACCCTGCCTGTCCACCGATGAATTGCCCATCATCTGTGTACCGACAGATAGTAACGCTCGAGTTTAATGTACCCAAGAAAACCACTGGAGAATCTCCCTGAGTTCTGGATCCAGGAAGACAGCCATACAGAACTTACTGGTTACAATGAACAGCTGTATCGACAAGATGACCAGCATATTGTTGATGTGAAACCCGGGATGCCCATAGTAGAAGGTGAGGAACCGATCGATGGGAAGCTGAGTGCCCAGATAATAATACTCTCGACTCAACATCTGTTCACCCATACCCGTTCCAATCTTGGTCTGGAAGTTCAGAATTGTGCCGAATCCAAGATCCCTACCCTTGCCGCATTGGAAGTACTCCGTGTGCTTGATCCTGGCGCCACGACCGAAAGCATTCATACCAGCATATATATCCTCGTTCAAGTGTAGACCTTTCTGCGCCTTTGAGACACCCCCACGTGTGTTCATGAACAACGCGTTCAGGAAATCAGGATGACCGTAGTGCAGCTTGCCACCAATCCAGGCCATGGATCTTGCCGAAAGTGTACCGAATGTCTGCTCCTTTCCAGCTGCAAGATCACCTAGGATACCGATATTCTCCGAGAAGATGTACTCTCGGGCACCAACAATGGCTACGGGAGAACGCTTGAACTCCTTGTGACCCCAGTGAGCATAAGGACTTTGGCTCGAGATGTTGTATTCTTCAAACTCAGACAGAACGTTCCTAATCTTCAAGCACTCCTCGAGGTAATTGTCCTGGTTGGCATCGATCAGCTGTAAGTACTCTCCACGATAGAAGATGATGGCATGGTTTTGATTGTCGGACTTGCCATCACCTAAGATAGGGTTCCCAGGGAGCTCAATACGGAACTTCGGTTTGCGTCGACCAGTCTCAGAGATGAACTCGCTATGTCCATCGATGAGCGCCGAGAAGATCCTGGGATCACCACCCTCCTTCCTAGGCGGCTCTTCCTCAAGATATGCAATCTGCAGATCTGGATATGCGCGTAGTAAGAACTCTGCATTCTCCTGTTCCTCCTTGTTGAACTTGGAGTACCTCTGCATTGAGACCACAAACTTGAACTTGCGGCGAGCCATGCGCTCAAGCTCACGTTCAAGTTTATCCGTATTTCCCCCAAACATTTGGACGACTTCAGGATTCTCGACACGGTACAGAAGTTTGATGGCCTTCGAGTAGTTCATCATACCGGAGACTGTGCGGTACAGGGTTTGAGCACGAAGGGAAGCCCAAATACGTGTTCGAAGAGTAAATTCCGGCGCAGCGCTCTTGAAACCGATAAAGTAGAACGGAAGATCATCCGTCTTTGACTGCGCCTTCTCGTTGTCTCCGAATGGATTCGTGCCGTTAAACATAGCCGATTCTTCAGCCAGAATCTTTGTGTCCCTAACGAAATTCTCCCACTCTACGGGGTGAAGCTGCTTCAAATACTCCAAAAGCGTGACACGGGTGTTCTTGTCCTCTTCACGAATGATCTCCCGAAGCGAAAGCAGAATCTGCGCAAAGGGGTGACGTCATTTCGGAGCATTTAACGAGCCATACCAAACCCACCTTTTCGCTATAGTGTGGCGTGAGAACCGTGAACGTAGGCATAGCATCCACAGGCAGAGGCTCCGGCATGGCTGTCGTCAACGACTGCGCGAAGAACGAAATGCGTCGTTCTGCCTCGCTACCCCTCGGGAAGAATTCACCCTTGAAACCTTTGTCATTCTGTGAGATGAAGAAGGGAGGCGCACGCAAACTGCGTCGCCCATTCGCACCCGGACCACCATCGACTTGGTGATAAAGCAGCTTTTGAACGTGGTCAATAGATAGAAGGTGTTCTCGATACATGGAGATGATGATGGCATTCCAAATTTGGGAGACCAGGACCTACAAGAATTCAATCACTGTCCATATTGAAGACAAGTAAGTTTACCTTGGGCTTGTATTTAACTTCCATATCGTTTGTCGCCAAAAGCTTCGCGTAAATACGTTTCGGCAGCCGAGTGTAAATGTCCTTCCAAGGTGTCCAGATGGAAAGACCCAGCGAGAACGACCGTCCGATGCTGAACACAGTGTTCCAGATGATGTACCACAGAAAAGTGTCCAGGAAGAATAGGGCCAAATCCATAATGTACATGATTGTGAGCGTGAATGCCGCATGATTTGTACAGAGAGCATTCCCCCACAGCCGGTCGTTGCAACCTTGGATTTTCATTCCCACCATGACTCGGATAGGGTCTCGGAAAGAGAGGGTAAGGAAAAAATAAGATTCGACGAATTTGCAGCTAAAAATGAGGAGCCAGAGGAGCAAGGAAGCAATGCGGGGAGCGGTGTCCAAAGTAGGATAACTAGCGGTAAACGTTTGGCTAGCTAGATACTTCCTCGATTTCCCAGCCACCCTGTCTCCGAACATCCTACCTGACGGCATGATGGCAAAGAGGAGGGTCGCGACGACAGAAATGAAGAACTGGACAATGCCGAGAATGAGGGAGAGCTGGCCGCCAGAACCATTGTTTTCAGCAATAGCAATATAAAACGTGGGTCCACACGTAAGGGCAAGGGTGACGAGGAGGAAGAGAAGACGGCGTGTAAGATGGGAGGTATTATTCCAGGTGGTTGGGATGTAGGAGAATTCCGTGAGGGTGGCGAGAATCATGATGACTGTAGCAACCGCACCACCAAGAGCAGTGGCACTCCATTGTAAAGCGGGAACGTCGTTTCCGTTGACCTGGTAAACGGTAGGGGAATTATAGGCCGTATAGAAGTAATAAAGGGATATGTGAATGACCCAAACTCGGTTGAAGTTGACAAGAAGATGGCCAAAGGAGCGTCGTTCGTAGTATGTTTTGAAAAAGGCCCGATTCCAATCGATGCGATCAAACTTCATGAACCGCTGTGCGGGGGCCAGATCCACAAGGCGGGTTTTGTCGGTCAACACAATCCGAGCGATTCCTTCAGGGTACCAGAACAACTGATTCACATCGTCATACCCAATCACATCCTCGTGATCCCGCTCCCTTCTCACAAACTTGCCATCCACGACCTCATACCCTTGGTCCCGAATGAATCTGTAGAGCGGCTTGATGACCGCCCTCAGATAGAGCCCTTCTGGAACAGGTTCCATCCGGTTTTGGCATTCTGGTGAGCGGTAGTAGTCGTCTGCACACTTGAAAATGAAGCAGAGGCATTCGGGGATAAAACGGACTTGAGCGGCCTCTCCCCACAGCAACAGATACAGGGCGATCTGTCGGAGTCGGTCATATTGGCTCATGTTGTTCATGGCCTGACGCCAGCGCTCAATAGCAGTGTTGAGTGACTTTTCATGCGGGGGCCGCTTTCCAGAACCTCCCTTGGATTTCAAGCGGGTCAGACCCGGATTCTGGGTTTGACCGACAGCATCGTCGAGGTCGAGTTGAGCGGCAAAGTACCATTTACGATAGTTCGCATGGTGTCCGCCTATGTAATCAGCGTGGAGCGTAAGCAGTGCTTGATTGGGGGACATGCGGGATGCTCGGCTATCGAGAAGCTGCATAAGGAAATCAAACTAACCAACAGTGTCAGCAGATACTGAACGGTCCACGAAGGGCCACAAACCATGTTTCTCATAGAGTCCCTCTGAAAACCAAATTTCTGGGTAAGGTCGAGGAAGATGTCTTCGATCTCCTCTTTGGACAGCGGTATTTGGCGCTCTGAACTCCAAGCAGGGTAAGCATCTCGACCACCTTGGCCATAATCAATGAATGTTGGTGTCGATGATTCTGAGTTGCCCATCCGAGGAACGCCCAAGGACTCCGCAGAGGGGGCATAGCGTGGACCATAAGCATCGCCATCGGAGTCGGTGTCTTGTGGGGCTTTTGCAAGAGACAGGTCAGCTACGTTGGAAATCGAGAAAACGTAGTAGACGCACGATATGGGTCATAAGCGCCATTCTGATCATAGAAACCAGTATTGCTGGTGTCGGAAGCATAGGTATCTCTGCGACCATAATCCTCCGAGTCATTATCATAATACCGGCGCTGTGGCGGACTGAATGGGTCATTCTGATGAGCGTCAACGGAGGAGGGCGATGACGAAGGGTAGCCCTCCTGGCTGTTGTGCCCCGGGCGACCAGACATGAGTAGTGGTCAGGAAGAGAGATGGGTTGAGGACGACGGCAGGCAGAAAATGACGAAACAGAAAGCGTGGCAACCAATCACAGCCACACTGCGGACTCTCAATTTTGCTCCCACCGCCTGTTTTCAGTTTCACTTGCCTGCTATGCAGTACTAATATAATCACTGTGTCGCCCAGCACGACCTTCGGATTCTTCTCAAATGATTTTATTGAGGGGCGTGCAACTGTCCATGTCTCGGCTGTATGAAACTCGGGCAAGGCACCAGCTCTGAATCGTACTAAATAGTAAATTAAAATTAAATAAAACCTGGGTATCCAATTACCAAATTTATTCGTCGCTGACGGTCACGGTGATATCGGCTGGCTTGAAATCTCGTGCACTGTAAGTGCTAGCTGAATTATGCGTATATGGTGGTGTAGCATCCCTCTGATGGCTTTTCCCGAGACCTTACCGACGTATATCAGGCATCAGCACGTTTCCTGGAACAGTAAACATGTAATGAGAAATCACCATATACCCTTTTATCACAGCAGCCCTTAATATTTGTCATGATAGGGATCTCCAGTTCTGTATTCGGCTTTCAAAAAATTTCACTGATTCGTCTCTCAGCCCGGTTGCAAGTATCGTCGGTTGGTCGTCGTGGATAAACCTTCAACAATGCGACTTCCGTATATCTTTATTTGCACTGGTGATCTCGTACTCCTCACCTTCCCGGCCTCCTTCCTACGGAAGAGCAAACGAAATTGCGAGCTCGAAGTGTATTCGGACAATCAGCATGACCACACTTATCGAATCTATGCCATAAATCGAGGTGCTTATACGGTGTTGTGTATACCTTTTTCAATGATTAGGAGCCATCGGTTGCTTTCAAGTGTTCCTGGCACTGCTCATCAACTTAGAGTGGAATTTGATTCGGTCACGTGATATCGAACAAACACAGCAGGACTTGAGAACTTGAAAAAAAAAAAGAAACCAGCACTGCTGCTCAGTTCCCTTCAGCGATCGCAAGAAGCGCATTCTTCTTGCTTTGATCTTTATAGAATTTCGGCCAAAAATAACATTTAAGCCTCGTTCTCAATGTCAATGGGGCCTTCAGATTTCAATGACTGGTACATCCGTAAAGCGGTAAATATCATGTATGCTGAAAATATCGAGGGGGGAGCCACAAACAATTAGATCTAATCATTCTAACACACAGACATATGGTTTTATTTCAGCGAACGTTCAAACCCGATGATAGGCTCCGACGTCCTCTAACATGAATCCTGTCCAGGACTTATTCAACGCAAACGTTTGGTTGCGAATAGTATCGTATACAACGTACGGCGTAATGGTGTGTTGTGAGATCACCTGAATTATGATCCCGCTATCATAGTGACGAGCTATGAATAAAAATACCTTTCATCGATAAGTTGAGACCTACCACCGGCCAGATTGTCTATTCGTCTCTCTCCAAAAATCCAAGCCCACTGTTTCTAACCTTTCCAGTAAAATTTTCATACCACCTGGCGATCAGTCCCATCGGGACTGCGAGTTCAGGCGTCATAGCCCCTCCGCCGGTAAAGCCAGAGACATAGTTGAACAAGTTTTTCACAATCTTCTCTGCGAGAAGTGTAGGGTTAATGCTCAAGTCGTTTCCAGATTTCGTAAGGGCATAAGGTAGGGCGGCTAATTGCGACTCTATCGCATGAACGGGTTCAATGGACAAGCCGAGAATGGCGGCAACGTCTCCGCTGTCATTCATCGACAAATTCGGATCGAAAGCACGATATGTTGATGTCGAGGAGAAGGAACCCCGTAAACGAAATATCGCTGATGGCTTGTCGTTAGAGATCCTAGGCAGAAATTCAGTGAGCTATTCGACATGAATAACAGTGAACTCGCATTCCAAGGAGTTGGAATCCTTTTCCCGGCCAGTGGAAGTGGACGGCCGCACCATATCCTTCGGGAAATGGCACAGTGCCCAAGACAAACACACAAACGTGGTTGATTGTGCTGGCGTTGGGTAGTTCAAATAACGCGTGCGTATCGTCAATTTGTTGGAGATTTGTCTGCAGCAGACGGCCAGCAACGCAGCAGCCAAACATTTCTGCACGGAAAAGCGAGAGCGTTAATTGTCGTTGCGAAAGGAAGGGTAAAAACTCTCCCGAAGTTTGTAGAAAGTGTCTCGGCGCTGATGATCAGAAATAGCAACCCATCCGAACCGATGGAACCTGTGGCGTGCGAAATTGTCGTTTCCTTTCCCATCCCTTTACTGCCACTATGTCCGATTTTGACGACGAACTGCTCGAGCTCGTCGAGGCTGGTTCCGACAAGAAACAAAAGCGAAAGACCAAAACGAAGCCGTCAAAGAAACGAAAAGCCGAGTGAGCCTAGGAATCTGATCTCGCAGCATCCTCGTGTCAGAACCGGTTTTTCTCTACCCTTCATAGCCTTTCCGATTACGAAAATGATCCTGAAAGTGAAGAGGACGAAGAGGACCCCTATCCTTTGGAGGGGAAGTATGTGGATGCAGCCGACAAACATAGGTACGTCTTCCAATGGTGACACGACAGCGTAGGGTTGATGATATCTGTAACAGGCTCATGCAGATGTCCGAGATTGAGCGTGAAGAGATTATCACCGGACGATTAGAAGATAAGCAGCGCATGCTGGACAAGCGAGCGATTTCACGCATGGTGAAAGACCAGCGTTCCGGTGACATGGACGGCGTCGCAAGAGCGTCCAAAAGTTTGTCTGTCTCTTTGGCGTGTCTTTTTGCATCTTATAATACGTCAGGGCAACGCTCATCACGAGGTTTCACGAAGGAAAAGTCGCGCAAGCTGGATGAGCTTAAGGCCAAACGCAAAGCCAAGGGCGACAAGCAACACGTATGTCCTTCCTTTGTGTGTTCATATCATGAGTGCCTATCTTGCACAGAACGAAGGTTCTCCTTTTCACGATGGATCTTCGTCTGCCATGGATATGGGTACCTCAGATGAGGACGACGAGGACGGTCAGATCAACAAGTCGGATCAGGAACATGAACGAGAGCAACATCCGCCTGTCAAAGACGAGCCTATTACCATGGATGATCTGGAAAAGTGTCATCTTACACGGGATATGATAGCAAAATACTATCTGTCGCCGTGGTTTGAAGAATACGTTAAGAGTTGGGTGTTTAAATTCAGCCTTATCTTCCTTCCAGCTTAAATGTTGCAGATACCTGGGTCCGCTATCTCATCGGCTGTGAGGACGGCAAGAGCATCTATCGTATATGTCAAGTTATCAGTATGCCATATTTGTGTTCGCACGTCTTGTCCATTGATCCTCTCTTCCAGATCTCGGAGCTGATATAGTCAAACCATATATGGTTGAGAGCACTATGGTGAACCAGACTATCGAGCTCCAACATGGTATCTCGAAAAAACTGTGGCAAATGGACAAAGTCTCAAACTCTCCGTTCGAACCAGTCAGTGACAACTCAGTGACCTCATAACAGTCTCTCATCCAGAGAGAACAGAAAGAATTTCTTCGTCTCAAAAACACGTGCGAAACTGAACATGTCAAATTGCCCTCGAAGAAAGAGCTGGAGATCAAAGAAGCCCGCATGGTACAGCTGGTTACGCAACCAAAGACTGAGGTGACGATTTTATACTGTCAAGCGATGGGGTGCTGACACGATAATTTAGGCAGATGTTAGTGCCATCTTGGCTCGCAAGAGCCAAATAACGGCAGCCAAATCACAAAATTGGGTTACCCTGGAACGAGCCCGCTTGGTCCAACAACGTACGCTAGCTCAACGTCGTCTAGATTATCATGAAGTAGCAGAACTGGATGCGAAGTTGGCCGAGTTCATCGCCCAATATGGCGAAGATCTCAGCAGCCCTCAGAAAAATGGCCGACGTGCGGAGAATGACACATTGGCCAAACTCAGCGAGAAAAACCGCAGGGCTAACGCTGAGGCCGTCCGCAGGGCCGAAATTGCGGCGGCGGAACAAAGAAGGCGCGAGAGAAAGCGGGCCCTTGCTGGAAAGAGTGGAACTGCTACTCCAACTGATCCTAGTGCTAGGCTGAAAACCGTTCCACGGACGTTCAACTCTGCCACACCGGTGTCTAGGTTCGTATTTTTTTCCTGCATACCTTTGTTTTATATCTCTTCTGTACCCAGACCGGCGACTCCCAGCGGGCTTCAACCCGCACCCCTAACTCCGGAGAGAAAGCCTTCGCCCCTCGTTCCTTCGACAAACGGCAAAGCCAAGACGTTCGAAGCCTCGGTTATTGAAACGATGGAAGTGGACCTTGGCGATTTTTAGATCAGTAGAATTGCTTTCGTTGTTTTGCGTAATACGACAGCCTAATTGTCATGCATCGTACAACTTGTCGACATCATTGCATCAATTTAGACGACACGTGTTCTGCAGCGTGTAGTTTGTAGCTATATCGAATGTATGTCGTGTAGCTGCAATAAAACGGTTTTTGGTGGGGAGCATTCGCCTGCACACGAAATGGCGGAAGCAAAATGCAGGGAAAAGTTTTTGCCAAAAGCTTGAATAAGCAATGATGTCACCGAAATGGAGCGCACCCTTCTTGCATTTTGACTCTTACCATACCATGCTCTCCATTGCTCGAACTGCCTTGCGTCCTGCATTATCTCATCGCTCTCTTGGGGGAGCAGCCCGCTTAGCGTCTCTCCATACTGTTCCTGACCTGCCCTATGCATACAATGTAAGCAGTCCAGTGGTTTGCTCTCTAGATCGGCATCGACCAGGATTATTTAGGCTCTTGAGCCCTTCATCTCAGAGGAAATCATGAAACTTCATCACAAAAAGCACCACCAAGCGTATGTCAATGGCCTCAACGCTGCGGAGGAGGCGTATGCCAAGTCGACTTCGACCAAAGACCATATCGCCTTGCAGAGCGCGTTAAAGTTTAACGGCGGTGGTAAGAGCAAGGTTCTACCACGTTTTATATTTTCGCTGACTCCTCTACCACAGGGCACATCAACCATTCTTTGTTCTGGAAAAACCTTGCTCCAGCCAGCGAAGAGGGTGGAAAAATCGACAATGGGCCGCTCAAGACGCTTATTGAGCGCGACTTTGGCTCCGTCGAAGCTTTCAAGAAGGAGTTCAACGCCAAAACGGCTGCTATCCAAGGCAGCGGATGGGGCTGGCTGGTATGTAGCACGTTTTCTGTTCAAACAATCATGTCTCACGTAAACTGAATTTGAAGGGATACGATTCCAAGAGTGGCAAGTTGGATATTGTCACCACCGCCAATCAAGACCCTCTTATCAGTGAGTCTCTTTCTATTGTTGGCCATCACCGCAGCTCACCAATTATATCCAGCCCACACTCCCCTCATTGGCGTTGATATCTGGGAACACGTTCGTTTTCAATTACTTCTTTCGCGAGGCTTACTCATCTAGTACTCTAGGCTTTTTATCTCCAATACAAGAACGTAAAGCCTGATGTACGTGTATATTCTGGCCTCCTAGCGATGACGTTCACTTATATTCGTTCAGTATCTCAATGCTATTTGGAACGTCATCAACTTCAAAGAGGCCGAACAGCGACTCGCTGAGGTGGCTAAATAGATCATCTGTATATGTACTAACTTTCGGATAATGAATTGCAACTTACGCGAAGTAATTAGTCCGTATGCATGCATAAAACCATAGCGAATTAACCGGCCAGTGTCATACATCATTATCATGATCCACCGTTGATCTATTGTGTCTTTATGGCCTTTACGTCCACATATTCATCGATAGTATAGAGCTATCCTTGGTATGCAGAGCGACACAATCGGTTGATAATTTCATAGAGCAGAGAAAAACGACTTCCGCCAGGACGCGTCTTGCGAAAGTGCTTGAATTTGAGCCACATTCCGGGATTACGAATGATGCCGGGTTACGTCCAGGTTCCAAGAGGTACAAGATTGATACAGATGCCACCCGCTACTAGATCTGCAAACGCGTCAATACAAAATTAAGACTGCCCATCAAGGCCGTAATTATTTCCCAGTCGAGTCCCGAACATCATGTATTGAAATAATTGATGCAGAACTGCAAGCATAAGGGGTATTACAAAGAAGAGATATGAATACATGATGCATAGCGGACAGCGAACGAAATTAGGAAACATCCAAGACTCTAAGAGGCACTAACCTCCACTATCATTTTCATACGCCTCAGGATCGCTCCCATCTTCATGCTTTCGTTTCTTCGACTGTCCAGCCTCGTCCGGAAGTCTCTCGCTGGGTTTCCGGCGCTTTCGTTCCGTCTCACGAGCATTGAGGCGTACCCCGTAACGCTGAATATGCTAAGAAGGACCCAAAAATATAAATAAATGATAGACCTCTAAAGAAGTAGAGTGTATCTTTACCTTTGTCAGTTCGGTAGAAGGTGGTAAGCCAGGGAACTCCTTGGTAGAATAGACGCGAAAGACGCCGCCAAAACATTCCGCCTGTATAGTCAGATCGGATTGGCCATGCGCACGGGCGAAAAGATCGAAAACCCGGTAGCGGAGTAGGAATTGGCCTTCTTGTCGCACGGCCAAGTCCTGGAATAATCACACCGTGGCGCGTCAATGTGTCACATATGTCTGTAAAGAAGCATGATACTTACGGAAAACACGAACATGAGCTGGCGCTTTCCTTCCCAGTCTATGAGGTTAGGCTGGACAAACGTTGCGCCGACAAGTGAGGTCGTCATCTTGGAGCTTTCGAGGATTGGTATCCCGGTATGCCGCTCTCGATGCACGATGTCTGGGAAGAAATCTAAAGTTAGAGGACCGGCGATATCAAAGTAAGCAAATGAAAGGCTTACCTGTTAGCGGGTGTTCTGGTGGCGGAGGAATAACTGGAAATAAATCAACAGTGCACATTAGGCCGGCAGTCTGCACTTCCCTAACAAAAAATAATGAGACGAGGGCATACAGACGGATTCAAGAACAAATTATTGACCCGTAATCCTCTATCTCTTCCTCGCGTTGCCTATTCATTCCTGCGTCATGTACGGTGCTGATAGACATCGAGATGACAGGCGGAGGGTCGAGAGGACGACGGTCAACGTTAGCATATCTGCTCAAGTTTTTGCGTAAGACAAGCGTAAAAAAATAAGATAAGCTACGACAAGACGTACTTGCGACCAAGAACTGCTTTTTGAAGTTCCTTGACGCGAGTGCGCATTGTAAGCCCACGATACTGGCCTGAAGAATAAGGAATGGGCTGGTCAATAAGACCGGTTCCGCGTGGAAGACTGCTCATATTGAACGACACCTAGTTGGGGGCCTTTTAGCAACTGCAACACGGAGAGCACGTTTTTAACCCCCCGCCCCCCCAATTCAAAGGTCGCGAATGGCGATCGGATTTCCTGGTACGCAATGTGGGGGTAAGGGAAGAGCTGAGTTCCAGGGAAAGGGCGCCGGCTTTTATGGAAGCAGATTCTTTCCCGATATAGCTCGCTGGATGCCACGTCCACCACGTTCTTGGAACACGGATGCTTTTCAACCTTTATATCGGGCAGTCCCAGTATTTTGGCTCACTCTGCGGTACATCAGCGAGTTGGATGGATCTTGGCTCCGCGACGATGCCTCACTGTTTTCATATCGATAAAAATTAAGTACTGCTTACAAGATTTCTCAGGCGATCTACAACGGATAACTTTATAATTAGCGAAGCAGAAGGGATGAAGCCTGTTGCGGACGCCCTCTTTTGAACCTCACAATGACCGCGACTGGATAATATGATAGATCCCAATTACAATCTTAAAGGTGAATATATTTCGACATTAGTCAGTAATAGATTGAAGCAAATGGTCCGTAATGTGAAAGGACACTTATCATTTGCAGATGCGTTCTGAGTATCGGTTTCTTTAGCATAAACATTTCAGCCAGACGTCCAGCGCATGTATTTTATGTCATCGATGACTCATTCAGAACCAGGCGGAAGCAGCCGTGAAGTTTTTCATTGTACTACTACAGCCCCCATCCCCAATTCCTAACCTCGCAAGCGCCAATTCGGATAAGATCCTAATCGCGGCAAGACTGAACAATCTACGTGTCCTCCCGCCTCATCTGGCTCCGACACGAACACTTAAACTGTCCAGTGGACGTCGTGCGTGATGGGCTGTCATGGTGATGGAAAAACGAGGGAAGGGAATCGATGAACGGAGGAACGAGATCTGGGGAGCGCGAATGGGCATACCCGGAGCTGATGACAGCCCCGCGGACGACATGGTTGGTTTAAAAAGAGGATACAAGGCTTAGCAGACAGAGGCATGGCTCAAGGGGCCTCGAAAATTTTGTCGAAAGTACATTTATTTATTAAGTCCTTGACTGCAAGGGCCGTGAGAATAACATACCAAGTAAGGCTAAACAGACGGAATTGGTAATCACACCGCCACCCAGTGTTCATTTACTGACTGAGCAGATTTTGCTCCAGGCAGGATCAAATCATCATGCCACCTCCTACCACCACGAGGCGATGATGGTGAACCTTTTACATAGTAAGTAATTTTATTTTTGCTGTACTACTCCTTTTTAAGCTGTAGGACTTCATTAAACCTGTGAATACCTTTCATAAAGCCAGTGTTGTTATGGTTGGATCAGGGTCACATGGGTCAGACTGAACCCAGATCGGTGGGGTCCAATGGATAGAACACTATGATATGGTAATAAATGATGTTATTCTATTACTATTGGATCATCTGAGCCTCCAGGAGCTTGCTGGAATGCATCTGAAGCATTCTTCTGATCCAAATGAGTCAGCATCTCATAGAACATCATCTACTCATAGTATTTAGAGGTTCTCTGTGGCTAAAACTCATGCCAACCTGTATGAACTGATCAATTGAATATCTCATAAAGAGAGATGAGTGATTTTCATGAAAAGAAGAGCCAAACCTGCCATATAAATAACAATGAGCACTGATAAGCCTCTAAGCTCTGTGCACTCTGAAATTATGGGCCTGAATAATAATTTTTGACTTCAGCCCTTAAGCAGGCTTTCAGTAAACCAATCATTGCAAGTTAAATGCATGTACTTTCATCATAAACTATTCACAGCATATAAACTTTCTCCTCAATAGCTATGCATCATAGGTGTCACAATTTTATCTCTAAATCATGATCTGCTGATGCTTAGTAAGCAGATGCTTACCAATCCCAACCTCAGGCCAATCTTACAAAGGATGACAAAGATATGATGACACTATAACTATGCCTTATTCATTGATGCACAATAGATAGCAGAGAACAATGTGACAACTATCACTGTTCCACATCTTTGTCACAATAAAAACTGCAGCATATGGAAAAGTCATCATAGCAATAGTACAGCAGAGTGACAATAACAAGTAAGCACAAGAGCACAGTCATTGTTACCTCAAACAATGAGTAGAAGACATAGAAAGCAGACAATAGTTGCCTGTAGGACATAGGATTCTTTAAATAGTATTTAAGGCATTAATACACTGTTATGCATATGCTGCTGGCTCCTGCATGATCATAACCAACTACAAATTCAATCACCAAGCTCCACTGGATTCTGTACACTTCCTCTTACCTATTAATTTTATTTTACTATTACTATTTTACATCTGTATTTTACATCATAGTATTTAGACTCTGACTCAGAATTAACTACTATTAGTATATAAACTATATACAATCACTATAACTACTCAGTTTGAATATCAACTTGGATAGCCATCTATACTTTATACTCACTTCAGCTTCTCTTTACTTCATCTATCAGATTCTACTCTGAAAGATATTTCTCTTTACTTCTCTGATAAAACTCTGTTCAGTCAGGCCAAATCCTTAGACCTCAACTCAAGAGTGACATTGCCAATAGCTTTATTGATGCCCATGCACTCTGCCAGTCTCTATGTGTACACTCAAGCCTAATTGATTAGCATGTTCTTAACAGTATATTTAAACTTAAACCCTTGAGTTGAAAAATAAATTTTTATTATATCCATCACATTCACTCAATCCATAGAAGCTGACTCCAAACAAACTCAACTCAGCTATTCTAACATGTTCTCTATAGAAGACATTCTGGCCTCCACCTCAAAAAAACAGCCAGAGCTCTTCAGATCAGCCTTCAGTGGAGGACAACTCTTCTATAGGAAAACTTACACTCACTCTAGCTTCACTGCTCACTGACTAAATTATGATGATTCTCCTAACCTTTTTAAAGACACCAGTGTCTCAACCAACAGAGTCTGATGGGCCTGCATGATGTACAGCATCTAAAGTGATCCTCTAATAGATCTCTTATTCTTGGACAACATGTATAGGAACTTAGACAGCCTAGACTCAGAGGGCAGAGGTGAAGACACTCCTACTCATACTCCTATCTGACAGGAACCAGATGATAACCCACCAAACCCTTTTCTAGGAGGGTCAGATGGATCAGGAGGACCAGGAGGTCTCAATAGCCTTGGTGGCTCTGACAGCTCCATAGAAAGCAACAACCTAAACTAGCAGAATATGTTTCTAGAATTTATAAACCTGTTATAAGAAGTCTCAGCTTCCCTCAATAACCCAAAGCCAGCTATTATCTGCACTAAAGTCAAGGAACCAGAACTCTTTGATGGCTCTGACTCTCATAAACTGAAGGCCTTTATTGTCTCTCTTCAATTGAACTTTAATGACAGACCTATCATATTCACAATAGACACTAGCAAGATCAACTATGTTATGATTTTTCCACTTTTATTCTCATCATTTGCAGGATTAACCTCTATTTATGCTTGGTCAGGGCATCTATACTAGTGCCTAAGACTATGGAACAAGCTTGATCAGCATAATCAGTTATTGTCTCTTGACTTATAGCAACACCCTGACAATAGTACAACAAACCTTTTATAGGTAATATTGACTCACCAGGACAACAAGTACTATAGTGCAGACACTTACAATTAGTAGTAGTATATTTAGCAACAGACCTAGTGGTATATAAGTAGTATAAATAGTGCCATATATCTCCAGTCTCAAACTATCCTTTATTATATCCACTTACTCAAGTCTACTTGCATAGACCTTGAGATATAATATTCACATACATCACATAACTAGACTTAGATGTGATTGTATAAATGCAATACAGCACCTATTTACTATGTGATATTAAACATATATCACTTGGCCCTAACAATTAGTTTGAGACTTCTGCTTTCCTTTTTTTACACTCATCATGAGCAAAGAAGACTAAATGCCTGCTATCAACATTATTACTACCAATCTCACTAATGAATTCTTTAAGCTTCTAGCTTCAATCATAGAAGCACTTTTAAGCTTATTAGCTATCATTACACTCTGCTATAGACATCAATTGATCACAGCTTAGATAGTCAAGTACTGCTAATTCTTCTAACACATTCAACAGATTTTGTGAAATGTCACTTCTAACCTCCCCTTCTAAGATATCTCTCCCTCTGTCTGAGCCTTCTTCCAGCCCATGCCTGAAACCATATCCAAAGCCAGGTCTAGTAGCACAAATGAAAGAAGTGCTCAAGAAGAAGAACTCCAACCAGTTGGACCCTCTAGAGCAGTTAGCTGAGATGATAAACATCATAGCATCATAGAATTCTGAAACCCATGAAATGTCCAGACATATGTCTCATAGGTCCTACCTCCCATCTCTAATCATGAAGACAAAGACCTCTCCAGTGACTTCTTTGAGGAGTCACCATCCCTCAACCCTTCCACTGCTCTCTATGAGTCTGGCATTAGAGACTGTGCTAAGGACTCTATTGAGAATGCTTGAAGAACTATAGTGGATGGACACTCCAAATATGTCACCCCTTATAAAAGCTCTTCTCCCTCAACTCTCAGTCCTATTCTATCAACCCCAAACACTCTCTATGATATTGGAAGAGAGTATAAAGAAATAGAGTATGATCCTGACAGCAATGCTATCTATGGCTGACTGAATCAGCTTGAGTAAGAACAACAGGCTGAAGAGCTCTATGAGCAGTGACTGACCAAGCAACAGAAAGAGCACAAGCATTTCTGATATGCAGCTCAGTATAGGCAGTGGGAGCAGGAGCAGCAGGCTGCAGAGTGGGGCTTAGCTCTATCCAACCACTATAGTCTCTACACAGAGACTGATGATGAAGACAGTGGACTCTGAGAGTGGGATCCAGACAATGAGGATAACCCATGATCTGCTGATCACTGGTCCAACTTGCAAGTCCTCACAGCAGATGAGGCTCATCAGATCAATGATGATGATGACTATGAGCTCCTCCCACTGATCTATGAGGAGAGTATTGCTATCAGCAGCAATGATACTCTTCTCTCAGATGTCAGTTTCATACTCACCAGGTATGAAATCCAAGTACCCTCAGAGGCCAGGGTCACTGAATGGACTCTCTGATGATTCCTTCATGGATATATTGCCATCCTGTTAAGCCCAAATTCCATGTGACTAATAACATATAATAAACTGATAGAATCTTAGACTTTGGGTTATACTGTCAGAGTTCACTGATGCATTGTTGGCATTGTGTGATCAAGATAGTTACAAGTCACTTGAGATAAGATGGTGGAGAATAAACTTTAGCTCGAAGCTGGAGTATTATAATGAGAGCTATGCTATTTAAATACTTGAATACTTATCATTCTAAGAATATAACTATCTAATTGTCTTTGCTGGTGCTGTGTAGCATTTTATCCAGTGTTGCTAAGATACCTATAAAAAGTATTATTTTGCTGTTGAGCTGTTACTGCTGTTACTGCTGCACAAAGATAAGAGAGGCTTCTCTGTTATTGTGCTGTTGCATGACTTCACAGCAGTGACTAGAATCAGGGTGGTGCTGCTGACTAAGCATTCTCATGATCCTAAGTGTCAGATCTAGACACTCTGACTAAGCAGAAATAGGGGTCAATCCTGAATAAATCAAAGAAAAAAGAAAAGAGTATAGAAAAAATCATAATATTACTCCCTCCTTAAGACTATTGTTCTGATGGCTAATTTAGAGATAAGTTCTCTGGTCCATTTGCAGTATCCACAGTTCTTTCTAGTGTGCAGTGGGGATTTATCAGAGTATTCTCCCATCTATGTGCACCTTGCACATAGAGTGGCGATAGGCACTGTAAGTTTGCAGTATACCTGGCACTACCATCCATTTGTGGCTTGCTAGTCAGAAAATATTCTGGACATTGCTCTTTGGTATATGTTCCATTTACTGTTTCAGTAGGCTCCAATGTTAAACATATCCTCTGTTGTTGGTGTTTATTGGTCTTGAAATTTAGGTCAACATATTTGCCTATGTTGATTCTGTTGTTTTGCTGTTCATAGTCATGTATGGTCTCTTCTGCATCCATATATTTCTTGTTGACCCATTGATTTGATTTGGGTCTATAACCCTTCTAGCTGACTAGATAGTCAATAGTTGTTTTCATGCCTCTATCTCATGCTTTAACTCTTTGTGTTTTGTGGTTTAGCACTTCATCGATTTTATAGTATTCCTTATCATTGATGAGTTCTGGTGGTGGGGGCAGTGGTCGCTCTTAGTTTGGAAAGGCTAGTGTGATGTATAGTGTTAATAATGTTTTGTTAAAAATATTATGTATTTTCTAAGTTGCTGGAAGTTGCAACTTGTAAGCAGAGATGCTGACTCTAGCAACAACTTTGAAGGGGTCTGTTTGTTTGTCTGCCAACTTCTGTTTTGGGTATAAGAGATGAAGATTCATAGTATCCAGTCATACTTTGTTGTTGATTAAATATTTATGGGCCAGTCAATGATGCTTATCACATTGCTTCTTTATAGTGGTGGCAGTCTTTTCAAGAGCTATCTTTATTTCTTCATAGATTTTTACCATTGTAGTGGTAAAATCCATTAATGCTGGTGTTGTTGTGTGAATCTGTTTGCTTTGTGCAACTGGTGGATTTCATCTATAGTTGACAAAGAAGGAGGTTTTGCCTGTTGCTGAATGAATTTTATTATTGTATTGAAAGACAGCTAATGCTAGCCACTTGGTCCAATTGTCTTGTCGATAGTTGATGAAAAGACATAGGTACTTTTCAATTTCTTGATTCACCTGTTCTGTTTGGCTGTCAGTCTGAAAATAATATACCATTGAGGCATTCTGTTTGATGCTGAGAAGTCAGTACAAATCATCTAAAAATTTAGAGACAAATTATGGGCCTCTGTCTGAGATGATGACTTGAGACATGCCATACTTCGCATATATCTCATTTTATAGGATTTTTGCCTATCCTTCTGATGTTAATTCCATTAAGCAGGTGATTGGAATGATCACTTTTGAAAAGCAATCAACAATGACAATGATGACATTGTAACTATCATTTTCTGGGAGTCCTGTTATCATATCTACTGAGATGTGAGTCCATAGTGATGATGGTATCTTGTTCAGATGAAGAGGTGCTGCTTTGAATTGTGTTGAAGTCTTGCCTCATTGGCAAACCTTACAAGCCTTAATATATTAGGTGATATCATGGTCTATTTTAGACCACCAATACTCCTGTAAGACTAGTTCCTTTGTTTTAGTGATGCCAGAATGTCTGGCAGTCACATGATCATAACATATAGCAATAATATCACTATGAAGCCTTTGATCTCTTGGAATATAGATCCATTCCTCATAGCAGATCAATCCTCCTTTTTTCTTCAGCCTCCACTTGTGATTGAGTGAAGGAGCAATTCTTTGATCTCACTTATAGGAATCCCTAGTGGCACTTTTGATGCATTTGTGCATCTTCTCTTCTGTGGGCATGATCATGGCATGGAAGTGTTCTAGTCATAATAATACAACCTCCTTATTGTCATCTCCTCTCTAGTCATGGTCTGCTCTGTGACTAAGGAGATTAGCCTTCTTGTTGGCTGCACCAGCTTTGTAATGCAGTATATATTTGTATTCAGATAGTTTTGTGACCTATTGAGCTTATTGGCAATTGAGTTTTTATGAGAGTCAGAAGTATTGGAGATTCTGGTGATCTGTCCAGATCTCAAAGGTCTGGACTGCTCCAATGAGATAATGTTGCCATTCAGCCAAGGCAAGCATTATAGTGAGGAGTTCTTTGTCATATATCTTGTAGTTGTGCTTAGTAATAGTAAGCACTTTTGACATAAAGGTGACTGGTCACCATTTGCCATCCTGTTCTTATGAAAGTACTGCCCCAATAGTGCCTTCACTGGAGTCAGCTTCCACTCTGAATTTTCCATCCTGATTGGATATGGCTAGGATGACATCTTCAGCTAATTGGCATTTGAGATTGTCAAATGCCATCTGTTGGAAAATTCTCCAGGTCCATAGAGAATTCCCAGTCAATTGCATCATGGGTCAGACTATTTTGCTGTAGTCCCAGATAAACTATTGGTAGAAGTTGGTGAATCCAAGGAATGATTGCAGTTTCTTCTTCTTAGTCAGTTTTGGCCACTCAGTTACTTCTGCCACCTTGACAGGGTCCATCTTAATGCTTCCTTCACTGATAATGACTCTAAAGTATTCTGTTTCTAATACCTTGAACTCACACTTCTTAGCCTTGAGGAAGAGTTAATGCTTCCTTATTAAGGCTAGTACCTAGCATACTAGCTGTTGATGCTCCTCCTTAGTCTTGGACATAATTAAAATATTGTCCAAGTAGATTGTGACCTTTCCAGTGGCAATGAGATCTTTGAAGATGTCATTCATCATCCACTGGAATGTTGCTGGCAAATTTGTGAGTCCAAAGAATATGACTATTAGTTCAAATAATCCTTGGTTAGTTTGAAAAGCAGCCTTCCATTTGTTGCCTTCTTTGATGCACACATTATTGTATCCCTACTGAACATCCAGTTTGGTGTAGTACTTGGCATCTCAGAGTTTGTTCATCAATTCTGAAATTAACAGAAATGAGTAACAATTTTTGATCATCATTTCATTGAGCTTCCAATAATCCTATACTGGTTGGAGTTTGCCATCCTTCTTTTTGACAAAGAAGAAGGGAGACACCATTGGTGACTTTGATAGCTGAATCCTTTTACTGGATAAGTTCTCTTTGAGGAATTTATTCAACTCCTGTTGTTCATTGCCACTAAGTGGATAGATCTTGCAATCCAGGTTGGTGTTGGCATTGGAAATTAGTTTGATGGCATAGTTCTAAGACTTTAGATTGGGTAATTCATCGAAACTTTCCTTTTCGAATAAGTCCTAGTAGTCCTGTGCCTACTCAAGTACTATTTCTTCAAATATCTTATCCTTCTTTCCTGCATTGGCCTTCACAGCTAGATTATTAGCATGGTGAATGGCTTGAATGCGAATAGCCCATTGTAGATTGATAGTGAGAATCATCTCACCATCCTCCATTTCTTTGTCCCACTGGTCCTTAGAGTCTTCATCCAGTAGTTTAAATGGAATCTTCTGACAATGACATTGCACAAAAATGATACAGCCAGTCTTCCAGTTGGTTAGCAGATTATGCTGAATCAGCCAATCATGACCAAGAAACATCTCCTTGGTTCCTAAGTCAGTTACTGCCAAGTTGATGCATTCTGAATGATCCCCAATAGTGAGCCGTAGCTCTATATATTCGGTAATTGAACCAGCTTGATTCTTTGTTCTATCTGCATTATAGATGGAAATTGGGGCTGCAGTGGCCTGAGTAGAGAGTTTGTGCTTGGTGATAAAAGCATGGTTGATTGAGCTCTCTGTGCAGCCACTGTCAATCAAGGCTGTGATTGCATAGGTAGATCAAGATGTTAATGTCTTGATCTGGGCCTTAGTTATCAAGTCTTGTCCTCCAGTTTTAGATCATTGAATGAATTTTTGCAGTCCATATAACTCATTGAGCCATTCCAAGGCTTGATTTCATTTGGCTGTTGGCATTCTAGTGATCATGTCATCAATCACCTCCTTGATTTGGGTCTTGTGTATTCAATTCTTGAGGATGGTCTTTGCTACTGCTTCATTCTTCACATCTTTGATAGCTTGCCAAGTCTATTTGGTATTGAATAGTTTTAGCCAGCCAATGAGGCCCTCTGCTTTTGTTTGGCCCATAGACAG